TCTTTTGAACATTGAAAAATTTCTACTACAATTACACTTCACTATCTGAAAAATTGCAATTTTCCCCCAATGAAATAGCATTTAGCTATATCGAAAATCCCTAGCCCTCCATTTGCCATTTGTATATAATACCGGTTACATAATAATGCCCCCATTTTCCGGTTGAGATTGATCAACAAACTTCCATTTGTTTATTGTTCACAAAAATGATCAAAAAGCAAGTAGAACAAAAAATTCAGAATAAAATGTACAATTCTTTGGAATTGAGATCAATTACATTCTAATCCAACTACTTAAATCCATAAAATTATTTATGGACATATTCAGTGTCATACAGCATTATCGATTTTGCTTAGATTTTAATTTGACAATTTGAAGTGATTGAACAACGGAAAAATGATAAATTTGACAATTCAAAACCAATTACTTAAAAAATCTGCAAAAAACATTTCCGATGATGACTGGTTCCACTTGGCTCTTCTTCATCCTTCAAAGGAATATTTCAATATGCACATTCCTGGGATTCACATCTTACCGCGAGGGGTCTCAATCTTTAACAGTACAGCATACAGGACACGGTAGTCGTGTTGGCCAATAAGCGTCTTCTGGTAATCTCCTACTGCTGATGATGGTGGTATATTTGTCTTTGATTGACAATCAAAAACAAGATATGCACGTAAAAAGTTTTGCAGTTTTTAGCAATAATCAATAAATGTATTTTTTTCTTTCAAAATTAACAAATCTAATTTCGAAAAGTGCTTCTGCAAGCATCTCCTTAAAAAAAGACCTCCTTTCAGTCGATGTTTTTTTTTTTGCTTTTTTTCAATGCGTTTCCACCCTTTTCATGTTTTTTTCAGTCCTTCCCCCCATAATCCCGCACATAAAAGCGCAGCGAAGAAAAAAAAGGCATATAATTTTAAATGTGCTTTTTGGTTTTGGTTATTTTTTGCATGAATGCGAGATTCACCCCATATTTTTTCCTATTTATTTTCTTTTCACCATTATTTGAAATGGGAAAGGAAAGGTGAGATTTGTATAAATTGGGGCATCATCGCATTGGTTAGAAATAGTTTTCAAAAAAAGAATGTCCAGTGATTAGCGTTCATATGACAACAACCAAAAATCGATTTGTGGCATTATTTATAGTTGTATCATCTTCATTTTTTTAATCCGCCATTCCTTCAACTCAATTTTATTGATTTTATACCACATATTTTGTTCCAAAAAAAATTTTGGGGGGAAAAACCCATCATTCAGTTGTTGCACAACAGCCATATGTGTAATGTGATATTGTGAATTTGTAATTTGAGGACTCGTCATTCTGCAAACCGATGAATAATCATTTCACTCCATAATTTATCATGCGAAATAATAGAGTGAGCCAAGAGAATGGTGCATCCATAAAAGTGCAATGTGTGCACTTTTGATAAAACAATTTTTGAAATATTATAATGCAATTGAGGCATTCTGTAAACTTCCAAAAACTACGGATTAATACTGCCGATTTTTTAAATTCGAATCACCGCAAATAAATGTGATGAACAAAAAAACCTTTTTTTTTTAAATAAACTACCCTATAGAATAGTTGTTTTTTTTTTGAAGCATTCAAATGTCTGAGAGAAAAAGCAATTTTGCAGCTTTAAAGTATTAAATGCATTTACCTAAAAGCCCATAACGTTTGAGGGCTTTGACATTTTTACACGAAAAAATGATTTCTTACATTCAGAAAGTTTTGAATTTTAAGCTAGTCTGTTTCTAAAAAAGGTCATCGGCAGATTTTGCCAAATTTATTTTTTTTGATATTCGAATATTTTAAAATTTTACTAAAATTGGGAAAATAGCAAAATTTGAAATAAAATAAGACAATTGATTAGAGGCGATGTTTTTGTTATTGAATTGTCGATATTTCTTTCATCAACAGGCGATAATTGTTTTTAAAATTTTTTTCCATTTGCTACGAGCTTCTCGTTCTTCGGCAGTGTTTCGATGGAGATTTCTGTTGGTCTTGTTTCTCAAATGAAGGTATATGGAGTAGTATTTAAAGTATTTGCCAAATATGACATTATTTTTTTTACCAATGGTTCTTCTATTTTAACATTCTAACTTTATTTATGTATCGAGATTCCCGAAATTCGTAATGTTGTTGTTTATCTATAATAATTTTATTTTTCAAGTCAATCCAGAAAAAATTTTTTCGAATTTTTTGGAACTCGTTTCCATTGCTTAAGAAAAACAATAGTTCTAAGAAAACGAAAAACGACAAAAGAGGTTTTTTTTTTATTTCGTCTCCATCTCATTTTCGTTTCGTCCTGTCCCTCAACAAATTCTTTCGTCGGCGACGCCAACTTCGACAGAATCTGAGCGAGTGTGTATATATTTGGCTTTCACTCCCAATATGATGGCAAGTGCCGCGCACAAAACCCCGAGAATTCTTTATCGTCGTCTTCTTTTTCTACTACTTTTTTCCACAACAAGGCATGCCGAAAAAAAAATAAGAGTTTTTGGCCCTCCGATGTGTAGTGCTCACTGAGCTCGCCGGTGTAAGGCCGACCAGCTTTCGGGCCGTCGCGCAGCTTTAGTTTCGAGCTCCCCCCGCTCCCCTCACTTCTTTTTCTTCGTCGTTTCCCTTCTACTTTTTTTTTCTTTCTGCTTTGCTTCCTTCCCTTTTTTGCGTTTGAAGCTGTGATGCCAGCCAGCATACTAGAGCGCGCCTGCGCGCAGCGAGCATATCGACTAATCGAAATGCCGCACATCTCGCCATTCCTATACGCAATTTTTTCGCACACTCCAATCGTGGAAAATCGCGTCGAAATAAACGTGCCTAGTCAGTCTTTGGTTGGTTGTCCTTATCTATTCGATAGCCGAATTTAAATAGTGGTGAGTGTTTAAAATTTACCTGGAACTACTTTTTTGGGGCCTCAATTGTTCATTTAAAGTTCCTTGGGAAAACAATAAATGAATTTTAGCATTTTCTATAGAAGTAAAACACTTCGTTTTTAGAATAATTGCTTGGGCTTATATATAGTCAATTTCTTTAGAGAAATAGCAATCAGAATAAGACGTTGCGAGATCTACGTTGTCAGATAAATTTTCTTTCATCGAATTTTGATTGTAAAAAAAATTAATGACACCTAGTGCATTTTAGAGGGGCTGGAATCAGCTTACATCAAATGAATATTACAAAATTTGCTGGAATTTTTTCAGAGAGAAGTTTTTTTTAAATCAGAGTACATAGTATTTTTCGTAAAATCAAGTTTGATTGTAAACCAATATAGCACAGAATTTTTTCAAATGACGAATGTTTCAAAAAGCAGGTGAAAATTTGTGATATTTACTAGCGAAACATGTTTTCCAAAGTGCAAACACGTGGTTTTTAAACTTAATGCCAATTAAATTCTATAAAATTGCCATACCATTATAATTCCAAACTAATTAACCAAATTTATTTATTAGATATTGATCAACATCACCCGATTACAAATCACATTTCGAAATGCGCCGACCGACAACTATAAAACCTCGTCAGTTGTGCATCACATACAAAAAACAAACATTTTTATTGATAAACATTGGGTGACGTGTCTGGGGCGCCGATCGATAGCTAGCTTTAAACAACTATTCTAAAATATTTAATTTAGTGTGAAAAGAAGAAGAAAAAAATCGAATTTTTGTTCGACAACCAATTCGACTAAAATGTCAATATTTGACAATGCACATTCATAAAATCATTGGAGGGTGTACCCACCGGCTTGGCTTGAGTGAGTAGAAACTTTTCACATTTTCCCTTTCTCTACAGCCCCCCCCCCATTTTTGCTATTCAATGTTTCGGTCTTAGTAATCCAGCTGCCGAATATCACACAAATGATCGGGGGTTCGATCTACGCCCAACGCGGCGACCTTCCTCAATTTTTGTTTCGCATTTTTGCGCGCCAAAACGCGATGCGCGTGCCGGCGGTCGCATTCAACAACTCAGATTCATTTTCTTGCCTTCTTCGCTCCTCCAACTTTTTCGTTGCCTAGTATGCAAATTCGCGTCGCGCTCAACACAACGTTTTCAGTTGTCGGGTGTTTATTTACATCGCTTTTATAAATCAATACGCCTCTCATTTAGTGTTCATCTTAAAAGGCAGGAAATAAAAAGACCAAACTCCTATGTATTTCCGTTGGCACGCTTTAGCCGCAATGATTCATTCTTTGTGATTTCGCAATCAAGTGGATTTTTGATTGCAAACATGTCTCCACTCGCTATCTTTTCCTCATTCATTCAAACTGACTGTCATGGAGATGTGAGAACAGTGTTGTGTTGCACAATCGCGCTCCACCGCACTCGCCATATTTCAAACTCATTGCCAATTCTCCCAGCAACGAAACGCATTTTTGCTTACGTTTTCACTTTTCTCTCATTTCGCGGTTTTTTCCTGAGTCGAGTCTTGTCTAGAAACCAATTTCGATGCAAAATTTTATTAAATTACTGGAAAACGCTCACGTTTCAAGACGATATATGTTTTCAATTACGCGTCTTACAATTCACCCCCCCCCCCGAAAACGCTTCAACAAGTCCGTTGGAATGTAAGACAATTTGTAAATGCAACATGTTTTATAAGGAAACTGGCAAAAATGAAGGGCGATAGGGCGATGACAGTTCAGCTGAGAGACTAACAGCCTGCGGCTATTCATTCGCAATTGCCTCTCGTTGTTTCACTGTCTTCAAACACCCGCATATTGAGGCGACTAGCAGCACAGTTTCATCTCTACCTCGCTTTCTCGTTCTCTATTTCACCTCCTTCTTTACCCTCTGGTCACACTGCGGCTAGTTGTGTATTTCCTTTTCGCAAACACACTTGAACCGATTTTTTTTTATTTTTTATTTTTGCCGCTACTAATTCGCAAAATTTTACATTTCTTTTGTTCTGTTGTTGGCAACTTTCCGACAATCAATAATTTTTGTGTTAATTTGCAGATTTCTCAAATTGTAGTTTACACCGAACACATCTTTCAAAATGTCTTGGGCAAACCAAGGAATGCAAGCGCTGATCCCAGTGATCAATCGCGTCCAGGACGCGTTCTCCCAATTGGGCACCAGTGTCAACTTTGAACTCCCCCAAATTGCTGTCGTTGGAGGTCAATCTGCCGGAAAATCATCGGTTCTTGAGAATTTTGTTGGAAAGTGAGTTGCAATTTCGGAGCATTATATTTAAGAATGTATTTTTGTTTTTCAGAGACTTTCTACCAAGAGGTTCTGGCATTGTTACAAGACGTCCTCTCATATTGCAATTGATTCAAGATCGCAATGGTGAGGGCTTTTTTTTATTTGATATAATTGGTAATTCAATTATTATTTCAGAGTACGCAGAGTTTTTGCACAAGAAAGGACATCGTTTCACTGATTTCGATCAAGTTCGCAAGGAGATCGAGGAGGAGACTGATCGTGTCACCGGCCATAATAAGGGAATCAGTCCGCATCCCATCAATCTGCGCGTCTTCTCGCCAAATGGTGAGTGCCCAATTATTCGTCCCCCCCCCCAAATAAGCACCAACAATTTTAGTGCTCAACTTGACGTTGATTGATTTGCCGGGTCTCACCAAAGTTCCCGTCGGTGACCAGCCAGCGGATATTGAGCAGCAGATTCGTGAAATGCTTCTCACATTTATTTCGCGCGAAACATGCTTGATTCTTGCCGTCACACCGGCTAACAGTGATCTCGCCACTTCCGACGCGTTGAAATTGGCCAAGGTGCATTGTGGTGAATTGAGATTTGAACCTAATTAGACATTTTAGGAAGTTGATCCGCAAGGACTTCGTACAATCGGTGTTCTCACCAAACTTGATCTTATGGACGAAGGAACCGATGCACGCGAGATCTTGGAGAATCGTCTATTCCCGCTTCGTCGTGGATATGTCGGAGTTGTCAATCGAAGTCAGAAAGACATTGTCGGGCAGAAGGACATCAAGGCTGCTCTTGAAGCTGAAAGACGATTCTTCTTGTCGCATCCGGCCTATCGTCACATGGCTGATCGCCTTGGAACTACCTACCTTCAACACACTTTGAATCAACAGCTCACCAACCATATTCGCGACACTCTTCCGACGCTTCGTGATAGTTTACAGAAAAAGCTGTTTGCCATGGAGAAAGATGTCGCGGAATTCAAAAATTTCCAGCCAAATGATCCTGGAAGAAAAACGAAAGCCCTTCTACAGTTAGTTCTAAATTTCTCACATCCATGTACTTAAATTTAATTGTTTTAGAATGGTACAGCAGTTCAATGCCGATATTGAACGATCGATTGAAGGCTCTTCGGCGAAGCTCGTCTCCACGAACGAATTGAGCGGTGGTGCGCGCATCAAACGTCTATTCCATGAGAGATTTCCATTTGAAATTGTCAAAATGGAAATTGATGAGAAGGAAATGCGCAAAGAGATTCAATTTGCTATTCGAAACATTCATGGTATCAGAGTTGGACTCTTCACTCCCGATATGGCGTTCGAAGCGATTGCCAAGAAGCAGATTGCTCGTCTCAAAGAGCCGTCGCTTAAATGTGTCGATTTGGTCGTCAATGAGTTGGCGAATGTTATAAGACAGTGTGCCGATAGCGTTAGTTGCCATTCACGAAGTTTCCAGAATAATGGTTTTCTTATTTTAGATGGCCAGATACCCCAGACTTCGCGATGAGCTTGAGAGAATCGTCGTATCCAACATGCGCGAGCGCGAGCAGCTCGCGAAACAACAGATTGCACTTATCGTTGATTATGAGCTCGCCTACATGAACACTAACCATGAGGACTTTATTGGATTCAGCAACGCTGAAGCTAAAGCGTCTCAAGGACAGACAACCAAGAAGAATCTTGGCAATCAAGTCATTCGCAAAGGATGGTTATCGGTCAGCAATATCTCGTTTGTTCGTGGATCAAAAGATTGCTGGTTTGTGCTGATGTCGGATAGTTTGAGCTGGTACAAAGACGATGAAGAGAAGGAAAAGAAGTACATGCTCCCATTGGATGGAATCAAGCTTCGAGACATTGAAAGTGGCTTCATGTCGCGTCAGCATAAATTTGCGCTCTTCTACCCGGATGGAAAGTGAGTCGTCATTCGAATCGCCCTTTTCTAACCATTAAGGCATGCCAGAGTTTTATCAATCATTTCAGGAAGTGAGTAGTTAATCCCTACTTCTACATTCATTCTTTCATAATTTGTAAGAAGCAATTATGTTGTAGTTGTGAAATCGTGCGACGGCAAACCGTTCCGACACGTTCATATTTATTATTTTCTCTTTAGTTCTCATTAACCTCTACCTCTATTCACTTTAGAGTTCAAGTGTTTATAAGCACGTAGCATGAAAAAGAAATAGTTTAGATATGAATTTGATAATGTCGATGCACTAGTCGCATGAAATATGAGATGGTAGAGTCGATACTCTGGCGTCTTCTTTTTTTTTGAATTTTCACAATATTGAGTTCAATAAAATCTTGATTTGTTCAGGAACATCTACAAGGATTACAAGCAGCTTGAACTTGGATGCAATAATCTCGACGAGGTCGACGCATGGAAGGCATCGTTCCTTCGTGCTGGTGTCTACCCAGAAAAGCAAAAAGCTCCTGAAGATGAAGCGGTTCCGGATGTTGAAGAGACATCAATGGATCCGCAACTTGAGCGTCAAGTAGAGACTATTAGAAATCTCGTTGATTCATACATGCGCATTATCACCAAGACAATCAAGGATCTTGTCCCAAAAGCGATAATGCATCTTGTGGTCAACCAGGTAGCGAAGATGTCAATGTTGTTGCTCATTTAAATTCTTTCTCTTTTTTTAGATCAGCGAATTCATGAAAGAGGAGCTCCTCGCTCATTTGTATCAATGCGGTGACACCGATTCGCTAATGGAGGAATCTGCTCTTGAGGCGCAGAAGCGCGAAGAAATGCTGCGCATGTATCACGCATGCAAAGAAGCGCTGCGCATCATTTCGGAAGTGAACATGAGCACACTTGGCGATGCTCCGCCGCCACTTCCGCCATCGGACTTCCGTCCAACGCCATCGGGACCGTCGCCGATTCCGCGTGCCGCTCCAGCGCCGCCCGGCCGCGCTGCTCCGATGCCGCCACGCCCAGGACAAGGGCCACCGCCGCCGGGAATGCGGCCACCACCAGGTGGCATGTACCCGCCATTGGTGCCATCGTGAGTTTTTTCGAAATTCCAGAAAAATTGAAAGAAATTCACCACAATTGCAATCTTTAACACACCGAACTTGTCGTCATTTTCTATTTATTTCTCGCTCTCCCTATTATCGAAAATTATTTGTGCAGGCGGCCTGGTCCAGGAGGACCACCACCACCGAACATGGCGCCACCTAGATAATTATTGTATACTTATACCACTGTAAAGAATAAGGTTTGTTAAGACGTTGAGCAGTTTGGTGAGAAGTTGTTGTCGTGAGTAAATGTGAATATTGTTTTCTCTTCCGAGCACGTGTCGTATTTAGCTTCTCCAAATTTTTGACAAAAAAATTAATATTGATTAAGTTTCGAATAAATGCACGTTTTCTGAACGTAGCTCCCCCTAGATATTGAGTTCAAGAAATGAGTTGTCTTCTTGCGAAAATTTTTGCAATTTTCAGAAGAGCACCAACTCCAGCCACCAATGGACAAGCGCCAGCGGTTCCAGCTCGTCCTCAAGTCCCAGCAAGACCATTCTAAATGTATGATTTAATTGTAAATTTCTTACTATTGATTCCCACCAATTTCTCTCAACAACATCGTATACCCAATGTGCAACAGGCGTTGTCATACACACAATTTTCGAATCATAGGCATTTTTCCATTTTCATTGAAATAGTTTTGCAAATATTGTACCCTGCAATCGTTTCAGTTTGTTATATGTATAGTTTCCTATTGCTGAGGAGCGCGCAGTTTCTAGGAGCACATTTTACCGCAAGTCCTTTTGATTCCAACTGTGTTCTCTTTTTTTCTTATCGGTGGTTATTTACAATTTTCGGTTGACGTTCCCTATTTAGCAATAATGTATATGTAGTTTTTGGCATTCACCAGTAGCAGATTGAAAGCGATCATTTAGTGCATCTGAGCATTTCGAGATCACCTCAGCTTTTATTTATTTTGCCCATAATTTATTTATTCGATTGATCGATGCTGTAATTTATTTTAACTAGCGCTTAGTACTGACATAACATGAATCAACCAAACATAATACCGTGAATGTAAAGTATTTATTTGTCATGTGACATTACTCCGCAATAAAGCATACATAGCGAGATTGTGAAATATTTGGAAAAATTCCAGAAAATACAATAGCAAATTGGGTCAATCGATATAGACAACGCTAAAATATCCATCGTGATAGTATTTTAGGACCAATGGTCGTAAGAGACCATGGTTCTAGAAGTTTTTGAAATTGTCCACAAAATTTGAATATCCAATTTGAAGCGTAAAATTTGAATAAATAGAATTATAAAAAACGGAAAATACACATTAATTATTAAAACTTTTTTCAAAACATAAGATCACATTTAATAATTGGAAAGCATGATACCGACCATTTCTATTCAAAATGGCCAATTTGTTTCTAATTTTTTTATCGTTCGCTACTGGATTTATACGTAGCGTGAAATGAATTTATTGGAATCGCCAAACTTTCGCCAAAATAACCGAGATGAGATTGTGTGACGTTCTTGAACCTCGTTTGGATATATGGAACGTTATCAAATGCGCCACCACATGCACGGGATTTGTATTAGTCATCTTGAAATGGGACACCCGCGTCCCCCTTGGTGCAGTGGTTTGTAAAAGGTAGGAGATGGGAACCTCCCCGATTCGACTCCGCGCAGTGACCAACAGTGGATTGCTCATGCAGCGTGATTTCTGTATGAGCACCGGGTTGAACCATTCACCTTGGGATCGCATTTTGCATTTTTAAATGACAATATTTTGTAACTGCTCAATAAATCACATTGGGCTTTCTATAGCAAAAATTTGAAGCGCTCCGGGTGTGCTTATCCGGGCGGAAACCGTTTGGGAAATACTATCAACTAGGACTCTTTGCGTCAGAAACGTTACCGATGAGTTTTATAGTGAATCGGTATAGTAAAATAGACGTTATTCCTTCTGAAGAGATTAGAGTTTTTCAATTAAAATAATTTTTTTGTGATTCGACTATGTATAATGTTGACATTTTCTTTAAATTAAGGCAATTTAGTAGGAATTTCGACGATCGTCTTTTTATATGAGAGAATTTGCTTAAAAACTGCAGTAGTATAAAATACACAAATAATCTAGTTGAAATAAATATTGAAAAGTTCTAGCTGTAAAATGACAGAAATTTAAGAGACTCCAAGTTTAGCCAACTGGCCTTTCCGAGCTTTCTTTCTGCTAGCCGCTGTTTTTTGTTTGCTTATTGAATTATTTTCACCAATATATTTTTCGGAACATCTGGATTGTCGAAAGCTACTCAGAGCCCCGCAAATTTATGTATTTCATATGTTCATGTATGATTTCAATATCCGGCAAGGTTTATGTTTTCCCAAAATCAATTCACATCTTAAAATATGTTTGAATGCTAGAAAGGTCTTCTGAAATAAGATATACCGAAATTTGAGTAAAACGAACGACCTCGTTCTCATTCAGTCGCGTCGCGAAACCCTTTGCTCATTTATGTTGCTGCGTTCCAAATCATTTGTCACATTTTTTTCGCTTTGTTTTCTTTTCGAGCATTCAAATCTTTGAGCTTTTCGCTGTTTGAAATCCTCAAAATTTTTTTCCAGCAAATATGAGAAACAACTGTTTAACTTTCTTCAGCTAAAAACTTTACGTGTTTTGCACCGGTACGCTGGAAAAATGCCTCAAATTGCTCTCAAATTTTTATATTAGGATATTTTATACTGGTAACAGACTAGTTTTTACCTACTTTCCAGATTATGTAATCATTTTTTTAATATTAAATAAAAAAATATATATATATATATAAATTGTAATATGTTTCCTTATATGAAAAATAATTATTTTTTTCGAGATTTACATCAATAGCCCAATTCTAATTCATTGAGTATTTCTTTCAAATTGTCATTGCTAAAGTTCCCGATCGTTTAAGAAGAGAAAAAAAATGCGATCGCTATCTCAACAAAAAAAACGAGAGTCGGAACAATTTTCATACATTTGTGCCGTATCTTTTCTTCTCTTTCTCAATTGCTCCAGCTCACCAAAACGTGTGCCATCGATTCGTGCAAGAGATCGAGTTGTGCACGGCAAAACGGAATCGCTGTAAAGTGTTATGCATCATCAGCATTTATTTCTCGCTTCTCTCCGTGGGATGCTTTCGAGACCGCGTGTGTTAACAGAGAGATCAACAAATAAAATACACCACTATTGGATTTTTTAAAGCATTTTTTGTTTTTGTTGGTGTTATGCACTCATCAATCAATATTTATTCCTATTACCAATATCATTGTTAATATACTGTCCAAATTTCTCGAAATATATCCTCTTTGTGGTTAATGTTTAGTTAATTGTTGCAGATCGATCGATAAAATTTGGGGGTTCACCGCGAGACCCGAAAAATCAAGAAACCAGCGACAAAAAAATCCAAAAATAAAAAAAAACGAAACGAAAGGATACCCATCGATCAAGTGGAACATAATTATACGAATGCCGCGGGGGCAGGAGCCACAAGTTATTTTGTTCAAGTTCAATTGTTATTGAATCAATATAATGGCTTCAAAGCAATCGATGCCAGCCAATGGCACAACAACTCCAGCATTCAGGCGTCAAGCTTCCACAGGTATGACAAGTCTTATTGTTACAATCTCCAACAGACATTATGTTTATATATCCTCGAAATGTTTTATCAAAACATACACATCAAATGTCAATATTTGCGGATATTTGGGCTCTTGATAGCAAGACTGATATGATAAAATTTTTTGTAGGAATTTAATTGTGCAGGGGGGAACATAAAATGATTGACATATGTTTGGATATACGGAATAGAGAATTTATTTATTTTTACATTAAAAAAAATTATTTTAGATTTGCAACACTCCACAATATTAATATTTTTGTTATTATTTTACACTTTTCATTAAACTTATATGGATGCCTAGTATTTCCAATAGCGTCACGTTATCAAACAATGAATGGATATTAATTTCCGTTAGCCACCACTTTTGCCAATCCAATTCAAATATTTGAAATGATACCAACTGAAGAACGCCTTATACTAGAATTCTTCAGGAATAATAAAGGTTAGTTAAGACTTTTATCTTGTAGATGATTCACACTAATTTTTATATAATTTCGTATTTCAATTTTCTCTTTTGTGTCCTTCAAATTTTTCTTGCTTCTTTCATATCTTGATAACCAAACAAATTAGAAGACATGTCAACTCACTCTATTGAATTATTCAAAATTCGCGCAATACTAACCTTATGAATATGAATTTTTGTGCCGAAGAAATTCAAATAATGGAAATTCGAAAAAATGAAGACCAAATTCATTTTTTTTGGCGCAGCTTTGTATGCCTAATTTAAGTAATTCAAGACAAAATTGAATTAATTAAAAACACACATAGAAATTTCTTCGTTTGATTTTTATATTATATATAAAAAAACAGATCTATTTGAATGAAATTTATACATTTTTATTTCTATTTGATTAGTTTTCTACAATATGTAAAAAGCAAATGATTCCAGAAGATGTTCAAATTTATAACGGAAAAATTTGGAGAAATGCACTTGTTACTGATAGTTGACAAATATTCCAAAATGAAGCCATTAAGGTGTGGCGGCTTAAGAACAATCAACGGATTTATAAAGTGGAAAAGATATCAAAACGATCTTTTTCTTGCGTGCGGCGTCGTCTACTCAAATAAATCCGCAAGAAGCTTTTCATAGTGAGCCGCGCGCGTCGGTGCCCCGCACATCTTTGCATCTCCACTCCGCCCGTCCAAAAAGTTGCTCCCTTCCATTTTTGCATATTTTCTTTTATTCTTCGATTTTGCTGCTTCGTATTTCATGTACACGACGCCTTCGCACAATGATATTCAACGGGCAAACGATTCGCCATATTTGAATGTCAAAATGCGACATTTCAATTATGGCGATGATCACAGGCAAAACTCAGCATATAGTAGAATAGCTAGGAGATTGAATAGGGAAAGCTGTCCGGCGTTTGGCCACGTCACACCGTTTTATGAAAACAGTGGTAATTATGAAAGTAATTTTTTTCTTCTATTTTTCTCCTATGTCCCTTTAATATTTGTCTAGCGCGCTATAAAAAATATTGCAATCGTATTTTTGCAACACATATCACCCCATCCCATCGAGAACTTGATTTTTGCTGATCCGCGCGTTGATTTCTTACTTTGACATCCAACCTGAGGCCTGTGTGTTTGTTCACCCCCACATTGTGATGTGGCTCGCAAAAACGAAAAAAAAAAGATCGCGATCATTTTCAAATGTGCTATCAAAATGCGCCGTGCCACCCAATTCACTACGAATTTATACAAAGTAAACTAACCATCCCAAAATTATGACTAATATGCAATTTTAAAACATTTTCAGCTGGCGCTAATCCGGTGTTAACGGTGGCACTAACTCCGGTTCCGAAAGTCGATTATAGTGTTACAAAAGTAAGATTTGCTTTGACATGCTCATTCCCAAATCGATTCTTCAGGGCGGTGCTCGCACATGGATCGTCTTACTCGTCTTTTTCTTTCTTTGTTCTAGTTTATATACAATATTCTCTGCGAAAGACGGACGGAAAGAATATAGTAAGCAGCTTCATCGACTTGAATTTTTCAAAATGTTTCTCATTAAGGCGTTAATACACATCAAGTAGAAGATATCGATGATTCGCCAGAATACGCAAATGTACCTGATAGTTCACGCGATAATAATAATGATGACGATGATGACGACGATGAGTGAGCAAAATTCGGAAATCTGGGCAACTTGAGCATTTTCAGCGATGATCCTCCGATTAAGAAAACTGAAACGATAAGCCAACAAAAACAGCAACAAAAACAGCACGCTGCTCCAGCAGCGGTGGATGGTGAGATAACTGAAATAACTATCTTAGGCCAGATGATTTATCCTTGTTTTAAAATTACAAATTAAAAAATTATCAACAAAATCCCGCTAGAATGTTGTCGCACTAAAAGCACATTAGATTTTTGGTAAAATTCAAATAGTTCACAATTTCTCAAATTAACAGTATACACTTTTTGGTTTTTGCAAATTTTTTTTCAGCTGACGACGATGACGACGACAATGAGGAAGATCTTGATCATTCATTGGGAGGACGATTATTCGCCGATTTGAAAAAGAAAATCAGCAGTCGTTTAATGGAAACTGTAAAAAGAAATGTAATTTAGATCAATTTCCATCTTCATTTTTAAGGATACGAAGAAAGTCAAATCAAGAAAGGAAAAAGTTGAAAAGGAGAAGCCGAAACCTCAAAGAGAATTGAAAAAACTGAAAAAGAGACAGCCAGTGAAGGTGGTTGAGGAGGAGGAAGACGATGACGACGATGAGCCAAATGTGGATGATGACGAAGAAGTGAGGAAAGAGGAAGTTCGACAAGAAGTCGGACGAAGAAGAATGCACAACAAAGCTAGTGAGCGGAAACAACAGAGGAAAGAAGCTGTAAGGAAAGTTGATGATGACGATGATGATGATGATGACGATGATGACGACGATGACGACGATGATGAAGATGATAACAATGATGATACTGACAATGATGACGATGATGATATTATCAAAAGCCCCAATAAGGTAATTCAATATCACTTTAAGATTCAAAATTGGAATTTTTAGAAAGATGCATCCAGAAACACTGGCAACGATGACGACGATGATGATAAGGACGATGGGGATGATGATGATGAAGATGATGAGGACGATGATAAGAACGAAAAAGATGGTGGAAAAGAAGCCGGTAAAAAACTGAAAACAAAGAAAACAGAAAACGATGACGATGAGGAAGATGAGGAAGAGGAGAAGGAACTCTCTTCAAGAAAAGCTAGACTATTGAGACGACGACTTAATAGAGAGCAGCGAAGAGAGAATCGACCAAAACATGGAAAGAGAGAGTGCGTCCATCAGGATTGTCCAAATTTCGACAGTGTCAAACCTCGGAAGTCGATTTTGATGCATAAAAAGAAGATCCGAGTGCAACGGATGGATGATGATGACGATGATGATGAGGAAGACGACGAAGATGACGACGATGATGACGAAGAGGAAAAAACTGCTTATAAGTATGATAATGATGACGATAATGACGATGACGACGTCGAGCAAGTCATCACCGAAAGGTATCGAGAAGGCCCAAGTAATAAGAAGCTAATTTATTTTCAGAGCTGGAAGTAGCTCATTTAAACGGCATGCAATCACAACGAAGGAAGAAATTGGATTTAGAAGTATGTTGGACCGCGCGGATCAGTTAGTTGAAAAGGTACCTAAGAAAAAGTCCAGTCGTAAGCTTGTGAGAAAGGGCCGATTATAAAAATTGTGAAATTTTGTTTCCTTCCAACCCACTCATTTTTTTTTTTGCCTATCAAGCGGGTAATGCGCAACACACATTTTTTTCTGTGAATTGTTAGCATAATCGATTGTTAGAATTGTTCGTTTTGCTACCCAATTCTCCATCGTGTCCTGTAGTTTACCGTGATCCGTTAATAAATGTTTAATTCTGGGTTTTTTTTCTCTGTGTTCATTTAACGAATTGTTGGTGTGCAATGTGTTGGCAACAAAAAATTTCAGCACGAGTATATGGAAGCTCTCGAGATTTATGATTACGTTCTTGCTGTACACCCATATTCGCCTCGAGCGCAATTTGGAAAAGCTAGAGCTTTCGATATTCGGTATAGTTTTTTTTTGCTGTTCTCTCTGGAAACCGCTTGGTGACCTCAATGCATTATAGTGGAGAGATTGAGGCGAACGAGATCGATCGTGACCGCGCCATTGAAATTTATGTGAAACTTTTGCAAAATCCGGCGACACCTGAAGCTCTTTTCCGGCAAGCCGCACAAAAACTCATCGAGCGAACACGGTTTAGAGGCATGCTGCATAAAACATTGAATGCTCACCGACTATTCATCGATAGGTGAGAATTGAAGCAAAATTGAATTATCATCATAAATACTAGATTCCCCGACGAGGTGCCACTTCAAACTGATTTCGCTGTCACCTTCGTCATGATGAAACGTTATGAAGATGCTCGCCGAGTTTTGAGAAATGTTTCAATTACATAGCTGTTTTACTATTTACAATATTTCTTTCAGGCTCTTGCTATTGATCCAAATAATGTTATCGCGTTGGCTTATTACGGCTACATTCTTAAGGCTCATGATGAAAACATCGAGCAAGGCGTTGCTCTTATGAGAAAAAGTTTGAAGCTTGCTGATAATGAAATTAAAGACCCAAAGTTTTACTATCAACTTGGACACGGTCTTGTCACTCTTGGAAAGAAACACGAGGCAATCATAATGAAATTATTTAGTTTAATTAATTTGTAAGTACAGGCTGATGCTGTTTACCAAAAAGCCGCCCAGATGGGGGTATTCATGAATGCTCAGCAACGAAGCCTTTATAATATTGCTGGCCTTACAGCAAGGCCCTGGTGGAATATGGATCAAACTCCATATACGAAATTCCTAAAAGTTGTGATTTTCAATGTAACAACAGGAATAATGGCTGTTTCAGGCTGTTGAAAGACAATGGGCAACTATCAGAGTCGAAGGCATGGCGGTACTTCGAGATTGCAACGAATGCTGGTTAGACCATAATCAGCAGCTTGTGCTCGATGGACAATGGAAATATTTTCCGATAATGTCCGAGCAAAACTTTATAAAGGTTATTGGCAATGATATCAATAATATATTATAATTCATAATTCAGGGAAATTGCGAAAGACTTCCTCAAACTTGTCGAATCCTCGAAGAATTTGCTGCATCGAGTAATGCCAGCAAATCAGAGGTTCGAATAAAATGATTTTTTGTAATATATGATTTTAATTTAAGATGTATTTCTCTGTACTATCATCTGGCGGCCAAATTCTTCCTCATTGTGGCCCAACTAATTACCACTTGCAAGCTCATTTGGGACTTGTTGTTCCATCTGAGGCTAGAATACGGTAGTTTTGTTTTAAATTTTTACAGCGAGAAAAAAGAAAATTTTAGTGTTGGTAATGAGACAAAGGGATGGAAATCAGGCAAATTCATCATATTTGACGACTCTTTCGAGCACGAGCTTCAATTCGATGGTGCTTCATCGTCGGCGTTCAGATTGGTTCTTGTTTTGCAATTATGGCATCCAGAAGTTCAACCACATCAACGCACACTGTCATTCCTTTCCTAGCGTCAATATTAGTTTCTCTCTTTTTATTTAGTCAAATCGTACTGGTTGATTTGTGTTCTTTAAATAAATGTTTAATTTAAATAATTATGAGAATATGTTAAATAGAGAAAACTTCTGAAAAAAAGGCTTTTTGATAAAAAGAAGGAACAAGAAATGAAAAGAAATAGTGTCAAAAAATGGGACTCAAAGAAAAATATTGATAAATTCTATTAATTGACAGCCAAATTGATTCAAATGCAAGCGATATGATATACAAGCTAAATGAGGGCTGAATTGATCAAAACATTGGATTTTAGAATTTTTTGTGTACAAATATATGCAGCCATTAAAAAAATAGTTAATACGAAATATTATAAATTTTTAACAGTTTTCAAAAAAAACGTAATAACGATATTGAACTTCAAAAAACCACAAAAACAAACTATGCGAACAAAATGGAAAATTTGCAGTTTTTTACCACGCTTTTCAAAATTAAGAAATTAGAAAAACCACAAATATTTTGAGGAATTACCTTCGCTAAAAACATGTGCATTGAGGAATTGTGATCCATCATATTTTTTCGGGACGGTACTTCAATTTTCGATTTGATCTTTGGGAATTACCATACTACGGATCACCTGCGAATCAAACTCGCCGTAAATATGCGCAAAGCGCTTATTTTTTTTTTGCGATTGCAGTAAGCCTTGCAATTGCCATTAGACGGAGCTTGGGTACTGACCTCTCTCTCTCAACCGCCCCACTCATTATATTGCAAAACGCGTGTTCACCATTTACCTCTTTGATTTTATTATGATCGCCTTGAACAGGTAATCTTTCTTCAAATCACCTCATCTTCTTTTTCCGCGTGTCTATGCTCATTACTCAATATTCCAAATGCCTGCCGTTTGTCTCCTCTTATAGAGTGTCCCGCATCACACCGAAATCAATAAATAAGCTATTTTGTCTATTTTGTACGGATGTATTCAAAATGTTTTTTCTTGCTAGTTTTTTTTGTGTTTTCGTGCTTTCTATCATTTATTTAGCGTAGCTGAATTTTGGAACTATCATGAGACTTCAATTTAAGAAATTGATTTGCAACTTGAATATTTTACAGGTTTAAAACCCATATCTTACGCTAGGAATAATGAAGGTAATTTAAGAAAAGACTCTTGTGAATTTACGCTTCTACATTATTGCTTTAAGGAACACATTTTGAAAATTAATGATGTGATTCCATATGATGTAGGTGCCTCAATCTCAACCGATCTTAAAGGCAAATATCAAGCTATTGATGACGAGGGATTTATTGAACTTGATTATGGCTTCTCGGATTCGGAATTTTGTATGATGAACATAGTGGTATCAGGGAAAATTACAATTTCTTTTCAAACTTAAAACTTGCAGCTCGAAGCAGAGGAAAAAGAAAGAAAAGAAGCTGAACTTCGCGAAACAATTTATCGTTTGACCGTCAAGGCGGAGAAGATTTTCAATAAATATCTGAAGAACACGCATAATTTAAATGCCAACATGGCGACCAATTTTGGGCGTAACAATTTGAAGAACATTCAGCGCTCCGTGTCAAAATTGCGAGATGTTTACAAATCGCTTAAAAAGTTCAAAAAAACGGTGAAATTAGAAGGAAAAGTATACAAGGTATTTTAACAAGTCTCGATGGAATATAATCATTGCTTTCAGCTTCCGACATCTTTGGATGAAACTAGAAAAGTGGTTCGTCAGCACGCACTGGTTCAAATGTGATATAAGGAAATGGCAAACTATTAGTAAGAAATACATTCACTATAAAAAAATTATTTGTGGACTTTATAGCTATGATCTTCTCAATCCAGTAGATGCATCGTCATCCTCAACTTCCCCGCTCCCCATCAACGATGATCTGCTTCAAGAGTATGTAGATACGTTGACTTTCGCAATGCCCATTTCTTCAATCCAGGTTTGGTGGGACACTAAGAGAGTTCGAACTTCGCAGAGAAGCGCTAAAATCACTCAACGAGAACCAAATGATCGTTCTGAAAAATATTAGATCCAACATGAAGAAACTTGCATCGATCGCCAGAAAAGTCGCAAAGTTGCTTGAGTTTCAGCTAGTAGAATAATTACATTAAAAGTCGTCCTTTTCTGTGCAATGGCCCCAATGATTTGATTATTTAATTGCAATAACTTGTAAATGATACTTGGAGATTGAAAAATAAAAAAGAATGATATAAATGAAAAAAAGTGAGAAATAAAAAGAACAGTGGAATATTAAGAAGGGTGTTTTTTTTTCAAAATTTTGCAACTGCATCCGTAATGCTTTAAGTCGTCCAATAGAAATACATAAAAGAGAATATTTAATATTCGGCTACTCATTTAAATTTGTTTAAAAAAAACGCCCAGCTAAAATTTATCTTCATATTACATCACATTCATACCAATTCATTGTCACATGTCGATGTAATCAATTGCATTTTATGTTTTTTTTTCGGTGCACATTGATCATGCAGATGATTTCAGATATCTTGGTTCGAATGATATTTCTATGTAATACTCATATGCCTAATAATATTTAGTTTCTTTTCTTTCCGCACATTGCGTTTCTCAAACATCTCCTATTGAGAACCCATTAGCAACGAATATGAGCGACGACACTCCGCTGTGGACCCTCTAGATGGTTATCACTGATAACGTGTCGATGTTGAGCGCGCGTGTTTTTTTTGCACTATCGCGCGCGAACTCTCATTTCTCACTCTTGCGCCGCACGCGTATTCATTTGTGTGCGCGTGCGCTCATGGATGGCAGCGGTTTTTTCCATTTAAACGATTAACTTTTGCTTGTCGCAACGATTTCTTCTTGAATATAAATTGCTTTGATAATTTTCTGTATTTTGCAGGCATCAAAGCTCTCGTCTTGCGATTTCTACAGTCAATTCTCAATACACAACGAACTCTTTGTCAACCGACAACTTTGCCGTTCGCAACTCATCGACCGGCCAATACCGTAAGTATTTCTTATATATAATATGAGGGGATTAAATCATCATGATATTTAATTTGTCGCAGATTTCAATTAAATTATTACATCGATTTTTAAAGGCTTTTTGATTCATTAAAAAAAAAAATTGCGAACAAGATTTCAAAAAATCTAGTGACCCATATTAGCCTTGCAATTTTCTTATTGATTATTGGAAAAATTGTCTGGGGTCATTTACTAGAGCGAGAGACTATGCAAATGAAGAGAGCGCAGTCAGACAGACAACATTCTCGCGGCGCATTGCCTGTTGGCCACTCGACAAACCCGACACGCTAAATTGAGAGCGATGTGTTTTTGGAGTGTGGTACATTGGTGTCTAAAAGTTTTGCGGCAATTTTTTGGAATTCCCGTGCAATCACAACATTGTCGAAATCGCGCAACTGCGACAAATTGGCTAAATGACAGAAACGGTCTCGAGACCTGCGATCCGCAGTCGCGCGACTTCGATAATAATAATTCGAAACACATTATCGGGAATAAAGGAATAGTCCTCTATAATTTCAGATTCTCCAACAATTCTTCTGAAATAACCATCTTCTGTTCCCCACGTCGTCCAAACAATACGCAAACAATGAAACCGGTAATTTTATTTGAATTATCAGTAAAAATTACAAATTACAGGAACCAGTTGATCCTGCCTTTGACGACATCGAGGCTGCTCAAATTGACGGTGTTGTTGCGAACCAATTCATGGAATGCAATCATCATGATAATAGTGATAAAAGAGAATATGGAGAATTGAGGTTTGTCAATTACCATTGTTATAGGCATAAATTTATAATGCAATTTCAGGGGAAGCGAGGAAGTTCAACGCCCACGTCGCGAGGAAGATCAGCGCCCACGTCGCGAAGAAAATCAGCGCCCACGTCGCGAAGAAGATCAACGCCCACGTCGCGACGAACTTCAACGCTCACGTTGCGAGGAAGATCAGCGCCCACGTCGCGACGAACTTCAACGCCCACGTCGCGAGGAAGATCAGCGCCCACGTCGCGACGAATTTCATCGCCCACGTCGCGACGAATTTCATCGCCCACGTCGCGAGGAAGATCAGCGCGCACGTCACGACGAACTTCAGCGCTCACGCCACGAGGAAATTGAACGTACTGAACGCAATGATTGTCATCACGGAGAATCTAGAGATTATAGAAGATCGAGGTGCAGTCATTATGATGTATGAATTATAGATTCCATTTTAAGGTATAACTTGAGAAATAACCGAAAAATTCCTCGGCGATGCCCGCAAACCAAAAAGAGAAACCTTTGGGTGTTGCACGTGGTCTCTATTTTGGCGAAAAGCAACCCAAATGGTACGCTCAGTCCTGAGAACATTAGAGAGTTGCAGGTAATGCCAAATTTGCAGAAATATGAAAATAATTTAAACATTTTTTTCAGAATTTTCTATCCAGAAAAGGGAAGCCTCAAAGTAATTCGTCGCAACAATCCGCCACTGATCCATCACTCAACAATGACAATTCTCACGACCATAATTTATCGAATGCTCAGGCCATTCCTGATTCTTGTTTGCAGGTTGTTCTTAGCATCTATGCTTGCTCAGTGCTCCGATTTACAGAATAGTGCCAATTGCTTCAACAACAACGCTAGGGCTTCTCAGAATAATGGCGTCGAAACGAATGAGATCGTGAAGCACAATGCTCCCGATTTGAACCCTTCGAATAGTGATAATTCCCGCAATGATTCTAATGGTTCAGTGGTAAAATCGAAAAGAATCAAACTGTTGGATGTTATGCAAATTTTGCAATGTTGCCGCTCATATAATGGACAAATAAACAATAAAGTCATCAAATCTCTACTGGTAAATCGGAATTTGCACAAATGTAAATTAATTGATCTTTTCAGAATTTGCTCAGCCAGAAAGTGAGCACTTGTGATAACCATAGTCGTTCCAATCTATTAACCGCTCCAATCTGTTCCAACATTTCCAATTCTGCGCCAGATGCTCCAGATGCATCTCAGGACACACTTTCGAGTTCAGTTGGCGTGACTCCCATAGTTCATGGTGCCACTGCTTCTTTGGCGAACCCTGCTGTTGGCTTAAGTGACAAAGAAGTATTTGAAGCCATTATCGATTCTGTCATTAACCAATTGCGCGACGTTCCAGATGCCAATTATTCCAAGGTGAATTGGCTCTCTTTGCAAGTAAGATTTAAAAGAAAAATTATATCACTGAAAATGCATTTTAAGATTTACGATCTATATCGAAAATCGGAAGACGCGACGGGACAGATCTTCGAATTTATTAATGGCATGAAGAATGAATTGCCAAGAGCGGAGAGAGTGAGCATATGCTATGTTCTAATTGTCTTTAAGATTTCTTGATTTCAGGCTGTCGCGTTTGCTAAAAATGTGATGAATATGAAATCTTGTGCTAATAACCTTTTGACTGGATATCCAGGCCCATAATTATATTCGCAAATTATATTTTTGTAAATTTATTTTTCAATTCCCTTCCACCTATTCCCATATTAAGATATTGTGATTGATTGTTGTGTTCCGCCGGCCTGTTTTATATTTCGTTTTAGGCATAAACGGTGTGGACAAATGTGGTTATTTTTCTTCAAAATTAATTGGATCATTGCATCCGCCGAATAGTATTTGTCTGTCTTTTTAATTTTTTTTATTCTGTCTTAATCATTGCAGAAAGCAAAGAATTGATTTTCCTTCTGTGGATCGATTTGATCACAAGGAATTTATTCAAGAACAATGAATCGCCAACATACCGTAAGTTATTTTTTCCTTTTCTTCACAACTAGTGCATTTTTTTTCGGACTGAGAGATTATTGTGCTTGCTTTTCTTAGATTTTAAGAAAACGTTAGTATGTTGATTATTTTTTGTTGCTTTGGTCTCTCGGATCTCTGATCCACTGCTGAGCATTCAACGGAGATCCTTAGATTTTGAATCACCATTGTTTATTGGTTTAATACAATCATAAGCTAGTAATATATAAAGTATTAATAACAAAGTCGGAAATTTTCATTTTTTTTTACGAAAAGAATTTATTATAACTATAAAATGAGTTTCACATTTATATGGTCACTCCAATTAATATATAAAACTTTGGTCAGTGACAAATTATTGAAATTCAGAATTGAATTCAGTGCTACTGCACTTGCCTTTCAAAAATTATAAAAAAAAAAGATAACCTGTCTACTGGGCTTTTTCCACATTAGACCCAAGATAAAAAAAATTAATTGAAGGTTTTCCCAATTAAGGACAATGAAATCGAGCACAACACAAAGAAACGTGCACTGACGGACAATTGTGATGAAATCGAAGCAAAACGTAAGTGTTATAAAATTATTCAAACAATTTAATTTTTGTTCAAACTACCAAATTTTAGGACACAAAGTTGATTCAGTATTTCAAGCAGAAACATTCGCTATAATTGATAAGCAATATAATGTACCAAAGGTCCCGAAGCAGCTTTTTACACCGGACAGGTTTTAAAAGCATAAACTTTTTTATAGATAGGATAATTTAGACAACGATTCAAAACAATGCTTCATCTTTCCGAGTCACCGTTCAAGCCATTTTTGCCATTGGTTGAGAGTTGTGAATCTGATGATGATTATCTGGAAACTTTACGTCAGTCGGAGGTTAGTGAAGCCAATGTTCCTAATAATCGATATAAATTTTAATAGGATTGCAAACAGGCTCTTCAACCATCTACTCCTCCATTCAGTGGTTTTGCTAGTTACCAGTTTGCCGACGACTCTGAAGAATCTGATTCGGAAGATGAAGACGACGAAGATGAAAAAAAATCTGGCATACGGAAACGCACTCCTGGCTGCAATTCAGTGATTCTCTCTAGAAAAATTCCAAGAAGCGCAAAAGTCTTTCGTGCGCCCACAGAGGTCAGCAGCATCACTGAATCAAATGAACCACGAGCCCTTGAAGCGGCCAAGTTGAAACCAACTGATAATTAGAGTTTTAAAAATATTTATTAATATATATGTATATACACATCCATTTCAAAATGTCTAATTTTCTTCCAATTTTGTTTTTTCGGTGCCCCAATATATATTGTGTCATTTTAATTTTCGACTTTTGTCAAATGAAAATTTTTGGGGATTTCGCTTGTGTTTTCTCACTGATTCATGATGTCATGAGTTCATTAAAACATATTTTGGTGCTCACAATTTGACTATGTTGCAAATATTTTAAAATTACAATTTTAGTAAAGAACAGAAAAAAAACTGGACGGTCGAAATAGAGATGGTCGGGACATATTATCAAATGCTCAAAACCCGCGTTTTGTTAGGAAAAATGTTGTTAGATGCTTGGAAATGGATTTTCTCAAGGTATTATCTTGATTGAACCAAGTTTCACGCATTTAAATTCTAATATGTCAGAAATGTGCACCTGCATATGTCTAAATGAACAATTTGCTTGTGTTCCTAATGAAAGGTATGAGCATGACATACAATGCACAACGATGACATTTATCGCAGAGTCAATCGCCGAACAGCAGTATAACAAACAGCCAATTGCGCCCTATCGAACTGCACTTGCGACATACATTGATCCGAACAACGTCACTTAACCATTCGAATTCGTTTCTCAAATCTGATCTGCATTGATTCATTTTGTCTTTTGTTTTCTTTCTTCCGTCATTATTTTTTGTGCTCTTTAGCAACAACTTATTTATTAATTATATGTTTATTTTAGTTGCAGCTCCATTCCTCGCACTAGTTATCTTGCTACGTCGATCACAACTATATAGATTTGATGTAATTCGATTATTCCGTGAATTGACGCAAATTTTTTTTCAGAAAAAGTATGTTCACAAAAGATGATTCGTGGCTTTCAAGACGTTTTGAGGATTTTCCGAATGACGAGAATAGAGACCCGAATAATTGGATGGCAGATAATGGAAAGATGAAATTGGCCGCATCGGAAATCACCCAAGTCAATACCGACCGTTCTGATGCTGTTTATAATATCCCAATCAAATCTATTCCGGAAGAGATTCCAACGATTCCAATTCACGATGACGTTTGCGGAACGGTCGTCGCCGCAGAAGGGTTTGATGATAGCTATGAGTGCGCGATTAACTCGGAAACTGCTGAGCAAACGATGGCTAACAAAGGTGACAAGCAGAATGACGAACTGGCGCATCAGACACGAAGCGAGCATGAAGGACTGTTGCTCACACCCGCATCTACCCACCGGTTTGCTTTTGTTAAATCTAAAGCAAAATTGTTTTTGATTACAGAAAATTGTCCTCATCAACCATTCATCCAGTCGAAATTGAAGATGGAAATTCCGATGATTCAAATCTGACCAACGATCAAACGGAGTCGCATCATAGCCCCGATCATAACACTTCTACTGAAACAATTGAAAATGTTCGACAATTGAAAATCGAGCCGTCAAGTCCTATTTCGGTGATTTTTTTTGATTGGCAGACCGACGAATGGTTTGTGCTGTCAGAATGTTATGAAGTAGCATACAGTTTAAGGAATACATATCTATCTACGAGTTTTGGAACGGGAGATAAGCAGCCAAATTCTTTCATGAAAAGTAACGCTGAGCCTGATCTCTTGAGCTCAATTTCGCCATTGACTAGCCAAACTTATTACCCAGGAAAACAACTTTCCGTTTATGAGCATCAATTGTTGAAGCGGTATCTTTCATAACCACCTTAATAATGTAGTACGTTATTTTAGACAAGGTATCAATACTCCATTTATCTATAATCCATGGGATTATGATCCTGAACACATGCTGGATGGAGTAATAACTGAGCCACCTAGCACTGGAGCTGCAAATAGGCAAGATTATAAGATTGAACAGGAAATGTCGCATGACTCTGATCAAAATTTGGAAACATCTCTCGTAATCGATACTGATAATGTAAGATTCAAAAAAATACGATGAAACTTAATATTTTGTATTAGAAAATCAATAATCAAAACGATTCGTCGACTACAGTAAACGAAGGCGTCGAAGCCTCTCCTCAGTATTCAGCAACGTACGAGGACTACAATATCAGAAATTCATCTGATGAGACGTCTCCCAAACGTCGCAAGCGTTGTGCGCTACTATCAGACGAGAATTTTTATTATTTCCAAAAAGCTCATGTTTTTCGAGATGATAACATATACGAGGAGATTTTGTCTTTTAAGGTAGCACGTCATTTGACATTTTTATCGTTTCAATGAATTATAGCAGCAATCACGAGACCGCGCTCCAAAGTCTCCGCAATACGACAAAGTGGATCCAGAGATGGATGAATCTTGGCAGATGAATGAATACGATTATGGAGGCTCGACGTATGATGACAGTTTCATTGAGGCATCGCTCCGTTTAAATTGTGTGAAATTCATTGGAAGTCTTTATAGGATGATGTCGACCATGCGACGCCTCGATCTCCGTCACAAAATTCGTTGCAAGACACTCCATTAAAATGCTATAAAGCCGAATCGGACGATGCCATGGATGCAAATGCTTGTGTGGAGAACAATTCGCCTGATGCTTTGGATAATTATGATGATGCCATTATTCGTGAAGACGTAAAAAAAATTGACGATGATGAAGGAATTGTTTATAATACGAAATTTGCAAGCACGAAAAATGTAAGATTCTTAACACATACACATTTTATTGTATTGCTTCGTTTGAGAAAACGCATAAGAGAAATTTTAACGGCGTAATGGAAAGTGAACCGCATGAATTCTGGAACGACGATGAATGGTCTTATACGAAGAGAGCAAGAAAGGTGGATCGGCAATCCTTTGACCTTGAACCGTCTCGATTTGATTTTGGTAATATTTTGATAATCTCATCTTGCTACCTGTGAGTTTAAAATTGCTGAATTTGCAAATTTAAGTACGTTATAATACTCGTAGTTTAGTAACGCGTCCTTTTCTCTGCGTCTCATTTGCGCGATAGAGAATGGCGTGTTATTGTGGTTGACTCGATTGTATCTTTATCAAACACCAAGATGACCACGCTGTAGCTTGCCTTATAATCAATCGAAGGCACGCAACGATGTTCATTTCACCATTTTTTATCATGTTTCCTATTTAACTTAACTTTTTCCAGGAAACCAGTCATTCAAAAACGAAGACAATATGCCACTCAGCTTCAACAACCGTGTCGCAATTGTAACTGGTGCTGGTGGCGGTCTTGGCAGAACTTATGCTCTTGAGTTGGCCAAGCGTGGAGCAAAAGTTGTCGGTATGTTCTATCGTGTTGTATTCAAAATTGAAATTGGATTTTCAGTCAATGACTTGGGAGGCGATCGCCATGGAACATCGTCCAGCACTTCAATGGCTGACAAGGTTGTCGCTGAGATCAGATCGAATGGAGGTGTCGCTGTTGCAAACTATGATAGTGTTGAGAACGGCGACAATATTGTAAAGACGGCAATCGATAACTTTGGCCGAATCGGTAATTGCAACTCTATTCCTAATTTTTCTGTAACTAATAATTGCAGACATTGTCATTAATAATGCTGGAATTCTTCGAGACGTTTCGCTTCTCAAAATGACAGAAGTCGATTGGGACTTGATATTCAAAGTTCACGTTAAAGGAGCATTCTCGGTTACTAAAGCTGCTTGGCCCTACATGAGAAATCAGAAGTACGGACGTATCACGGTCACTTCTTCTAACGCGGGAATTCACGGCAATTTTGGCCAAGCGAATTACGCCGCCGCCAAGAGTGCATTGATTGGGTTTTCAAACACTGTTGCCCAGGAAGGAGCCAAGTACGGAATTCTTTGCAATGCCGTCATTCCGACGGCCGGATCTCGATTGACGCAAACCGTTATGCCGGAAAATATTGTGCAAGCTTTGAAACCGGAGTACGTCACGCCACTTATGACATATCTCGTTCATGAGTCATTCAACGAGTCCGGAAATTTGTATGAAGCTGGAGCTGGCTGGTATGGAAAAATAGAGTATTATAAAGCAGCCGGAATTGTTCTTCCAAACGCTTCCGCCGAAGATGTCGCAAACAACTGGAACAAAATCGTTGATATGTCGGCGGCGACTCCAATTGGAACCATGGCTGAGCAAACGGGACGCCTGATTGGAATCTTGGAAGAGGTTCTAAATAATTGTCATTACTTGAAACATTGTTTTCCTTTCAGCATGCCGCTCAACATTCTGATAACTCTGAATCGAGCCCGACATCAAGAAGAAGTTCTCATTCGGAGTTTCCCGAGAACGTCAAGTCCAGCAAAATTTTCAGTGACATGGCTGAGAGAATGAAGGTAAAACGTTCATTAATCAAATTTTCTTTGAGTTAATAGTAAGTGTTTAGACAAATCCTGAACAATTCACCGGTGTTAAAGCTGTTGTTCAGTATATCATTCTTGACGGAAAAAACGAGGTCGCAAGATTCAGTAAGGAAATTCTTCTCTCATACGAGCCTAAGATAATTTGTTTCAGCCATTGATTTAAAAAATCAGTCGCCAAGAGTTGTTTTGGGCGATATTGATGGAGTGAAGGCGAATCCAGTGGTCACTGTGGCCGACGACGACTTTGTAGCTATTGCCAGCGGCAGCCTCAATGCACGCGATGTAAGAATCTAGTCTAATAATTCAATTATTTTTTAAACCAATTATAGGCATTCATGAAACGCAAGCTGAAAGTTCAAGGAAATGTGATGATTTTGCAGAAATTGGGAGATGTCTTGATGAAGGTCAAAAAAGCCAATTTGTAAATTATAGTAAATTAACCCTATTTCACATTGTAGATCTTTATTCTAACCCCAACAGTTAAATCAAATGTTTATATTGGTATGCTCAACCCATTTCATGAATCGTTTCACATGAATCCGTTTATTGTCAATTATTACCCTTGCATCAACCAGCCCCTCTCGTCTTCTGATGGTTTTCATAATTCCATCATCATGTAAAATGATTTTTCGAAGGACAATCAAACCCCCCTATTCATGAACAACCCATCTGGATGGCGACGTCCTGTCACATTTATGACCCTCGAACAAACTTTCTTGTATTATTATGTAACTCACCTGGATAATTGTCCTTTGCAATATTTGCATTTTATTGTGAGAAAGGGGAAAAATAAATTGTTGCCTGTGCTATCATTTAGCATCACTCAATGATTGATAAGACTTATGAAGTAAATCGCTGTTGTTATCAACTATTAATTCCGCAAGTCATGCAAATGCTATCGAGAGCGCTTCGCAACTTGTGATGATGATTGAAATTTTGATCAAAATGTCCAGTTGAACGATGAGTGCGAAAATGGCTCGGGACCTGCCCATTTTTTTTTGCGTCAACGCTTGATGGGATGAATTAAGTTGCCAAAAGACAGTTTTGTTACAGAATGCCAATATTTTTGCAGTTGATAGCTTCTAACGGTATAAGCTAGTATTTTGAACTGGAGAAAAAATGGAGCTCCATGATGAATCGGTCATGCTAACTCATTTTTTGAAGATTTTTTTGACGAAAAAAATCTTCGCAATATAAAATCCATAAAAAAGTATACTGACATAACACTGAAATTGCATTGTGATGTTCTTATTTCGCGAATCAAATAAATATGTTATCACTTACGGTATTGTCGGCCTCCGGTGACTGCTGTACCCGGATAGAATTACGAGTGTGTCTTCGAAATGGTCTCGCCGCGTGTGAAAGCTTATTTTCAAAATATCACGTGAATTGTTTAATTTTTGTTAATGAGTACATCATTTCCTTGAATACTTAATACCACTTTAATAAAAAATGAACAGAATGGCATGGCGTATCTAGGATATTTGGCCCCTGCATTATTATAAAGCATTGTTTATTATAAAACTATTTTTAAACTATTTTTTCGCGAAATTGAAAAGTTTGCGAATTAAAATTTCACAAGGACTATTTATACATTAACTTGGCATGTGTTCGTTTTTTCATAAATATTTATTAAATACTAGGCATGCATTTTTCTATGTCTGTTTGGCACGTGTAGTTACTTTGATCGATTGACCTGGCCATCTTTCGCGCGCAATGTTGTTTTTTTTTCACCTCACCCCTCTCCTCGGATTTTTTATTTGCGTGGCCCATTCAATCACTCATTTTACCCTTATATCAACTATGCAGTTCGATCCTTCTCTCTTCGACGTTTCCAGAGTAAGTTTCTCACCATCAAATCAAATCAATATGACATTGCAGCGATCGCTCACCTTCTTCTGTGTTTTTGAGGGACTTGTGATTTTGACAATCCTTTGTTCGGACTTGTTTGACAATATTGAAAGCCATGAGCTCGGCGTTCGGAATATGGTATATGTCGGGTTTTTCATTATTCTCCTCGCCATTGGTATCGTTCATCGTTACCTTCATCCCCGCGTCACCATCCTCAGCCTTCTCCTCTTCAAGGTATCCGTTATTAAAATATATTGCCGAACAGTTGCGAAATTTTCGAAAAACTTAGTTTATAAAATTAAAAACAAATTATCTCTTTACTAAATTCTGGAAATGTTTTTTTCTTTCTCAAATTTAGTAATTTAATTTCCAAATGTTCAGGTATCCCAGCTCACCATAATCGTCGCCTTTCTCATGGCAGACTACAGTAAGAATATTAAAGTCGTTTATTTATTTCTCAATTTTCTCTTATTGCAGTCTTCATATATTCTCCTATCACTATGACCGTGTTTGGACTGGAATTTGTCTACTACGGAATCTGCTGTTTGATACAAGAGGTAATTGAATTAATTATTCACCCTCTTAATGTGAACTTTAGATGCCATTCCCTGGCTATTTTCTAGAGGAGTGTCTCTACGAGAACGATGGTGATGGAGCCAAAGATGTCGACGTTCAAGAAAAGTGCGACTACTTCACTTCGATCGCCAATGAGATTGTTCGCCAGCAGGAGGAAGATGATGGTTTCATTGATGATGATATCATTTTTTATTCCTATGACAGCAACAATATTGCCTAAATGTTCATGTTCAAACTAATTTTATTTGTAAATATGACGATTATTTTGCTTTACTTTGATTGTTTTATCATCGTTTCATATCGATAAACTCGGTGTTCTCTTAAACTGTTGAAATCTTAAATTTTCATCATCTTCATAAGCTCATCACGCTATTTTTATTTTTGTTTCGGTTGTATGCGACATGGAAAAATAAAAAAATCAGTGTGTGTTTTTAAAAATCAAGGTGTGTTTTATTCCACCCAGACTTGATGTACTGATGCCGAGTCGGTCCTAGACCAAGCAAAAAAATTCGAAAAAAAAGTATTGTCTTGATATAAATGTTATTAAAGGGTTTGGCTGGGGGAATCTATTTAATATTTGATAATTTCAACTTACTTGGTTGAATGAGCTGTGGCCTACCGAAACAACAAGCCTGAAATAAACAGGAGTCTGCTCGTATTGGAAAGAGCCGTTGAAGGAAATCGTCAGATTTCAGCGCACTTACTATTAGTATAGTGATGGTGTGCAGATTTAAAGAAGAAAACTTGAAAAACTATAAAAACGTTTTCCAGCACAATTTTTAAAAAGTTTTTTGATAGTTCAATTTTTAACAAAAATTTTTGCTGAAAATTTTTTGCTAAAATTATGATTCATATCAACTGATATTTTTGTTTCGTTTTTTTTAATCAGTGTTACGCTTAATTAGCCGGTATAAGCTTTTCATGCTACCTAGAAGCGTCAATGTTCTCAGGATACTTCAGCTGTTAAGCAGTTTCATTCTCATTCATCTCATCGATTCACCATGACTCATCAGGTAAAGCTTTTGTTTGTGAAGTTGCTTCTCGAATCACGAACCACAATTAATCATATAATTTAATTTTGTAATTAGGAAAAAGCAAATGACTCAGTTCGCTATTCTTCATTATCCGACACATTTTCTTCCGTAAATTCAGATTCAAAAGCGATTAAGAACGACATCGCGATCAAAATTTGGGTATTTTCAATGTCTATATATATCATAACTCATCTTCATATTTTAGACAAAAGATTCAAGCGTTCAAATGGCGGGAGGTGAGGAAAAGCACCATGAGGGAAAGGTGAGTGTTAAGAGAGATATGTTTGGTTTCCCACAGACGGATACAAACATGTTCATGAATTTCCCAGGTTTCAGCGTTGCGACATACTCAGCTAACTATATGCAACAAGCGAAACATTTTTTTTCACCGAACAATTATTTTAGGAGCGGCTTTCTGATTCCAAAGATCATCGCGGTGCTAATCAGGATAAGGCGACGATGACTGACGTTGAGATGGCCGTCGTTGACAGCTCGGATATTTTCAAGACTATTATCACCTACGTCATTGTGAATGGAAGCAAAGACATTGCAAAAATCAGTATGACTTTGAATTTAATAATTGATTGAAGTATGCGATTTTAGCCTTCGACTTCATCGCATCCCCGCCGCAAGTCTATTTCGACGACGTCGATGTTCGCGCAATGGCTGTCGTCAAAGTATCGGAGAATGATTTTCTCAAAGTTTTCGATTGCTTCCTCAATGGACAAAATGTAGAAAAATATTTTAAATTATTGCCTAATCAAAATGGTTTTTAGATCAAAGGAACCCGCAGCCAATTGGTTGAGATCTTCGGAATCCTCAAGAATCTTATCAAGGAGGAAAAAGCCAGAAAAGAGGTCAAGCAAAAAAAAGAACAAAAAGAAGAAGAAGAAGGCGTCCATGAATAATATTGAACTATGCAATTAAAACTCTAATTTTTTAGTATTACGCATGCATGACATTATTTATTATTACAATATAATACTTTATCCTTCTTAGACGCAAGTCTTCAGTTTTTATATACACATGTCATACAAATTTCGATTATAACAATAAATTGCATTATGAGAATTGTGTTAATTCAAAGCCATCAAATGAAAGGTCTGAATAATGCGATTTTCCTTGAATGTTGCTGATATCTCAATTATGCCAACACAATTTTCTTATTGAGTTTTTGAGAGCCTGAGAAAATGTGTTGTGAAGAAATAGGTGATAGTGTCCTACCGCGTGGCGCCGGGAGAGGATGCGTTACAGTGTTTTCAGGGAAATGATGGAAAAAAAAGAAACAATAGAGCACGGTAGCTCTAAAAATAATTATATTGGCAAAATGTCACGATAAATCTCTTTGCAATAGGAATGCCAAACATTTTAATATTAATTGCATAAAATTTAAAGCTTGAAAACGAATAGTTAAAAATTTTAAAAGTTTAAAAACTTGAATTGTCTAATATATCAGGCAACAATTCAGCTCTTTTTTTCAGTATCAGCTTATATTTCACTATATTATGTACTTTTCCATTTTGCAAGCAGGATCATGCTCTGAAGGTTAATCTAGCGTTGCTATGAAGCTATCGACTAGTAATTAGATAGCCACTTAATTCTTTTGCGGGCGTTCACTGTCGCAATATTCAGACATCTGCTCATACGACGGATGTTGACCTACTCAATAGTACAAAGACAATTTTATGTCAAACACGTATTCACAATTGACCAGAGAGATTCTAGAATTGCCGATATGACGGTAAAATTGTGAGATAATGAGAAATGAGATTAGATAGGCTTTGCCGTATTTGGTAATACTTCTTTTCAGGGTGTTTAATGTTTTTTTCTTCTGATGATCCCGATAATGAAGAAAGGTTATTCTCCACTTCAAACCCACATGATAAGAATAACCAAACACATTTTTTCATCTGCGATTGACGTCAATTTTCAGTTATAGTCAAAAAATTAATTATGGAATTTTATGTATTGAAAGATTTTGAAGATGATTTCTATTGAAAAAAAAGAATAACCTCAAGAAGTTTTAAATCATCAAGTTGCAAATATTCTACCCACACCTTGCACCCGAAAATTATTAATCAACTAACCGCCCAATAATCGCCCGAATATTCTATTTTCTAGAATGCTTTTCGCATTGCACCTGCGTAACCCTTTCACGTTTTACTTTTTTTTCCCTTAACCAATCCAACTGCTATATCTGTTATGTGTATAATAATTATGAAAGTGAATTCTGCTCAACGGCTATTTGGTGTTTCTAGGCATCGCAGAATCACGAATAATCATCTTTGCACAAAATAAATCAATTTGGAAATTGAGTTTTAGCAAGAAAATCCCCGATTTGAAATGGAATTATTGGATTTTCTTCAAGTTTTGGTGATTACATATTTTTTAATTTTTTTGTAGAATATCGGTTAATTTTGAATAAAACGTGTTTTTAATCAAATAAAATCGTCTGAAATATTTTATTAGAATCTAATAATTGGTCAAATTCATGAGAGTATGCCTTAAATACACGGAAATACATTGACACTGACCTCAGATGACACATTGAATTTTGAAAGCGATTCAAATGTACTGAAATTTTGATAATTTTAGTGAGGTCCCCAATTAGTCAGCCCTAATAATAGTGGGGCAATCTTATTGGCGAGCCGTTAATTATTGGGTAACCGTTGACAATTCATTATTCTTGATGCTAGTCATACGCATGGAAGTCAATCTCATTGTTAAAGCGGCACCCAATTTTGTCGACGCACTAATCGCCTACACTGACCCACCTGCTTTTAGATTGCTCATTTTCCGCAAGCATATGTTTAGCAGTTCGATTGGTGCGCTCATCCATGGCATCTAGTCGCAATTTTCACAAAGATGACACCAGATTTCTTTTAATTTCGCGACAAGACCCCCTTTTTTAATATCTCATTTTTGTGATGTAATCCGCTGATTCATCAAACAGCTTCTCTTTTTTGAATGTTTGTCATATTTCACAACAATCCTACTCATATGACTTATTAATGTTTAATGATTACCTAGAAATTGCTAATTATTCATTGTTAACTCGATTTGCACGTTCCCATGACTTCGCATCGGCCTTACACTTTCCCATGCGATTGGATATCACCAACATCATTTGTTTGTTTGTCATTGATATTTCGGAATAATTTCAGGAAAAATAATGATACGTTTGGAAAGTAAGGTGGCAATTGTCACCAATATGGACCAGTGCTCAAATCGAATGATTGCAATGGAATTGGCGAAGCTTGGTGTCAAACTATTACGTGAGTGCCATACGTACTCATTAGCTCGCAAATATATGATTTAGTGACCGGCGATAAAGAGCAAAATGTTTCTAAAATGGTCACCGATATTGTTAAAAACGGAGGGCATGCAATTGGAATCTCAAAAGGGGATGTTGTTCAGACGGCGATACTTCAACATGGTCGCGTTGGTGAGCATTCATTTTGCTCGATATTCTTGGTGCCATTTAATCATTTAAGACCTTCTTGTGGTGTATGTCACGTATCCAGACACGTCGTGCTATTCGAATATCAGCGCAAAAGACTGGCTGAAACTATTCTCAAAAAACTTCATTGAGAACTTTGCGATTGTCAAAAATGCGTGGCCGTACATGGAAAAACAAAAGTTTGGCCGAATATTGTTCACAACGTCAAGAGCGAAATCGGCTGGGAAACATGGCGAAAACAGTGTTGCCGCTGCGCAAAGCGCAATTCTGGCATTTGCGAAAACACATTTTAATGGAAACAAATCGGCAAATATCATTTATAATACATTTGTCCAAGTCTACAATGATATTGACAATGATGATACAAAGGCTCAATCGAAGAAGGACAATATTATCACAATGGCTACATTGCTTCTTCATGATTCGGTGAAGCAGAATGCTCAAATGTTCGAGATTGCAGACGGGTGGTATCGAAAAGTGCCCACCACCGAAATTAATGCCAATATAAAGGATTATAAGAAAGGAAGAATCTCGAGAAGATCTGCCTCAAATACTGCCACTCCAGAAATCGATAATGGCAATTTGGGATGTCTTGTGGAGGTAACATTATTTGGGTCTATTAGCACTCTCGATATCAAGGGGTTAAATATTGTCAAAGACAGATGACATCCGAGCAATGCGACATGGCATTGTACAGTATACATCAAAGGCGCATGCAAAATTTTTTTTGTTTCGCGACTGGACACAAATTGAATTTGACCAACTTTCTTTAAACTTTTGACAGTCGCCTGTCTTCTACAACAAAATGGCTCACAATATTTCTCGTAGTCAATTGGATATGGGGGTCACATTTTTAACTCACTGGGTTCTATTCAACACTGCCTGCGACTGTTGGAAAAAAAAATGGTTCGCACTATCGAAATGTCTATTTTGATCCATTAAAACAATTTTTGTCTCTTCACCAGTTGCAGTGTGTATGTTTCATGTTTTATGTACAAAAAGGCTGAAGAAAATTCTAACATTCTGATTTGCCCCCTATATGGAATGAACTTATAAAATCCATGGCAACCCTTCAAATCAATGAATTATTCGAGTTAGTGAGAAATTCATTTAAAATTTGTATTATATCAACTAAATTTAGTCATTTTTCTCAAAACGATTGGTGGCCATCTTTTGAGTTATTTGAAAACCCATAAAAAAATTTTTCAGCCAACTCTCACTACGAAACGTCTTTTGAATACGGTGCTGAATGGAGAGAATAAAAAAGAGTCCTCGCAAGACCAAAACAATGGGGAGTCCACTTCGAAAGGTAAAAAATTATTTATAATGTATTTTAGTGTTTTACTATTATTTTAGCGGCTCCTGCCAATAATAGTAAAACAAGAGACCCATCAACAAGTTGTCCTACTTCTTCAGAAAAATGTATTATAACGTATAATGTAATGTCTGGCAATTATTTGATGGAAAAGATCAGTGAGTTTGATAATTGAGGCAACTTCGAATTGAAGTATAATTGTTTTCAGCCATTGAATTTGAAAAAAATGTTCCAAAATTGTATATTGGCAACGTCGACATGGATGTACGATCAGTAATCACTGTCCAGGAAGAGACCTTTTTCACGATCCTCGAAGGTTTCCTGATTGGAGAGAAAGTGATTTGCCTAGAGCGATACCCATTTTTTTCCAAAATACATGATTTCGTTTAGATTGCCATGACCGATTCAATCAAAAGTGTGCTCATCGAAAATATTAAGTGCATTCTGAGCATCGGAAAAAGAAAATCATAACATTTCGAAGAGCTCTTCATTTGTATATTATTAGTTTAATGTTCTGTTTATATATAAAATGTAGTTTCCCTCCTCATGACACTATTTTGTTCAACCAATAATTTCCTTTGTGAATAATATTTTGAAAATGATGACATTGAATGTAATTATATATTATAACTTATAATTCAGAGCTACATTAATGTTCATTGAGCTGTGTAGCTAATGGGAGCTCTCGCGTGTAAAATTCATTATTTACTCGATTTTTTTCCGAAAATTTTTAAAAGCATTCATCCCGGTTTCACGTAAAATTGAAATATTTATTATTAATAACAAATTTTTATTATAGTCAGATTCATCAAAATCTTCCCTGGAAACCCAGTTATCCAGGTTGCTTGTGGACCATTCTGTGAAATTTTTGTCTACGTAACGAAATGTCAAATTGCAAGTGGAATGTTACTCTGCAAGTTTTGGCATTTTGTTTGAGGAAGTTCGATTATTTTTTCATGTCGATTATCTATTACTGTCTTAAAATTTGAAAGTTTACACAGTACACATTGAAATCAAAATTTAAAATTATTTGGATTTGCAGCCTCATGTAACATTTGCACTAATTACAGAATAATCTCCATAACATTATTCAAATTTCTACCTATTTGAGATTTTATCTGTTTGCTAATGAGTCGGCCCTTTTTAACACGACGATGTCCTCATATTTCTCTAGATTATTGTTTTCGCGAATCATAGCCTTATTAGGCGGCATCATTACACTCTCTTTTCGGTATTTAATCCGTTCATTCGATGTCGGTCATCTCCAGCTGCCATAATTTTCAAATAGTGTTGTGGGCGGAAATTAAAAAAATTAAATCGAGACTATTTAATCCCGTGAATTAATAGTTCTCTCGCGTTGGAAGTTTCAAAATATATAACATTGAACATATCCAGTTATTGAAAAAATTTATCAGAATTTAGTTTTTACAATTAATTAGTTCCTAATAGATTCCTAGAATTAGATTAATCTAAAAAAAATTCGAAGAATTCGAAATTAAAAATTGTCGGGGATTCGAAAAATTATCGATGAATCCTTCTTTCCTTTTTAGAATTTTCTTATTATCATAAACCAGCCTTTTGCACAGCAGAAAAAAGGTTTCAAAAGTACGTCTACACGGAAATTATTTAATACATGAGAGCTTTATTTTTTCTATTTAATACCAAATTATAGTTTCTATATTATATATTTATACTGGAAGAAATTGTTTTTTTTTACAAGTTTCCCAGTTATTTTGATTTATAGTGAACCTACCGAGTCAAACAATCTTCCACATAACTGTTTATGCTTTTAATCATCTTATCATTAGAGCAAAAAACAAATTAAAAAAAAAAGAGAAAGAATTATATTTGTATTTAGTTATATTGTATTTTTCTCAATTGTATTAACATCTTGAAAAATAATTTTTTTTCTATCGGAAATGATGGTTTGTTTCTTCAGATGAATTCATCTTAAGAACGTTGGAAAAATAAAAAAATTGGTATAATTTCGAATACTGCCCACTGCGAGCAAATTAATTTGATTTCCCAATTTTTTCAAACATTATTCCCTTTTGAAATAAGAATCTGTTAATACTTTCTGGATTGTGTGTTTCTTCTTCAAACATATTTTTCATGAACCTTAGTAAAATTATTTATAAATGCATAATTTAGCATGTTTCAGTTTTTTCCTTTGTTAATTGTTCCATTTATAAATCAATCGATTGCTTCTCTAATTCTACAAATATTGTAAGAATTTTTTATGCATCCAAAAATGGCAATATTTGTGAAATTATTTGCTCATGGCCGTGTAAGAAAAAAAATCACATGGTGCGAATGGCCGGACGCAACGCGTGCGCAATACGCGACGCATTAGGTGTTATTATATTAAATACGTGCCAAATAATAAATCAATTTCATAATATATTTGAAATGCGCTTAATTTGTTTCAAAATCGTCGCATAAATAAATATGAACCAATTGTTGGCAAAATCGAAATTTGGCATACATATATCAAACCGAAAATTTCAAAATTATTTTGTTTTTCAGATGGAATCGATCCGATTCAATCAGTCAATTTTGAACGATCACAATTGTGACAATCAAATTGTTTCATCTTCAAGCGACTCGAATCTTGTCGGTAAATATCAATATCACATTAATTCTGAAATACAAACTTCATTCCAGAAATGATGGATGTAAGCGATGATGTGATGCCAAATACCCATTCGAAGCACGTTGCACCAAGACGTCCAATATGTGGATGGAAGCGCCAATATGAGGAAGGACCAAGTGCGACTTCAAAAAGATTGGTTGGGAAAGAAAAATGATGGGTTAAATAAAAATTCAATATTTGTTTAAGAGATTGGAAACGCAGCAGCAGCAAGGATTCGCAAATTTGCCGAACTTTCTGAGAACCGGTGTGAAATTATCTTAGTGGGCGGTTTCAAGATCGACATGTTCGTTTTACAGGTTCCTTTCCAATGCCTACCATTGAACAACAGCTGTTCCCCACATCACCGCGATTTCGCTCACCGCCTCCAGTAATTCACGAGCCGCTGTCGCTGACGAAGTGCAATATAATAGACAGAGGAAAAATATTGATATCATTTAGTAAGTATCTAAAACAACATAATCCTTTGTAATCTTCATTTTGTAGTATTTGATTTCGATAGCAATCCAATTCGAATGCTGAATGAAAGAGTTTTCCGCACTGTAAATAATGTTCACTCATATACGGAAACGTTTTTCATTAATTCATTGATTCGCATTTTCAATGAAATGGAGGTAAATCTCAAAAATTGTTGGTATCTTGATGAAATCATGCATTTTTTCAGAGTCCGTATGAATACCGTTCTTCAATTCTTAAAACTGTTATTGGTGCAATTAGTCATGCTAAATTAGGATAATTCTAGCGATTACATTAATTATTTTGATATTATCGGCGTCAAACTACTGAAATAAGGCGGAACGTTTGAATTGGCGAAATCCGTGTATAATTAAATATAGCATTGAATGAATATTAAATGCCATATGCTAAGCAGTGTTCCAGACATTTCTTTTCTTTCAAAAAATTCCGAATTTTCATTTGAAAACCTTTCTTTGCGGGTGTAAAATTAGTCCAGTGTACTTCGAGACACCTTGGCAAATCGCCAATATGTTCAAAAAGTAGTTTGTCGCTGATAATGATAAGTTTCAAACGTACATATTTTTGACAAATCATTCCATTTCTACCAATTATCACCAAATTATGTATTAATTCCTTTCAAATTGATTTGTTTTCGATTCTACTATTTTCGCTAATTGATTGTTTGATTCGCTTTTTTTGCCTGCATAATTTATTTTTCGTTTATCTTTCTCATGGTTATGTGCTGATCCTCATCACCCTTTCAATTTTAACCGATTTTTCGGAAGACTCATTGTAAATAAACCCTCAATATTGTGGAAAAAAGCCAACATCGAAAGGAAATGTTGCGAAACCCATATTTACAGTAGACCGTACGCTATCGCGCAGCTTCGACCATGAACGATTAGTTCTTTGAATATGAAAATTGCTGAATCAAGTTTGCCAGATCTATTAAAATTTTTGTGAAAATTCCTGTCGAAAATAAACACAATTTACTAAAAGAAAAAACTTATTGTTGAGGTAATCCTTGCACTCTACAGGCAGAGGGCGACAACAGGTACCCGACGCTTTCGGGTACCAGTTGCTGCCTCTTCTGTAAGATCTTCTCATCCTGCCCCAACACCCGGAAATAAGTTTGGAGGCGTATAATCACAAACCGTGACCTTTACCGTGATGACTAATACTACTTATTAGTCATTATGTAATTACTACAAATAACTCCTTAATTACTCTCAATTTCGTGGAGATTGACTCTTTAATTACTGATCTTCGTGGAAGTTTCTGTTAATTAACTCATTTGTTTACATTTGGAGAAATTACTCATCTTTCCAGATTTTTCCAGAACTTGTAATCAACAACTAACAGCCAAACGTTAAAAAATGATTTATTATTGAACCAAAATTAGATTAGTTTGGGAAGCAGCGAACACGCTACTCAAAACGGAAAATAAGGGTTGCTAAATTGACCGGTACCAACTAACCCTTTGCGATTAAAATTTTCTTCTGTGAGGAGAGTTGAACCCAATGTCTGCAAAATATGATTGATGTGCTTAAACCGAAATTCTAGATTACTTTTCCTTTTGCCACTCTTGTACGGTTATGCCGTTTTTAAACGGAAGTGGGGATGATGACGAAAACCTGAAAATGGGTTTTTCGACAGATAAAAACGAGCCAAAATCAAAACTCAACCCAAAAATTAAAAGATTTTCTGACTGCATTCTAGGGATTGTGTCGATTAGCCTGACTCGATCGAGTCAGTTGATCTCCTTCGCCACGTAGAGGCTCGACACTTGAAGGAGAGGCTCACCAGCATCAGGCCGAAACCTGATGTGGGTCATCGCCGATCCCACCATGGGGATCACCCAAGGACATCCCACAACTATCATCCGAGGATAATAGAAGTAGAAGTGGTTGGGCAAGCCACGTCTGGCTGGGCCCCGGGTCTACTGGTGATATGGTAATGTGGTTTTTGTGTTCTCAGCATAGCAGCTTACTACTAAGTAGTAGCAAGCCACTACAAAGTAGCAAGCTACTATGCCAAGAAGCACGGTCCATGTGCACCCGAAAGGCTGGACATATTGACATAGCTGGCCAAACCACGTCAATATAGGTCAGGTCCAGATGCCATCCTAACTAGTATGGAGGACACCCGGTGAAGCAAAGTTCTAAAGCTTAACCATCCATAACGCCCCAATAGCAGTTTCCAAGCACTCGAGAGTACTTGAAACAAGGGCGTTTGGGTAGGGTTCGATTCCAGGCTACGGAATCAGGGCTGAAGGGCTTGCCAGGCCAATCACCCGAATTTAGAGTAAAGCGGATAAGCCGCCACCCAGCCAGCGCCTCGGCACTACGATTATGAGGAACGGGAAGCCTCGGCGCTTGGGGAGTAGCCGACTACGGCTATGGGTGGTCGACTACGACCTAGGGATTGCCGACTACGGCGGGTCTAAAAGTTAGGGAGACTAGAGGTACTTAGAGACTTAGACTTATTATGGGATATGTGCCGGTGAGTCGATACACCGGCGAGATCCTTCCATCGGCGGCGGCGGCGATACCTAAACATACCTAAAATACAAAATAAAAAAAAAGAAGGGGAAGCCAGTCATTAGTGGAATGACTGGCATAGTCGTAAGTGGTACGACTTTCCCCGAAAATAAGAAAAAGAAGAAGAAGAGGATGGTCCCAAACGGTAGGACCGGAAAGAGAGAAGAATCCCAAGTGGTGGGATATAGAGAAGCCGCAAACGGTACGGCAGGAGGTTGAGGGAATCAGTCGATTGATAAAGAGAAGGAGGGACAGTCGCAAGTGGTACGACTGGTGGGAGGAAGAGTGGTCCCAAACGGTAGGACCGGAAAGAGAGAAAAATCCCAAGTGGTGGGATATAGAGAAGCCGCAAACGGTACGGCAGGAGGTTGGGGGAATCAGTCGACTGATAAAGAGAAGGGGGACAGTCGCAAGTGGTACGACTGGTGGCAGAAAAAGGAAGGGAAGCCGGCTTTAGAGATGGTCCCAAACGGTAGGACCGTGAGGAAGTACAAACGTAAGTGGTACGAATGTACGGAGAGAAGAGAGGGAATCCCAAGTGATGGGTATAGAAGGGGACAGCCGTAAGTGGTACGACTAGTGCAAGTGAATAATAATAATAATAATAATAAATAAATAAATAATAATAATAATAAATTGGTTTGAATAAAAAAAAATACCAAATACCCGGCGTTTTTGTCCTTCCTCATTGCTTCTTCGTGCCGTCGCCTCCGATTAGATCCATTCGATTCAAAATTCCTGCAACGATTCGAGTTATTCTGATAGACTATGACCCGTTTTTACCATTTGAATCCCCTCCCTCTGCTCGACGCCCCAGGCGGCATCGATTTTTTGTCCTTCCTCTTTCTTGCTCACCTTCACGTGTTATGTCTACTCATGAATATGGGTTTAACGTCGGCCTGGACGCGACACTGCAGTAGGGTTAGTACCGGCTGACGGAGTCGCACCAGTCGAGAATCCCCGACACTTTCAACATAGCACATCCGAGAAGCTCGAATGAGGAACGGCTGTGGCTCTCGATCTGCAATACAAGAAATTAAGAAAAAGAATAGCGATGAATATGACATACCGAGGGGATCCTTGACCACAACCAGCCCGCAGTTTATGCGGGGCGCGTGGAGCCCGCAGGTTATGCGGGACACGTGGAGCCCGCAGGTTATGCGGGACACGTGGAGCCCGCAAGTTTTGCGGAGCACGCGGAGCCCGCAGGTTATGCGGGGCACGTGGAATCCGCACGTTATCCAGGGCTCGGCAAGCCCGCAGGTTATGCGGGGCACGACGAGCCCTCAGGATTTGCGGGCTTCCCGCAACTCGAGGAGCTCCGAGAACTGACGAAATTGCGCCTGAGTCGGCTTTTTATAGTGCCACTGGTGTCGGTGCAAAGCTTGCAATAGAGCGCATTTGCGCCTAGTGTCCGCTGACTCTCTTATGTTAGCACACTCTTATCTCTCAGACGCGTTTTCCCGATCGACGCTGAAGTGCTGCAGAGCGCGTTTGCCTCAAGAAACAAAAAATCAGTAAGCGGGCTTGTTTGGTTTCTGGCTACAATTGAGCAGTTTGGCGTCTAAGAATAACCAATTTGTTAGACATCAGTTTTTTGAATGAATTGATTCCTCATTGAATTTAATTTCTGGAAAAAGATTTTGAAGAGATTCGTTTGAATTCATGGTCCGAGATTTTTTCCATGCTGAATTCAGCTAAACTTGCATCATGATTTCAGAATTCACGTTATATTGAATCAGTTGTACATTGTAACGTAGACGGCAATTAAATAGTAGTATATGATGACGATGATAACTAATTAATTGGCTTAGTTGATTTTCACGCATATTGTAAATCTGCAATTCGGAAAATTCAAAAACTACTCATTTCTGCTATTTCTGTTCAAAAATTGAAATTATAAACCATTTTTTGCCCCACCGCTATCAAATTCCCCATTTTTATTATTTTCGAAACATCTCGAATTTTGAGCACCCTCCACTTTAACTCTGTGTAATTTCAATGTGGTTCAGATAGATTCCGTTGATTATAGTTTTTAGCTAATTACGTAACTATCTATATTCGGCTAATGTTTTTAAATTTTATACCTTTTTGATGAAGAGAAGAGAACGCACTGAAGGACACTCTAATAATTTATACAAAAATAAAATCTGAAACAAGAAAATTTTGAAAGTCTTTTTTTCAGAATCGAAGAAATCGATTTTAAATCTGTTACATTTGAGCTTTTTTTTTTCTACACTAAAATTAAGTTTAAAGTGACTACAGGGCCTAAGGATATGTGAATCAAACGAATTGATATTTATAATTAAGTTAGTGTGCTCATATTGTGCAGATTTAGTGGTTTCTGAATAATACGGAACCGAAGAAAAATGTTCAACTCTGCAATCCGCAAAGCGTTTTCTGATAACATTGCAAAAATCGAATTTTAAAATTTCCACAATTTAACCAAAAAATTCGAGATTCATGAATTTTTAATATACTGTAAGAAACTAAGAAATTAATTAATTTTGAAAATTAGTTGAAAAATTTTTGATGTTGTCGACTAGCAGTAAAAATATATCATCATAAATTCTTTAATCTTCTCAAATAACCATTTGTAATGAATAACATCATTTTAAAGCGCGTGAAATAAGCTTTCAAATAGTATTAAACAAGCGATTTATTTGTCACCTTTTTTGGTAGCACAAGTTCCCCCAAAAGTTCAATTTGTTTTGTGATTTTCTTCTTAACAAAAATTTCAAATAATGTTTTTAAAGTCATCTTCAAGCATTATTTGCCCCCCACCCCCTCCTCCAAAAAAGGAAATTTCGAGAGAGATGTTTGTATATTTCAATGTTCCTATTTAACCCCGAGGCAGCGAGCGTCTAAATCTCTCCGTATGGATGCACCTCAATTCGGTCTCGTTTCATAGTGTTCCGTCGGCGAGAAATTGTGCAAGAAATTCTGTTGTGTCGAGCACGCGACGCCTGCCGCGTTGCGTGCGGCAGACGCCGCTTTTTCAATTATCAGCATATTTTTTATTCGTTGGGCGTCCGCATATGAATGCCAACCGCGTTGGGTTCGATTTTCTCACTTACTTACTTCGTCACTCACTCGATCCGTTTTTCAGCGTACCGCGCGGGTCACACATCTTCATTCTTCTCGGCATTTGCTAAATCATTTTGAATGAGTTCATTTATTGTTAATTTTATTAACGAATTCTCTCTATCAATATCATTCGCAATTTTTTATATCAACCGTTTTTTATTTTATATATTTCCAGAATGGTGGTTACCCGTTCGGCCAGTAGAAAATTGCGTGGAGATACTCTATCGGTTCCAGCGAGAACTTTGCCAAACGGAGCGAAAAGTCCGTTGAATTATTGATAACAATTTAAAAATTTGACTTTCAGATCGCACCAAATCGAAAAAGGGATCGAAGGCAGATAATGCTGCAAGTTCGTCAAATGCTGCTAGAAACAGATTGGGGCAAAATCTGGCAAAGGTTTGTGGCACGAAAATACAAATAAAGCACATTCGATTAATTTGAAAAACCTTTTTTAGGCGAAGATTATTTTAAATGAGATTTAAGCTGCTACCAAATGCAGAAAGTTTGTTTTGAAAGAAAAAAATATCTAAATTATAACATGCCAGCTTATCACTAACACAGGGGAGCGTCGAAATTTTGTTTTAGTGACTCCGTCCCTTAACTGCACGTATTCTAGCAGCACTTAAATATCAACTAACTTACTGTTTAAATAGCTAACACTTAAAATGACGATTTCATTGAATTTTTTCAGAAAAGAAAGGCCGACTATCCACTTGGTGAAGAAAAGACTCCGAAAAAGGCTGCATTGGCTCGCGAGGTTGCTGGCAGCAGCAAATCACCAGCTCCGAACACTGCTCGTGCTAAACCGGCTCCAACCACTGCTCGTGCTAAACCGGCTCCAACCACTGCTCGTGCTAAACCGGCTCCAAACACTGCTCGTGCTAAACCGGCTCCAAACACTGCTCGTGCTAAACCAGCTCCGGACACTACTCGTGCTAAACCAGCTCCGGACACTACTCGTGCTGAGCCAGCTCCGGACACTACTCGTGCTGAGCCAGCTCCGGACACTACTCGCGCTAAACCAGCTCCGAACACTGCTCGTGCTGGACCAGCTTCGAACACTGCTCGTGCTGGACCAACTTCGAACACTACTCGTGCTGAGCCAGCTCCGGACACTGCTCGTGCTGAGCCATCTCCGGACACTGTTCGTGCTGAGCCATCTCCGGACACTGTTCGTGCTGAACCGGCTCAAAATATTGCTCGTGCGGAACCAGCTCAAAACATTGCTCGTGTTGAGCCAGCTCAGAATATTGCTCGTGTTGAGCCAGCTCAGAATATTGCGGGAGCTGTACGAGCTCAGGGTGCGGTTGTCGTTGAGCAGCATGAAGCTGGGCTAGACGACGATGATGATGAGTATGGGGCGAATGTTGACATCGTGATCGAAAAAGGAGAAGACATCACGGCTAGCGTGGAAGCCGCTATCGAGGAAGAAAACAGAGCAATCGAGGAAGAGAAAAGAATTGAGCGAGAGGGTAAATAATTTCACTTATGAAAATTAATGCTGAAAATATGATTCCAAGTTTTTCGACAGTCCTATTAATGAAGGTGTAGATCTACTCAAATTAAATTTTTTTGCAGCGATGGCCGCTTTCCAGAGAAGATTGATTGCTCTCACAAAGGAGTACGAGGAGAGAGGAGGAGTATAATTCATTTACTGAAAGCCGAAATCGATGCAACAATTTTTTACATTCACAGCTCCTAGTAAACGAGCTTTCTTTACACTCAATTTTTTAACGCTTTGATCGTCTTGAAAGTCTTTTTCGACTAAATCTCTCTTTTTTGAAAGACGAATTAGTCACAATTTGGTCTTTTTGGAGATTGAAGCTCAATTTTTTTCTAGCGGCTGTTAATTCTGAAATTATTCGATGTGTCGGCTAGCTTAATTTATTGTTCCTGTTTGCATTATATTATTACTACTAACAACTTGTTCACAATTGTTTCACAGCGCTCTTGTCTTGTTATAATCCTTTCGGATAGTTTCCATTCAATTCTGATGTTCTCATTCATTATTTTGTTTCAATGTTCCTGTTCTTGTCCATCATCCCGTATGTGTTTTTCTTCCTGTGAATGTTCCATTATTCACTGTCATTATTTATTTCAATCATGATTTATTTTGTTGGAAGAAAACCAAAAGTAAATAAACTTGCAGAACGACACATTTTGAAAAAATTTGATATTATTGGAAACATGACAAATTGATTGTTTTTTACTTCGCCACAAATATTCGTCAGCGAGGGGGATTAAAAACGTAATCCTATCAACACGAATGGGGTATTTTGCCCAGTTTATAGATAAATCACGGTTTTTGGATTAATCAGAAAAGAGGGATCCGATCAGAATGATATATGTTTCATGACTTGGAGTATCTTTTTTATCAATTTATTAATATTGGAGAGAAGGTTCGTTACTCAATATTAATAAATTGTAGAAAACTATTAATTTGAACGCACAAGACAACAATGAAAGTTGTGACTGTGTGCTAATTTTAAAATTGAAAAAATGAAATATTTTAAACCAATCCAAAGCGTTACGGTGTTTTAACAAATTTCCGCGATTTACATCAATTTAAATTAGTTTTGAGTAAGTTAACACCTGTTCGCATATACAGCTGTATTGGCGTCAAACGCCTTTCTCATTTCAAAAAGTTTTTCGAGTTTGAGTGGTATCTCCAAATATACCTTTCAACATGTTTGAAAAGAAACCCGATCGAAGCTTTTCGTAAAAATAAAAATCAAAATTGGAATCGACAAGTTAATATAATAAGTCACCTAACAAATTGTGAAACTTGAAATATTCAATACAAATTTGTAGAAAATATTTTCATCTCACCAAATCTGATTTCATTGGTACCAATTTTGATTGAAAAATGGAAATTCATTTTTTTCAATGTTGGGTTTTATAACTTACCAATCCAAATTTTCTAATCATTCAATCTCATGCTCATCACGTATTACGAATCGAGTCTTTAAAACCTTGAAATGGAAATTATTATTGAATACAATGGGTTTATTGAAAAAAATCTTCGTAGAAAGATGACAGCGATTGGAATTACAATTCAATTAATTATGATTTGAATTTCTAAAAAAACCATTGAATCATTAAAAATGTATATATGGTTACAATAAATGAGCAAAAATTTAGTTGTATCTTGATTTTCCGGTGTGTAATCCGCTGACGAGTTGTTGTGTAAGTTGATCGATTTCATCTCCACCTCTTCAAATTTGACGATGCAATTTATTTTAATTTTTTTTCTCCAAATTTACCGTGAATATGTGGACTTGGTTCGAATTTCCTGAACTCTTTGCTGATAGTGTGGGTCTCTTTGATTCACTGGTTCGACATGAGTGTTTGCTTCTTTCTGGGAATGGGTCATGGCTGAAATTGAACAACATTTTTCTCAATGCTCTTCTAGTTTGTCGACTTTACTTTCATCTCTCAATTGGCGCACAAATTTGTTTGGCGATGGAACAGCATGTGGTGCCTTATATGGCGCATGTGGAGCATAATGTTCTCTGAAAACAGACATTGAGCAATGAGCTTGAAGAAATTCCTTATACTCAGTGGTTTCTTCAGTTCTCTTATAATAGCTTTGCTTCTGGACGGTAGCGGTTGCCGGTGTATTGTTAATACTATCATCAATAGTAGCCACAGGTGTCATTGTCGCAAATTGGTGGATAAGCTCACGAGGATTTGTGATAAGATATCCGGTCTTGGTGTCCAATCGGTAAGCCGGATCGGAGAAAACGGACGAGGCCACTAAATATAAAAAATTTTGCTTTCGTAATTCTATTATTTTAAAAATTGGACTAGAACATTAAAACACACAATGACAACAATAAAACAAAGGAAAATTGTAAAACTACCGCTGTTTTGCCCATCTCTTGGTCCATGTGGTCCAAGATTCGATTGCGATCCACCAAATGGTCCATTATCACCAAGGCCGCCATGGCCTGGTCCACCGAGTCCGCTGTTCGGACGAGCTGCATATGGATCTAAAATGGGGGAGTAATAGGAAAAGGAAAAAAAAAGGTTTTTGAGGGAAAAAATTCACACAAATGTTACAAAGGTTGAATTTCAAAAATGAACGATCCATATAATTAAAAAATATACATTTAGTACCTGGTTTCGGCGGATAATTGCCAAAATCGAATTTTCCGTTTGTTGCCGGCTTTGGCGGAAATGGATCAGGGCTGAGGGCACCACCTCCAGCGCGCGAGTTTCGTCCGCTTCCTGGACCGTACTCGCTGCCGAAACCAGCTTCGCTTGGTGGAACCGAACCGCCAACGCTCCAATTCTTTTCGATGATGTTCACACCATCATGCCCTTTGCTTCCACGCTCAATGTGTTGCAATTGAGTAACGGTGACGCGCGGTGATAAATCAACAGGACGTCTATAATCATTATTTTGCACAATTTCATCTCAATCTTGAATTACCTTTTCAATTCATAACCGTCGGCGGCGACAGTACCATCTCCAATTGGCGAATAGAACATGGTTCTTGGCTTGATTGGCTTTGGAAGCTGAGCTGGATCGGTGATAATCTCACCTCCATTCCAGGTGAATGTGCTCAATTCGACGCCGCTTCCCGGCCGATCGCCGAATCCTCCGAATCGGACTTCTTCCCGATCCTGACTGCTGCGTTGACTATGAGCAGCAGCATGCCGAGCGGTTTCGAAACGATTATACTCGTCCTAAAACGTAGAAAAGATGGTGCTTGGAAGAATTTGAGTAACTGTTCAATATCAAATTTAAATAATGTATTACTATCGCAAAAAAAACCAGTGCCCTTATGGTGAATTTGTTTCGAAGGCTCTAGAGTTCGGTACCCGAATTTCCACAATGTAAATTCAAATTTGAATTCCCGCCTCGATAAAGTGCAATGGTCCACAATTATTCAACACGCTCCCCTTTTTATCGGGATGGTGATTTATAATATTAAAATACTATTATCAATATTTAATTCGTTCTAATCTAATTTTTCTGTTCAATTTTTGTTTTTATATCATTTCAAATTCAATCCTGCTTTTTTTATCACATCGTCCAGACCTCAGCGTCACTCCTGCCGGTGGTTGCTAGTGATCAACGAGATCTTTCACATTGCCAATTCGACTTTACAACACCAAAGCTCTCTTCCTCCCGTCTTCTCTCGCGCCTACGCACAAAACTATTTGTGTGCTTTCGAATGCGAATTTTATTGGTATGAGCAACCGGCAGGCAATTGTGAACAAAAAAAGATTGCAAAAAATTGATGGCAGATGGTATTGCAGCAGTATTATGAGAATATTGCGGAAATGATGAAATCCATCACTTAGTGGATACATGAGAATGAAAAGAAAGGAAGAGATTCGGCAAATTTTGAATTTTTGAAAAAAATAATTGGTTCCCATTTTTCATTTAGAGCCCACAGTACCCAACGTTTCAAACTAACAGTACTCATTTCTCAAAATTAATTAGGTGATGCAGATTAATTTTGCAAAGATATTCATGGAAATTCAATTTTTTGAATTTTGGACAACCCTAGACAATCTCAAATACCATCAATTTTTCTAAAATTCCTTTATTTCTCTGAAAACTGTAGTTTCTCAAAAAAAAAACCCTTTTGACAATAATCTAAGATTACCAACAATCAGCTTTTAATTAATTTTTAAAAAGAGTTACCCTATGTTTTCCGAGGGAGGCGTATGATGGGCTGTTTGTCCTTTCACGGAAACTACTCAAATTGGCAGCGCTACCGTACTGCGACATTTCAGCACGCTTGATATCGGCACAGAGACTCCTGAAAGTTATGAATATTGAAATTTTTTTGTACAATGAATAACAATAGGAATAGCAACAACGATATAGAAAACAGCAAGGATCTACAAGGCGAGATCCGAGAAAATCGAGGGGGCACCGACGGATATAACAGTCGATAACATATGGCATCGAGAAGGGGGGGGGGGGTTGAAGCCCGGCAAAAATCGCGGAAGAGATATTGCAATAGATTGAGAAACTGATACAGATAGCACAACACGACGGCGGCTCGAGAATCGGCAACGACTCCCGACGAATGCACCCGCGAGAAGCTCAACGCGGACTCCCGCCGCCGTTGTCGAATGAAAAACATCGAGGAGGAGTAGGACACTTGACTCGCGAGAACGCATAAATTTTCGAGACGTCGGCTTCATTTGTCAAGACTAAAAATATTTGATGACTGCCCGAAGGGTCATTAGTCGGAAAAAAAATAGAGCAAAGCCCAACCGATATACATATGTAAGTATGCCATTAAATTATTAGTTGAGATACTCCAATGACACACTTTAAGAATTTTTGTTTTTGAGATGGAAAATACAAATATCTTGAACTCCAAAGAGGCATAAAAAACCATTAAATCATTAAAATACTCCCAGTGACGATTGTAGATTTACGGGAGCGGCTTTCGACATAATCTGACCACATCCCTATCTTTTTTTTAGAGATTTTTGGTTTTTTTGTAATTACTTGGAACTTTTTAAAACTTCCAACGTGTTTGAGATTAATAATTAATTATAAAAATAATTGAATAAGGCCGGGCGAGAATAAAATCGCATTTAACAGTTAGTTCATGGACGTTGAAAATATTCTTTGCAACGTAAAATACTTTTATAATTTGAAACTTTAAAGATTCCATCAATAAAAAAACAAGGCTTTGTTAAACGATTTGGGCGAATGTTATTTTGGTATGATTATATGTATAACTTCTTTGGAAGGAAAAAAATGACCTCAGGGTTTGTTTAACGCCATATAACATAACTGACTTTCGGAGTTTCTCATTCAATTTTAAAATACATTCTGCTGTTTCATGCGTTTTATTTTACAATAACAATTGATATTATACAATATGAGAGAAACTGGAGAGAATGAACATGAAGAAGTCGAAATCAAACGATTTTATTGTCGATTGATCGAAATCAGATGTTTTTTTCTCGGGAGTGAAAGCGTCTTGATGCAAATCATGTGTAATATCTCGAACCACATGGCGTATTTTCTCGCTCGTCAAAACAATAACGACAAGCCTAACTACAAAAAAAAACTAATTGAATTTCTAATATGCTGTATGGTAAGTTGTTGTATGAATCGTGGAGGCTGGACGATTGTATTGGCGCGTGGTGGTAGTGGTGGTTGTAGTTTGTTGATGATGAAGTCCTGGAGACAAGGAGCGCGCTCTTTCCTGATCCAACCAGCTCACCCCTTTTCTGCAAACATGTCATTGCTGATTTTGGGCAGTTAGTCAAACAGTTGAAACCTTTTCAAGCTGCTGTATGGACTAGTTGGCGGCAATGTCGACGTGTGTTTCATTCCGCCCTTCAACGTTTCATAGTTGCTACCAACATTACTCAAACTTCCATAATTGCTCTGACTTCCATAGTTGCTTTGACTACCGCCGTATCCATAGTAATTCGGCGAATTTAAATTTGATGCCGTCGTCGTTGTTGTTGTTGTGTGTTCCGACGTGTTGTAATAGTTGTTATTAACCGGCGCGGTGTTAGGTTGGCGTGATAATGTCGACGCATTCGAATGCGCATATGAGCCACCCATTGCGGAGCCAACACGAGAGCCGGGTTGACTGATGAGCCCGGTGCTTCCAATTGTCACCTGGCCTTGTTTAATAAGCTCCTCGATGAAGGTATTGTCCGACGGGTACTCAAGTCCTGGGAATTCGTCAGTGTAATTATGACCTGGAAAAAATATAGCAAAATATTAAATATTTTAGTTTCCAAATATAATGTAAATTGTTTTATGAAAATTTCGGGAAAAAATTGTCTTTTCGCCCTACTTATTATGGAGCTATTCTGCATTAAGAGCTCTATATATTTTAGAGTTTCTTCTTTTCTTGCCTAGTGTTCAAAGCTCAAACAAGACAGTTGCTAGTGTTCACACTATTTAGATGATATCTCACGATAGATGTGAAAAATTTGAAATTTCAAAGCACCTTCAATATTCGGGCGGATTGGAAGCTCATTGGGCGAGATGGCTGGGAACTCTTCCACCTTGTTCTTCTCCTTTCTAGTAGCAAACTTGTCTAAAGAATTGTAGGAGCCTTCAAATGGAGATGGTCCTCTGCTAAGGCTTTTACGCACCTCATTATAACGATTTGAAGGCGTGTGACGTGCTGATTGAACTTAATATTCTATTAAGCTAGATATGTCACATGTTAATCATTCCTACCTGGAGGCTCACGATCTTTGAATTGCAATAGATGAGCGTGATTATCAATAAATCTTTGAAGTTCGCGGTCTTGTGTTGAGGAAAGTTCATGGCGATTTACCAGCTCTACCCCATTGATGACAATTTTCTGAAACACTTTCTGATTTTATGTTATTCTCCATTAGCAGCCAACTCACGTCATTGTAGGAGCTGGGCATATAAGATGTGTAGGACATCTGAAAAATTGAAATGTTGATCGACACTGAAAGAAAACACGACTTCGAAATCGTTTGGGCAAAAAACTGGAGCGTGAGGGTTGAAAGGCGCAGAGGCAATGCTGTAAAGTCAGCACAGCCGTCTACTTGTGCTTCTGCTCCTGCTCTATTTTTTATCGTTGTTTGTTTCAAGCACGTTTTCCGATCCGTTGCTGTTGGATGAGTGGGTGAGCCATGGGGGAGTGGTAACAACATATGCGATGCCATCTGCCCTCGGCATTTTTTCGACGTTTTCAATCATTTGGGATAAGAAGAAAATGTGTCGCGAAAAAAAAAGAGCGGAAAAAAATGCTTCATGAAAACATTTATGTATTGATTGGTGGGTTGTGACTCAAGGGTCCAAACAATCATGGAGGTGACAACATTTTAGATGGTTTGTTTCGATGACTCTCGCAAAACAAACGCTCCTATTTAAGAAGTGATGGTCCTGAAACACAATCCAAATTAGGGAAATGCGTTTCTTCATTTTATTCGCCTGCTTTGTTGCTGCAATTCTTGCCCAGGGGCTTCCATGCGGTTTCTGTGAGTCGGTTTATTTTGGAACATTTTCAAATCAAAAGTTTACAGCATGCACCAGAAGAGCAGTGATCAACACTATTATTGATGGTGTTCGTGGAACTGCCTCTTGTTCGGACAACACAACACCAGCAAGATGCGAAAATTGCTGTAAGGGACGTGCGCTACAAGCCAACCTCGAATCGGTATCGTTTTATTGTTTTCACAAAGCGAATACTCTCGAAATAGATTAAGCAATGAAATCGCTCAAATGACATTCCCACTATAATCGGAAATTATAAGATATGTTAGGAAATTGATAACAACATGTTTTGATTTATAGTTTCAAAAACAAGCCACGTCATTAATGTTTTCAGATTGTTTGAAGTCCTTTGTATATCAATAATATCAGATTTGATCAAAAATCGTTTTAAAATTTCAGAATTTCGCCGCTGGGTTTGTTTCAAACGACGGTCGCACTTGCGTTTGCTGCTTCAACAACCAATGCTTTAATACATTCTCAAGCGGAAGAAAATAAATATAGCACAGCAAATTTCATAATAAATCGGGGTTATGTATGTATTAAATTGATTATTCATTTAATCGAAAAAATGACGTTCATTCATCCAGTTGTTGTCAAGGAACCTGGACCTGAACAACCATTCAATTGCACGGATTGAATTCGTGAGATTTTCTTACAGGTAATTCCTGATTCCGTCCGGAAGAAGAACAACAACGTTGGCGGTTTCCGGAAGATTAAGCTTCTTGGCCTCCTCCAATGCATAGTGAACAGCGCAACCAGCTGATCCACCGCAAAGAATGCCTTCGGTTTGAATAAGTTCGCGAGCCATCAAGAATGATTCCTAAATGCATAATACATATATTAGCGGTTGACCTTCCAAATTACTACCTTGTCGTGAGACTTCATCCAGTAATCAACCACACTCGTATCGAGAGTTCCAGGCAAGAAATCGTATCCGATTCCCTCAACCTCATAGAAGTCAATTTCCGATTGATGTGGTCCAGCAAGCACACTACCGTGGGGATCAACTCCAACAACCTTGGCATTTGGAAGCCTATCGTGGATTTTGCGTGAGATTCCAGTAACGGTTCCTCCAGTTCCAGCCGTCAAAACAACCAAGTCGATGTTCTTATCGCCCATATCGTAAAGAATTTCTTCGGCGGTTTGCTCGTAATGGGCCAAAGGATTTCCAGGATTGCAGTATTGATCCAAAATCACGCTGTCGGGAATCTCGCTGCGCAAGCGAAGAGAAACTCCAATGTGCGAGTGTGGGCTGTCAAATCCCGCTTCGTTCGGAGTGCGGATGATCGTTGATCCAAGTGATTCCATGGCAAGCGCTTTTTCCTTTGACATTTTCTTTGGCATGACGATGATGCATCTGAAAGAATTTTGTGATTTGAATTAATTTAATTCGAAGTCTTACTTGTATCCCTTGACAGCAGCGGCCAACGAGAGGCCAATTCCAGTGTTTCCACTTGTTGGTTCAATCAAAGTGACTCCTGGCACAAGCTTTCCCGGCTTTCCAGTCTTCTCAGCAATTTCAATCATTCGTTGAGCAATTCTGTCCTTGGTTGATCCGCCGGAATTCAGATACTCGCATTTGACATAGACATTACATTTGACACCATGCTTTTTTGGGATTCGCTGTAATTTCACCAATGGCGTTTTGCCGATTCCATCAAGAACGGTGTCAAAGACAAGTTGTCTCTCGGGACTGAAAGTGTTATAGAATGGAATTTGTCTGCAATTTTTTCTCTACTTGAATTTGTTGAATTCAATAGCCGAATGGGTCCATTTTCCATTCTCATCTTTGCTCCATTCACCCGATAGCTTTGTTGGATCATATTCCAAAACCTTTGGATCAAAAGTGCTAAAAACGAAACGTAAAGATGTTACGCTCAAAATTGTACGGTTTGAAACCTGTTTGGCTGAGGTCCTTCCTTGCGCGGATCGACGTTCAATTTGTTGTCGCGAACCCAATCATCATCAAGGAAATGACGCCTAAATGGCATTATGTAAAAACAGAAAACAATTCTAAAAAAATTACAAATAATTGCGAATTCCATCCATGAGAATGACAATGATAGTGGAACCAGCCGGCAATTCCTTGGCGAGTTTGAGAGCAGCAAGTACTGCTGCACCAGAAGATGGTCCAGCCATAACGCCTTCAGAGGAAATCAAGTGTCTTGTGAAACGATAGGTTTCCTCTTCGTCGACCTCACGTTGCTCAATTCCATATTCCTAAGAATTATATGCAAGCTTAATTGTCTATGTATTTACTATCTACCTTGAGTAATCCTTCCTTGAGATCGGATCCCATCTCGGGAATCTTGTTTTCCTTGCAGGTGACACCTACAACTCTTACGCCGTGCTCTCCGATTCCCTTGTAGAAAGCAGAAATTCCGGCAGCAGCAACACCGGTATTCATTGGTAGCACGACGGCGTTCACTTTTCTGATCAGCTTCTTGCCAACAGCGTTTTCAATTTCGCACGCGGTTTTTGACATATTTGCAACGAAGGTGGCATTGGTGGCATACTGAAAATAATATTAGATTGCTCAATTGATTCAAATTGATTTTCAACACAGTACGCAATTTATACTTTTTTATGGGTCTTCTAAAAATTGTGAATTAACCAGCAATTTTGAAATTTCGAGAAAAAAAAAAATAAACTATGTGCAATTATGAACAATTAAAATCTAGTTTCGTTTTTTTTTCATAATTTTAATTTGAAAAAATTGTGGAATGCGAAATTTCTTCATAGTGCTTATGTTTCTACATAACGCATAAAAAATGTTTTCTACTAAAATTGTTAATACCTTTAATATTTATTTTACGCTAATAAATTATAGGGCAATGAAGAATAATGCGTTTGCTCAAATTTTCAGCAGAAATTATTAGTTATTAGAATATTTTTATCCAAATTTTATCAATTTTGGTTTGATTTTTTTTACTAATAATAATGTTAACACATTCCAAAAATTTTTGTTTTTTTTCACGACGAATCTTCAAACCTTATTCAGATTGAAAGCTCCAGATTGTTGAGCCGCTTCGTCAGTCAATGCTCTCGCCTCGCTGAAGCTCTCCACATCGAGATGAATAGTCTTGGCTCCAAGCGAATCCAGAATCGTTTGTACAAGCTCGGTCCCTTTTTTTGGTGTGTAGACAGTCAAACTGGAATTTTCACATTGAACCCTTTGCTGCCTCAAAAAAAAAACTGAATTACTTATTTCCTTTGACCGCGGCAACTGTTGCGTAAGAAACAGCCGTGGACCCACCCGATGTCAAAACCACCTCATCTCCGGGTGCAAGACCCATCTCATAAGCCATTTCGAAGGCTTTGATGGCTGCACGATCAGAAAGCGAGCCGGCCACATTGAGATACTCGAGTTTCACATCTAAACCGCATTATTTGACAAATAAGTTTGTGCAAACAATAGTGGCAAAAAAACGCTCACAAATGTCACAATGAAGCTGATGCTCGGCCTTGATTTTCTTTAGTGGCACTAGGGGTGTTGGCCACTCAGCGGCTTCAAGAATCGTTTCGAAAGTGCGTCCTTTTCTGCAAAACTTCATTCTTGTTCCACTGAATTTGATCTCTATCTTCTTCGAAAGAAACTAGACTCTTATCAAATATTGTGATTATCAACACGTGGTCGGTTCGGTTTTCGCAGCGACATTTGATAAATGTGTCTTGTTTAAAGAAATCGGTTGTCGAATAATGATAAAACACTCACTGGGCTTCAGACATTGTTGGACGAAATTGCAGAAGTCGGCGAACCTGCAAAAATTGCAACAACTCAATGAATTGGTGGTCAAAAGTGATAAGGAAACAGACGGGACGTTGCAATGTTTCACCGCCGTGATGTGATGGACCAAATGATCGAAGCGAAACACATCGAAAAATGGGCGGCGCTTAAATCTGGTCAGCAAATATTTCGAAAAAAAAAATTTTTGGGAGGAGAGAGGCTATCAACTGCCTCCCCCACCCCCTCCCGCCGCGCGTTTTTGATTTTTGTACAGTCTCTCAAGTGCAAAACGATATTAGCCGGTATTGTTCCAGACAAAACGCTGTTAGCTGAAAAGTGTGAAGAAAATACAAATGGGAGCCAATGGTGATCGCGCGCAATGTGTTGGCATCGCCAGCAACGCCAAATGTGCGTTAGGTCAACTTACAATGGCTAGGTCACCAGATACGTGCCATACAAAAAAATAAAATGTGCTAAACATTTTAGTATGCTTTTTTAAATATAGTTTGGTGTAATGATGCCTAACAATCCACCATATTAACAGATTATTACATTGTAATGATGAAATGAATAACCCGACACTATTCATTTGGTGACCCAAAACAAAAAAGAAGAGCTCAAAAATAAATTTTGTTGATAAACATTTTTCTTATCTTTTGAGTCTTCAAGAAAATTCGAGAAAAAATTGAATGAAAATTTCACGCAAACAAAAACTGCTTCGGATCATTTGATGTAGAAATACGCAGGTGATACAATGGGAGTGGGGGCTAGAAATCTGATCTTTAGTTTGAATTCACCATTTTTCCAAACTTGAATTCTTTGAAGACCGCACGTTAGATGTTTGACCAGTTAATCATCTGAAACTGTTGAACGTGAAAATCAACTAATCATCATTACTGTAACTTTGTTTTCTACAACACCCATTCTTGATAGTAAACACATTAAACAAGCTAGTGGATCATTGTTGTTGTTGCCACCAGCAGTTGTTCGATCAAAAACTACTAATCTATTTTCTCGAAGCTTTATCTTTATTAGCAGAAATTCATTTGTAATAGATTGATAAATTGATGAGAAGCGGGGGGAGGCGAATATGTTTGCATAGATATTCGAACATTCCGAATTTAACAGATGGGTTTTCGTTCAATTTTTCTAAATCTCACATAGCCTACAAACGGCCACACGTGGTGAGACCTGTACTCGTTACAAGGTATGACGTAAATGTCTGGTTTGCAGTTGAATTCGCTCTTAGAAAAAAATAGCCATTTAATACGGTTGTTCTTATCAAGTCATTAAATAACTCGTATCACAATTTCTGTTTCGAATTTCGTTGAAACGACAAATTTTTGTCATAAATTGAGATGGTTCGATATTAAATTGATAGCACCAAAAAAACCAGTTTTTTTTCTTGATGTTAGGTGACACAACTTCCCATTTCATGCGTACAATATAACAAAATCGTCAGATAGAAATTTCGAAAAATTTAATGATGTGAGAGATTAGAGTACAAGTAAAACAATTTATCTGGAGATAATGGTCAATGAAACACAATGTGATAAATAGAGTCTAGTTTCATAAAATCTTATTATAAAAAAATTTGGGAACTTGCATGTGTCATATAATTTGCAAAGATAATCAATGTAGGTTAATAATGTGAATTCATTTGGATGTCAAATCAAACTTCATTGCTTTTAGTGTTTTCAAGTCGTTTTGCGAAGCGCTTCTGCTCTCGAATCGCACTGATGCTTCTCGTCGACATACTCGTGGACTGCTGCCGCGTTTTGGCTGCATTTCGGCTATTGTCTCGCTTACACGAGCCGTACCATCGTTTGGCATCATTGCATAAAGTGTCCGTGTTCCGGCATTTGCGCGCTGTCGACCGGCGAACTGACCGGCTTCCTAAAATGAAATTGAAATGGTTCATTGACATATTCTGCTCAACTTTTATTACTATGATGTATTCAATAAAACTATAACACATATTATTCGTGAAACAAAATAATAGGCACAGAACGAATTGAGTGCAGAAGAAGAAAACTAATATTATATTTATACACATTTTATAATATTACAACGTTTTTATGTCAGTTGTGCGGCAATGCGATTTCCAGTTAGTAGACAATTTTTTTCAGCAATTTGGTGAAACTTAAAACCAGAAGTTTTTCTTATCAAATTTCCTTATGAAAATATATATTTCACGTAACTGTGAAATTAAATAAAATCTATGTAGTGACTTAAAAACGTAGGAAAAAAATCTCGAATATTCCCGAAAATTCCGATTTCTTCAAAGTCCTGGTATCATTCAGTATATCAGATGGATTTGCAGCGAATTTCGTCCTCAAATTTTATTGCATTTATTTTTTTTTTCACATGTTATATGGAACATAAAACCACATTATTGTCAAAAAATGTTTGTTTGTGTTCAGCTTTTTTTCTATAGCTATTATTAATAGATGATGCAATGCGTTGATTCACCTATATCACCCGAAGATGACAGATATATAATAATATACGTGAATTGATGACTATTGTGAAAAGGGAAAATTTGTATATGTTAGAACACGATTCATGCATACCTCCTTACCAGTATCTACCGTACTGCAGTAATAAGACGCGCGCTTTGGCTCCACACCGAATCGGTAAAGGAATGGATTAATACAGGTGCTGAAATTGTCAAATTGCGAGATATACAGTTGTTTCAAAACTAAAACAATTTATCTGTGGGGCCGTTATTAGTTTTTCTCAAAACGTTTTTATTCATTCCGTATTACCTCGCTATTATAATTGCTTGCAGCCAGTTGAGTTTTCCGAGGACGTGCTCACATTGTTTATCATTATCGCAAACAACACGAAGTAATGCAAGCACCTGCAAAAACGAATCGGTTTACATGATTTTCGCGACGATTTCCATGTCATATCAATGCCCACAAATTTTGTTATTTTTTTTCGTTTAAAATGCTTATCATACAAACCTGATAAGGAAGCCATGTGAAAAAGAACGTGCAAATAATTGCAATGGTGGTTCGAAGAAATCTCGCTTTGGTGTTCGAGTTTTTCTTGGCTTGTCCACCATCCTGAAATAATTTAAGATTTTAATTGTTTGCCCCTGTTTGTCTTGTTTTTCTTTTACATGTAATAGCCGCCTTTCAGCCATTTGCTTTTTGATCGACAATCCGATTAACAAGTAGCAAATTATAACAATTAGGAGCGGAATGTAGAAGGTCGTGAGCACATGAAACATATGGAACGCTATAATTGCATCCTCTCCGAATGCCTGAAAGCAATTAGACGAATTCAGCGCGACGATAATGTCTGATTGAAAACCTCTAAATGAGCATAGCATTGCTCATAAGGCTCGGTCGACGAGATGCGAACCGTTCCGCGAAGTATTGCCATTGGAATCGAGCAAATAATGGCGAAGATCCATGACAAGGCAATCAGCCAGGAAACCCGATTAGCACCAGTACGATAACTGCTCAAAGGCGACCTGAACTTATATTTCAATTATTCCCCATTTTCATTTCTTTGCTTCTACGTGATGCAGCATAGCATGTCAACAGTAATTGCAGCCACCATGTTTGACCACAAATGAAATGGCAACGCGCAAAGAAAACTGTAAACCTTGCAAAGAAAGTCGCCTAAACAAAACATTGAATTTTCAAGCGCATGATTTTGAAAACCTTGAAGCCAAACAATGTTATAAAGCCAATAGGTTCTCCAAATTCCATAGACAAGCAACACCAAGAGATGAGCGATGAGTAACTGGCGACTGAGTCGGACTAATCGCGACTCGACACCTCCTTCGCGGACGTTCCTGAATCTTTTTCTAAAATTAAACATTTTTATTCGCTTCTACAATATTTTTCCAATATAGCAGCTTCTAAAATAAAAATTCATATTTTCGCTATTCTTTAATATTGTTGGTCCCATGTCAAATATGCAATATTTGATGATTCAATTTAATCACAAAAAAAAGAATGTGTCCGATTTCAGAAAATCTTGTTTTTTTTTACATAGTCAGAATCTCCGATTACTCGTATAATTCATAATTAGCCAAATTTGATATCATCCGTTTCCCTCGTCGTCGCAATCTATTTTTATCCTTGAACATTTATTTTGAATATTATTTTTTTTTCCGCAGATTCTTATAGTCGCATGATCTCCCAAAGGGCACGACTAATGATTAACACCGCCACTATCATACCTGCTGGTTCGGAACAACGCGTAGATGTTTATTGGGGTGCCGATGAACAAGAAGCTTAACTGATAGCAGATCTCAATTATTTCCGAAGTGGTGTGCTCCATGACAAAGTCTTCCGTGTCGGTAGTATTATTCATCGCTGAAATGTATTGAGACAATAAAATGTATTTTTTACAAGTGAACACTAAGATAAGATGAGCCTAAGCGCTTGTTTACGCCGGCGTTTTCAGACAGAAAAGAATTGATGAGGCTTTAGAGCTAGACTACCTTATTCAAGAATTTTGCACTTATAAGACCTATTTTGAACAACCGGCACAAGACGAAGAAAAAGAAGAAGAAGAAGAAAAAATAATTTGCCTCAAATATGTATATGTATAAGAAATTCCACGTAAAAAAAAAAGAAATATTCGCTCTGAAAATGCATAGTTTGCCAGTATAATATATTCAATTTTATGCATTCTAGAAAAAAGTACAAGCCAGGCAAATTCTCTGAAAATTGTGAACAGATTTATACGACATCTCATATTTTCCAGGAAACTTGACCTTTAGCGATTTATATGTGGGAGGGGTGGGGGGGGGCTTTGGCAACCCACCGCTATTAAAATAAAGTACAAAGAAGCGTTGTGTATTTAAAATTGACAATATGAGAAAAATAGATTATTTTCAGATAGAAGTTTGTACTAAGCGCACGTGTATTTTTAAGTTAAAAACCAGTTTTCAAAAGCTATATGTATAAGTTTTAATAGTGTGTTCCGAACTGCATATTACCATAATGTCAATTGAAATTATAATATGTATGCAACAGAATTGATGGCAAAATTTGGCGTGCAAATGGGCCAATGCTTTTGACATTCAGACGACACAGCACCCATGGACCGCCCACTTTGGATTACGATAGGTTTTGTCAGCCTACATTATAATGGGTACAATTCTTAGGGCTAAAGAAAATTGAGAGATGGATTTTGTGCTAGACATTGTTTGAATTGTTTTAGCAAAAACTCTACATAAGTCAAAGGGCGAGCATTGAAGAAAATAGTGCAATTCGTTTAGAGCCATCTCTAAAGTCCAATTTAAGTGCTAGTGTATTACTCGGCTTGTTGGATTTCAAAAGGGATACAATATTTATAGTGTCTTTTATGTTAATAATTGTACAGAGAATGAATGAGAAAAAAAAACGGAACCCGGAAAGAAAGAAGAATCAATTTTGAGAAATTATATAATTTTAGCTGATTTCAGAAATTATTTATTCTTGACACAAAGCTTATTAATAAGGTCTGCAGATTATGAAGGAAATATCAACAAAGAAAAAGTGTCGAAAAAAGCGATCATGGAAAAAAGGATTGTTGGCAATCTTTGGGATATACGCCGCTGTGTTGGAAATAACAATTAAGAGCTAGCGATTTCTTTTTTTTCTTCTTAGTGTACCCGAGAAATTATCGGCTTAACATTATATACATTGAAAGAAGAAAACACGGCGAGAATGGATACCATATTTAAATTTTTAGGAGATATGAAAGGCAAAATTTGAAATTAAATATTCAAATTGAACGCCGTTTCGCTCTCATTTCTTATGTTTATTTATTTAAAAAGGCCAAATATTGCCAATTCCAATTTGAAGTGTGCACTAATAATTATATTGTATCTTTCTAGTGTTAGAAAAAGAAAACATGAGAAAGCCCTTCAAAAATAATCACTTGCAAGCTGTGGTGGGGATAGAATACAAAAAAAATAATGCTCAAACGATGCTTACAAAATCCCATTAGTCTATTGTAATTGCATAGGGCAAGTTTTAATGTAATTCGGAAATGTGTCTGAGTTTTTGAAATGCGGCATCTAATAAAAATGCGATATTCTCACCGTATTCATTCCAGAAATCACAACGGATGGGAAAAAAAAAACACGGGCTGAGGTGAATCAATTTGTATTCTAAAAATATAAGACGAGTTTTTTTTCTGGCGAGGTAGACGGAACCGCCTTGTCTAGATGGACAGACATTCTTTTCGGAGCACAAGACTCAATTAAATTCGGCTAAATTGTACTCTGCTAAATTTGTCTGAATTTTAATTGATCACGCGTCAAGATGACAACGATGCAAATATAGCTAGGCGTTTCTTTTTGCACAACTGCGGCTTCTAGTCATCTCAGTTAATGAATACTCTTTTGGGCACATTGCTTAATCGAGCAATTCAAAAACACTGAAAATAAGAAGCGGCGAGGATGTACAGTATTCTAATTTTCACACAAACCAAGTGCAGAATTTGGCTAATTTTGGAAATGTCAGACAAATGGCCAACCGGGTTTCGAGTGTAGTCGCAGGAACTTCGGCTATTTTGGGAAGACATTTTGAGGTTAAATTTTTAGTAGTCGCTTAAAAAATTTTCATTAATATTTTGAAATTGTTTATTCAAATCAGGGAAAACCCCGTTTCATTGGTTACTGTCATTTTTATTCATTTTTTTTCATTCACACATGCTTGGGTCCAAATAAAGAAGCCTTAACGACATACCAATCAGCGTACACAACCTTAGATAAAAAGTACACGAAGCAATTAACAATTAATTGCGGCCATTATGACAAATCACTTCCTTATATGTCAAGCTGTAAATCTATTTTCAGCCGACTTCAACATTTGATCAGCGATGTCGAAATTGAAACGCAATTTCGACCACTATTTAAACTTTCAATGATTTCGCATTAATTTGTGATCCTCTTCAATTATTACAAAACGATTTCGCTCAAAAACTTTACACTCAATGAACTAAACTGAACTTGATCGGTTTAAATTCCGTGACCCGCGTGCCGTTTTGCCAACACCACTCCCCCCCCCTCCCATTCCCAACCATTCATATCTCTCACCGACGGCGAGCTACTCAAAAGATATTACATTTTGGAATCGCCAGTTGCGTACGGCAATGTATCATTTTGAGATAACACGCTGACCAACACATTTGTCGTCATTCCGCACTTTTTCATCAACACGAGAAGGTTCACTCGAAATTCATAACCTCTCTCACTAGCGGAGCACAATGCGCTGGATTTTCGCGTTCCTACTACCTACTATTCTTCAATCCCAACCATTCCGAAGTGTTCAGAATCCGAAAGGAAGGGTTGTGCCCGAATTAGACATTGTGTATGTCGAATGGAAGGCACCCGATGGACAGCAGAGTAAGTTTTTTTCTATTTGGCTCATTATTGTTTGGGGAGGGGGCTTTAAAATCAACCAAAGGGGGGGGTAGAAGAAAAACGGATTTAATTGCGCCGCTCAAGAAATAGGAAATTCAATGGAGCTGGAGTGCTAATGGAATCGAAGTTAGATTTTTGTGTGGCACCCAACGTCACCATCATGTTATGGTGCACTTTGATGAAAGAAAGAACATGAAACGCCTAAAATAGATACAACATATTAATTATTCATGATCACACGGATTCAACGATTGTTTTTTTCTCAATCGAATTCAAAGTGCATTTCTCGTACAGACCTCATTTTCACTGTTCGCCATAAGACCGGCGATCCTACGGAGCCATGGAAATACATTCGAACCCATGTGCCAAATGTTAGGGTTCCAATGACCACTTACCGAAATGGAGATAAAATGCACATACAGGTTGTCATTTGGTGATAAGACGAAAGGTTTTTGAATTGATGGAAACTTGCAGATAAAAACTGAACAAGATGGTAACATTGTCGACGATTTTGGAAACGAGATTATTGTGGATATATTTGGAAAGCAGGTTCGCCCAAACTTTTGGAAACTAATATTTATTACAAGGGTCATGAATCATGCCAATATCGGCAAAAAACTGACTAGACAGATATATGTAATTAACTATGCCTCATTCGTTTTTTTTTTCGGAACATTCGGTGCCCGCAATTGAAGGACACTTGAAAATTGGGACATAAAGAAAATTCAATTTTCTCGCTTTTTTTCTTTTAGAATGAAACCCCACAAAGGGCAATTGTACATGCACCGAGACAGGCTGTTGCTTCTCCATCAGCCATCGCCTCCTCATCCGCCGCTCACGGTGGTCTCACACCGCCATTGAACTTTACAGCAAACATTTTGAGTCCAACAAGTGTTCATTTGAAATGGACCCCGGTGGCCTCCATAAAGCCAGGTATATATAAAACATCTTTTTTTCTTCATTTTTGGGTTATAGAAAATCATTGCTCTTAAGATATCATAGAAAATAATGCGTATAACAATATATATATATATTCCCAGAGAATAATATTAGAATTTTTTTCTTAAAAGAAAAAAATTCTGGAACCTTAAAATTACGTCGATAAATGAAAACTGTTGTGGATTGCATTAACTTGTTTTTCAAATAAAATGAGCCTCTCGATGAACACATTTTCTAATTAAAAATATGTCTGTAGAAAGGATTGAGAATCGAAAAATAATCATTAATCCCGGAATACGCAAAGTACAGTGGTTTTCAAAAGATTTGATGAGCTTAGTGAGAATGTTAATCCAATAATCAGGAAATTTGAGAAAGGCGATCAAGAAAGAAATTTAAAGTTCCAAAAAAAAAACATATTTTTGTAGACTTTCTTATTTTGTGATGTAAGACGTAAAAGACATATTGTAGTCGAACAAAGGGAAGAATGATGTAGCTACAAATGCGCGGCATGAGCAGGAGATTATCCTAAAAATCACTTCAAGCGGTTTAGATGGTGAGATTCCATTTGCACCATCCATTTAGCACTCAATTTGAAAGCACTCAATAAACAGGATTTTCGAGGAGCTTTGAGTCACGTTTGGTGAAGAATAACGAGATTCTCTGTACGAAAAATTTTGACGATTATTATCAATTGTAGTGCGGGAAGGACTATATATGGAATCTAAAAAATAATAACCTACCATTTTTGACAATGTCAGCTTCGCCTATAAAAATTTACGGACTACATTTCCTTAAGCAAACGTTCAATTAGCTTCTCCCCCTTTTTCCTTCTCAATGCCACCAAAACAAATTGATTTCGAGAAATTAATTGAATAGGGTAGGTTGGCGAAACATACGAATGTGAAAAGAATCGACAAACCGCGCAAAACCCTTGGAAACGTTTGAAATAAATCAAAACTGGGCGAGGTGCAATTTTGCTCGAACAATCTGAATAATTTAACGCGCTCTTGCGATGAGCTTTCCACAAAAACGACTACAATGAGTGGTGGATTAAAGTTCATCGATTTCAGATTTATACTATTTGGTGAATGTCAAACAGCTTACGACGTCGTCAGGAAGCACTCTTCAGAATCAACAAGTACTTCTATCATAATAGAAAGGGTACTGTACATCAATATTTTAGATCAAAACTGCTGCAAATAGTTTCACGTTGGGAAAAATGATCTCCGGCGAAAAGTATGAAATGACGATCCGTAGCGCGTACAGCCAGGATGTCATATCCCCAACTGCCGCCATCATCGAAATAACAATGCCACGTGGTGGGTATAATGCAAAAAAAAAGAGTAAAAACAGCGAATTCATCAATTCGTTGGGAAGCCGTTTCGCATGTTTACAGCTTGAACTTATTCTTAATTTGTAGCTGAAAATGAGGCGTTTGTATAGAAAACAGCAAACTCAAATTCCTAATGAAACCTTGATGAAATTTCTTTTCTTGATATTGATTGCTGCTTGCACTCATTAGTGACATATATTTGTTGATGTTGGGAACCCTGCGAAATTAGGTACATATATGTAATTAAAGTTTCATGTATCGGAAAACGCCGGCTGCAAAGCTTGCAGATGGCTGAATGAGATTCAGATGACGTGTGAATAAAAAGCTCATTTCGCTCACAAAAATAAATGAATGAGGTTGACGGAAGATGATGAATCCCCTGAGTGGAAACTTAATAAATAACACTGATTCATTGAGTGTTTGGCCATTTTCAAATAAGGAATGTTGTTGAGAAAAATCCCAGATCGAAAAAAAAACAGACGCACACAACGGGAAACGTATAGTTCAAAAAAAGAATGTGTAGACTTTATAAAAGCAACGGCGATGCTCAACCAAAAAAAAAGGAAGAGATGTTTTTTTTTGGATAGAAGAGCGATGTGCTCATTTGAAACTCTTATAAGCAAAAATTTCAGAGAATGAATACTTTGAGATTGGGAATTTGATAATAAGCTCGCATTTCAAATCGCCAAATAATGGAGTGGTGAATCTTACCTGGGAAGTGCCGCCAACAATGAATAATAGAATTTCATGCAAGTTTCAAAACCAAATTGCTTTAATCATCATGAAAAGCTTATAGCATACAATGTGGAATATTCGGAAATGGGAAGCGGCTATTGGCAAAAAATCCAATTCCATGGTGCTTCATCCTCAGCAGCCCTCTATCATTTGAAAAGGTGCGTTTGTTACAAAACACGTAGAATGATTCAATTTATTTAATGCTCAAACATCTCCTCGGAATGTATATTCCCAAAGGATACTGAGTCCTGATAAATTTTCAATGTATTGTTCTGTGAAAGAGAAAATGTAGCATAATAGGTTATGACGATTTCTAGTCAGTAAACAATCTTGAATTCTATTTTTCTATATGTCAATTGGCTTTATTTGAAACATGGATAATAGGGAATTGATAAAGATTATGTCAATTTTCAGCAATACGGAATATTTGCTTCGTATTAAGACATTGATGATTAATAATATGATAACAGAAAGCGGGCAATTCCGATTCAGAACTCCGAAAGGTGTGTCTCTCGCACTCTTCATAGAAAGTGTTGTAATTTTTTTCAGTCGAGGCAAATCCCATCAAAAAAGTTGATGTTATATACTCGCATGATATTAATTCTGTCAAATTGCAATGGATTCTCGAGCCGTAAATTAATAATACTAAAAAAAAAGTTAATCGATTGCCACGTGGTTTCTAGGCATATTCGAAAGGACAATGTTGCCGGCTACGATGTGTATTTGAGTCAGAATAAGGTGAGGCAAAAACCTGTGGGGGGAAATGCATGGGACGTTGGATGCTAATCCGTTTCGTGCATAGTCTCTTTTTTTCGCGCCTTTACATTTAATCCATGTTTGATTAAAATGAGACAACAATATTTTGGGGGGTTTCAATTTCTTTATGTTCAGGACTTGCCGGATTCGCAGTGGAGACTTGTGAGGCTCAATAGTGCTGAGTCTTCGCTATCACTCAATGATTTGGAAAGTGCAACAGTTTATTACGTGAGAGTTAACGTGAGAAATCTTGATGGGTCTGTAATTCGTGCGCCATCAATCTACAGATTCAAAACAATTGGTAGGCGAAATTTTGAGTTTTTATTTTGATAATAACTATACTAACTATAATTTTCTTTCAGACTGGTCTAATCGTAACCCTAACTATGAGTTCAACCCGTTTGACTAACAGAATGTTGTGATTATTAAAATAAATGTGATCTACCTCAGATTAATAAAAAAAATGAATTTACTTGAAACCAAAAAAAAGAACACTGAAAATTCTCAGATGCTGAGGACAACGAAGACTTTGAAGGAAATTCGTTGTCATATAGAAATATTGCCCCAGGGGAAGTTGAAATCAAATGGACATTCCCGAAACAAATTCTTGATGGAGTGATTGGCAGGGAAATTGCTTAAAAACCACAATGTCTCGAAATTTTGCAGGATCGACGGTATTGTATACAGATCGAAAAGATCTCGCTCCAGAGCAATGGGAGAAGGTGGAAATTGAGGATTCCAGAAATGTAGGTTCAGATGGTTGTGCAAATGCGCGTTCTGATGCAGGTGGAACATTTGGAAAGAACAGAAATTGAAATTATTGACGTCAAAAAAATTGCTGTCCATTATTTCTGATTGTCGGCAGATCTCAAAAGAAGAACAAAAAAACTAAATTAGAAATTTTACTCTTGATTCACTTCAAATTTTTAGACCTCTTTGGTTTTGAGAGGACTTCGTGAAGGAACTCGATATTCGGTTCAAATTATTCCGCGTCTTTACACTGGAGATCAGGATCTCGAATCAAGAGAACAATTTGAATTGAAAACTGATCGAATTCGTATGTTCATTATTTTCACGAAAACTATTTGAATTGAATTTTTATCAAGGTGGCACTGAGGATGAGGTCCGCTTCATGTCCCAATCTCATCCGGCGTCAGCTCCAAAGTTCGAGCAAATGTCGCACGCTGAAACAGAATTTATGCGAGTTGTTAGCTGCAATCCCGATGCTATTAAGGTTCATTCTATTCAAATTCAATTTTCCATCACATCACTTTTTGTTTCAGAGTAACTGCGCATGGGATGAAATGTGCATCACCCGGGTTGAAGACCGAACCAAAGGATGGTGCATCCCAAACACTTTAAGAGATAGCATCCTCAACTCATAAAATCTAAATTATATATATATTTTTTTTTGGTAAAATATATAACCTGTATAATAATGCAATTTAATTTATATTCTTAACCTCGCCAATAATTATACTTAACTAGTATTGACTCCTTTACTAAACATGAATATTCGTGAAAAGACTGAATTTAAGAATAAGAAATATTCAATGAGAAATTTAGTGAGTCTCGAAGAATAGAAGAATTGTAGGAAAACCATCTAGAAATGTTTCGATTAATCACAATTTATGAATATTCTACGACAAAAATATTCATTCGACCAATAGCAACTTGTTCATGAAAAAATTACTTTTACAAAGCGGGTATTTGCAATTGAAAAAAAAAAATAAAAAACCTGGGTGAAAAAACAAAAAAACTGGACTGATTTCTCGTAAAATTATGAGATCATTAAATGCAAATTACCACAGCAAACCAAATAGAATGACCAACAAATGTTTGAATGAATGACATTATCCTCGAATCTCAACTGGATGATCGCGAGCATCAATCGCTTCCCGACCAAGAATCTCTTTTGCTTTTTGAATATCGGACCCGCCGGTATATCTGAAATTTCAGACTTTTCACATAAACACTCCATTAATAAAAAGATACTTTAAATAAAATTCAAATTTCTTCAGTGTATCATATTTTGGCCGAAATTTTCGCTCCTTGGTGAGGCTGAAAATTAATTATAATGCATATTTATCAAATTATAATTTACCATGAATTTATGAAAGTTACTAAGCTGGGACTAAACTCTAATGGGCCTCCGTTTGGGGTTAGCATTGGGGCGTCACCATCGACGACCTGAAATTAATTTAGAAAATGTCTAGAAATTTTCTATTGACTTACAGCTGCTATTTGCTCGAACATAGTTGTCCATGTGTTATATGGAAATTTTCCAGTCGAAATTTCATACTAAAACCGGTATATATTAGAAATCAAAGGAATTGATAATGGTTTTTACCAAAGTGATTCCTAAAGACCATACGTCCGCCCTAACATCATAATTCGAATGACTCGTAATTCGTTCCGGCTAGAAAAAGGAAATTGAAAATTTCGCAAAATAGATAATCTGAGACTCACCGCTAAATATGGCTGACATCCAGCATCATGGGTTTTGACTACTGAATCCTCTAACTGGCCGCAAATTCCAAAATCGCATAGTTTTACATCTCCATTTTTGTTTACAAGTATATTGGAAGGTTTCACATCTATAACCATGCCAATTATACGATATCTCAAAAAATGATGTAAATTACCTCGATGTATAATTTTGAGGTCCTTTTTCAGATAATCTAAAGCATCTACTGTCGAAACGGCAACGTGACCAATCACATTTTCGCTTAATCGTTGCCTTTTTTCGCGATAAACTCTTTTGTACAAGTGGTTCAATGACACATCCATCAACTCCATACATATCCAGCAGTCTCCCTGAAAAAAAAATGAGAGCCTTGAAAACACGTCGAACAATTTAGTTTCCCTTCCCGTTCCCGTCCAACTGTCTACAATTTTTTTTCCTGTACTCTTGAGAAGCATCGTTGTTTACTGAGAGAAACTCGAACAAAAATCAGTTGTCGATTTTCAGGAAGTCTTTTTTGAAAGGGTTTTGTGTAATAATTTGAAAACACATATGTTAAACTGAAGTCAGCGATAATTTTTATGTGAAAAAAAAGAAGTCATAGAGTGTTGGTACAGTAAATATTGAAGACATTTTTTAAAGCAAACAAAACGTTTTACGAAATTGTTCAAACTACACATTTCTGAGATGGTTGGTTTAATTATAAAATATTATATTACATTATCAGATTAAGTTTTAAGCTCAATTGTTCTTACTGAATTATATCTCATTGTTTTCCAATAATTTAATTTACTATATTATATTACACGTAGTATTATTTGTTTATTTAAAAAAACAATTCTCGTGAGATATCTCTTTTAAAAAATTTTTAAAAAAAATGTTGTTCTATGTTTTGATTTGCGACCATTCGAAAACATCCGGTGCGGAAGTTCACCAAATGTTTGCACTGAAAACCAGAAACACACCTCGCTGAATATTGCTCCAAAAAACTTGACTATATTTGGGCCTTTCTCCGATTTCATGATTGTGTCGTGTTCACGGAGCAATCGCGTCTTCTCCCTCTCATCAACGTTTGTACATCGAATCCGCTGAAATCACATCGATATTGGAGAATCGAATTAATGGCTACCTTGACTGCCAATAGCTTTTTGGTGCGGTTATGCTGCATTTTGCTAACCTGACCAAAATTTCCACATCCAATTGTCCCATGATCTATTAAATCGCACGACTGAAATGTGTACGGTGTTGGGTCGTCAGGAAATTTTAGCGTTCCTGTGGATAAATGGTGGCTGAAAAATATAAGCGGGGTTTTTTTTTAATATAGTTATTACGACTTACAATGCATTGTTCTCTGAAGAGACGTTCTCATCCAAGTTGATTGTCAGGTCCCTCCGATGCCCTAGAGAAGTTGGCCTGCATAAATCCAGACCATTTCGGTTCCCTTCGTTGTCGAGGAGCATCACCTCTGAAAATTGGCAATATAATACTATATTTTAATAAAAAATAAACGAAGAATCTATTATTTTAAAAGAATCACAGACATCCAATATTGCCTCCTTTTTTTAATTTTTCATTTTCCCTATAGACAAGAAAAAAAGAAAAATGAGTTTCCGTCATTTTGTTTCGCTAATCTTTCTTTTCTGCAAAGCACTAAATTGAATTTCCAGTTTTTTTTTCTCTGCTCTTAATAGCTAATTTTGTGGGAAACACTTCCGAGGAACGCATTACAAAGCTCACGTCTTCTTTTTCTTTGAACAAAAAAAGAGACAGATAGAAAAAAAACATTGAAAACGCAAATCGATGGTTTACCAACTGATAACAACCTTATCTATAAAGGGACACATACACGACAGTGTCAATATTGTTGAAAATGAGATTGTCGATTTGGTTTTGAGTGAATCGGAAATTTTCTGTTTTGCGTTCATTGAGACACAGATTCAAAGAAAGATAACGCCGATGATTCAGTGTCCCTCAAAACGTAAGAAAGCAATTTTTATATTTTTCATATTTCGGATTGAAATAATCAAAATTAATAAAATGAGCGCCTAAATATTTAAACATTTCATATGCAATTCAAATATTTTTGTGCGATTTATCGTGAGGCGAACGACTGGTGCGTGAAACGTTTATTTGTTCTATTTCATAGTATATTTGTTAGTCGAAACGCAATTGCGAACTGAATTGATGATTTCTATTAATTGTAGTTCAAAGTATTATAGTGCACTTGAGGCTTTTTGGGTTTTCAAAGCACTACTAGTGTTAGCATAACGCTACAAACCTATATGTTGGCGATGTAGGGTTGACAGACAATTATAAAATTTAAATTTTTCGCAAAAAGGATATGGATTGGGACCGATTTTTTTTTAATAGTATCTAGCTTGCTCATTTCAAACACTGAGGTACTTTGTAACATTTCGTCAAATTTCATAAAAATAATTGTCTGTGAGACTTTGTAATGTTTCAGAAGATTCACGCAATCCAGAATAATATCATTTTTCAGAATGTAGATCTAAGACCTAACTTGGAATCGTTGCCAGACCATTCAAGCTTCAACGATAGATGCATCTTCTCACACTTTATTATGCATTTATCGTTCTTTGGTGTATGTTATTGTTTTTCGGAAAAATAAACTATGCAAGTGGAACATCAAATTAATAACCAATTTGCAATTATGAGCAATTTGGAGCTACTCTAAAGTCAAAGAATCAGATTCGTTTGGGACGGTTGGCAGCTGAAATTGAAGATACAAAATTGGGGGGGGGGCTTGTCATTTTTGGGGTGCAAAACGCCATTAGCTTTTCATTCGCAATTACGCAATTAAAAAAATTTGACATTTCGATGGTGGGAGGCGGAAAAAAAGTGGGTAGTCAATAAAACTGGAAGAAAAAGTGGACCACACAATGAGAAGAGAGACTCTGCAACAAAGGCCTCAAGGATAACAGAGAATTGCGAGACGCAGAGGCCCTGGGGTCGCATGCCAAATGAAAATCAATAGTTGTGCGGGTTTTTCGAGAGAGAGAAATAGAAATGCGCGGCCGGACCGACTGGGCCAACGAAATATATGCGCATGCGTCAAATTTTATAAGCACTTTTTGATTTACTAGCCAACGCCTTGGCAACTACATAGGAACAACAACGCCCATAAATTTACAAGAAAGCGAGAGGGGGGCGGAATCGTAGCGACGCAATACGCCATGGAAATGGGGGGAGACACAAAGGTGAAGGTTACGGTGGAATCCAGCGATATTCGTATAATATATACAAATAGATAATCTGTATAGAATAAAAAAATATTATAGAATTAAAAAATATTGAAACATTTCTTTCAAAATAGACTATTTCATTGAACCTCAAAAAAATGTCAAAAATTTTGCAAAAAAACAAATTTTTAGGTTATTTTTGCATTATATTTTACAATATTTTTGTTTCGGCATTGATTATATCACGGAAAATACGTAGTATTAATCAATATTAAAAATTGAACCAACTCAAGCGAAAAAAGTAATTGAAGACACTCGCCAATAGGACACATTCTAGAAACGAAATTCTGTTTGGGGCAGTTATCATTAATTAAACAACTTTCAAGTGGAGATTTCAAGGTCATTTTGACACTACAACCAAAATTGGGGGATGGTATGATCAAAACTGGACTGTTCTCTCCACTACTTTCACTATTTGTTGGTGGAGAATGCAATAATTTGTCAAAATGTACAATTATTGAAATTTTTTGTTAAAGATTAAGACAGTTGAAAATTTAATTGAGGTTTATGATAAGGTTTCTCAAAGTTGTGAAATTTTTATTTTAAAATTTTAATATTGATTTCCATGAATGGGAAAACAAAACTAGGTTTCAGATTTACAGATAATTATATATCTCTATATACATTTTAAGATTATATATTTCAGTATGTTATTATTTTTTTCTGATGATCTCTCTCTTTCTGCTCTATGCATTTCATGTATTTTTAGTAGAGAAAATGAGAGTTAGAATTTATCCTTCGAATGGTAGGAATGTCAGATTTTTTTTTTCACAGAATGGAGAATTTTAAGTCTCAAAGAAGATTCGGAAGAAGTCCAATGGTGTCGGCAGTAAGTCAGGTGTACTAGTGAATTTCGAGGGCCGAAAAGAACAATTGACTAACCAAGAAGAAAATTTTTTGGGATTCAAATTCACCGGTCAATCCAAGGAAATTGCATATCATTAGTGCTGTGTATTTTATTCGCGGCACAATACGTCTAGAATCTTCCTCCCCTGAATGAACTCAGAGATTTACAAAGATAACGACAGATATCAAATCGGATAATGAACGATTTAAACAATTTCGATTTCAGCTATTTCAAAATATAAACAAGTGTGTGCTATTATTGTATTGAGTTTATAAGGAAATTTGGACTCTCACAAAATTTCGTTGACCTTAAATTTAATTATGGAACTCTTCCAACACATTTAGCTTCTTGTTTTCGAGCACATTAGTGATGCAGATGATGCATAATTCATTATATTTTCAGTATAGTCATTACTCATGCTATCTTCATCACGCATTTGTTCCGATGTGTGACAGCTTCTGTAAAATGCTAAATCAAAAACGGCTGTCGTCATTGGAAGCTTCATGAGCACGGAGTTTCCCGTGGCATTCGTTGGATCATTAAAAAAAACACTGCGTTGGCAGACGAATGATACAAAATCGCCAAGTGTTCAAATTACAACGGCGGTGGGATAAAATAGTGCTTAACTATGCGAGAGTTGAACTAATTGATGTGTTCGCCGGCATCAAATCTTGTGTGTTTTTATTGTAAAATGAAATATTGCCAATTGGTTTCGGCGAAATCATTGACGCTTGATTCATAGCGGATTTGCTATTGCAGACAGCTGGCTTTTCGAAATGAATAATTGAGCCTACGTGGGAGTTTGTAAAGGTTATCGACACATGATATCCCGCTTTCTGAAAATAATTTATTGGTTCATCATGTCCTATGGGATCATCATCGAGCGTGTGAGAAATCACGGAAAAACTGAAGAATTGATTGAATAACGATTGGCAGTATTCAAGGAACTGTAAGAGCTACCTGGAATGCTCAATTGTTTTGAATATTGATAGAGCGACTCGCAGCAGCAATTTTTTTTTGTAAATTAACATTAAAAAGAAGGTAGAGTAATGGTCAATTAAAATAATTTTTTTTCGTGGGTACCCTACATGTTAGAAAATGGATTGAAAGTTTTCAGATAAGCTTTTTTCAGATTGTTTTTTTAAATCAATTTTTTCATGAAAAATGATCAAAAGTATATGAAAAATCTGTCACAGAATTCTTCTTATCCATTTTTATACATGTTCCAACGTGTTGTGTATTAGGCTTCAAATGCTATACTGCTTAAATTTTTTTAGGTGTTTTAGTGTTATATATTTCAGCCGAATTAAAAAATAACAGCAAAATGCCAAAAATTATGAATTCGCAATTTATGTGTAAAATCATATTGAATATTCTCTCTTCCTTTTTTCCATATCTTTGGAAAATTCGTTAATGAAATTTCCAATATGAAAATGAAATAGAAAAACATTTTTGTTGAAGTGCCAACGCCCTGAGAAACTAATTATTGCACTTAAGGGTTGAGAGATGTTCTTGAGGAGTTGAATTCACATATTTGGTCCTGATACCATCAAAATTCGATAAGTCTATAAATATGTATTAAAGAAAACATGTTGAGCTTTTAATTAAATAGGCAATTTAATCGTTGACCTATTAAGAATTCAGCATTCAACCTGTATGTTTATTTTATAAAATGAAATAAACAAAAAATTGGGCTTGAATTTATTGTTCATTTGCCAATTTTTTTTCCAAAATAATTATTTTATATTAAAAATAAAAATATATAATATTTAGATTAGAATATTTGATTTAAACCAATTTTAAGAAAATGTTAATATTAATTTTTCTTGTTGGATGTTCGGTAATTCAATTATCATCTCTTTAAATCATTTGTAATAATTGAATATTCCTTATTAAGGGATATTTTTTCTTTTTTTTCTGCTTTTTTTTTGCATTTTTTATTTGAAAGCTTTCATCAAAAAGCTCACGCGATCCCATTGAAAACATACAAACGATTGATGAGCCAATTAATCAGCGGAACAGCGCATGGTTTGTTGCATCTTTAGTGTTGATGCACTCATGTCGCAATATCCCAGTGATTTTTTTTTGTCGCGGTTTTCACATCACTCGCCACTCGTCGAGCCATGGGACTACTTCGGCGTGTGAGCATTTGGCATTTTTTTTTCTCTTAAAGAAGGCGTTCCCCGTTTCTCAAAGATCCCGCCTTCATTCAAAATCAACTCTTCAGAGGCAAACGAGTAGCATATCAACATCGACAACAACCAAATGGTTTCTAGTAGGAGCTCATGGCTCCCAACTTTTCTGATTTGTTTCACTTTGGTGCCGGTAGGTCTTTTTTGTTTTCTTAGAACGTGCTTCGGTATTAGGTAGTTAAGAATGTTTCAATATATTGAATAACCTTAATCAATATTAAATAACAATTTAGAATAAAAGGAAATGACTCTAATTTTCTAGAATTTATTTTGATATTTTTACTCGTTGCATTACTGTAATTTAGGATTATTAAATGAATAAGAATAAATCTATCGTTCTCATTCCATTTTGCAATTATATATTGTTGAGCTTTTGGGAATTTGTACACGTCTTCATGACAATGATGACGTTTCATGGTGGCAGTGTCAATCATTCCGACGTATCAGCAATTTTTTTCTCAACCAACTGTTCGTTATATAATGTTCTCGAAACATGTCTTCAAGTCGAAACAGACAATTAATCAAGCGACCGAAAACATTGAGAGATCACATGTAATGATGAGATAACCGCAATGTTATATTTTTGAATGGGATTGAGCTAGAACGCGGAACATGAAAAAGTCATGTATCGGATAACGGATAGAAACGTGCAACGTTAAAAGTTCATGATGACAATTGTTACAACCTAATGAAGTCGAATGTGGTTGTTACAGATTTCGACGACATTGGATCCATGCGATAACATTTTTGATTATTACTGCGAAGAGAAGCCAGTTCTTCGACTATTCAATCCACGAAATGAAGCGGCATGTGAAATCGAGGTTGGTGCATGATTCGAAGAGTCCCGACCAGTGTTTATTATTTTTGAGGAGCATCAAGGATACACTAACACAACGACACCTGGAAGCCAGTTAAATATTGTTTCGCTGAATGAAAAATTTATTCGATTCAATTCAGAAGCTTCACAGATGTCGTTGATCTGACGATCGTATCGAAGTGGCTTGTGGAGATTTTCATTTTGAAGAATGGAAAACATGTTAAAATTCAAGGCGAACGGCACAAGGCGTTTTTGACAAAATCCAAAGAGGATCAAATGTACGAGATTATGGAAATCATTGAGCCTGTCACCCTTGAAGTAGGCAATCACAGACCGCTCAACTGATATATAAATTTGTTTAGTATATTAACAAGTTCTACTTGGGTTTGAACAGTACTGTTACGAAAATGAGAGAGTTGAAGCTACCAATAAGCCGGAAGAATCCGTTCTATCACGAAGAGTTTGAAAAATTCCGCATGATGTTCATTGATAACATAAAAGTAAGAAAATTTATTGTTTTTTCATTTCAACAAGAATGTCTAGAAATATTCGAGAATATCGAATGATGAAAAAGAAGATGCGATTGAACGACTCATGTCGCAAAAACCATATTTTGCGTTTTTCAACTATAACAATGTGAGTAAATGGGAGGAAACGAAGGAAATCTACGAAAAGGAATATCATCAGATGAAATCGAAAATTCGTCAAGAGTAAAATTCGAAATGAAACAAGAATTCTCTAGTTTTGGTGATTTAGGGATCTGGCTTTGAGCTATGCGGAAAAAGCAATTCGAATTGCCGCTGCCGAGAAGGCAACATCGCATTTAAGGGAATATATTTCGGAATTTTCCGAGCGATTTGTCTTCCAATTAATTATTGGCACTTCGACTTTGGATTGCTTCAATTATGAAGGGGAAATTCATTTCGGTACTTTGGCACGATTTGGAAAGCAATCTCAGAATGAATATGTAATAGCAATTGTATTTTTTTTGAATACAAAAAAACAACTGATTTTCAGCTTCCACAATTCCGATTCGTTATTGCTCATGAATTGGGGCACGCATTTTATGATCTTCAAGAAAAAATAATCAATCCTGATCTTTACGAACGAGAAGAAAAATGCGTGAATGAGAGCATGACACAATTTTCTATAAATGGAAATAATGTGCTCGCAATGATAACTGCTCAGATTTACCAATGACTATTATAGATACCTGGCGCAAATTACAATCCACAAGACAATATTAACGAAGATTTTGCAAATATGTGGGCTACTCGCTTGGTTCTACAGGATGCTGCCGCTTCGGCATCAAATAATGATGATGTGATACTCTTGGTGCATATTTTACATTTGAATATCAATTATAGATTCGAAAAACCGTCGAAGTAATCTTCAAACAGTTCTGCAATATGAAATTCTCTACAAGCTCAACACTTAATCCAGCTTTGATTTCTTACAATTTCATGATGGCTCAACTTCCAACATTCAAGCAACTATATAATTGTAAACCTGGTGATCGAATGTACATTGAAGACGTAAGACGTAGTCATACATGGATTTCAAGGAACTTAATATTTAGGATCAAATTTGCACAAGTTTGGATACCCGTTTGGTCTCGGAGTTGTATGAGCCTCAAGTTCTCTCCATGGATGATCTTAAGATTGTCTCGGAGAGCATGAAAATTTTAGAGGAGACCGCTGATGACGTTGAAGAGAAGATTCAGAAGATTGAGGACGGTGAAGTTGTTGAGGAGGAAATTGTTGATTTGGTTGATATAAGCAAAGAGCTCCCAATAAATGAAGAAGAGGATGACGAAGTTTTAGTACCCACAGTTACCGAAGAGTCAACTGAAGAGCCAACGGCTGAGCCAATAGAAGGTCCCACTGATGAGCCAACGGTTGAGCCGACAGAAGTCCCCACTGAAGAACTAACGGAAGCGCCAACAGAAGAGGTCGCCGTTCAGCCAACAGCAGAACCAATGTATGATTCTATGAAAGGAAAAATTTTTTGAGAATATGCATATTTCAGGGAATCAGTGGAGAGGGGCATTGACTTCTTCGTTATGCTATTTGCCGTTTTTTTCTTTTTGTTGAGATTATAAAATGATCGCCGACATCGCGTTCTGCCTTCAATATCAACAAACCTAATTCATAATTAACCTCTGTGAACCCATATAATCCCATTCCTTGTAAACCTTAAAGGGAATAAAGATTTTTCAAAATCGCGGGATGGCGTTTTTAAATGATATCGAAACATGCGAAAAATCACATTTCCGCGTTCTTCCGTTTATTGATAACGAAACTGAATCTTTATGAAATTCGACACCGATTTTTTGGCGCTTCTCGTTTGACTCACTCAGTCGCTTTTTGAACTCAGAGCATGTGGGCCTGCATTTTTTTATTATTTGCTTTTTACTTTGCTATTCAAAGCGTGCAGGTTTCAAAGATTGAGCTTCATCTAATTATTCGTTTATTTTTTGTTTATATTGAACCATGCAATGATTTCTATGACTACGTGTGCCACAAAGATGATCGTGTAATAAAAAATTTCACAGTGAAGGATTTTGAAAATATTCCGGTAAGCGTACAGAAAGCCATTTTATATTTTTAGACTGTATTTTCAGCTTCCCTATGGTGAAACCATTTCAAGTCTTTCAAAAGGCTTGAATTCATCAATGTGAGCGATTGCTTCGAAACACCTATATATGTAGAATTTTTAAACCCCTTTACAGACTAGTGGATCTTCGGTGTCTTCTCAAATGGTATAATGAAATTGATATATTATTTGGCGGTCATGTGTTCGTTAATATTGCTCACAAAGAATCACACAAGCAGCGTTTCAAAAAAGTTATAAAGCGGCTCAGCAACGCCAACATCAGTGTAATCAATGGGAAAAAAATAGGAAAACGAGAAAAAAAAAAACAATTTGCCCACATTTCAGTATGTCAATGTGTATTACAACGCGCTGGTTGCATGTGTCGAGATCCTTACAGATGTCAAACCACCAATATCAAAAAGAAACACGTTTTTGCATTGGGTGTTCAAAAAACTCAAAAACGCTACAATTCAAGAGATTGAGGTTCAACTTATTCAGATTAATTATTTTTTTATTATTTGGGTGAACAGAGAGTTGACACAGAATTGAAAATTTTCAACGCAAGTATATTCACAAAAAAATAGGGTCGAAAAAAAAGATTGACCTCTAAACTTGTTCACGAAATTCAGAGTGACAATTTATTTCTGAATCGTTCTCTTTTTTTTTTGAAGACCAAAGGTCTAAATGTGAAATTCTTTTTTTTACCGTAAAACCTTGAATCATAACCGGTAGGAAATTTTCAGGATAGCAGATCTCTCAATCAAACAGTCAAGAAAAACCTAATTAATCGAGTTCTCAATACTCATACATTCTTTGCTCTTTATGACTTCAACAATGTTACCGTACTCCAAGAAGCAAAAACGGTATTTGAAAGGGAATATCATAGAAAGAAATTGATGCTTTCCAAAGAGTACTATCGATTTTACTGTTTTTAATAAAGCGATGAATATTTTCAGAGATCTTCAACATCCCCTCGCTGAAATTATACTGAGACTTGGTGCCATTGAAGAATCCATGGGTGTGCTTAGAAATTATGTCGATAAATATATCGATCGGTTTATATTCCAAGCCATCGTGGCAAACCCAACCAATGATGCATTCCAGTATTTGAACAATAATCATATCACGGTGATCACCAGAAATGATTTGAAGAAGCCAAAAAAGGCGGTAAGCTTGTGCATCATTTAATTTATGATCCTGTGGATTTGTTAAGCTTGCTGACACAATCTTCGTCACAATCCATGAACTCCTTCATAATATTTATCCTCATGGCAAGGATTATATGCCTAGCAATGTGTATGAGACAGCTTTCAATTGCACCGCACAACATGTCAAAAGAATTGGAGAATCCGATCAAGTGGCAAGTTGAATTTTGTTTCGCTGGAGGAGGGAAGAGGAATTGAATTTCAATGTTGTTTGGAAGGCGTTCTCAATTTCCACCAGCATTTTTTTTATTTCTTGTAATAAAATATTAGAAAAAGAGAAGAAGTAGAGAAGAAAATTGAATTTGAAGTGAAAAAAAAGTAGATTTCACAAAAAATTCAATTAGTCTGATGCGAAGGGAACGAGAGGACAGAGTTCTCACAAAGACAAGAACTGAAATTTTTTCAGTTTTTTTTTCAGCAAATTGGGAAAAAAACATTAACCGTCATAGAACCTTGACATCATTTTTGTAATTTTGATAAGATAATACTGGTTTATCATATTCTTTCTATTCAGTAATCTTTGATTTACAGAAACCCGAATCTAAGAAATGGTTCAATTATGGAAACGTTCATGAGGATGTTGTCAATATTATGGCTTGGCGATTGGTTATGAAATTATCCGCACAGGAGTCGTATAGTGATGATGAGGTAATATTGCAAAATATAGTATGGAACTGACAATGAGTGTCGTAATTTAACGTATCTGATTTACTATGTATTTTTATAATTCCTTTTCAAATATTCATTTTCGTTAGTTAATTATTGTTTTTTTTAGCTTAAAGCCACGATCGAAACCATCATGTCAGGACTTTGTCGTCAAAGTGTTCGAAAGAATTCTCCAATTCCATTCCATCACCCATTGGAAATTTCATTAAATAGCGCTGTTGCTCAATATCCTCTTTTCCAAAAGCTCTACAAATGCACGAAAACGGATCGGCTATATGTTGAGCAGGTTAGAATTGCTGAAAAAAAAACAGCATTAGCAACGATTGGTCTCGATCCTGTGACATGTCACGTCAAAACCAAATACATATAAACAAATTTAAAATGGTGTCAATTTTCAGAGTGAAATGTGTAAACCATTTGGCGACGAGGAAAATATTGCCAAATATCATGCAAAAGGGTCGAGTGAGAGTTTAGGGTTTTTCGATGGATTGCTGGAAAATGCGAGAAGAATGAATTTCACATATGAAGTCGACAATGAGATTTAAATAATGGAATTCAATAAATTTGTGCATGACGTGAATGAATTGTTTTGCAAGAGAGAAATTGTAATGTAATTAGGAGGCGTTAGTATGCTAAAAAAAAAGTGCCTTATTGTAGGCAAACGCCACAATCACTACATATTCATTCATAGTACGTATAAACAATGTTCTTGCAAAACCCGCTGCATGCAACAATTTGCGGGTTTTGGCACACGTTTGAAGTGAATGCAAAAAGGCTCAAACCCATGAAACTCTTCAGCCAAGGGATATCGAATTTTCATATTTCACGATCCAGGAAGTTTTTAGTATATGTGCATCAATTGATTAATTTTTCAACATTTTTTAAGCATCTTTAAGCATCCATTTCCTCTCATTTTTCTAAAACTAAATATCGTCTTGAAATTTCTTATGAAAATCGTCATCCTTTAAATGTTGTGCAATATGACCTACTTACATAACAACAACATTCATCGAAATTGTACACTAATTCCTCATCTTTTTCATTTCTCTTCCCTTGAATTTTTATTCCTCTTTTTCTTTCGCATAGACATTAATATACAATTTTTTGAAATTTATGCATGAAGCTAATTAATTCAAAACCTCCAAATTATATAAATCGCTTGACGAGTTGGGGATAAAAATTATTTTGGAGCAGATGTTCTCTCGCTGATTATAGCAGATCCGATTACAAAGAAAGACAAATCCAATTATCTAAAATAACTTAATAAAAAATATTTCGGATTTCTATAGAATTAGCTTTAATAAAATTCTAAAAAAAAAACAAACATTAAGCTCTGGTTTTGCTACGTCATTTTATTTTTTAAAGCAATAAAAGTTTCTAAGAATGGATCCAAGACATAACTATGTCATGCTCTTCTTCTACTACTATATACACCTGCTATATTTCGACGTTGTGGCAGATGGTACCGTATTCTATTGACGCATGTGACCTTTAAGTATTAACACATGCTCTTTATAATCAAATGCTAATCACCATCCGGAAATAGTTTATTAGAATAGATTTAAAAATAGAATTTGAATGAATGAGAAACATTCACATTGAATAAAACTAGGTAATTTTTTAAAATTCGAAGAGTAGTGAAATGTTGTTTCAATTAATACAAATAAGTGAGGAGCCAAAATCACGAATTCCTTGTTGAGATATACCAATAATTAATTTTGCAAATTTCTATGTTCTACGTAGGTAATTATAATAATGAAGGCTTGCAAGATAACCAGTATATAATTAGAAGCCTGCAGCTACAAAAATCTGCAATTTGTTCGCATTTTTCTGAAAAACTTCAGGGTTAGAACGTGCATGCTCTTAGATTATAGAACAATATTCTAGATTAAAGAACAATATTTTCAGGGTTTTAAGATATCTAAGAATTCCTAACCTCTTAATAACCATTATGTGATGCATTATAATCCGACTCATAGCCCACATTTTTTGAGCATAACAACAATGATACATTTTTTTTTCTCTAATCTCAAAATTTTTTTCCCAATTAAAAGTATTAGTCGATTAATTTATGTATGTCGAAGATTTTGATTCTCGTCTTTGTTCCTCTTTGTCTCTCAGTTTTCTGCCGCAAAGTTCTTGGACCCGCATTTTTGCCAGCTTTCGTTGTTTTTTTTTTGGTCGGACTCCATTTAGGGCAAGATGAGCATGCAAATTGACTACTCAAAACTGCAATTAGCCATCTTTAAATTCGATTATTAAAAAACGCGCTTGTTAGACTTTAATGTCTAAAAAAATTGAAAAGCAGAAGCAGAATACGATATTTCGAATTACCCTCTCCCCCCCCTCTCTCCTATATCATAGAGATTCTAAATTGAATTTCACGTCGTAGTCGTCTCAACTTTTTTTTTCCGGAGAAACGAATCATCTCCACGCGAATATATATCCTTCAGAAAAAAACACGCGGCACATTTTTTTTTCGACATTGCACTCTATTCTGATTATATATAATTTTTTTTGGCCGTTTTTGTCATTATTTCCCTCATTTATTTTGCTTTCAATTTGTCTAATGGGCTGTATGTTATGAATTATTCAAAAAATTCGCGTTGGTGGAGGTTGATGAATAATAAACACTTATCAAATTTTCTTAATGAATAATAAACACTTATCAAATTTTCTCATTTCGGAAAATCGAACACAAAAAATGGGTTTTATTCTAGAAAACAAGTTACGAGTACTTAAGTGCACTCTGAATTTGATTTCTTTTTAAAACGAAAACATTTCCTTTCTCTGCATCCTGAAAACGTATCTTGCCTGCCTCACAAAATTGCGAACAATTGACCAAATTCCAAAAGGAACCTCGGAAGAATTCTTGGGTTAAAATTTAGAGTATAGATATTTACGCCCTGTATAAAAAGATAAGATTTAGGACCATAATATATTTCTGAAATGTTTCTTTTTAGGATTCATTTAACTTCTAATCGCATAATGTTGATTACATATATTTATGGGATATTTATTTATTTTATTTTGCTTAATCATAATTTTTAGCACTTTAGTAAACATTTGCTGGTTCAATTTCAGCAATGCAGAAATTACTATTCAAAAATAAAGCCAAATTATTTAATTAAATGAATTTCTTAATAAAACTATTTTCAGAAACTCAATATTTCTAGCAATTCAAGGCTGTTTGATATTTAAATTTTCTTGAATTAAAAATAGCAAAACTGCATTACAGTAATAATTTCTCGAAAAATTGAAAAAAAGAGATTTGTTAATAACAAATTCCACGTCCAATTTTGACACAGGGGAATTATAATATTTGTTAATTTGAGAGGACTACTTCTAATTTTCCAATTAATTTCATTTCTGTTTCTGACTGCTTCGAATTTCAATTACTATTTTTTATCATTATTGATTTGAAAAAAAACTTAAAGTTACATGCATTTCTATGAACAGGATAATCCGTAAAAACAGAACTATTTCACAGGACTTTTGATTTAAACTGATCACTAGAAGCACTTCGCCATTTTTCCAGTACTTTGAAACTGGAAATGTTCACCTCAAAATAATTACTGTACTATCGGGAAATTTGTTTTTACTTTTTATATTACAAATATTATCTAAATCAAATTTAACTATGTAAAAATTCCTTTCTATAATAGAAAAGCAGAAAATTGAAATTTCGGCAAAAACCAATATGTCTCAAATTTCACTTGATTTTAAGTTGTTTTTCACATGAAAAGTGTTGAACATCTTTTTTTTTTGAAGAAATATTTTCAGCTACCAACAAATATTGTTTCAATAGCCTGCGGCAACGATAAAAGATCAACATTTTTGTGAAACAAAATTCGTGCAAATTCTCATAGACTTCCTTCTTTGGGTGGCTTATGAGATCGTGAGAACCGACATTTCTTTTACATATTCATCAAGTATATGCATAATTGGCATTCAGCCATTTTTTCCAGTATATTTACTTCACGAAATTTGAGTGAATACGCCCATTCAACTAATTCCACTCCTTATTGTTGCTCCTATTCATACATACCTAGAAGTGCCCTCAAATCCCGGATTAATGCAATTTGTGGTCGCATACACGTGACTATGAGTTTCAGGCTTCGTGCATATTAGAAATCACATTATTGTTAATTGGGTTGGGTGGGGAGTTAGAAAAAATCTGATTTTATTGCTCTGATGTTGAAAAAATAATATTTTAATCTAGGTGTGATGTGAATGGGAAATTTCAAAATGGATCAATAGATAGAAAATTCGAATTGTAATTCACAGTATTAAAAATTAGTATTTTTCAAGTAATTGATTTTTAGAAGTTGGTCCCCCTATGATGCATATACACTATAAGTCATTTCTAAGCTTTTGAGCTTTCCTTCTACTAATCTCGCCTACGTGTGCAGGAGATGTACATTCAGAACAACAACATCTAACGGATATTTTTTTTTCAAATCCCGTTTAGAAAAAAGTAAAGTCATATTTCATATTCGATTTTTCGGCAGAAAATAGCATAATGCAGAGCTTTTCTGATTAATTTGAAAAAAAAAAAAACATTTTTTGAATAGGAAAGCTCTATATGATAATCTCGGAGTAAACATGCCGATTTAGGAAGCACGTGGATATTGAGGATCATAATAGTTAAACACTTCAGCAATATTTAAAAAATCTGAATATTCCTTAAAAAATATGTTTTTTTTTGGAAAATATTCACAAAATTTCTATTCAAACGTGTTTACTCCGCTCTTTTGTGTATCCCGCCGCAAATAGATGCAAATGCATTTTTTATCTCGAACCAATTTCTATGGTAATCTCGTGGAAGCGTTTCTCAATATATCCGGCTCTAATCCATGCCACCACTGAGCAGCACCACCTTTTTTTTGTTGCGAAACTTGGTCGCGCTCCACTTTCTCTTCTTTTCAGCTTTTATTCAAGTCTAGTCTTCTCCCCATTTTGAACCATCTTGACACGCATTCTTCTATTGTAAATATGTTGTTTTTCTTGGGCCAATGCTTAACACTTTTTTTTCCGGCATGTATGCTAGTTTTTGCTTCACTATGTCGCCCCCACACGTTTTGGAGCCTCACAGATCCTCGGCAATTTTTTTTTCTTTGTTCGAACAATCACGGCTCTTGTTTTGTGAGAAAAGTGCTGCCTGAATGTTTTGATTGAAGCGGTGCACTTGAGATGCAACTCTTTTCTATAAATGAACGAAAAATCTGCTCAACGATTTCATCCAATTTTTCCATTTCAAATGAAAATTTATTTTATGAGCTGCAAATTTCACATTATTCATTTTCTGCACAACTAACTTATGAAGATAAAAAAGTAGTTTTTAAAACACTATTAAGAGGGCTCGACATTCCGCATCGTTGATTTTGTCCAAATTCAAAACTACACCACTTTTGGCGATTTTAGAGAATATGGGGTGGCCATTGCTGTTCAATATGGCAATTCTCGTGGCGGTAATTGCGTCGACACCTGAAACACTACATCGCCTCTCGCAATCGGAGGTAATTTTTAAAATAATCAACTTTGAAATGTAATTACTATTTAGCAAGACCATTATTGGAATATGTTCAAAATGCGCGATGTCAATCTTATGGCCAAAATTGATATGAGATCATCTGGTGTGCTTTTTAGAACTCAATCGCCAGATGAACAATTAAAAATGGAGATTCTGATTCATAAAAGAACGGTGAGGATATTGTGGGCCAGAAAATCTTGGAAATATATTTTTTAAATTGCATCAAATGCCAACATATTTTTTTATTCTTTTGTTTTAGATTTCCGTTCAGTTCCCTGAATACGATGGCTGGCATCGCCGGATAACCTTCAAGGTTCCGAAGCATCTGGATGGTTCACACATATTTGACTTTACTCTAATGATAAACTCCAACACATTATTTATATATGATAATTGCACCGAAATCTTTTCCGATCAAATCGATGAGATGGACATAAGGTGCAAAAATAATTTGGATTTTATTTTCTAGAAAATTGTACTTCAGATTTGAGCACCCACAAATGGAATTAATTCCTGAATGGAATGGCCATTTCCCTATGAATCTTTCAATCGGCACCGGCTTCCCGTTGCGCTACAAATGTCACAATATTTCAAACCTTATGCCACATTATCATACACTTCGAATCGAGAATGTTGGACACCCAACGTCGTATAAAATTCATAGCTACCCAGTCAGCCAGGTGTTTGAAGCACCTGATGATTTCGACGGATGCAACGTAATAAACAGAGAATGTAAAACAATGAGCAAGCATTTCAAATTGTAGATTAATGAGGTTTACGTGAAAACTGGACAAACGGTTTCATTTGATTGCTATCATTGTAGTTGTACCGCAAAGTAAGAACTGGCAACAATAAATGTGTAGTATTAAGCATTTAGCAAAACTGTCGCTTGCAACGTCCCCAAATGTCCAAACCTCCACTGCAGAAACCCGGTTCTCCGAGAAGGCGACTGCTGTCCGAGCTGCGGCAAGAAGGTAATCAATCATAATCAGATATTGCGCAATCAGTAACTGCATAAAAATTGCAGTGCTATTACAAAGAATCGCACTCGTATCATCCGAATGGCGAGATTTTCTGGCCAGACCATTGCTATCGCTGCGTTTGTGATGACGGCGAGCTGAGTTGCGAGACAATGTGAGCACAAGTCGATAATTGATTAAAATAGTTTTAATGGTGATTTCAGAAAAAAACCGTGCCAAGAGCCGAAATGCCCTAAAAGTGATTGGATCTTCGAGAGTGAGCACCAGTGTTGTCCAAAATGCAAAAATTTTGCGGATTACTGTGCAATTCATCCCTGCAGTCCCAATGCTTCTTGTCATTCCGAGCGACGTGGCCCCCGATGTGTATGCGGATCGGTAGAAACACCAATTATACTAATTGGAAATGCGTCTACGTTTCAGGGTTATCGCGGAAATGGCACGGTTTGTCAAGATATTGATGAGTGCGCATTCTCGGAAGACGCCAAGGCGCAGGTTTGATTCATTTGGCCCTATTTTTAAGCGACACCGAATGAGGGAAGGAGGGAGTTTAGCGCGAGATTGAGGGCTCCCTTGAGATGGGGCAAGGTGTCATGGTGCGGTGAATAACACTACTCTTGGGATGCCTGTTAGTTTTAATAAGCACAATATGACGTGGGCTTGAGGAAGAAAAAAATTGGTGCCTTCAACAATATCGTTGAAGCTGTTCATAGGTGAAGATGAGGAGGGAGCTGATGTTGAGGATATAGAAAAAAAAAAGTTGAGCTGAGAATGCATGGAGGAAATTGAATAAGAAAGATTGGTATCAAGTCATACGAACTTGCAGTGGATAGATTTATGGGCTTCACATTTTTGCAACGGCGGGTCCCAATTTCCGAAAAAAATTGAGAGCTCATTTTTCGAACAAAGTCGGAGTAAAATTTGAGCGAACCGAAAACAATTGTGTGTATGGTAGCACTAATTTGCCGTCGTCTTCGTACAATATATCATAATTCAAATTTCAGCTTGGCGGATGTTTGAGCGGCACCGAATGCGTGAATACGCCGGGAAGCTTCCGGTGCAAATGCCTTCCAGGCTTTCAACGCGTCAGCAACAACATTTGCGTCCCACTCCTCCGCATCTAAATCATCATATCGGGCCAACAGCCAGCCTTCTCGACAAAGGAGAAAATAAAAACATACGAAACGCGTAGTATACCTAAATACATGGTTTTCCCCATTCCATTCTAGAGATACATATTTGCTATTTTCGATCCCTCATTTATTTTGAAAAAAAATAAAATCCGACCCGTTTCTCGCGCTCCCATATTTATTTTCCTTCAACCATCCAGACACTCTTGCTTATGTTCTGTGCATGTTATTTTTTTGGTTCAATGCTACTGCTTCAGCTTCAGATAATTGAATTCAATTTCGTGTTTCCCTCTACCTAATCTTCAATGCAAATAGCGTCAATTTGATGTTTGCACCACAGAAAAAAATCAATTAATAAGACAACATTTTTATTTTGCGATTCTTCTGTTTTTCGAATAAATCAATAATCGGGAGGTTAAAACTTCGTGAAACACCAATATCATCATTAAAAACCGGACGAATGAATACATAAGAGAAAGCATTTGTTTTGACAATGGCGTTTGCTCATTTGAATTCCGCATTATAATTAATAAGTTAAGACACACGAAACTGGTCAAAGGCCAAATATTTGTTGCATAGGTACAAAGGCAAGAGAACCTAATCGAAAGCATAATAATAATAATCATAACAGTGTACAATAGAATTGTTCAAATACTGTCAAATTCATCAAATTCGTCATATTTGGCAAGTGGCGGAGCTGCTCTGAGCAAATCAGCCACATCGAATCCGTCATCCTCGGACTCCAATTTTCGATCAATCTCCGCAAATTTCTCATTATCATCCTTCTTGTTCGCATTCAGCGTCGCTTTTTTCAATTTTGTTTTTCCAACGAACATATCCAGCTCCTCATCCTCACCAAGAGAGTCGCATTCGGATTCCTAGAAAACGGAATGAGAAAAAAATACAATTCGGCTTTTTTCGCATCTATTTTTTTTTGTGCGCCATGTTTCCTCTCCCCGAATTGTTTTCAAATCTCAAACATCGCCAATTCAATTTATTGCCTTTGCATTTTATCGCTTTTTAGAAAAAAAACTTTCTCAAAGTCTTGAAAACACAATTATAGCTTTTTCGGCCAAAAAAAAGCGAAAGACGAAGACAATTCCATTTCAACTTTTGGATTCAGTGGTTTTCTGAACTTTTAGTGGCGTTTTTTTTAGATTGTGCTGAGTCGACGAAAAATTTCTCATCAATTCTTGACACAAACTACACAGTTTTTTTTCTTGTTTTTGACAAGAATCATAGCTATTCGAAACAAGCTTTTACACATCGCAAAATTGCCAAACTTCACCATTTTCAAATATGTTTTTTTAGAAAAAGTCTACCGAAACATTAAACATTGTAATTTTATTACATTTTTGACTAAAAAAGATACATTGCTGCAAAAGAAAAGGAGAATATGAAATCGGTCAACAAAATCTCGGGTATTTTATTAATTTATAACTAAACTTTTGATCTGAATGAATATATTTTGTGTCTAAGGTTTTTATGATCTGATATCTGATAATTTAGAATATAAAGTTATTCGTGCATATATGTATCTGCATCTCGCATATACGAACAAAATGACGGCAATTTTTTGAATAAATTGTCATAACTTTACCTATATTTCTCTAATTTTTCTTCTCAAAATATCAAATATTAAGTTCAATTTGTGTTTTATTTAGCAAATCTACCTTATAATAGACATCATCTCCATTCACCGCACGCTCAAAGTTCTTCAATTGTGCCGAGCTCGTCGGCGTCGCCAATTCCATTTCGTGCGCGTGCTGCACTTCGCTACAATCAGAGACGTTTCAACAATATTAGCATGCTCCAAAAACTCACGGTGCATTTGATTTTGTTATCACCGCGGCGAGTTGGCGTTTTTTGCCAAGGTCGCCCTTCTTTCGTTTTTTGAATACTTGCCGTCGCGCATAGTTCGCCTTATAAGACGCCTCATCGTCATCGCCCGAATAGACGCTTTGCTGATCGGCTGATGAACTCTCGTCTAAAACCGTCTCGCATTTCGGTGAGTCGAATTCTAATCAAAATGCATACCCACAAAAACTTTACGACATTCCGCGTGATGTTTGCTCGTTGTCATAGTCTTGGCGCATTGATACATATGAGACAACGAGTGCGGTTGACCAAATAAAGCGAGTTGAATCGACTGAAGGCGTTCTCGCTCAAACCGATCCCCCTGAAATTTCAGCAAAATCTATTACATTTCTTCATATACATGTTATAAAGTCGACTAATATGCATGTCTCTGTGTAATTCAATTTCTCCCCACGGCTGACTTTATGTTCGCTTTCTTGGAATAGAGATAGCAGCATTCTTATCAAATCTCAGGTGTAACCCAATTTTCGCAGCATTACTTTTTAGTGTTCATGTACTTTTAGTGTTTCTGAGCACTCAATCAAACCAAATTTTTTTCCAAACGAAAGTTGTAGATTTTCAATTTTTTTTGGTAGCCTTAGCTCAATTTTTCTTACAATGCTTACCACTTTTTGGAATGTCGCATCCGTTGGATGATCGAGTCCGTTCGGAATCGATGAATATTTTTCATCAAACGCCAACATTGCCAATGAAATTCGATGCGAAACGATATCCGTCGGTGATTCGATATCAGCAAACGCGGTGACAATCTAAAAAACAAACAATTCGGCGTATTCACTTGAGTTTTCGCCTTTCCAACCTTCCAATCCGTCTCATTAAGCAATACATGAACCATGACGCAATCCGTTTCGTTCAATTTCTGTTCGAGTTCCTGCCGATTTTAATACGTTTAATTCGCGTTTGAAAACGAACGAACCTTGCCATGCCTTTCAGGAATCGTTTTGAATTCACGGATCGCGGCGCTCAACAAATCTGGACGCTCTTTGACGATATAAGCAAGCTCGGCAGGTACGTTGACGCTCGTCCTCTGCATTCCAAAACTTCTCGAAGCAGCCGCATCAAGTTTCTGTAATTAGTCATTCGGTAATTGTCAGCCATGTATGAAACATTTGGGTGGAATAAAAAATGAAAGTTGTGATCATGGCCCGCCAACCGGTTCCGCGAACAATATTGCCCGAATTTTCCAAGTTCATTATTTTCCAATTTTTGCTTCATTTTTTTTCCTTGTCGACCACACCCAATATGTACCTGTTTGATCGATTCCGTGACGAGAATATTTCGAGTCTTTTGCGATTCTTTACGAATCACGTCAATCTTTGGCAAATTCGGCCACTTCTTCTCGATTTCCGGTGTGATCACATGCAAAACTCCGCCATAGCCGAAGATCTGAAAAAAAAACGAAACCAAATTTGACAATGTTTTAAAATGTCGTTTAATTTTTCGTGAAAGCAAACAACCTACTAACTAAATCAGATAATTTATATTTCTTTAAACAAAATCACAATTATTATTTGATTTAAGCACGATTAAGAAAACTAGAACATTCCTCATATAAGCTGATTTATAGGTATCAAATCATCAGACGGAAAGTAGTCTTTTTAAAGGGGTTTTCCGGTTCTCCTTTTTTTCACATGATGGCCTACTGGCAAATCCGCTTTAGAGCACTCAAAACGCCTATTTTGAATGTTTCAGTGTTACATTCGCCATTTTTGTTTGAAAATTCCATTCCTACCATTCAACCATTATTGATGACTCATTTTTCTATTGCGCCAGTTCTTGTTCTTCCTTCGAAATTCTTGTCATATTCAAGCCCATAAAGTTATACACATATATATATATATTTTTTTATGAGTTGCGCACTGGCAAGAAAAAAAAGTTCGTCTCATTCATTCGTACATATTTTCCGAGACCCCTTTCTCCTCCTCTCGTCGAGCGGCCAAAACTTGCGCAGGATATGTCTTGTATGCGAGCTTACTAGTCGATAATTAAGGCGGCAGGTGGAAATTGGGGAGACAAAATTAATTCTCCCAATTTCCACCTTATTCTACTGGAAATACTCACGTTTTCCACGAATTTCTTCGCGTCCGTCACCCATTTCGGCACAACTTCATTTTTCAAACATTCAACGTAGAACGGATTCGCGTTCGGCGTCTCGGTTTCGATGCTAAACGCTATTCAGCATATACTATATCCCTTTCTTCTCATAATCGCTTACCGAAATACAAGGTCATCCAACTCGTTGGATAGCGAAAATAGGATATTGATTATTTTGTATGTTTCATTTTCGGCCAAGTCCAACGCAAATTCGCCGCGCAGCGGGATGCCCGAGTATCCTAAAGAAAGGTATTTTTTCGGCGATTTTCTAAACCAAATTTTTTTGTGAAATACCTTGGCAAGATAGCAATATACCAGTTGAAGCGAACACAAATTCTTTGAGCTTTTCGACAATACTTCTTGTTAAGTCATCAGCACTTGTCTCATTTCCGCGATAGATATAAAAGTATAATTTACCTTTATTACCCATGTTCGCGCTGAAAAAATTGGATATGATTGTTGTAATAGAAAACCAGAATGAGTAGCGCGAAGATATAATAACGAATGAATGAGTAATACTCAAGTGCAGCGGAGCGCATATGATGCCATCTACGTTTTTTTTTTCAATTAAGGGATTGGTTTAATTTGAACGTGAGAAAGTAACGGCAGTGGCAGTAAACGCCAGAATCAATTCCCCTGAGTCATTCAATCATTCTTCGTTTACCTTTTACCCGTGTATATTCTAGAGACGCATATGAAAAAAAGCGAGTTGTGAACGAAAGAGAAAGTGCGTTTTTGAAGCGTTTTGGGATGACAACATGTCAAAATGAGGCCGTCAATCTTTTTTTTTTCATTGATTTTTGGAACACTGGACTATGATAAATGTAGGAGTTTGTTCTGGACGAGTGTGAAAATAATGAGCCAGTTTTTAAGCGCAATTTTTTGGGAGGAGCGCGTGGGGGGCGTTCAATAAAAAAAAAAAGTGAGTTATTGAACAAATAGTGTCGCTAGCCAACAACAACGAATGTACCAGTTCGTTCCTTGGCGTGAAAGAATTGGAAATGCGCTAGCCACTATTAAATAGAACTAGTTTCGACAAGTCCAGAAAATTTTTTTTATTAAACTGATTCAGTTTGGTGCCAAAATTTGATGCACTTTTTCGATTGAAGTGGCGGCAAAATGAAGTGAAATAAAAGTGGCCGAAACACATGTACGAGACGAGAGAGAAAGAGATGGGATGCGAGTAGTTGAGGGGAAGGGTCATCGTTTTTCAAACAATTGTAGTGGTGGTGTTCAGTTGGTTCGTACACAGTGAAGGGAAGAGGAGGAGAAAGGGAGGGGGGGGTCGCGGGGTTTGTTCTCCTCCCGCCCGGAGCCGCAATCCTTGTTTCTCTCAATTTTCGTGAGCCTTTTGGCTATTTCGCCCTGCGGGCACACTAGTACCCGACGCACATGTATCGATTAGTGGCTAGTCGTGAGGCGCGAGAGCGAAGAGAGGGGGGGGGGTGACCCCAGCTGTGGACTTAGAGTAGCCTCTACCAACATAAAGGCTTTCCTTCCTTCCTTCCTCGCTCAGCCCCTAATCATCATTAATAAATTTTTTCATCTCTCTCGCACCGCCCCAATACAATTTTGTAACGCCCATTCAATAAATAACGGAGCTATCTATATCTATATGTATATATATATATATTTATATACATACTCTCAAAATTGAGAAAGAGGAGAAGATGAAGGAGTGGAAAAAATGAGACGAAACGAGAGAAAGAGCCTAGTCATCTTCTTCTCCTCCCCCTCCTACTCTTATACTCCGTTGCCTGAAGCATGCTTGTGCTCTTCAGTCTTCAATTTTTTTTTCGCTCCATTTATTTTCTTTAGTTTGTCTTCCTATGATTAGTGTTGTTAATTTGTGGTTTGTTGCTTCTAGGCGCGGCACAGACCATCATGGAGATTGAGAACATCGTCGCAAACACGGTATACATCAAAGCGCGAGAAAGTGAGAAGCTTGAATGGTGATTCCAGTTTTTTTTACCAATCTCTTTATATAGGTGGCGGGCAGAAGAAGGGTAAAAGCAAAAAATGGAAGAACTATTTGCAATTTCCACACTATACGGAGTGCTTATCGCTAAAAAACGATATCGATGCTAGTTATGAGTTTGTTGTCGAAAAGCAGCCCATCGGAAAAGCGCTCTTTCATGAATACTGTCAAGCTACCAACTCGCAATATCACCAATGTTGCGTTTTCCTCACAAAGGTTTGCATAAGCTTATAAGAAATTTATTTGAGTTTTAAATTCCATTTTAGGTTGAGGAGTACGAAACATCTGATGATGATGGTCAATCTCGTCGGGAGCTGGCTCAATCAATAGTTAAGATGTTGTCTCCGCAGCCAGATGAAAATCCATCGGTCGGTTTTCACCTGCGTTGCCATAATCTCAAACAGATTTTATTGCAGTCTTCCAATGACGAACAAACAATATGGTGCTCATTTCTTCCCGATGAGATCATAACATCATGCCTTGCGCTTGCGGACTCAGCCGCCCAAGAAACCGAACCTCGTAGCGATATCTTCAGCGAACCTTATAGGTTAGCCATCGTTCATATTCAAGTCAACGAATTTGAAATTCATAGACTTTTCATTAATGAGTCGCTCGCGCTTCTTGAGTAGGCAATTTCTATTCGCGCACATTTCGCGTCCAAGTAGTAGTGCAGCACAATAATAGACGAGCTAGAGGATGGGGGTGTGCTCGTTGTTTTTTTTTTGTCTGTAATAGGCTCTTTATGTTAGTATGATGATGATGATGAGAGTCGGAGAGCTGCAATAAATCTGGTGGATTAGCCAAACGCTGCAGCGTTTTGTTTGCTGGTGAGAATGTCTAACAATGACACCTCCAATGTGCAATAAATTTCTTTACCTATATTATCCAGAATGTTTTTTTTGCTTTTATTCTCAATCAGTTATCTCGTTTCTAGTTATTCGACTAATCGGCTTTGCGCTTCAGTGAAAGGTAGAATTGATTAGCATATAATCGTGAACATTGTGAGTTCAAGATTTGATCAAATTGACGCACTAATTGTGAAACTGTAATTACGAGAAAATACTAATAATAATAATAATAATTTTTTTCCTAATAAATTACTAATGAGCCCATGTATAAAAATATTTTCATTTCAGACTTGTTAGAGCATTTTTAACCGAGGAGCCTTTTAAACAATTTTCGGATTCCATGTATTTTCATCGATTCCTGCAATGGAAATGGCTTGAAAAGAGGCCAGTGGATAAACACACGTTTCGATTATACCGAGTCCTTGGCAAAGGCGGATTTGGCGAAGTGTGCGCTTGTCAGGTAACACGCTACTACTCAGCCGTCAATTGATTCGTCTCGGACGTTTATTTTTCGTTTTTTTTTGCAGGTCCGCTCATCGGGCAAAATGTATGCGCTCAAAAAATTGGAAAAGAAGCGGGTGAAGAAGCGCCATGCCGAAACGTTGAGTCTCAACGAGAAACAAATACTCCAGCGTATCAATTCGCCGTTTGTGGTGCGTTGCAATTTTTCTCCCCCTCCCAATAACACCACACACCCTCCCACTCTTCTTTTTCGTTCTTCCTCCCAATGGGGCGATGTTTGGGGGACGGGGGGGGGGACTCCTTCCTGCCTTACCCTCCGTCCCACCCCACCTAATGAGATGAAGTGGAGAAGAATTTGATACGATTTTATTTTAGGTGAGCTTGGCGTATGCCTATGAAACAAAGGATGCGCTTTGTCTGGTGTTAACATTGATGAACGGCGGTGATCTCAAATTTCACCTATACAACCTGATGCCGGGCGGATTTGACGAGAAGCGCGTGCAGTTTTACGCCGCTGAAATCACTCTCGGGCTTCAACACCTGCACAGCGAGCACATTTTGTATCGCGACCTGAAGCCCGAGAACATATTGCTCGATGATTACGGCCACGTTAGAATATCGGATCTCGGTCTCGCTGTTGAACTCAAAGAAAATGAAGCAATTAAAGGCCGAGTGGGAACCGTTGGTTATATGGGTATGCTGTTGCATTTTCTCATTTCTTTGCTACTGACGAGCACCAGGAGAAAGCTCGTAAAAATCGGGAAGATGAAAGAAAAAAATATTATTGTTATTATTTTTTCTTATTTATTGGTATATGCAAAAATAGAATGCAATTGCATAATTATAAATGAGCCGAAAATTTTTTTTCATGGAGATGAAAATTGCAGAGTACGAAATGATTTAACGCTACCCCTTTTTTCTGACGTAAAATTATTTTAGTGATCACGTTTTTTTATTTTCGATTGGTGCTACATATGAATTGAGACAAAAAAATTTGAGGCAATTATTCAATGAATTTTTGTATCGAATACAACACCATGTAAAAAGTGCGACATCTGTTTTCATTTTTTTCTGTTGTTGTCATTTTTGTTACATATATTTGGAATCTATTGCAAAACATATGGAGATGTATTATTGCGTTCGCAACTGGATCCACTTATTCCAAAAGATGAATGATCTCGATTTCCGGCCGCCATTCAATCATTCCTACATTCATACGGTGCTTTTAGTATTTGGCTCTCTTATTTTTCAGCGCCGGAAATTGTCAAAAATGAGAAATATTCATATGGCGTCGACTGGTGGGGCGTTGGATGCTTGATTTATGAAATGATCGAGGGCAAGGTTTGTATTCGAGTTTGCTTCATTTTCATATCCATCATCATAGGCGCCATTCCGGCAGCGAAAGGAGAAAGTGAAACGCGAAGAAGTTGAGCGACGCGTTCGCGAGGACCAAGAGAAGTATTCAGAAAAGTTTAGCGAGGCGGCTCGAACTCTTTGCCGGTTGGTGCTTTCCTCAAAATAAGCCAACACAACGTCAACCCGCAATGTTTTTTTTTTCAGAGGCCTTCTTCACAAGGAGCCATCATTCCGTTTGGGATGTCGACGCGTGGGAAGGCCGGAAGACGGCGCCGAGGAGATTCGCGCTCATCCATTTTTCAACACGCCGGATTCGAACACTGGAAGGGAACCAGTGCCTTGGAAAAAGATGGAAGCCGCTAAAGTAGATTAATGCCGCTCTCTGAAATATTCGAATTTGTATTGTAGGTGACGCCTCCATTCTGTCCCGATCCACGAGCGGTGTATGCCAAAGATGTTCTAGATATTGAGCAATTCAGCACTGTAAAAGGTGTTCGTCTCGATGCCAATGATACCCAATTCTATGGGAAATTCAATACTGGATGTGTCAGCATTCCGTGGCAAAACGAGGTAAACTCTCTCATCAAAAGGTAGTAGTCCACAGACGCTCATCAATTTCCACCATTTCGTGTCGATGAGTGCGAGACGGAGAAATAGATGGCGAAACTGGCAATTTAATGAGCCAACGTTATCCTAATTTGAATTTCTGATTATATGCTAGTGGCAGGAGCGGAATAGCAACATTATTCTGAAGAATAAGCGCACGTAGACACTCATGTATAAAGAAATGCATTTAAAAATTAATGAATCCCGAATTAGAATCGAGAGCATGAAAGTTTTTGAGAGATGCACTACTTTCTTCAAACTACATGAAAAATGACAACTCGAGAAATAAGCTATTAGAATTATGATGGAGAGGGACCAAAATAAGCAAAAGCAATCTCTTAATTCCTTCTAAGGCAATAATACGATTATAATTTACATTAGTCATATAACTAAATATAAATGAACTTGAAAATGAAAAAAATCGCATGTGTTTCAGAGAAATGCTTTAATTTGTAGATGATTGAAACCGAATGCTATGCCGAGCTAAACACATTCCATGAAGAAAACGGGGAACTCGTTTGGAACCTGCGGCCCGATTCATTGCTCAATGATGAGCGCCGAAATGGCACCAATAAGCCAGGATTCTTTGCGCGGTTATTCCGCCGAAAGGTAATCATGCAAGTCTAAACATGTCTTAAATGTTTATAAATAGCATAGTCGTTGTATTTTGTTGTGGCCGACGAATCACCATCTGAACAATAAAAATTGCCCTTTCTCCCCCACCCCCCTTCCCCTCAATCCAATTGTTTTTTGATTATAAACGGTTTCTTTTTGGTTGCTTGCAATCGGATTTTCAGAACGCTGGAGGAGGACATCATCAGCAACAGCCAACATCTAGTTCAAAAAGCCAGTCGTCATAAATGTACAGCATTGTGCCTTTTTGTATATTAAATACGAGCATATTATCAGCAACCTCGACGATCTCAAACCACCCATCCCCAGCTACTTAGGAATCTTTTATATGTGAGTAATTTTTACAACAAAAAAAAGATCACGATGAATTCGAAGGTGGGTTGCATGCGGAGAATCTTTCCCTATTAGTGCATTTGTTTTTAGTAAAGCACCTTAAGGGGGTCCCACGATATCATAATAATATTTTGAGTTTAATTTATTAATTTTTTTAAATTTCAGAATATTGAAAATGCAAGATCTCTACACGACCTTTCAAGAACTGAGAATGACAGTCAAATTAAATGTAGTGCGGCGCTTCGACAGAACCGCGCAGCTTCTGCTTGTGGACGCACAAATCTTATTTGAACTTGCCACAGCCTGCTATTGCGAATCTAAAGCTTTATGTGTGTATCAATTCGTGTTTTTGGTTTTTTTATTTTGAGATTCATTTTTTTACAGAGCCATCTATTTTCGTTTACCCCCTCCCACACTTCCCAGTTTCTCTTTCTCTCCCTCTCTCATTTTGTTTGAATTCTAAATTCGAAATTCTGTTACTATTTGATTAATAACGATATCGGCTTCTGGGTATCTATTTGTTTTATTGTTTTTTTTTAATATTTAAATTATTTTTCCTATGATTTTAATTAATAATTCGAGCTTTTTACCAAATCCCCAGATTTTAATAAAAATTTTTATACTTCCTTATTTGTTTGTAAAAAGCGCTCTCTCGATTTTATTAATCGAACGATGGGGGGGGGTGGGCGCAAAAAGCAATCAAAATATCGTAATAATGGAATCGCACAAAAACTAATCTTTTTCTAAGGGTATTAGAAAAATAAATGACGAGAATTCTTAATCCCAGAAATGCTAATGAATCAGTGCTGCGAATTAGGGTTTTACATCTATAAGACTACGGTAGCCATTTTCCAATTTCGAGCTGTCGAAATCGAATTCATTGCCATTCATTTCATTCCCAATAGTTTTGAAGAAATTGGCGTGGCACTCTAAAAAATTGGAAATCCACCGAATGCGATAATTACAGCTTTTGAATTGACGATGTGCGATGAGATGTAATCCGAATTAATCCGTCGAAATTGAGTTTTAGAAATTCTCAATTCAAAAATTGTACGTTTACGAAAATGTGGATAGATATCAATGTTCAAAACATTTTATCAATAATTTCTGACAATGATAATGTCCCAAGTGCAACGCGGTTGAAGGACAATCAACCGTTTTAAATATTGAAATAATAATGTTGGTTTAAAAATGGGGCAAATAAGCAGTATTTGCTGAAAAAATATTTCTGTTATCCTTTAATCGTCCAGTACATGAATGTACAAGGAGAAATCACCAAAATTTCGACAGTGGCTAACTCCTTACCAAAGAACATTTCGAAATAAAACCTTTGGTTTTTAGTTTTTTTTTTGCAAATTTTTCTCTATTGCTACCCTTTGTCTAGTTGTGCGTGGGAAATCGTCATTGCCACCACACGTAGGAGTGAGAAGGCGAACCAATAAAGCCTCACGATTCTATGAAATTTACGTCTCGTTACAAAATTCGTCTAGAGCTTCCGCAGGCAAAGAGTGCTCGTAATTGCATTTCAAGATACTTCAAAACGGAAGATGGTCCGCGAACTTTGTTTTCTTCCACAAAAACTCACGTTGTGTTCTGATTGCGAACTAGATTTTGTCTCGGTTAGCTTTGTCATTTCAACTAGATCCAATTTTGATAATTGGGTTCTCTCTATCGCCGAATGAAATTGAGCGAATTAATTTTTTCCCATGCCTACATCACTTGGGGTTCTTTCGGATTCCTCTTTTTGCGCGGACAAATTCAATAAATCATGTTATGCTTCTTCATTCGTTAGTATTTTCTTCTCCTCCAACTATCCGTTTTTTTTTCATTATTCCCCTTAAAGCTCATTTGAGATGTTCATAATAGAAAAATGAAGGAAGACTTTCAGCCGTGCGCAGCTTTACGTGGTGCTTCGGGCGTTATCGGATGAGCGCGGAGCACGTACGAAAACTGCGGACGGCACAAGTCGATCACCATGTAATAATTGAGTTTTTGCACTGATAGCAGCAGAAAGCAGACCTGAGGGCAGTCGGCTGGTTCAACAAGCCAGCACGTCGTATAGTATTATTTTGTGGAGCGGGGGAGGTGGAAAATGGGGGGTACCAAAAATGGGCGTGGAAGGAACCTCTCTCTCGTCAAAAATGGGCGGCGCTTTTGGAATATGTACACTGGCGACACGACAGAGAACCAGAGTGATGGTGCTGGTGTCGATGGAGGGGGGGGGGACAAAAATCTTTTTTTTTCGTGAAAATAAGACGAACGGTGAAATTGATGATGATATGAGGCAATTTATATATATACAGTGTCGCTCCTCCTCCATCCACGTCGGCGGCTGAATAGGAATCAATAAAACTCTTCCGACCGTCGCGTAAAAATTTTTAATGGGGGGGGGAGGGGGGGGGGCTAGGGGATTTTTTTTTCATGCATGTCAGGCTCGAAAAATTCGATAGGAAAAAATCAATATTTTTTTGTGAATCCAACCAACCGAATTGAATAATAGTGAAGTGGTGTACCTCAAACTTGTTGAATGGGTCTCGCGCGGCTCGCATGACGACGCACGAATAACACTAATAATTCGAATAAGAATATGGGTGAGAAGAAGGTCGAGAAAGGACGAATCTTTCGGCTGGTGAATAGTCATCTAAAACTTGAGAATCGAGTGGGCGGAGCGATGCGCAGGCGGCCGGCGACAAAATCGAGGTGAAGTGAGGTCGTTTGGTAGCAATTGGTGAAAGGGGGGGGGCGGCTGATCGAAATTTAGATACTGGAATGAGTACAACCGCAAGACACTCTTCAACAATTTCCAATGTAATCCATTAATCCTTGATTGTTGCAACAAAAAAATTGAAAATCGACAATGAATGTACATTTAATTTTGTAAGAAGGATAAACGATGATCCTTGAATATCATCGCCTTAAAGGGAATGCTCTTCGTCATATCATAATTAAATAGAAGAGCGTATGCGTTGAATTCTTCAACACTGTGATCTATAATGAAATCGTCGTATTCCTAATCTTGTTCCCTTTCAATTTTCGTACCACACCGTAATTGCCTTTTTTTCATTGACACAACAGAAATAAAAGTCGATTTGATAGCACCGATCTAATCGATTTCAACTGTTCATTAAAAAGGAATTGAGGATTGAAGGGAGGGTGGAGAGGGGGGGGGGTTGTGTGGTGAATAGCAATACATACAGTAGATTTGTTCACCTGGCAGCCTATACAAAATAAATTTAATAACAACGGAATGGTATATTGTTTGCGTATTGTTCGAAAAATGAATACAATAGCGGATTATTGGCCGCCCACATCAGCCAAATGACAATTCGAAAGTAATTAGTATGAAGATTGATTCATCGGAGGCCGCCAAAAAAATGATCCGCCCTGAAAACTCATTCTTATATGTGTAATTATATGCCGAAAATTGCCTTCGGAATGTGCGTTCATGCAATTGAAACCGTGAAATCTCCAAACACCGATAACTCATTGAAAAAAAAAAAACACATCGTGATTTTTTATTTTCTGCTGCTATGTATTATGCTCCTTAGTCATTTTATAATTTTTTGCACTGCAATCGTTATTAACGATGCGGTCTAGAATATGGCAAATTTTTTAGAATCGAAATTAACATCGAAAAATTATTGAACGTGTTGAAATATTTGGTCAAAATTTTGAGGTTCCTTAATCAAAAATTTTAACAAATCAAACATTTTCGAATTCATCATTTGACGTCTCAAATTGTGCGAATCAAGTTTGCAAAGTTCTCCTCTATTCAAGCGGAACATTTCCTTTCATCTGGAACTATCAATTGTATCCTTTATTTGTCGCGAAAAAGCTGTACATACGATCGTAAAAAAAGCGAACGCCATTTTTCGCACGCTTTACATTTTCTTTTATATTCCATAAAGCGCGCAATTTCAACAGGCAATGACGAAACACACTTGACATGACAAAAATCGCGTTTCGATGTCCGATAACACGCGCGTCAAATCTCGAATAGCGATCGTCTACGCCCGCGGCTATCAGAATTTCGAATCTGCCCATTCATTTTCCGATCTGCTAATAAGACCGTGTTTGGGTATTCAACACACACAAATTTCAATCTGCGGACGTGTTTGCATCCATCTCGCATACTGTTTGCTCTTCGCACTGATAACAACAATGATATATTGTTGGGCACGTCTGCCTGAATTGAAGGAACATCGAACCGATCGAAATCGGGCAAACGTTCTGTTTACAAAGTTCTGGATAACTCGTCATCGATGCGTAAATAAACAACCAACCAAATATGGCGGAACAAGTTTTGTGGCAGGTGTACTCAAGCCCAGGAAACCCCCAACTCATTCCTTACTATCGACATCATATGTAAAGTCGGGGTAATTAAAATTTCGTGTCGTTGTGCACACCAATTATCGTCTCAAGGGCACCGGCGTATTGTTTTCATTAAAATCGTACCGCCTTATATGGAACATGTAAAGGTACAAAGTGTATTCCAAACTTCAATGAGGATTAAATCATCCTGTCTCGCCGACATTCGAAGCAATATCACAGATGCACGAATTTTGCTGGTATATAATAATATGACAATGGTAAAAGAAAGAGAAAAAACTTCCCATTTGAAAAGAATAAATATAGAATGGCGAAGAAATAAAAAAAAACGACTAAACGAGTTACAAATTTTAAGATAGTCTTCATAAAATTTTCAAAGTATTGCAAATTTTCTTTGTAAACTATATACGAATCGTTGGAAACAATAAAAAAGGCGGTCGGTGCTGTTGGCAATTGGTTGAGCATAATTTGTCGCAAAAGATAAGATATCAAGTGGTTGACCCTGTGCAAAAAACAGTTACACCATCAGTTGTAGCATGAGCGATCATATGCCCATTGTGGTCTCCAGGTGCGCTCGCAATTGTTTACATTCTCTATCAATTTGATTAATTTTATTTAGAGTTACAATGGAAGACAACATGTTTGAGCCTCGTCCAATTCCACGAATTACTGTTGAAGCGGTAAATCCGTACGTGCCAAGGTAATAAGCCTCGTGCTCTTAAATTCATATTTCTAGTTTTCAGGCGATCAATAGTAGAGAAATTGAGAACACCGTATATTGCAGTGTCCGTCATTGCTCAGGTATTCTTATCAATTTTCGGTCGAATTCCTTATTTGGAATTATTATAGTTGACCCTTGGGATTCTTGGAAATAGTTTGACGCTGGTGGCAGACGCGACGCGAGTATTCGCTGATCATCTTGAGCAGTTTAACTATGATCGAACTGCTACACCGGGATCGCGGCTGACAGGTACCTGAATATGATGAGCCTTTCCACCACTCATTGTCCACCAATATTGAATTTTCAGAAATCATTTGTGTTGGAATCACTACTATCATTATTTTTCTATTATTCGTCGCATTTTTATTAACTGCCTCGACACGTGCTGCGACAATGACATTCGACGTGAGTCTCAATGATAAACCTTTGCAATTGTCGAAATTTCTAGATCAATCGAATTTATCTGTTATTTGGCACAGTGTTGGCAATGACATCAAACACATTGCAAACCTTGAATCATATGAAAAGTGAGTATTTTTCATAAAATTACAGCAAAGTCTTTATTAATACCTATTTTGTACATCTGTTTTTTATAGTCTGTAGCTGAATAGATAAGGTTACCATTATTTATAGTTTGTGACAATGTTTGATAGCATATTATGATTTTATGAGTGTTTTAAATAATTAGAACATAAAAAAAAGTTTTTTTCCTGTCCCTTTTGTTTGCATATAAAAGATCATACCTTGTGACTTTAAAACTAAAAATATCAAGTTTCGCCTAAAAAATGTTTGGCTTATTTTTCAGATTGGAAGCAAGAGCCATTTCGAAATTCCGAGGAATCGAAATACAACTATCGGCTGCAAATCATCCATGGATTCGGCTACCACTTTATTGCCTATTTTCTCTTGGTTTCATCACTTCTTATCCTCTTGAGTGTAAGGACAATTTATCTCATAACAAATCATCGTCCATATGTGCAATTTTTTATAGAAGGACTACCTTCTCGCCGACGTAATAACCACATATATCACCAGTTTGCTGATTCTTGCCAACGTCTCAGCGATTGCTTTCCAGCTTTACAATGAGTATTTCTCTTTGGAGCATCCGCAAGACGAATACGAACCTTTGCAATAATTCTTGTTGTCATTCTATAAATAATTGAGAGCCTTTGGGCATTTATATAGATGGCGCAATTGGGTTGCTAACCGGAAGATGGGGGGTTCAAACCCACCCGGGAGCAAAACGTTTTTGCGGTAGTGGTAGAGTGTAGGAGGAAGAGATGAAGAAAAAACAAAAAATGGCTCATAGCGCTCGTTATGAAAAATTGCCTCACTTATTGCACCACTAGCAACCACTGAAACCTGTTCATGCTTTTAATATTTCGCGAACTTCGCCTTGCCTGCATAATTTATATATAACGCCATAGAAGATGAAGAAGCCTGACTGAGTCGTCATACTGATTGGCTCAATCTGGATGGCTCATTGCCATTTCAGTCAAATTGTGTCGTAAAGTCCATCCACGTCTTTTTCGAAATAACAAAAACATTTGAATATGCGTACGATTGAAATTTCCAACCATCTTGCATCACAATTAACTAGTTCATGCATAGAATATTTGCATTTCTCTTAAATTTTTTCTTGTTTGCACTTTTAGGATGCCTGAAACCCTATGAATCGCAAAATTAATTAGATATTATTTCTTATGTAGTATTTGGGGGGGATTAAAAGGTTTTTTCCAGTAATTTGTTCCAAATGGTAGAATTGATGACATTGCCTAAATTTTTAATTACGTATCATTTCGAGAAATAGCAGCACTCAGGCAACTTCTACAAGTGTCATTCATCCAAAAAGATTTATATTGTTCTACGGGAACCTAAGCTTATTAAAGAGGGCACACCTCGTTTATATCTGTCAGATACACGTATTTCCCACTGAAACCATAATTTCCGTCCATGCGTTTCCGCGTTTTGTTCGCTCGCCAACAACTTCGAGCCCAATTCATGACATTTCGCAAGTTGCATGAGTGGTAAGAATAAATACCATCAGGTTGGTCCAATATTATGCAGATTTTCGTGTCGCTCGCTGAATAAACGCGCGAAAAAAATTGCGCGACGCGAGTGACAATCGCTAAAGGAATTTACATGCGCCGCGTCGAAAAATGCAACACAAAGAGTTAACTGAGTTTACCGATTCGTCTTGAGAAAAGTGAGAAAAGAGTAGCTTATTGTGCACACAATGATTGTTTCATTTCTTTTTTGCTAATCTTTCAATTCAATGTTCGCAATTTTAATGTTCAATGAGTCATTTAATCCTATTGAATTTTTATTTTGAAAAGTTCAACGCAAACATCAATTAGACCCCCTCTCGGGCAAATTTTCTAACATGGACAATTGTGGACAAACGCAATGAATTATTGATATTTCGTGTTTATCTTTTTAATTTTTTTTCTGCCTAATGACACGTTTTTTTTTCACGACCAATTTTCATTTTTTGTTTCTCCGAATTTTTAATGGTGGAATCGCATACCAATATGTTTTTTTTCGTTCATTCTCTTCTATTCAATTTCCTTAAATAAGATTTATTCGTTTTTCTTATCTGATCACTCCCAACCAGCTCAGACCGAATCCATCGCTTACCAAACTCTTATAAACGAATATAGAAGGAACCAAAAAGCAGCCGCTAACAAACTGCCGGAAAAAAATCGCATTAGATCATTTAATTTTTGAATCGTTCTTCGGCGTTTTCATTGCTAGGAGGAAAGGGACAAAGATTCAAATTTATTGTGAATTGTGCCTAAAATATACGAGCATTGCAAAAAGTTAGATATGAGTTAGATATGAGATATGATAATGATGATGAGTTAGATATGATCCTATTGTTTACAACAAAATTTTTCCAATCGGGAGCCTATCGAAGCCATTTTCGAAAATGTTGCCGTTTGCCTTAAAGTGTGGCAATTTTCGTTAAAGTCGAATGCCTTTTCGAATCAGCCTATTATATTGACAAGATTACTCTTCAATGTCTTCATTTCCCCTTCTTACCTCTACCTCTAATTGGTCTTGGATGGATTGAAGAGCCTCCAATAATCGAGCGAAGACATTGTTCTTGAAATCCACCGATCCATCAAAATGTGAGGCGCAATTACTGGCATGAATCATAATTATGAAAATATGATTTGATTATATAAAACGTTATATTATATTAAGGAAATTCACACGCAACTGTTCAAAAAAATAAATTAATTTTGGTTTACCTGCGGCACGCGAAGCCAACTACGAATCCAAAATTAGGCCCTATTTATTTCTTTCCTCACGTATTATATTTCACTGTCCTTTTGCTTTGATGAAATTCGACGCTGTAAGAGTAGAGCAGATCAGAAAAATGAAAGAATGACTAATTTTGCGCTTTAAGACAATTACTAGCGTTGTTTTGTGGCTGTCATTTCCATGCAACGCTCATTATAATAGAATTCTCGCGGATTATTGCCATCCTCATTTTTTGGCGGCTCCTTCCTTGTACATACTATATATTTATCCACTCCTATAATTATGTATATCCATATTTGTAATGGTGGCCAAAGAAAGTTTTTTTTTTGTCTCACGAAAAAAAACCTTTTTTTTCGGAAAATTGTCTTCACCTACGCTTGTTTCTTTTAAGCGGACCACTCTTTAAGTAAGGTCCCACCGACACTTTTCCTGCTATAATTTGCTTCTATTGCTTTGTTTTACCTAACAACCTTCAATTCTTTTTTTGGGCGGCGGGGGGGAATGAAAGCGACATCAAAAATTAAAGTAGTCAGCCATAGAAATTTGATATTGTCGTACTACTCGTAGACGCTCGAATAAAATTGAAGTCTTCCTACTTTCCCCGTCATCCATTTTTTGGTGTGGATACAATCGAACTCGATATCATTGCCATTATTTGTCTTCATCCTCATCCATTATTTTCCTGGACGAGAAGAGCCCAACAGAAAACAATAACATATTGCTGGATGTTCCATCCCGATGAAAAATAGATGAAGAAGAGCGTTTACTGAAAATCAGTGTGTGTGTGTCGTCATTATAACAGTTGAAAATTATAACAGTTGCCACATAACATTATAACAGTTGCCACATAAAATGCAAATCTTAAAGCGGACAAATCCGTTTGAGTATGCACTTGATGCGAAATTAAAATTTCCTCTGTTCACTTTTTTTTCCAAATAAACAATCGGAATATATAAGCCCTTTTAATCGCTGAAATGAATTTTTTTAGGAAGAATGGGTTTTACGAAGATCTAGTGTTGAAATAATCCTAATTACCCCTGTTTTTTTGGTTGTTGAAAGATGCTGTGTTTGAATGAAACCAGATGGAGGATTAAATGAAGCTTCTCGCAAACTTTTCGGTTTAAATTCACCATATTAAATAGGCTTTGCGCTTTAACGAGTATCTTAAACGAGCGGTCTTAGGATCTTTCCGTCGTTTTTTTTTTTGACAGAAATGTTTTTTTGTTGGACCCTAATTTCAGTATTCCTATTTATTGCCATCACACGATAATACGTCTCGATATTCTCCCTTGAGATTTTTTAATGCGCAATTTCTTTGTTTTGAGCAATTTCAGCAAATCATCGTAGGCGCAAAAAAAACGCTAGAAAACTTGGTTGCTTTTTATTCAAAAATTCCGACAAAAGAACACTTCCTCTATTCATAACTATTTTTAAATGCATTTTCACCACGTGACACAACTTTGGAGGTGGGGGTGGACAGACTTTCGGAATGTACTTTCAACATTTTTTTTTTCACGGCTTCTTTCAAAACCGAATTTTGGAATTTTAAGACTGTTGGTTGAAAATAAGAGTTTGATTTCCACTTTAAGAAAATTTGAGTTTGATTGAATCTGGTCTCGCAGCGAATATCGTATTCTCCATTTTCAGCCTGAATTCCATTAGCATTCACATTATTAGATGTAGCTTCTTCTTGCAATCTTTTCCCAAAAAAAAAACAATCACCAGCAAACATACTTGAGCAGGCAAATTTATTTATTTCCACTTTTTGGTCTCTCTTCACTCATTCCCTTTTTAAGAAAAATATTTAGAAAAATTTTTTAAATGACATCATTCCTTTATTTTTTTTTAAATATTACTGTCATTCAAACTATATTGAATTTTTCAGACTTGAAGAATCGTCTATGGAAATAAGATAGGAAGAAAACAGGGGGGATTCGCTCACTAGGTTCGTATTCCTATTACGATTTTGTTGAAAACAGATTATAAGCAGTTAGAGAGAGAGAGAGAGGGCCGCATTGCATTATATTCACAAATTGTCGGCAGCACAGATCCCAGACATCAAGCAATTATGAGGCGGAAAATCGCATCAAACCAAAAATAGAAAAGACCCTTAATTTGAGTTGGGGCGTGTGTCAAGGAAATCAGTGAAAGAAAAAAGGGTGAACCAAGGTCTTGACAACATCCGTTCTCCTCCTCGTCAATCATATTTACCGACGAATTATGGAAATTTTTTGGCCTTATTCGCCAATGATGACATAAAATTGTTGTGGTCTCCAACGTCTTTTACCACGTTTTATTTTTGTCACTCTTATTCTCCATCTTGAGCCAAGTGTGCTCGCACCACGTCCGGCCCTCACTACTCCGCATGTAGACAGACGGAACAAGAAGTTGCGATACGGCTCACGGTGCTCATTAGGCGACGGATCGTGTTTCTTTTTTTTCTGCCACGCCTCATACCCACCAAACGTTTAATACGCATATTTGTTGAACGGGAGGGTATTATAATTTCAACCCCAATGCCTACTACATAATTATGTGTCAGGTACGATATCTTAATTATAATATATTTTTATCGCGCGAAGTGGTGATTTAGAAAAAGGCACCCTTCTCGATTTGCAATGTTGACATCTGAACACATTTCTTTCGAAGATTCTCGTTTGCAATGCCAATATTTGGAAAGTGATATGCAATTTGTTGCGTCACATTTTATGACATACAAGAATCTCTGACAATCGACTTCTTTATGAAAATTTCATAGTTCAGAAATTTATGGAATTCATAAATGACGTTTATGCAAATTTTTGACCTCGCCGCCTTGGGTTAAGCCGAATAGCGCTGCTCAACAATCAAGTTCCAAAATGTTCATTCCAAATTGTTCAGGTCCTAGTATAAATGAAATAAAAACGATTACACTTCCTTTTTTGGATTAAAGAAATAAATCTTGTGCTAACGGCGTTCCAATGATCAAACATATTAGTTATTTGATATTTGGATGATGCCGAAGCCCTTCTTAAATATGGGATCGGTTCTCGGATTTACATACGTATACTTGGAAAAATGCGCTAGTTGAGCGCATTTTTGGTATGAAATTTATATATCGATATGATATAGGTAATTTCCAGAAAATTTTTTCAGCCATTTCGTTTCTTTCTGTAACAATGTGAGATTATGTTGAGTTGAAGCTAGACAGCCGAAACGATGCTGTGAAATAAAAGTTCTAGGGTTGCGTTGTTAGAGAACATAAAATTGAATTGAACATTCTACAAAGCGCTTCGCAAGAATTGTGAAAATTCTAAGAATTAGTAACAAATTTATTCGAACCAATTTTAGCATCTCTCATAGTTTTTTTTGTTAACGAAACAATAGCCAACCTAAACTAAATAATTTTTTGAATTTTTTATTTTAGCTATTTGTTATCGTAATAGGAAAGCGTGAGAACTTCGGCAGATTAATAAAGAATTAGGAAAATCGAAAGACTGATGGACAAAAATTAGTCGCCATCTATGGATTTTTTTCCAGAAGCTACTCATGTTCTCGGTGTTGGCCTTAGCCGCACAAATTCTTGCAAATGTCAACGTCGCTTCACAGGCTGTTGATAAAAACGACCTTGCACCATTGCCTAAAGTAGTAATTATTTCAGTCAATATGCGTATCGTATACTTTGGAAACTTTCAGGTTCGCCAAATACGAATACCAGGTGATATTTTAATAGGAGGCGTCTTTCCAGTCCATTCGAAATCTTTGAATGGCGATGAGCCGTGTGGAGATATTGCTGAAACCAGGTACACACGTTGGGTGGATGTCTCTCTACTAGTCAAGCTCTCAAATTCAGAGGTGTTCATCGTGTCGAGGCGATGCTCTACGCGTTGGATCAAATCAATGCGCAACGCGATTTTCTCAGGGGCTACAAACTTGGCGCATTAATCCTCGATTCTTGCTCGAATCCCGCCTATGCTCTTAACCAGAGTTTGGACTTTGTTCGTGATATGATTGGCTCTTCAGAAGCCTCCGACTATTCTTGCCGGTATGATTATGTCAAACAAATCAAATTGTAATCAATTTGAATTTTCAGGGATGGAAGCGAACCGTTTATACGAAAGGCTGGACAGAAAAAGAATGTGGCTGCTGTAGTTGGTGGCAGCTATAGCTCGGTGTCGGTGCAGCTGGCAAACTTGCTTCGTCTTTTTCGTATTGCCCAAGTCAGTCCAGCAAGCACAAACGCAGATCTCTCTGATAAAAATCGATTTGAATATTTTGCCAGGTAATGTTTGGAATTTATATTATCAGCATATTCATAATTAGAACTGTGCCATCTGACGACTATCAAGCAATGGCTATGGTTGAAATTGCTGTGAGATTCAAATGGTCTTATGTTTCATTGGTGTACTCAGCTGATGAGTACGGTGAGCTTGGAGCGGATGCTTTCAAAAAAGAGGCGAGGAAGAAGGGAATTTGCATTGCCATTGAAGAACGAATCCAGAATAAGAAGGAGAGCTTCACAGAATCAATAAACAATCTTGTTCAGAAGTTTGTAGACGAATGGTTTATATTTTATACGATATTTTTCAGATTACAACCTGACAAGAACGTCGGAGCCACGGTTGTTGTCTTATTTGTCGGAACTGAATACATTCCAGATATTTTAAGACATACCGCAGAGACGATGAAGCTAACGAAAGGCACAAAGAAAAGAATTATTTGGTAGTAAAATGGTCAGATATTTTCAAATTGACGCTATATGCAGGTTGGCGTCGGAGAGTTGGGATCGGAACAATGAAAAATATATGGTTGGTGAGAATAAGCTAGCTGCTCAAGGTGCCATTGTCCTTATGCTAGCTTCTCAGAAAGTTCCTTCGTTTGAAGAAGTAAGCCTTCTGAATAATAAATTCTTAAATATGATTGTAGTACCTCAAATCTTTACACCCCGGAACTGAAAAATTTGAACGGAATGCGTGGCTTCGAGAATTATGGCAGGTCAAGTATAAATGCGAGTTCGGTGCACCCAAAGAATCAAAGGTCAATCGATGCGAGGATATTAGGCAGGATCACGACAACTTCAAATCGGATGACAAAGTGCAATTTGTGATTGATGCGGTGTATGCGATTGCTCATGGGTTGCAGGTAGAATTGTTACAGTGCCATATTAGTGATTAATCAATTCAGGCGATGAAAAGTGCTGTCTGCCCGGATGATGCTATCGAATCTTCATGGATTTCTCGATACAGTAAACAACCCGAAATTTGTCACTCAATGCAAAACATTGATGGATATGAATTTTATCAGAAATATTTGCTCAAAGTGCAGTTCAATGGTAGTAAATTTAATGTTAATTCTATGAATATGGCATTTTCAGACGTTGTCGGCAAGCCATTTCATTTCTCTCCACAAGGTGATGGTCCGGCAAGTTACACAATTTTGACATATAAGCCGAAATCGCTGGATAAAAAGCGAAGAATGCTCGATGATGATGACGAATCTCAATCGGATTACGTCGAAATTGGGCACTGGAGTGAGAACAATGTAAATTGCTTTAATAGAAAATATGAACAAAGAAATATGATTCTTCTTCAGTTGACCATTTATGAGGACCAGCTTTGGTGGGAGCCTAACAAAACTCCTGTCTCGGTATGCTCACTACCGTGTGCAATTGGGTTCAGAAAACAACTAATCAAGGTCTGGCTAGAATTAAGACACATAAGATTTTTTTCCTCTAGGACGAACAATGCTGCTGGGCTTGCAGCAAATGCGAAGATTATGAGTATCTCATCAACGAAACGCATTGTATTCCGTGTGAGCAAGGATTTTGGCCGACTAAAGATCGAAAAGGATGCTTCGATCTTTCAATTTCACAGCTCAAATATATGCGCTGGAATTCGATGTATTCCATTGTGCCCACAATTCTTGCAGTTATAGGAATCATTGCCACAATCTCAGTTATCATTATTTACATCATATATAATGAGACCCCAGTCGTGAAAGCTTCTGGTAGAGAATTGAGCTATATCTTGCTCATCTCAATGATTATGTGCTATTGCATGACGTTCGTGCTGCTCTCAAAGCCAGGAGCTACCGTATGCGCGATTAAACGAACAGGTGCGGCCTTTAGTGAAAACCATAAATTTGATGATTGATTTCAAGGAATTGGATTCGCATTTTCGTGCCTTTATTCAGCAATGTTGGTGAAAACTAATAGAATTTATCGAATTTTCAACACAAGAACCGCTCAACGACCAAAATTTATTTCACCAATATCACAAGTATTGAAGAATGCACGAAATGTTTCAAATCGCTCCAATTGCAGGTTATTATGACAAGTATGCTTGCCGGAGTTCAACTATTTGGCAGCGTGATTTGGTTATTTGTAGTTCCGCCAGGTTTGACTTGTAAAAATTGTCGGGGGCACAAATTCGAAATTTTCGTTTAGGTTCGAGACATCACTACCCTACAAGGGCCGATGTCGTTCTAACCTGTAATGTTCCAGACCATCATTTTCTTTACTCTTTAGCATATGATGCATTTTTAATTGTGCTGTGTACGGTATACGCAGTGAAAACGAGAAAAGTCCCGGAAAATTTCAATGAGACAAAATTCATTGGGTTTTCAATGTACACCACTTGTGTAGTGTGGCTTAGTTGGATATTCTTCTTCTTCGGCACAAGAAGTGATTTTCAAGTAATCATTTTTTTTGTTGGCGGAATATCGTGGCTAAAAAATTCATTTTCAGATTCAAACATCATCTTTATGTATATCCATTTCAATGTCGGCGAATGTCGCGCTCGCGTGCATATTCTCGCCGAAACTCTGGATAATTCTTTTTGAGAAGCACAAAAATGTCCGGAAACAGGAAGGCGAAAGTATGCTGAACAAGAGGTTAGTAGTGAAATCAACAGTTGGACAGCCCATTGAACAACCATTTAGAAGGCAATTAAGTCGCCGAGAGTTCGAGACTCGATTTTAAGTATAAGGTTGAGCGTGTAATGCATGTGATATCTGTTTTCTGATTCGCTAGCTTAACATTTTTCTGACATCCAAATTTGCAACGTTGAATTCAAACTAACATTTTTTGGGTGATTTATTATCCAGAGCGATACCCATTGCTTTATCATATCAACACATTCACAATTAATAATTTTTTATTGCAGCAGTCGGTCATTCGGGAACTGTAGCTCAAGACTTTGTGCGAATAGCACAGACGAACCCAATCAATACACTGCCTTACTTTCTGAAAGTACCCGTCGGCGGGCTTCACGCAAGTCATCGCAACCAACAAGCACAAGCTCGGCGCAGGATATCTTTTTGTAAAGCTCTCTTTTATTTTAGGCATTTCGATTATGAAATTTATCGGTTCATAAATTTTTTCAATTGATCTCGGTATATAACTTTGCCATTGTCATTTAAGAAAATAAATGTATATACTTGTGTAATGATTTTTAATAAAAAAAAGAGTTTTTCCTATAATTGTTATTTCAATGCGTTACATTAAAAACATAGATTAAATGCAAGTACGCATTGCGTATCTTGAAAACTATTTGATGCAATGTCATATCAATGAAGAACATATTCTGAGAAAAAATTTAGCAAGAGAGAAACATATTATGATGATAATACTTATCTTAAAATAGAAAACGATATCCTTCTAGAGCTATTGTAGACGTGGCGCGCCTTTAGTTAAGCTTGACCCGTAAATGTAATATTTTAGCTAAATGCAGCAATTCTGTGGCTTTTAGCTTACTTTTAGCTTATAATCGATCCAGTCGAAATGCTTCTTTGCAATATGAACCATTAATATTATTTTGATCGTTTCAGTCAATATCTACATATAACCTCAAAGTTTCATCGTGTAAAGTTTATAGATTTTTAGTTTTGCCAGAATTAGTCTTCATTTAATATAAATTCTCATTCAACATTTTTAAGTTCAATTTCTGGTTTCAAAACACACTTCTGAAATCAGATCTATTTATTTTCAACGTGCGGTAGGCGGAAGACAACAAAACAATTTTGATTCAATGAAATAAAAAAATAAAAAGACAATAGTAGATTATACAAATGAGAGGAGGTGTTTCGATATTTTTGTTATCCTGGAAATTCAGATGCAGAAGTGTATTCCGTCGATATCATTAAAGAGGTTAATAAAACAAAAGCAACCAGTAAGGTTTGTGAAAACCAAGCAACGAATAAGGCAAAAACTACTTACAGAAAAATGAGAGTTGAATTGTACAAATATACAAATGTGTGAATTAACAATTAATCAGACACAAAATTCACAAAAAATGATGAACATATATGTATACATATGTATATATTGAAGTCAACTAACGATGGCTGATACCGCCGGGAACATTGTGGTCTCCCCATTTACGGCGCTCGTCTTGATACGCATCCGGGTGTAACTGATTGCGAAGACCACCAAGAAGCTGATAGGTGACCTGGGTAGCCATTACTACCGGCCCCAAGAATGTCGGCACTGCGTAGCGGAATGCGCTGCGAACAACGGAGTTTCCAGACGCTCGGTCTTCCTGAGCCGCCAACTCCAAATCATCTCGCGTCTGTCGAATTCCCTATAACCACAACATAACATCTCGAACAACGAATTGCTCAGCTTACATCATAGAGAATTCCATAGCACATTTGGAAGCTGTGCTTGAGATCCGTTGGGTTCATCTGATACTGTTGATGCGCACGACGATTGCGGCGATTCAACGCCATGTCGTCCGGTTTGACCTCTCTCAATGTCATCTCAGCGATGCTTTGAACAAATCCGGTGACAGTCTGCGCCATGCCGACAATTCCAGCAGCTGACGACATTCCAAAGGATCCAACTCCTTTCTGAATGCCTTTGACGACATGTCCATCCTCCTTACGCATTTCCTCCATGGGCATCCACACAAGATCCATGATACCCTTTCCGATTTGGACAAATGGGCTTATTGGTCCGCAACTGGCAAGCACACTTGGCATATTGCTGAGCAAATCGTTGTTCCATTCTTGCAAAGCGTACTGCAATTATAATGAATTGGATAATTTGACGAGAAGCTTCGAAATCTTACAGAGAAGCATCTGCTCATGCCGAGCATTCCATTGCGATTCTCGAGTTCGCGAAGAGTGATTGGCATCTGATTAAGCTGTCCGAACGCCATGAGGAATCCAAGAAGAGCACCAGACTTTTCAACGCTTATTTTGCGCTTTCCTTGATAGTCCAAATAAATGTTCACAGATGGCGAGAATACAAACTCCCTAAAAAAACTCAATTTAAAATCGCTCATTTTTTGTTGCAAAAATCCTACTTGAAGAATGTGTCTCCTCTGTGCAGGTCGTCCTCGTCGACAACTTCGCGAGTGCTAGCGCACGCTTGAATGCTTCGGCCAAATTCTGGAGTTGAGCTTCTCGACTCCTCTCCATTTGGCGGTTCCTCATCACGGCTGTCCAAAATTCTGCCCTGATCCTCGATGTCGCTACTGGTATCAACCAAATCGTTGACCATGGCTGGATGAATCGAACCAGTCATCGTTGATCTAGTGAGAATATCATTTGGCTGGCCACTTGTCGTCGGCGGATACGCATTGTTAAGAGTATTAAAGCTAAAATTAGGAAAACATTAATGAAAAGAAAATGGTTAACGCGGTATTACTTGATATTGTACTCGTCTGACCAATCTCCTTCCATTTCGCTGGAGATGTCAGCTTTCTCAAATTCGGGGCTCGACGACTTAAAAAGAACGAAATGGTTCAATAGTTCGAATATTTGTATTTTTACCGAGGCTGATGGGTCTGGAGATGGTGGTGGCTGTGGTGACTCAAACATATTGCCGATCGAGTGAACTGAAGCCGTCAATGGGGCATCCATCATCGGAAACATTAATGGAGAAGATGGAAGCTTGGATCCGCGACGTTCCAAATAAGACAGATCACCTGAAAAATGTAATTACAACTATCAATTTTTGGGTAAAAAATTTATATACCTAAAGGCGACATTGGCTCAACCGGTTGTGGCTTGAGTGGCTCCAAATTCAATTTTGGCTGCGACAAATTTTGAAAGATCTTTGACCCCTTGGAAGATAGCGGCGCCTTTTTCGGGTTGTGCACGTTTGCCGGAATTTCAATAATCGGACGATTCTGACTGAGGCTTGGAGTTGCGTCCGATCGCAATTTGATTGACTTGGAAATTTCGTCGAAAAAGTCGGTGAGAAATTCCAAAGTATCCTGATCGACGTTGATTTTGATTGGTAGAAGCGAGACGCGCATTTTTCCCTCTCGTGTCTTTGTCTCCGATATCTTGAAGCTCACCATTGGAGCATTTGTGCGGCGCGGCATTTCCGACGTCGCGTACTGATAGAGCATTTCGTTGATGCTGCTAGCATAGACTTTGTCGCGAATCACAATATCATAAATCGAGAATGACGTAGTCGCCATGATATTCACATTCTTCGAGAATATTTGTTTCAAGAAGGTTATTTTGCTCAACTCGAGAACAACGCTGGCCGAGTGATCTCTGTACATTCCGCCGTAAGCAAGCTCTGGAACATTTTGTCCTCTTCCGAATCCCTCGCGATACTCGTCAGTGCTGTAGGACTTGATTGTCGGTCGCTGCTTCGAAAGATCACTTCCGCCATACAAATGAATACGCAGCGAAATGTCTTTGAAAAGATATCTAAATGTTAAAATGAGGAATTTAAGGCAGAGACGGAATGATTATTACCTGACTAGGGGCTTCTCCTCCTGTTGCACGGTTTGCTGAAGAATGTCGTTGGTCCATTCTTCTGGCTGCTTCTGGAAGTTGAGGTCCATTTCAACTTCATCGTTATCAGTGACATTTCCGTCGTCATTGAAATAACGAACGCGCGGTTCTCCGGCGGTGTCCGTTATTCCCGATCCTATCACATCATTATCAACCATGCAGAATTCATCATCGCCGTTCAATGAGTAGTCACGGACTCGTGGCGCGTGCGTCGGTGTCTCATCTGGCCTGTAATTCGCGCTAAACTCCTCGACAGCATCAATTCCAACAGCGGTGCCAATAGTATCGCGATCAATGATTGCGTCCTCGATCAAATCTTGAAGGCGCTTCTGCACCTCTTCTGGCAATTGTGATCCAGCAGAATACTTTTTTGGATTGTGCACTGTTGAAGCATCGCTCGCCTTTGATCCCGATGAGTTTTGCATGGCATTTGCTGGATCCTCATGACGGTTCCCAAAGCACGTATCGGATTGCAAGATTTCGGTGGCGATTGAAATAAGGGCAGCTAGAGAATCGGCACATGCCCATGCTTGAATGATATCGTTGCGACAACGGATCTCGAATACTGGGGTGTGGCGTTTCTCGCCGGCATTTTCACCAGTTGGGCAGAAAAGAAACTGAAAAATAGAATTAAAACATCGATACATTTTACAATGTTCCTTACGTCCAATTGGACTTGTCCAATATCCATAATAGGAATAAACGATTTCGGTTTTTCCACTTCTTCTTTTTTGAAACGTACGGTTTCTTTGATGCTCTCCGCGTTGGTGAGATACAAACGCGCGCGTTCCATAATGCACAATGTCTAAAATGATAAAAAATCGATAATTCCACCCGCGTTTATTTAATTTTACCTTCGAAATGTTCACTTCTGGCAAAAATGAGCAACTCAAATTGACAAGACCGAATACGCCACGAACTTTCAATGTGCTTTTCGGGTTCACATGTTTGTGATCATAGTAGGCAATCGAGTTTTCCAAGCACATGTGAAAGTCCGTCGTGACCTCGGGCAGCTCATATCCAGGAATAGAATAATCGCGAAGAGTGAAGAGTTCGGCGAGTTGCGACACCCAAAGGAGCCCATGATCTGGTACGGGTTTGACATGAATGATGGATGCACGTAGATTGATCGCCAGAAGTACATCTTTCACATTGATTTCCGGCCTAGCGTGCATGTGAAGCGCAATCGCGAGTGAGTCGTCTTTCGCGCCGCTAAAGTGCTCATCCTCGTATGGAAGCGGCTCCATTTGCGTGAACTCTTTTTTGTATCTTCCAAACATATAAGAAGTAATATCAGATTCAACATGATGCTCATCAGCTGAAAAATTTGCGAACTCGAAATGATTTCTGACGGTATAAACATACATGAAACGCCGGCAGTTGTTTTGGTAGCGGTCAAATAGAAGAACGTGTGGTTCATGTCGCCATGATATCCGCATGTCGTGCCAACTTTCAATGATTCCATCTCGATAGCAACTTGTCCGGGCGTTGACTCAGCTTTTGTCTTTTTTGCGACAGTGTTGCACACTAACACCGCCCTACAGACATCCATCGACGCGGAGAAGAAATGAGGAATGCTGCGGTCATATTCATCCTTTGCCTCAATTGTCGTGCGTGTCAGATCAGTCTCGTCATCCGAGTCAATATCCGAATCTGAATTAAATTGAAATTTAATGTCGTCATTTTATAATGCTTCTAGTTACCTTCATTTTCAGCGGCACATTCGTGGAATGTGTCAAATGCGTTGACTTTCAACGAATCATTCTCTGGCCGAAGGCCTGGCGCGGCTGGCTGCCATAGCGCAAGATCGTTCACCAACCGATTATACAGAACTTCCAATGGTCCTTGGGTGGGTATGTGAACACGAAGTGTAGGCACTTTGAAGTGAATGTAAGTGGCAGAAAATTCGCCACACTTTTTCTCAAAAGCCTTAATTTCCTCGCGAGTTCCAGCTTGAATGATCTGAAAATTTGAAAAAAAAAAATGCTAAACAATGTTTGCCTTGTATTACATTTTCATCCTCTCCGGGTTCTACTGTACAATACGATCGCGGAATTTGCGAAAATGGACCCTCTTCTTTTGGATGGGACATCATCAACGGAGACGAGAATGACTTGTTCAAATCATCGGGCGGAAGACTTGGTTTCTCTGGTTTTGCAAGAACAACCCGTTTTGTTCTCAAATCGAATGTCATCTGGATTTTGACGTCATCGGCTCCTAATTTGGTGCCATATATGAATCGCCGCTGTTTCTCGGCGATGTCCAATCCCTCACCGCAAAAATCACCTAAACTTGTGCAATTAAACATTGTTTGAAAGTGCATCGCTGAATACCTGTTATCTGTTCGCATTTGAGATTGACCTTCGATAGATATGAATGACTTGTCGTTGGAATTGTCAATGTGGCATCGACCAAATTGATTCGAACAAACTCCGGATGAACATTTCGCTGAGCGAATGGAATTCGAGAACCCGATGGATCTCTGAGATCCGCCATTGGAATGCGAAGATCAACAGTCCATTTAGTGCAGTTCATCGTGAACTTGGTGTGCGACTTTGGCTCTTCAATTGCAACCGTGGCAGCGAATAAATTTTCATTTAGCTGTGGAGGTGGATCATCCACTCTTAAAATGTTTAAACTCAAATCAATTTCACATTTCCATTAATCTACCTCTTTGACTCATCCTTCTTGTCAAAATAAGGCTTCGTCACAATCAAACTCGCAATGCGATCAACCATTGACAAATCGAGCTCAGTAGTGCATTGACCAATGTACATGTCCACAGATAACTTCTGCTTGTCATCAGAGGAAGCAGTAATGAAAAGCTTCATATTACATCCCATATCCGAATGTTTGTCTTCTGAGAAATCGAGAAGAGGAACTCTTAAAGCCTTAGAGGCTCCCTGAAAAAGAAAATGTATTGCATTCTTAAACACATTTGTTGCTGTTCTTACCGGAACGCTTTCGCGTGTCAAATACTCGAGGATATCGAAGTTCGTAATAATGAATTTGGCTACCATATGCTCTTTATTTGAAGTTTTTGTCATGGAGTACGTGGATACCAGCGATGAAGCGACGATTCGAATATGGTCGTTTGGATAGAGCACATCAGCCGCTTGACGGAAATCGGCAAGATTCATTTGGGGCGACGGTCTGAGGGTTTCCGCGTGAGCGAAGAAATATGTTGAAGCGGAGTGGAGATTATCAATGGCTTGCTCAAAAGAGCCGCGCTCTTGAACACTATCAACTGAGAGGATGTCCTCATGAGTAATGACAATGATTAGCGTTCCAATGCTAGCTTTTATATTTATTTCTTCTTTTCCGTTGACTTCTGAAAATTTTGAACCGTGTGAACATTCACGTCAACAATCAATCTTACTTATCGTGCCAAACTCCGAATCCACCGATCGTCGAGATTTTTTCTCATCAAGATTGATTGACTCAAATTCGCGGAAATCATCAGCTTGCTGCCAATTTCCACCGCCTCCCAATCCGCTATGAGGTGGACGAGATATGGTAACATTCTCAGTCTCAATAGTCTTCACAATGTTTTCGTAATCCTCTGGCTTCATCGGCTTGCCGAGCTCTTTGTTCTCGGTACTCTTTGGAATGGCAACAGATGAGATAAACCTATTGAAAATTTGTCATTGCAATAATTTAAAAATCCTTTAAAATGACTCACCGATTCAATATGACAAGCTGTGACGGTGTGATGAAAACATTCGCTCCTTTTAAAGTCACCTCCGCCTCAACTTTGTTTTCATCGTCAACTCCATTTCCGGTGTTTTTGAAACGGAAGACAATCAATGCTTCTCCCACAATCTCGGCGAATTTGACAGGATTTGAGTAAAGCTCGGGCTCAGACGGTTGTTGTTTTAGTGGTTCGAGATTCGTCGGTGAAAACGATTCGGGGTAATCATTTGCTACTGAAACTAATTCGTTGAATTTTCTGAACACATTCGTCTTATTATCTTACATGTGTTATAGCACGAGTGAAATGCTGTCATGTTACTCATGGCAGATGTGTACATTTCGGGATGAACTGAGAGCTGCGGTGATCTCGATGGCGAGAGCTTCTCCTTTTCTCGTCTTATGTGCATACTAGTTATCAACTTTTGCTCGCAATTCGCTTCCGCGCCATATTCGACATCGGGAATTGAAGAAAATACATCAGTATATAGAGAAACTCCTTTGATCGACAATGTTTTGTTAAGATTCGCAATACTTCCAATGCCGTGTGGTTGACTTGTGATGGCGTCGGCACTTTTATCATCTTGCTGACACGCACGCATTTGTTCATCCATAAACTCAACTCTGAAATTCGCTTATTGGAATATATTCGAAAATTCAATGGCTCACTTTTTGCCTCTGAGCTCGATCGCTGTGTACAAGTTCGATCCATTCACTGGCGGATTCTCGATTCGAATTGTGACTTTATCGATCTCAACGCGAAATCTTGCATAGATTGCGTCAATAATTTTTGTGAATGAGTCCAAACTCTCTTCACCATCAAGTTGATCAGCTGCAGGATCGTGTTTTGCCTCCTCAAAAATATTTCGAGCAACATCGCCAGATGAAACAATCGAGTTCATCACGCTTTCTACCATCGACGCCACCAAATCCCTTTCGTCGACTTTGATGAGATCAACTGCTTTGAACGTCAATTGAAGATCAACAATATTCATGCTTGAGCCGGCACCCATTAAATTTGTCCATGGCACATCTATGACAATTGTGCCGATATATCCATCGAGTAGTCTCAATGGACAATTTACTGACTCGAGTAGTTCATTTACTGTCTAAAATATTATTCGATATTTTGAGACTTCCATCTTATGAAATCATACCGTGACATGAAGAGAGAGATTGTTAATTTCGATTTTTCCTTTTACAAGATTGACAGTGAGCTGCTCCAATTCCAGTTTACGGTCCAAATATTTTCCAAGGTATCGCTGTAGAATTATACGACACCATACTTCGTGGACCGGTTTAGCTACGTTGAAGTCGAACACCATTTCGACCTAATATTCGTCGAAAAATTGCCCACTGATATTAAAACAGGAGAAAAAGAAAGGAGCGATTAAAAAAAGCGATGAACACAAGATAAAACACGTGAAAGTACATAGTGTAACACATGACTCAAGAATGCACGCGTGAGATATTACGGCGCCGCAAATGTGCTCCATTGACAATTTTGGCGAAGGGGTTGGATAGACGCAGACTAGTAGACGAATTTCATTTTTTTTTTTCGTTTTGAGAAAAAAAAAATTGCTTATTGCTGTGAATATATGGCGAAAACACGAGACCTCGTGATTGAGTGGAAAGAACGAAATTGAAAATGCGTACGTCATCTAATTGCTGGCAATAATGGAAAAATATAAGGCTTACCAATTTTTTCATGAAAAAAGGAAATTAAATTCATTTTGATTTTCGAGGATTGAATTAAAATCACATGAATTCCAGAAAATTAAGATGGTTATTTATACAGGTCCTGGAATATTAATAATCACACATTCCTTGATTCAGAATTATTTTTGGATCAAAATTAAAATTAGTGTCTCTAGTTTTAAAAAAATCAATAAATTGGCTTGGACCGTTGCTGTAATTAAAGCAAACACCAAAGAACCTCCGCGATACACTAGTCATCGTTCAAAGCTGGAACTAGTGTAAACATGTTGGCTTGACTTTGAGGAAAAAAAACAGCGAAAATTGGGCTGACTGACCAAAAAAAAGTGGTCCATATCGGGGAAAAACAATATCAAGAGTAATATAGTAATCTAGGGGTTCATACAGAATGAGTGGAGCGACAAATTTGGTGTTATTAGTCGAAATAGTGCACGCCAGACAGTGTCAATGTGCCATTTCTTTCATTTTTTGGCCGCTGTGCATGACGGGTGCCGAATATGGTAGGGCTGATTGTTACGAGACGACGCCGATGGGAAGAATATTCTGAAGAAAATAACAGCGAATGTTGAATGTTACACTGTTTGTGTCATTGTTTCAACTCAACTGTATTGTAAATCATTATCATATGACCACAAATGGTGACCTCTTGAAAAAAATGGAATTCATAAATATATTTATTAATAGCAAAACTTTAGTGGCTATGCAAATAAAAAATTGAACGTTCGTTTGAAAATGAGAAAAGGGTTTCGAAAAATTGAATAAAGCAGGTTTCATTATCTAACTCAGCGATCAAGAAGATTTCGCTTACAAATCGGTTTGACGCGGGAGGGCAATTTTCTGAAACAACTTAAAGGTCACCAAACTCTCATTTATCATATAAACCAACCATTTCAGCTTCTTGAAACGACACATTTTTTGATGACGGGAATCGAATTTGCTCGGCTAGAATCATTTTTGGGACTTGGAGTCTAAAACAAATTCATGTGACTAAAATTCTTGGATTTCTTTTTTCATAGTACCTCACGAAATCGGTATTGGCGTTTTCCTCAAAGTCGGCGCGGTTTTCCGATTTTATCTTCTGCAGAAAAGAAATTTTGTTGCGCAACATTTCAGTGGAAGCATTGCGGCGCAATTCATTTTTTACGACTCGATGAATGTAATCCTGTTCGGGATTCAATAGACTAGAGATCGAAGTATCTGGTGATGTTGGAATGTTGGAATCAACTTTGGTGAACACTCCGCCAGAATCGACACTTTCCATAGTTGAATTGTTACTGGAATGCAAATTAAAGATCGTCCAAGGTATTTTATAATTTACCTTGCTATTGGGCTGCATTCCGGCCGAATTGGATGAAAATAGCGATTGAATCGGCAAATTGTTTTCTGTTTTGGCGGTGAGAAATTGCAGCTAAAGCGTACATGTCCCCTGAATTTCAGCTTTGTCGTTTTAACCCAATATGAATTCCAATCCCAGAGTTAAAAAAAATGACCATTGATCAATAAGTATCTCAGTTTCATTTCATTTTTTTTTCCTAGACTGGTGGTATATTCGCGGTCGATTACACATTAACTACCAATTGACATCTGACACGGTAATCGTGGTCTGTTCGATGCCAGGTGCTTATCTGCGTAATAGATAATTGCGCAATTATAGGCATCAAGAGAGCCATCTTTGCCGGAAAAAACGATTCCGATTATTTGGTTCAATTTCTTTAAATATTAATAATGATGATATAAAAAATTAGTTGCCGGATTTCATATTTCTAGGGACTTCTTTTCTGAAAAAAAATATTCTCAGAGATTTTTAAATATAATATTTTTTCATTGGTATTTCCGTTACAGAAATTTCATTTTTTTTTTCGAAATTAGCCAATTGAATTGATTTAACGTTGAACGAATGTACCTAAGGTGCTCAACGATTAGCAGTGGGTCGCCCGTCGCGAACTCGAATATACCCTCATTATCGACTTCAATGCCAAAGCAGAGCTCTCCTGCCGCAACCCTAAAAATTCACGATATTGATGTTGACCGCCACCGATAGTTTCGAATGATCCCCCTCCACGTATCGCCGTCATCAATAGCATACCAAATAATCGACGAATATGGGAAGCAGTGCGCATCATTCGGCCCATTTATTTGGAAACACTCGCCGAGTATCAGCGAATAGAACCCCATTGTTCGATGTCGACCCGGGATTGACTGAAGACGAAGAACCGGATAGCTTTCCGCTGAAATGCATTGAGAATTGTTGGATTGGGTAAGATCTGAATGGGATTCGGAACTTACGGAAATCGAAAAAGTCACCATCATCGGTTGGTGATTCCAATGATGTGCTTGGTGCGATTGTGACACATTGCTGAAACAAATCTTCTATATATTCATCAAATTTCCTCAAATACATGAAAAAAAGATTGCCTGCATGCATTTTTCATTATCTACTATAGCTTACTTAGAGAATTTATACTGAACAATTACTCATCGCTGTCATATTAGATATTAATCTCAAAATATCTTTTTTGAAACGGAACAATTTTTGAACATTTGATCTGTGATTCCTGATTGCGAAGAAATCTGCGCGTAAATATAACAATTGTAGATCAACAGCCATCTTTCTTCGCGCATCAATAAAACCAAACTATAAACCTTTTTTGGGAAGCATATGGTGCTGATGACTTCGGTTATTTTTAAAAGTTCTTCGCTTGAGATTTGAATGCTGGTCTCGTCGCGAAAATTGAGTTTGATGAAAGATATTCCAGCTGGAACGATTAAAACATGAAAAGTTTTCAGAAAAACGAAAAAGAAACCGACTTTCAGTTTTTCCGGCTTTCAGTGAAATGCAATTTTCCAAAAGAATTATCTTTGAAACGTCGAGAATTCGAAATTTCTGTTGAGATTGATAGAGCTCGATTCGGCTTTTGCCTAGTTGATTCTCCTCGTAAAACACAGCCACAAAACATTTCCACTTTCTGCCAAGAATTTTCTCCTGGTACAATTGTATATCGGAAACGAAAATGGGTTCCATTGAATCTGCAAAATCAATCGTAAAATATGCAAATCGACGGTTGAATAATGGAGTGCATGTAAACTGCGAGAAACAAACAATTATTGGGCGAGCTGTCAAAAAAATGCGGCGGCGCTGCCGGATTTTAAATTGAAATCATGTTGGATTACGCGCATTTTTGAATAAGGCTGATTAGAAATTGCTACAGTCAAAAAAGGAAGCGGGCGTGAAATGAAAAAGTGTTGAAATTCACAACTTTTGCCAATGGCTATGCCAGATCGAATTTCCTTCAAACATCACTAAACGCCCACAAATCCCAAAACTATATGCATATAGTTACGTAAGAACAGGTTCCTCAAGGCACATGTTGATAACGGTAATTGGTTAATCACCCAGAAATCTCACTTCATATGAAATTTGGTTGCAATGACCAACCAAAAAAAAAACGAAGAATTATAGAAAATTGGATTAAAACGGAATTCAATAGTGTTCGAATTATGTGATTTATAAGTATAATTTGGGGGGCACGCAAAGTCCGACGCTATTAAAATGAGAAAAAAAAAGTTGTCGGCTAGAATGATTTCGAAATATACAAATAACAATAAAAAGGTTAGAGATGAAAAGTGCCTGTTATCACTGAACAATACATATATTTCAGTGAACAACCATTTTTGGAGAATCGATAAAATGATTGTATGGTAAATACGAGTTTCTGGATGAGTGATGTCTAATGGAGGCAAAGCTTTTTTCTTCAAGAAAAACGCATCAATGAGTCTAATCTATTTGATTTAGGAGGGCTATTGACTGTACGAATTTTGTCTGAGGCAGCCAATTTTGTCTCTCAATAATACATAGTTAAAAATAGTAATGAAAATATTAACATTCTGCTTTGCTAGTATTATTATCAAGGTTTCACTATTTGTACTGGCTGGTTGCAATGCGATACAATTATTTGCCTACTGATTAGTGAACATGGACAAACTTTCCGATTCATAACAATTCTTGGAAGGAGCTGACATTGAATTCATGTTTATAAAGACAATGACATACATTTATTCATTTGTATTAAATCGCTATTGTAAATGAAGGAAGTCTATCGAAGTCGAAAATTGGGCTGTAAACCGGCACATTAAATTTGGGAACGATGTGAACGCACAGTTACTGTGCGAAAATTAGATGCAAACGCGCCAACATTATTGTTTAAAAATTTTTTGTTCGCATTTTAAAAGAGGATGAGGGGAGTCCAGAAAAACGTAAACATTTAATCGAGGGCTACTCGAAAACCTCATAAAATTTGCACCAATGCTTTCAAGGGCAAGAGTTTCGAGCCACTTTCACCTTTTTCGCTGGGATTCCACGCATTTTTAGGAAAAAAGTTGAGTAGGCATTGAAGTGGTGGATTAGAATGTCGTCATGGATGGCAAATCCTACGATGGCGTATTCAAGAAAATATATATGAGAGCGTTATTTTTAGAGCACTTTCTAAAAAAAATGATGAGAAAAATGGGTCTCGTTATTGGATCTCCTGAGGCATTTTAAAATTGCAATATTGAAAAAACGATTCTAGAAAAAGGTATCATATTTTAATATCATGGGTTGAGTTCTTTTTTCTAAGCATAACAAAAAGAGAAGTTTGTTGTTCGAAAAATTTAAATAATTTCTCTTTTGTCCTGACGCAACAAGTTTGGGAAATGAAATTAAACAAACAAACGCAACACCAAATCGAAACGGAACCCATTTTTCTTGTTTAAATTGATACCATATATGCGTATCAAATCAACGACGCCCGAAGTTTCACTTTTTGATGAATAGACCGCCGTTGGTTTTTTTTCTTTTCGCAAGCTGCCAACCCTGATATCAATTAAACTGACACCTACCGCTTGCGCAATCATCATCATCAATAATATTTTTTGAAGGGGGGGGGGGAATGAAAACGAAAAGCCGTTTCTCATTGCATATGATTAACGGCCGAAACCTCGGTGTGGAAATGGAATGTTTGCTTTGATTGCGTGGACAACAAAAATGAAATGAAATTTGAGACGAGAGGGTGCCATGGTTTGTATATAATTGGCAACGCATAGTTTATTTAATGTTGATGAAAATGGGCGATAAAAGTTTGGCAGAGATTGATTAATCAACTAGCAAACTTGTGTGCGAAGCCAAACGCAAAAATGAACGGGACTGACTGACTGCGAAATTGATGGTTTCAAGTTACAATAGAATTATAGGCTCGAAGGTGCGACATTTGTTAGAATGTCAATAATGGAGGGGAAGAAGAGGGGGAGAGCCGAGGCAAAACCGCAATATTGGGCGCGGTTTTGATTTTGCGCGCCAATTCAAATCACCTGCTCACCGCGTTTTGATTTATGCATTGCCGGCAGAGGATGCGCAATCTGCGCAATTCAATCATATTGGTTTCCAAGTAATGATTCGTTTTATTGACTGCAATGGATATGAAACGGAAGAAGAAACATTAAAAAATGATGACATCATTATATTTTTTGACTTTTTGCCGCACTGTAGTAAAAGAATGTATAATATCATTAGAAAAAAAACTGTTTAAATGAATGGAATGGTATTTATATTCTCGAATTTGGCAAATAAAATTTTGTCGTGGTTATCTACACTTACCAATGATCTAAAATCAGAAAACGAATATAAGCTTCAAAAAATATTATCTGTATCGGCTAACCGGAAGTGAGTCTGTAGAGATGACATTACACAAACCTTGATCTTTTTTTTCAAGATCCAATATGCACACTAATATTACACATAGACATTTTGAAAGAAACATTTGATTTTGAAAACTTTGACATCTTTGCAACCGACTGACTGGCACCGATGCGAACATTCCAGATGTGAAATGTTTGAAACGAGACGAGAAAAAAAAATTGGCTTTTTATGAAACGAAGTTACATACGCGCGCGTGCCCAACAAGGTCATCGAAATCATTGGAAGAATATAAAATATCGAAGTGTTGCTTTGACGCGACGAACGCCTTCAAGTTATATTCGAAATGCTGGCCACTGGTAACATTCTGTTGGACAGAAAATGGAAACATGTCATATGTTCCAAGACATCACACGCACGACACCGTCGATGCATTTTTTTTCGAAACCTGTTTTTTGGTATTATACGACCAAGTTTGCTAAGCCTTTATTGCACTATATGATAATGCCAAGGGTGAAAAAAACAAGAAGAGAGAAACGGAAATATCAAACGCATCAGTGAGAAGGGTATTGTATTTACTTCGACTTGGCGTTGGCGAAACCGACTCGCTTGTTGGCGTGATCGAAGACCGAGTAGAAGCGGCCGATGAAGACGTCACCGAGAATCCAGAGTGGTCCATTTGGTGGCGGAATGTCCATTCCCATGAATCCAGAGATGCACGTGGTTTTTCCGTTCGAGCTTGGAAGCTGGAGGACGTAGTCCTTACCCTGGAGAACAAAGTCTTGTCCTCCAAGAGAGAAGGTGATGTTGGGGAGCTTCGGAATGCGACTGCAGATAATTTCGTATTCTCCGTTAAGGATTGGGATGCCTCCAATCTTGTGTTGGATCTAAAAATTACATTCTTTTCTGTTTTTTTAGGATAAATCTCACCTTCTTGATGATGTCAGATGGTCCAGTGAGGAGGGAAGTACCGGTGTCAACAATAGCATCGGTTGGTCCAGAGGTCATCAATTCAGTTCCAACTTTCACTGATGCCAACGAGATTCTCCAGTAGTCAGTGGCGACAAGTGGCTCCCAGGCGATTTGTCCTTCATAGTGATTCGGGTCAGTGTCGCAAAGAGTGATTTCTCCTCCGTTGGTGACATCATTGACGTCACGGCTAAGCCAGAAAGCGAAGAGCTCGTTTTTGCAGATAGCCTTGTTCTGGAAGATTTGGTCGATCGGCTGGCTAATGCCGTTAACTGAAATCGAGTCCCAGGCCATTCCGAGGATACCGTCGAATTTGGCGGCAATGAAGGTGATTCCTGGTTCCGAGGTAGCGCACGCCAATCCTTGGTTGCGGTCAGTGCAGAAAGTGGTGTCATGTCCGAAATATAATAATATTTTATATGCAAATTTCTAAGCAAAATATCGAAACATACGCAAACGGTGTCGTTGTCAACGGTTCCCTTCATCGATCCGGTTCCGTATTGGATCTCGAATTTGACGCCAGTTGGTGTGCAGGTCTTCGACTTCTTGCAGTCAAACTAAAGTCGTGCTAATGAAACGCTTAATTTCCAAAAATGGTTGCTTACTCTGTTGTGCATTCTGCAGGCGATATCTCCGAATGGGCAGGTTGAGCATGGCACCCAAAGGTTGGACGAACCGGTATCGAAAAGAACTTGGAAGTTCTGTGGTGGGGTTCCAATAGTGATTGGTCCGAAATATTGCGAGTTCGAGTAGTCGGAAAGTCCCTCCTCGAAAGCGTCATTGTTTGGCTTATATCCTTGAATGTACTTTGTCTTCAAGTGCTCCTGAATCGGACCAAACTTGTATTGCTCGCGGGTGTAGGATCTTTTTTCCAAAGGAATTCTGAATTTGGAACCAATAGGCTCAATTACATTAATGAGTTAAGGAAACCTGTGGATTGCCGAGGCAACAACGGCCAAGGCCAAAAGCAAGAAAACGCGGGATGTTGTCATGTTTGAGCCAACTAGCGTGATATCATTGTCGAGAGCATTCCTTAAATAGACATTGAGCAGACTCCACCCACCAATCTCCGTAATCAGCAATTTCAACACGTCAAGGAATATTCGGGAGTTGATAATGATGAGAACTAGAGAAGTGGAGACACAAGGAGTTCGGTTATCACACGTTCTTTGACTCAATAACCGGACACGTTAATTTTTAGATCATATGATTCTAATGTATGAGTGCGATGTCATTTGCAATGATTTCTCGAAATCAGGGTAAAATTTGAAGTACCATAGAAAATCTGAAATTAATTAGGATGATGATTTTAATTAACATAACAAAATCATTTATTTAGCCTCATTATAATTTAAAAGTGATTATTAGACTGACTTGAGGTAAACGTTTAGTAATTCTCTGCAGAAGTATCTCTCACATTTGCTACACAACGATTTGTGAAAATTAGGCTCAAAGCTTGAATTCCTCAATTTTAGCAATATTATGGCTATAGATTTTTATCAACAAAATTTATCAATATAAACATTTGATGCAACTACATTTGTGTCGAATCGGTGAAAGTTCGTTGTCATTTTTATCAACTTCTTTAATCTAATAAGCGGCTTAAATCACATCTAGACATAGTACGAATCAAACAATGTATTTATCAATGTAACCAAATGATCAGAATCAAAATAATTTCGAGAAATTTCTTGACATTTTCATATTCGAAAAAAAGTAAACTATTTTGAACTCCGATAATGCGGTAGAATTTTTAAAAAGTGGTTAGGAGCGTGTGACCTTGATCTTTGATTATTAAATTTGCATCATAGATAAATCATATTTACAAGCAGCAAATGGTTCCTGGAGTTTTTTAGATTTTCTGAAAGGCAGAATGACAATTTTTGTTTGCGATAAACGAAAAAGTTGCTACAAAGCAAAAAGACGTTTTACGCACTTTACACTATTTTACGACATTTTATACCAATTTTAATTTAAATCGTCGACTTGTTTTTATTTTCGTTTGAAAAAAATTTAAATGGTCAAGAAAGTTGTTTTGAACTGCACTTCAAGTCATTGTCAAACCAATTGGTATTCATTAGAGCGTGCGGCTGATCAACAATATGACAAGTGGCGGGTATCCATTTTGCTGGCAAGATCAATGTGTAAAGAGAAACAGACACGGCGAGCTCGAGCTGCATTTCCTCACTTTTGCTTCAAAATCGAACTCCTCATGAGCATTCTCTTATTATTATTATTATTGCTAAATTGCCTTCAATTATTCGAATGTTTCAATATTCCGCAACACGTGCAGGCTACGAAAGGAAAATTTTTTGTACATAATTTGCATTCGGCCAATTTTTTTCCGAGCACAGGTTCCCATTGTTTCGATTTGTTTCGCATGTGTGTGTGTTTTTCTTCGTTTCAGTTAAAGTGAAATGGGAAGCGACGCTTAACAATAAACCAGCTTTACCCTCATGGTTGAGATTGATGCCTTCAAGGCACCCGGAGATTGCCTATCTTATCGGTAGTTTTGATATTCGATTTTATTATTATTTAACGACCTTTGAATTATTCAGGCACACCGGTCACAAACGTCCCGCAAATCACTATACACGTAATTGCGAAAAGGCTTGATAACTTTGAAATTCAACAAAAGATGCTCGTAATCAATTTGGTCGACGATTGTGAGTATTTTATGATGGTTATTATGAGTTTAATTTGATCGTTAAAATTGGTGACGGCGACCGGTTGATGCAATTTTATCAACGCTAGCAATTTTATTGAAATTATGCGGAAATGTTTCAGTGCACTACTGCCTCTAATATCACATAGATATATTGAGTTTCAGCAAAGTATAATGGATATACAAAGGAGATATTCGAGCTGCCTTTGAATAATTTGGAACTTGAGGAGTTTGTTTCAAATCGCAATCGAAAAATTGGTAGCAAATTGTGTATTGAAATTGAAAAAGAATCTAAATTCTAGAGCAACTCGAAAATGCGCTGAAAATGACATTCCGTGGCAAGAACGTGAACCCGTATATCGTCGATGTTCGCCATAAATATCTTGTTCCAAAGGGCAAGGAGCATATATTTAATAATAAAGGGTGTGCAAAGCACTTGAAATGATGATTTTGACAATTTTAATTTTATAGAATAATTGTATCGGTAGGAACACAATATAAGTTCTATCCAGGAACTGTTGCAATGGTTCATAATCTTCATGATAATCCTGCCTTCTGTCAGCGACCTTCTTCAGTGGCAATGAATCGCAATTTCGCCCCAATGTTTGAAGTTGATTGGTGTAACGTGAACTTGGTAAAATCAGCCGAGCGCATCGCAAATGTTTCTGGGTTTCAGAGAAATGCCACGCTTGTAACCAACGTGGAAGAAGAGCCAATTAAAGCGCCTGTCGTCACGCAGCCAATAAAAGGGAAAAAATCTAAAAATGAAACGAAGGCGAGTGATCGGCTTGACCCGCCACCGCAAGAAATTTACGGATACAGCGGCTACAACTTCTGGAATAGCGTCATCCTTTTTCCGGCCATTGGAATTGTATGTGTAATTCTCCTTCTCGTCTTAAGCATTATCTTCTTTGGCAGTCGCGAGGGTCAGAAATGGAGGGATTATAAAACATCAAGGTAGGAATTCGCTGTGATCCGGGCCTATTTGGAAGAACCTGGTTTGCAGAGAGACATTGGAAGAATACATAAGCGTTCGCGAGAGTCAAAAACACTTGAGAGAACTCTCAGTTCAACGACAACTAATAAGCATGTCGCAGGATTCATCGGCAGTTCCAACTGGAATTCACTCATTTTTACAGCCAAGAAGTCGAATGCCGAGTACTGTTGCAAGGTTTAGCAAAAGCGCAAGCCGATTGAATGATAAAGGTAAATCAGTAAGAGGCTTTGATAATATGAAAATCATGCGGTTTAATTCTACGATCGTATTATCTACTTTATGAATGTCCTTAGTATAATTAAAATATGAACCTTTCAGAAGAAACTGTTGAACTTCTCCCAGTACTTGACCGGACCCCAGTTGGCAAGCAAACCGTTGCCGAAGCAGCAAAACAATGCGGAAGCTCATTGCACTTGTATAGAAACCCATTGGATAGCGAAAGTGATGAGAATGCGAGTGATAATAGCTCACAAGATAGATGATTTCTCGAATTTCATGCCTTTGTTCCATTAAAAATCAATGAAAATTTTGAAATTTAATCGAGAATCGGGCGATTCGTGAATTTTGCCACACATGACGAAACCGTGCACGCTGTCGTTGGACCCTCGAAATCATAGAACATTATCATATTTGAGCCTTTTTTGAGAAATTCCGACGGAATGTATAATGTTTGCTGAAATTTTGACGAACTTTGAATGGATTGTTTCACAAATTCACAACCTGTGGTCCAACTTTCGACCAATACCTTCCAATATTATATTGATTTATGGTCACAATTCCCTTTCCCCATCCCCTCGTGTCCAAAAATGTGTCAGTGGGTTGCTCTTTGATGTGAAGTGTTCCAATATATACGGCTGGTTGCCTAGGAGTATTATCTCCTGACGCGAATTTTTCGAAATGAATCTCGTTTGGTTGAGAATGGGGCAACATATAAGTTTCAATAGGAACATGACAGTTAAACCATGTTGTTAGGGTTATATTGAACATGTATACCCCTGATTGAATGCCCTAAATGGTAATTATTCTTAATGGCATATATTATGGATACCTTCGACATTCTTGACGGATATCCATGAATCCTTCCAGTGTTCTCGACGACTATTTCCAATGTGTTAATTTCGGGAAGGCATCCAACAATTTCGATAGTGTTGTTATGAGAGTTTGCAAATGATTTGTAAAGAGCTCCCTTCAACAATAATTAAAGAATATGCTGAAAAATAGAAATTTACAATGAAAACACCATTCAAGTAGAAGTAAGCGTCATCTTCGAAGCTTGGAATGTAGAGATTGCCGCATTCAAAAATTGTCTCAAAATTTTACGTCAGATTTGCTATATAATTATGCTTACCGTGTTGTAATAAGCAAATCCATATCCATGTCGAATGTGCTCAAAAGTTTCAGGAATTTCTTTGCTTTTCCAGCATTCGGGAAGTGTGCCAACAATGAATCCGGGAATCGAGTTAAATGTCGAAAGTTTCACATCTTGATACGCCGTCTTTCTGAACGATTCGGAGTGTTGAGAATTTGAAACAAAATTAAAAATTTACGGCAAATTTGATGGGATTTTGGTTGGCCTTGTTGTCCAATCAATAAGGTTATTCACCCAATTCCTTATTGCAATCATAAGAAGTGTCGAGTCGCCAGATTCAGCAATCGGTGCAAATGAATCGTGAGAAGTTGATACAGGATATTGATTTTCTGCGCCATTCCAATAACCAAAATTGGTACCGCCATGAATCAAACTAAACGAAATGCTGGCGTTCAGCGAATAAGCCAAATTCGCATTCTGGATAATGTCATCGTCCGAATATTCTCGACTAACATTTTTTCCCCAATAACGAGTCGTCGTTACGACATACTGCGATGCCACGGGAGGTCCCTTTGCGTAATTTTGCTGATAATTGAAAGCGGACTTTGTATTTTCCACACTTATTGGACGGAGCTCAATAGTCGGGAAAATCCCCGGAATCATTCCACATTGGAAGTTAGGCGCGATTGGTTTGTCAACTGAAAATTGTCAAATTAAGACTATCTAGACGCTGATGTGAACCTGTAAATAAGACAGCGTCGTTGCCAAGGTGCTCCCGTGCATAGTTGACAAGTGAGAGGAGATATGACCTTAGTAGACGTATTTTAAGAGTTATTAGAATTTCAGAATGGTTAAATTACTTACTGATCGCATAACCCTGTGTCTCCGTACATGTGCTCAATTTGAACCATCAATATTGGACCGCCGTTCCTTCTCATGAGCGGAAACATCTTCGGCAGCAAATCCACCATTGAGTCACTTCTCTTAAAAATTTCGGATCGGACGACCTTGGCGTTTGAACATCTCGACGAAGCAGCCACCATGGTAGTCCACCATTATCCCATTCAGCAGATATATATGGACCTAAAGACAATTCATTCAATGCTTATTCGCCGGCATACCAATTCTCAGAATTGTGTAGAGGCCATTTTCATTGGCCGTGTTGATGAATTTGATGAGATCGAGATTTCCGGTGAATTTTGGCGACAGGTCTTCTTCAAATTGATGAAGATTCCATGGAACGGGAACAGTGATCGCATTCAAGCCCAAGGATCGAACTCGTTTCAATCTTAACAGTTGATCAAGATAATCTAAAGCCAAAAATTGTGTGATACCGATCATCCCATTTTTGGTGTGGAATCCGAAAATAGTGAATCTCGCCGGCTATGTAGCGAAATGGGTCGCCATCAAGTAAAAATTGGCGATTTACCGCATCAATTTTGAAAGACGGCGATGAATCTTTGCTAAACATTTTTTGTTATAGTAGTGGAAGCTCACAGTTACCATTCGATGATCGCGAAAAGGAATATTGTGACAAATAAGAAGCGAATCATTTATTGAACAAGCGAGCCAAAAGTTCAACAATTGAACGTACAGTCCTTATCAGACATTTTAATATCGGACATAATCAAGAAAACGGGGAAATGGTCATGAGTTACTTTCAATGTTAGGGTTAAATGACACGGTACGTGTACATTCAGCACTATGCTACACGCTTTAAACGTTTTTTTTTCTTTAAAGAAAAAATAAGGTGATGATGGTGAAGGTGAAGAGTAAGGGCAAGGAATAATAGTTTTAAAATTTAAATTCGAAAATTAAAAATGTCCTTTTTAGGCTCGATTTTTCGACGATTTCTTATTAGGAGTTTTTGCTTCAAAATCATAGAAGGTAATTCGCAGTTTTTCGAAAACCATAATCATGAGATATGCGTAGATTTCAGCCTATAAAATTTAAATCATTTTCATTATTCATTTCAATGTCTTTTCGTTGAATGACATTCAATCTGGTGAATGGACTTTTTTAAGATATTCATTCTTCAAAGTTGCCCACAATTGGTCGGTCTGTTTGAATTCATTGAATAGCTTAAAAAAATGATATTTTTAATCTTGTTCACTCAACATTCAAATCTTTTCTGAAAGCCAGTCGATTAGTTTCCCACTAACATGCCCATAACTATAAAAACAGTCATCGACAGCTTTTGCGATGATGTATTTAGTATTGTTATCAGCCGCCGTTTGTCGACTAGGTTCTGCCGCGACTTGAGTATTTTTTGATTTACTCTCCGGTTCTTCTTGAGTTGGTTGATTTGTCCATTAGCAATTTCCTCATCGTTTACAATTTGCGTCGTCTCGCATTTACTCGAGACAACATGGAAACTGATTGGACAAAAGTAACTTTTTAACTAATTGTTTCTTAAAAAACAATACGATTATCATTAGATTATTTTCTCGGATGAGAAAAAGTTCAACCTAGATGGTCCCGATGGAAATACATGTTATTGGCACGATTTACGGAAAGACAACCAAATTTTTTCAAAGCGGAACATTGGTGGCGAGAATCTCATGATCTGGAGAGCATTCTCTTCGGCGGAACTTCACAAGCTGGCATTTGCAAATGGCCGAATTGACTCCAGCGAGTGGACTATCAGCGAGTGTTAACGGACTATCTGTTACCATTTCGATGACGTTTTCGGCGAAGAAAGTTCGTATTCCAACAGGCAATGCCTCAATTCAAGCAAGTCGATCGACTTTGGATTGGCTCAGCAAAGAAAATATCAACGTTTTGAGGTGGCCAGCGTGCTTACTAGACTTAAATTCAATGGAGAATGGTTAGGGAGAGCTGGTTAGCAGCTTTTATCGCCATGGAAAGCAATATTCATTGATTAAAGCTGCGATTATCAACGAGTGGGATCTATTGGAGCAGGAATTCAACAAGACCATCCAAAAATGAAAAAGCTGGTACAATCGAGCCAAATCGTATTTACGACCTTATTTCTTTAAAAGACGGCGCAACTAAATATTAATCTGGTTTTATATTAGAGTTTTTACTGCGTTCACGGGGGTGGCTTTATAAATGTAAAACGGTTGCAAGTGACTAATTTTCAGTGTTTTCAATGCCACTCGGCCAATTTTTCAGATATCATTATGAAAATTAGTAGATATACGTATTTTTAGCCCTGAATTCAATTTTGAAAACATAATTTAAAAATTTTTACAATTGACAATGTTACACCCAAAAACAGGGGTGCCTTTATAAATGTATACATTTTCAAAATGACTTATTCAATTCTTCCATCTTTCGAAACAATTTGTAGACCTTAAAATTAATTTTCAGTATAAGTTATTCATCTATTGAGAACCAACGAATTTTCATAAAACTGGAGTTTGACAGTTGATAGAATTGCTCAATGACGCCGTCGATCATCTGACTCGCTGAAATCACAATTCGTCGACCCTACTTCTCCGAGCGGGCAGATCCGAGACAACTGTGATTGCGAGAACCGTCAGATGTTCACCATGATCACTTGAGGAAGCGTATGCACAAACATTTTAATCGTTATTTTTATATGAAAATTTCTGACAAATAGAATTATTCGGCAATTTTTGTGCTTATCTCACGCCTAACTCATCAATTTTAGATGATCACCAGAAGCCGTCATGCACTTCCGTTTGTTGGTTTAACTTCGATTCATTTCATAAGTAATGCAAATGCAAGCTAGAATTTATTTCCCCTCTCACAACAGAATTTTGTAAGTGCCGCAAAAAATATGAGGTCTTCAATGGGTATCATAATCACACCACAGGTCTACAATCATACCACAGGGGATGGGACAATTTTACAGGAAGACGCGATGATTGAATTATCAAATCCACCAGAAAGCGAGAGAAGCTGTGTGTGCAAGACAAATAATTGATAATAAACGGAGCCATGTGAAATGATTCACAAAATGCGTGGGGCGAACCGATATAAACTATTAATTCAAATTTTTGCACTATCATTTACAAATTGCCTTGGCACTTCGAACATATTCTTGATGTCGAACTCGATTCGTCAGATTAATCACTGTTTTGAGCGGTGTGCTGAAATATTCAGAATAAGGTTTTGAGTATTAACAATTGTTTCAAACATTTTCCAAGGTTCCAATGCGTCCGGTTTGCTCATCAACGATTATAATTGGGTTCGCTGCCAACATATCAACGACATCGTTCCAGTTGTTTGCAATATCCTCGACGGAAGCGTTTGGAAGAACAAGTCCGGCACTTTTGTAATTTTCTATTTTGCCGTACCATCCGGCTCCAGCTCCATACAAATTCCCAGACTCGTTGAATGACTCATGAACAAGATATGTCATGAGTGGCGTGACGTCCGGCTTCAAATCCTGAACAATGTTTTGCGGCACGTCTTGTGTCAATCGAGATCCGGCCGTCGGAATGACGGCATTACATAGAATTCCGTGCTTAGCTCCTTCGTGTGCAATAGTGTTCGATAACCCAATCAATGCACTCTTGGCGGCTGTATGACTCATATGGTCAAAATTCGGGTGAATTTTCGAATAATTGAACGTGATAATTATACGTCCATACTTCTGATTTCTCATATAAGGCCAAGCAGCTATGGTAACCAAGAATGCTCCATTCACGTATTTATTGAAGTTTAGATCCCAATCGAGTTTTGTCATTTTGAGAAATGAAACTACACGAATGGTTCCAGCATAGATGACAATGTCTACAATTATTGGTTACTGAAAGAGAAGTACTAAGGTTGTGATTACCAATTCGGTCAAAGTAATCGACTGCGGTCTTCACTATAAAGTCGCTGTTATAGTTCGCTACAGCGACACCTCCACGCGATCTGATCTCCGCAACAACATTATCAGCCCATGAAGTGCCCGACGAATTTCTATAAGGATAGCCTGCCATGTCATTCACTGAAAATCTAACTTTGATTTTGAATACAACGCGATAAAACTCACCGACAACTTTTGCTCCACGCCTGGCCAATTCAAGAGCATTTGTTCTGCCAAGATCGCCACAAGCACTAATTACAATTGCAACACGGTTTTTGAAGCTAAGTCGCATATTGCCGGAATCCCGCCGAAATAATGATTCAAATTCCGATGTTCTTCCACCCGCTTTCGAGGTTCTTCCATCCAGATTAACACTGTCATGAACGGTGTGCTAAAAAATATAAAATAAGGTTTTGAGTATTGACAATTGTTTCGAACATTTTCCGAAGTTCCAATCAGGAGTCCAGTTTGCTCATCAGTAGTTCCAATTGACGTCGCCGCCGACATATCAACGATATCGTTCCAATTTTTTAAAATATTCTCGACGGAAGCGTTTGGAAGAACAAGTCCGGCACCTTTATAATTGTCAATTTTCCCATACCATCCGGCTCCAGCTCCATACAAACTCCCAGACTCGTTGAATGACTCATGAACAAGATATGTCATAAGTGGTGTAACGTACTCCGGTTTTGAGTAATTGACAAAAATTCCTGGTAAAGAGATATACCGATATGCGGATGTCGGAATGACAGCATTGCAAAGAATTCCGTAGTTGGCTCCTTCCAGTGCAACGGTTTTCGAAAACCCAATCAATGCACTCTTGGCGGCAGTATGACTTGTATGGTAAAAATTATTGTGAACTTCCGCATCACAAGGGGAGACGATTATACGTCCATAATTCTGATTTTTCATGTAAGACCAAGCAGCTCTAATAACCGAGAATGCTCCATTCACGTGAACATTGAAAGTAGCGTTCCAATTGACTACCTGCATTTCAAGAAAAGAAATGTTTCGAAACGATATAGCATAGATCACAATGTCTGCAATTATTAGTTACAGAGAGAGTAGGAATAGAATTCCGATTACCGATTCGGCCAAAGTTATCGATTGCGGTCTTCACAATATTGTCGCCGTTATCAACATGATCATAGTTCGCTAAGGCGACACCTCCATTCGATCTGATTTCAGCGACAACCTTGTCAGCCAATAAAGTCCTCGGCGATGGTACGGGAAGATCGCCCTTCCAGTCGTTGACTGAAAAATCTAATTTCGATTTTGAATACAACGCGATAGAACTCACCGACAACTTTTGCTCCACGCTTGGCCAATTCAAGAGCAATAGTTCTGCCAAGACCGCAACCAGCACCAGTTACAATTGCGACACGTTTGTTGAAGCTAAGTGGCGAAACTCTTACATTTTGAAGCGACTGATCTTCTGAAAAAAAATAACACTCCATTCTGTAACCTCAAAATATTGCCCGAATGACGACGAAATGACGATTCGAATTCCGAGGTTTTTCGATTTCTTCCGTTTATGTCGTCAAAAATAATGGAATTAGGCTCATCCAAAGCAGCATGCGAATTGTTCTTTGCACTATCATTTGCATCCATAGCATTGGACTTTGGACGGTCAGAGGAGACCTCAATTCCAGCTGATCGCATGTTATTATCAATTTTTCTCAACCCAACTTTTCCGGAAAAATCAGGATCACGTGATTGTTGCTATAATTCATTAGAACTATTAATTAAATTTTGAACGATGGGCTACCTCGTTGCACACGAACTCCTCGTACATGTTAGGATCTCGGCAAACGCGAGGTACACGCGAATTGCAAAACTCATTGAACAACGGTGATCGCAAATGACGCTTTCGATTTTTTCTTTCGATGACGTCTCATCAGAACATTCGTCCAAATTGTTGTGGGTTGTGGGTTTCTGATGAGAAGCTTTCTTTTCTGGAGTCGTCGTTTTCTGACGATCAATATCCTGGTGTCAATTATTGGCTCACAACATATTTAGAAATCTTACATTTGCATTATGTTCATTTCCAATCTTATCACGAGTATTTGCATCCACAGTGCAAGGTGGCTCAGTTATTACTCCATCTAGCATGCTCTCAGGATCATAATCCCTTAGATTAAAGACAAATTGAACATTAATATCTTTCCTTAAAAAACAAAATACATTATGAATTGGATATGAAGCATACTTTAACAATTGATCCTCGTTAATGGGAAGATGTCTTCTAGTATAATGAGCTTGGCTAGTCAATGGCTGAATTGAGTTTCGTTTATCTTCATTTTCATGACGGACATCAACCTCAGTGTTCGTATCCATATTGACTTTGGAGGTTTTGTTCATTATGTTCATTTTTTCTTCGTCTGTCGTTCTTGGTTCGACGAGCTTCACATTCGAACGAACTTCCGGTTTACCGTTGACATTATTCGAAGATTCAGCGGAACGTCTCGAGTCCTTCATATAGTTATTCGAAGACATTTCTTCTAAAAATATAATTTGGGTGTCAATGTATTAGGAATGAATAAATTACTTCAAGTCTGGACAGTTCACTAGCGCGAAACAGTGACGCAATACTGAAATGTGCAGATAATAATTAAACGAGTTTGAAATCGCAAGCTACAAAACACCAAATAAAACGAGAAATGACACCATGACAATTAGAAGTGAATGAGAATGAAGATGCGCGCACAAGAAAAACCGACTTAAACATGTGTTCGATAGAGCGCGCATGTTCAGTTGTTCTAATACATAGTTTGAGGAGATAGGAACGATGCTAAAGACGCCAAAAACTGTGAATAGTTTTGCAAGGTTGAAAAGCATAAAATGTTCATTGGTATACATATATTAAATTGATCTTCACGTTTAAAACAGAAAATTTAATGAATGCAATTAAAAATGAGACACATACGCTGGAAATATCTTGATGATATAATATTTGTCCGGAAAAGCATGTCAGCCAAATTTTTTTCTCTTTGATTAATTTGTCTGCAACAAAGCGAACATTTGTTGAAAGTTCAAATTGAATTTTTTTTTTCAATTTTTCAATTTCTTCGAAATTTAAAAAGTTTATTATTAAGAGAAGACCAAACTAAATGATAATTTCAAATTTTTGTTTGTAACCATTCCACATTGTAAATTCCATATTTTTTCCACATAGTATGGTGGAATAAAAAAAATAAATGAACAATTCCCTAATACGCTCTCGATTACAACACCTGGCCGTTAGGACATACAACTACCAGAATCTGAAGGGGAGACTCATAAGTCACTCCATTAATTTGAGAGATCTCAACCGAAATTCGAGACCAAGCTTTTCGGAAGCAATCGAAAACTTTTAATCCTTTCCAGCTATACCATCGAAGCAAAAGGAAAAACAACAAAATTACCGGAAGCGATATTCAATCTTAGTATAATATGTGTTTGGTTTTCTGTTGGTTTGAGACAACTAGCTGACAGATATACATGTGTTTATAAATCAATTGGCAGTCTTCGAAACTCGGCAAACATCGTAAAAATATCCATTGAACGGCGTCGGATGGCAACATTAGGGTAATAATTTAAAGCCTGCAGCATGGCCGTGTAAGAAGATGCACGTGTTCGGATGGCCGAACGCAATACGCGACGCAATAAGCGTCGCGAAGGCGCCAATATTTTTTAGGCCAATTCATTTAATTTATTGTTTTTTGTGTGCATTTTTTGTTTAATCGTTTGACAATTTCATATGCAGATTTACAAGTTACTACCCCAATACCGTAGGCCGAAATTGAGCAAAATTCCAAAAATCGAATTTCAGATGGATCAGCTTCGATTTGACGGGCAAGTGGCGGCTATTTGCAGTTGTGACTACACACTGTGCGGATCGATTGCTACGGATCTGGCATCACGAGGAGCAAAGATTGTTGGTAAGTGGCAGACGATGAACTTCAAATTCATAAGATTATTTTAAGTTGGCGGAGAAAATCGAGAAGCCGTCGAGGAGTTGGTTGAGGAAATCAAAGATGCGGGAGGCGAAGTTTTTGTCTGTGCTGAAAACATTGGAGCGTCAATTGTTTTGCTAGCACTTGAAAAATTTGGTCGGATTGGTGAGACATATCCCATTTAATATTTGGTATTATTTTTCAAAGATATATGTGTTTCCTTCATGAGTCATGCTGGAGAAGACTTGAATGGTGAAACATCCGAGGCCACATTCAACAAATACTTTTTCAAAACTCTCGAGACGTATTATGGTGCAATGAAATCGGCTTGGTTAACATTTGTAAAGAACAAATATGGACGAATTTTGTTTATAACTGACCATCTTTTGTTCAACTGCAATTTGAAGGAAAGCAGAAACACTGTTGCGAAACGAGCACTTTTCGATTTCAATGAAAGTCTTTTGAAATTGACTGAAAATGGCCCGATTGATTATGACATTAAATGCAACATTTTGGCGCCTTGTTTCGATGTTCTCAAGCCTGCAACAAATGCGACCGGAAACATAACACGTTTGGCAGTTTGCTTGATCCATAGACACTTGAAAGAAAGCGGTGAAATATTCCACGCGTCTGAAAAGACGTTCGGAAAAGTTTCATTATTCAAATCAAAGGATACTTGGCTCCAAAAACCGACAGCCGAGGATATTGCTCAAAGATGGGCTGATATAAACGACTGGTCTGAGGCGGTCGAAGTGGTTTCATCAACGGTAGAAAGCATTGATTCGACACCCCTCAGTCTACATCACGACACTAATAGTCCAATTGCGAAAAGGTTGCGCATTTCATCGCCAAGCGATGGATTGTTATGTTCAAGCTCAAGTGAGCAAAAACCTCGCTCAAGGAGCAGCAGTTCTGATCAGACAAGTGTTCAAACAGGCCACAGTAGCGTGATGACGGAATACACAAGGGTTTGAAATTTAAATAATAAGAAGTTAAAAAAAATTATTTCAGAAACTGAGAGAGATAAGAAAAGAACATGAGGCAAACTACATGCCTCCTTCGCCTCGCCCATTCTACGTTCCGCCCGTGTTGATTGGATATAATATCGTCAAGCGAGGAAAGAAGTTGATTACTTTCAGTAAGTTAGGAGAATTTATTATATTATTCCCATATAAGCGTATTACAGTCTTCGATTTCGAGCGATCTCCTGTAAAAGTCTACACCGAAATCTGTCCTCATGCCTATGATGTCTATGAAATCACAGAAGCCGATTTTTTGGCTGAAATTAAAGAAAAAATGAATGCGAAAGGGGTAAAATAGAAATAAAAAGCATTCACTCAGTTTGTTTCAGATTACCGATGATGAAATGGAATTCCAATGTATTATGAGAATGCTTACTTCAAGAATTTCATATGCAAATGACAATTCCTATGATGATATTTTCAAAATGAAATCGAAAAATGGGCCTCACTAGACTTGATTTATCATACATTATTGTCGTACAACTTTTAAAAATTGTTAGCCCTTCTTAATTATTGAATTTTAACCAATTATCTTTCAGTTTCTTCTCTTTTCACTCTCATTTTTGATTGGTCATAATTCTGTCAAGCTTCTATTTTAATTCACTTTCTTTTTTGTAATTATTATAATCATTTCATAATTTTCCGGTTAGTAATTTTTTCAAACATTTCTTGAAGATTGAAACGCTAAAAGTATCTAATCACATTTTTTTCTAGCAACTTATATGCTAGATATATCATTCTATCTGCCTTTACTGGGTGTATTTTTTTTTTAATCCATACTCTATTAAACTGTAAAATAAACAATTTGTAAAAGATTGAAATTATTTTCTTGAATTATCAACGAGTTCGACAAAATTTTGTCAATCTCATAACATTATTTACATTATCATCATTTACTTTTTTTTATTTATTTTATTTTTTTATTTCTCCCTACTATTATACACATAATTAATGCCGCATTTTTCGGCCATCAATGTGAAAACCAAAACCGCCAATGTGCAGAGCCTAGCCGCTAAAGATTGAGATAGTGTCTGTTAATAAGAGAACATGATCCTTTCTCGTTTGATAGCTCACAATGCACTCTCATAAATACCAGATGCTCACACTGTACTGCTGGGTGACTTCTTGCTAGTCGATATCCCCAATTATCGTTTTTCCGCGATTACTCCGCATTTTAATATAATTGTTTAATATTCAATTCCTAAAGTTAAATATTTTGTTCAAGCCTGCTGAATTTTTTCTTCAGCTCGAGATGAACAGTGCATCTATCGCCAAACATGCAGAATTGAATTTATTTCGTTTTTCACATACTTATTTTCAGGATTTCTGGCTGATCTCTACCGAAATACATCAAAACGACACAGCTAGGAATAAAGTCGAACCTATAACTTTTCCACTCGTACAGCGGAAGCGATTATGGAGTTTCGCCAGGACGAAGCCCCAGTTGATTCACTGAATAGCCAACAACCAAATGAGGTGAACGCATTTAGTTCAATCAGCCCACCTTGGTTGGAAAGCAATGCTAATAATCCTAATGTGAATGTAAATTATAGTTAACCTAATAATTTTAATTTTTTGAATATTAGGAATCGAACCTTGATTTGAACGAGTGTCCTACCGACGCCGCTACGGGACATAAGATTATTACATCTTTTCTCATTACCTTACTCGAATTTTCTCAGAAGTTTTTGAGATCTTCGAATCAAAATCAGACTGTCTTCTTACTTCAGGAACCATTTTTTGGACTGCCTATTAATACTGCGGTGAGCCTCAATATTTATCAAATCAATAATTACCAATGGACAGATTCTGAATAGACTAGTGCAAATGCCGCCATTAACAACATATCTCACGCAATTAAAAAACTCTATTGAAAATGCTTCATCGTTCTCAGTTACGAATATTCCGTATATAACATTTGATCCTTTATGTGGCAGCACTTTGAATGAACCAGTAAGTGAAAATTCAAAAAATTTGGTTTTTTCTACTCTAAATCAATTTTCAGCGAAAGATCGACTTAGAGGAGCTCCGAGAGTTACTATTAACTTCTCTGACAAAGCAACCATTCAATTTTGACATGCACTTCTTTGTTGTTATGTCGGCAGCCTTTTTCCTAACGTTTTCATACACCGAAGATGAAATTCTGGAGCACTGGAAATCTTACGATACCACACAAATGATTCCGAATGTGATGCATGCCAGAGATGATTCTTCTTCAAATTCAAGCGAACGTTCTCAATCTCATAGTAATAAGCCAAATGGTATAATTGAAGTTAAATAATGGTATTTTTTTTAAATATTTTTTCAGAACACGATGAAAAGCGAGACGAATTTATCATGGACGATACCGAGACCCCAATTATGTTGAAGTATGATATCGACATTTTGCTAATGCTTCTCAAGACAACACACGACAAAATCAAGGATCACGTTGGCTACACTGGTAGCAAATTGCTTCCCATCGTTTTTAATGTTTCAGTAAAATTTTAAAAACAAAATAATATTTGAATTTTTAGATCCTCGAGAAATTTGATCAAACCCAGATATACGCTCCCATTTTGTATTATATCACGAATAATGGAGACCGCGATCTTCGACCAACAATCGAGAAGGTAGACAACTGTGTGATATTCAGCAAATTGTTAAATTGTAGATCCGAGGATTTGCCGAGTTCCACATCAACCAGAAACTCGACTCTGGCAAACGTTTTGATTTGTAATGAAATTCAAAAATGCACTTTTTTGCTTTCTCAATGTTTTTTTTTATTTTCTCTATGTTATTTTTTTTTGCTTTCTCTATGTTAATTTTTTTGCTTTCTCTATGTTATTTTTTTGATCATTTAAATTAAACATTTGAATATGCAGTAACGTTTTTTTTTTCATAAAGATTTTGCAATAGGACCCAAATCTCTTAATTTTATGGTTCAATACCGTTGCAGTGTATCTGTCGTTCTTTGAACTTTGTTTTTTTTTTTCATATTTTTTTCGACAGACTATGGAATATCGAAGAAGAGGCATCTCTACTGAACAAACTTCTCGACATGGTTATGCGACGAGCCGAAGAGTCAGCCAAGGTAATATACAATTTCAATAAAAACAAAAAAGAAAATTTAAATGTAGCGAAAAATAATTGTCTCCCTAGTGAATATTGGATTGAAACTAAAATTTTAGAATTTTTCCAATCACCTATACGATAAATTACTGGCATTTTGAATTATTTTACCATTTTGGACAAAGATTACTCAGAAGAATCTTCTCAGTTTTTCAAATATGGAATTACAGTCTTTTCATTTTTCAAAGGTTTTCATATTTGCCTCGATTTCAACTTAATTATTTTTTATATTGCTTAGATTTCAAATTGCAGACAAACGCGAAACAGAGTCGAGAAGAATAAATGGTCACCTTGCAAACTACAAAACTCAAATTGGTGCGAATTCCCATGTTGAGGATGAGGTCGTTCATAAGTTGCATCGTTCATCCCTACTTGACAGCCTTTTGGATTCATTAAACGCGTACGGTTATTCGAATCTAGAATCTGTCAACAACCCTTCAAATTCCAACCGTCGTGATCTTTTCTCGGTGCTTTTTCCCGGGGGACATGAAGCACGAGTCCTTGCAACAATTGCTCATCCGTCAAGTAGAATTCCTAAAGCACGCGGTAATTTTCCTAGATAACAATTATCATACAATTTTCATTTTCAGAGCGATCGCAAGGAAACCAAAATAAAAAGAAAACCTCATCGAGTAGACAACCAATTGGGGCCACTATATCCGAGTCAACTCGTGAATTAATTAGAAAGCGCTTCAGAACCGGAGAATGTAAGAAATCAAACCTTTAATCAAAGTGTATTGATGACTCGATGACCATCTTACGCATAACGAACTATTTTAATTCATCATTATTTTAGTTTTAATTTCCAGCCAAACACGATCATGAGAAATCCCAATCACGCTGTTATCAATCGACGAAAAACTATCAGAATCCATCGGCAAGAGCAGTGGCAGGGACGAAGAGATCACGTTCATCAATTGATTCTGCTGTCTCAAAGAAGTATGGATATCCAAAAAACTATAGCTTCACATATTTTGTTGCAGAAAGTGTATTGACAACAATATTAGCGAGAAGTCTGACTCAGATAGACGAAATGATCGTGTTGAAAAAGTGGTCGAACCCCCTATGAAGGTAAATTTACTTTAAATTTTCAAAATATATGTTTTACGTGATTAAGCAAGTGCCGACACCGCAATTGGATGTTCTGAAAGCAGAAGCGATGAAAAACCAACTGTCCAAGAGTTTGGAAACTTGGAAAGATATCATTGCCCTTATTGAATGTCGTTTTAAATCGATTTACAATGATAAATTGTTTGCACCACAATCATCGTAAAATTTTTCCAGTCTGTATGAAATTGTTTTGCCACTTAAAAAAACCATTGATTTAATATACTGCATTTGTTCTATATTTCATTTCTATCTTTCAAATATTGAGTCCTCTTTCTCTCTTTCGTTCGGATCTGTAATGTTGTTTGAAATTAGTGTTTTTATGTTGAACTCAATATCTTAATAAACATGGTAATTTTTTCAAACGTTTTGCATTGACAAAAATTGGGAGGGAAGTTTTTACAGACTTCGATTCACATGAAGGTTGAAGTTATAGCCTTGATTAGGTAAAGTAATTCAGATAGTTGCCTTGAAACAAGTTAAAGCTCAGCTTCAAAAAAAAAATTGGTTCTTGGACAATTATGTCTGAATACTTCTGGAAACATGCCGTATAAAAACCGCAAGTCTGAGAGTTGCATCGACACACTTTTGAAATCCTCTCTATTTTAATCATTTCAAGGCTTTTACATATGCTATTTTAACTTCTTTATAGTTTAGTTGCAATTGTTGAGAATTTGGATCATCAATATTACCTTTCCATTTGTTAAAAATCTACTATTGTTTCATAACTATCTCTTTTCCTATTTTGATTTTTTTTTAATTTTATTTTGTTTTTCATTTTTTCGTAAATTGAAGTCGTAATTCTTTAAAAATCTCTACTACAAATAAAGCAGAAAATGTGCGTTATATAGTTAAAAATTTCATGTTTCACGGTATTTTTATGCCTTCGATGATCATTGACAATTTTTTATTATTTTTAATATGACTTTAATTATTTTCCGAATTCTTATATCACTATTTTTCGCACATTGCCTTTATTCAAACATCTCCTATTGAGAACCCATTAGCAACGAATATGAGCGACGACACTCCGCTGTGGACCCTCTAGATGGTTATCACTGATAACGCGTCGTTGCTGAGCGCGCGTGTTTTTTTGCACTATCGCGCGCGAACTCTCATTTCTCACTCTTGCGCCGCACGCGTATTCATTTGCGTGCGCGTGCGCCCATGGATGGCAGCGGTTTATCGACCCTTTTCCATTTAAGCGATTAACTTTTGCTTGTTGCAACGATTTCTTCTTAAATATAAATTGCCTTAATAATTTTCTGTATTTTGCAGGCATCAAAGCTCTCGTCTTGGGATTTCTACAGTCAATTCTCAATACACAACGAACTCTTTGTCAACCGACAACTTTGCCGTTCGCAACTCATCGACCGGCCAATACCGTAAGTATTTCTTATATATAATATGAGGGGGTTAAATCATCATGATATTTAATTTGTCGCAGATTTCAATTAAATTATTACATCGATTTTTAAAGGCTTTTTGATTCATTAAAAAAAATTGCGAACAAGATTTCAAAAAATCTAGTGACCCATATTAGCCTTGCAATTTTCTTATTGATTATTGGAAAAATTGTCTGGGGTCATTTACTAGAGCGAGAGACTATGCAAATGAAGAGAGCGCAGTCAAACAGACAACATCCTCGCGGCGCATTGCCTGTTGGCCACTCGACAAACCCGACACGCTAAATTGAGAGCGATGTGTTTTTGGAGTGTGGTACAAGTGATGACAAAACGTTTTGCGGAAATTTTTGAGAAAACACAATGTTTGAACCAAAACCAATAGCGGTGTGTCCTTTACAATTTTTTGAGTTATTAGAGTAAAATGTTTTGTTGCAACAGGAGTGTCTGCCTACTCAAGATTTCAAATTGGGAAATTGACAAAAGCGAAATTTTTCTATATTTTAGACGTTTAAGAGTTTTCAGGTAGCGGTAAAATCATTTTTCGGATCATTTGTATATATACCAAAATCGAATTATTGTGGCCGCTTAACCATATTTCATTTATCAATTCGCACAGTTTATATTATTAATAATTTCAGGTTATTCTACAAAATCTATTAACGCTTTTTTTTGACACCCACGTCGTCCAAAAAACTTCAAATATGAGACCAGTAATTTTATTCGTAATATGCAATATCGAAAATTAAAATTTTCAGGAAAACACTAATGATTTGAAAGGCAATAAGAAAGACGACCGTGCCGGTTTGAACAAGACTCTAAACAAGCCGAAAGTTACCATGGACGATATCATTAAACGTTTAGAGAAACGAAGTGGAAGCATGAGACCTGATACCATCTCGGTGTTGAAGGTAATAGTGAATTTACAAATATGTCAAATATAGTTCATTCCATTTTTAGAAAATGGTAGAACGGAGCGGCAAACCTCGGGAAAATAACAATTCTGACAATATCTCAAACGGCGATGCATCAGTAAACATTGCTGATCCCCCGAATGCCGATGTCGTCAATATTTCATGCATTGTTCTGCCACCGACGATTCCGGCCGCTTCTCAAGCAACTCCAGCAATTATAGAGGCTCCGGCTGTTCTTCCAGCAACTACAGCGATTCCAGAGAATCCGGCGATTCCTCTAGCAACTCCAGCGATTCAAGCGACTCCGGCTGTTTTTCCAGCAACTACAGCGATTCCAGAGGCTCCGGCTGCTCTTCTAGCAACTCCAGCGATTCAAGCGACTCCGGCCGTTCTTTCCGCAACTCCAGCGATTCCAGAGACTCCGGCTGCTCTTCTAGCAACTCCGGCTACACGAGCTACTCTTCCAGCAAGTCCAGTCATTTCTGTCATGACGGCTTCTCCAGCCAATACTCTCTCGAGTCAAATCGAAATGGAGGAAAGTGATTTTGATGTTGATCGCTTCCTCGAGGAATCCGTGATGAATCCGGTTCTTCATTTTACTGACATGGATGTTTTTGAAGCCATCACCGAGTTTGTGATTGGCCAGTTGGATAAATTCCAGAATCCGAATTATAGCAAGGTGCAATGGCTTTCAAAGCAGGTAAAATTTTGTGAAATCGAAAAAAAAAATTAATTAAAATGCGTTTAAAGATATACGATTTGTACCGAAAATCGGAAGACTCGATGGAGCCGTTGCTTGAATTCGTTTACGGAAAAAAGGATGATATGTCTAGATTGGAAAGAGTAAGAATTTGTCGAAATATAACGGTGTAGAATGTTTATTATTTTCAGGCGGTGACTTTCGCGAAAAACGTGATCACATTGAAATCTAGAGCTAATAATGTGTTCGCCGGATATTCTTCAACGCCAAACAAATAATTCTTCGACGCCCATATCCTGAAGAATCAATTAATAATATCCACTGGCCGGTTTTCCGACATATAGGACCATTATTAAATTGAGCGACACAAATGTTCTATTATTTTTGTTATTTAGATAATACCACTAAGAGTATCCCTTGTAAATGCTATTAATAATTTTCTACCGGTCTGTTTTATAACAATGTCTTTGCTGGATACCCAAGCCAATTGGACAGCAAATGTCAGCATATCGTTTTTTAATAGTTCTCACATCACTTCCACATTTTACCATAGACCTCCCATATATAGTTAACACCATATATACATATGGATTACATGAATTTGTCCACCGGCCTGTTTTATAATTTGTTTAAGGCATAAATGGTGCGAATAAGTACTTGGTTCATTCTACGAAACCTATTAACTTTAACATCAGGCAAATCGCCTAAGCTTGATCATTTCCAAGATATTTTCAGCAGATTTCTTGATTTTTCAAGGTATTTGGGAGGTGGACATTGTTCAGACGAAAATTTCCATTATGGGAATGATTGAAATTCTCATACACGCACACGAAGCTCGCATTGAAATTGAACTAGAGCGACATTAGCCATAAATCTGCAATCATTTTCCCAGAATGAAACGAATTAAGCCCGGAGTAGTGAAATCAAACTAGCGCGAGCTTGAAATCTGAAGGCTTGCAAAATCATTGAAATCGTTCAAAAATCAATCCGGATTTTATGCATCAAATTTAGATTCTGAGGAAAGCTCGTTGAAACAACTAGGCAAAAATTGGATGATTCATTAATTTAGTGCAATCATCAGCTTCTTTAACAAAACGATGATAATTCCCTTTGTCTATACGAGAGAATTGGAATTTTGAGTAACCTAGACTTATAATTGGAGTTCGGCGACTGATGTGGTTATTTTGCATTAAATGGCTTAATTGGATCATTTTTTTTCATAATCTTAGAAAATAAAAAATCGCAATTTGACAAAAAACAACTGTTCCGGTAAAAATATGTCAAAACAAGAACAAAAGACGCGTCTGTAAATCTATCTCCATTCCAGACGCCAAATATAGAAGTAATTTCGAAAACTGTAAATAACACAAATCTCATAACGAAAGAGATTATCCTCAACGTTTTTCTTTCTTTTTTAAAAATAGAATCGTACTACTTGGAATATAATTTTTCAGCCCGAATGGAACGTTCTGATAAAGTCATAACAATTGGTACTACTTCTATTTCGTGCATTCAAGAATGATAATTCCTCTAGATCCTTTTATTTTTCTTGGAGTATATTACCTTTCGATATTTGGTGAAATCATTTATTCGAAATTGAACGCCCAAACTTAATAGAAATGCTAGTGTGTGACAATTTTAATGCTTATCTCTTTATTAATTCTTAGCGACAACCAATTTGAAATAATTGTAAATCAATCGATCATCGTCGAAAAGTTTCCATTTGAGCGGGAACAGATGGCATCAACAGTGTAATAATTGAAAGCTCTCACATGGCCGTGTAAGAAGATAGTCATATTCTAATGGCCGAACGCAACGCCTATATGCAACGCAATGAACACTAAAAATTTTTTTCAATTAATTTCGAATTAATTTTAAATTTTAATATTTCAGTATAAAACGTTTTCAATAAATTTTTCTTATTATTTTTTGGGTAGCTATTTCGTCCGATACACAACACGCATTTCTATTTTTGGAATATGGAGCAGCTTCGATTCGACGATCAAGTTGCCGCTGTCGGTAGTTGCGACTATGCATTGTGCAGATCGATTGCTACCAATTTGGCCTCACGTGGCGCTAAAGTTGTTGGTAAGAGACAGACGATTCAATTCGAATTGATACCAATATATACATACAATTTTAGTTGGCGGAGAAATCCTTGAAGATGTCAACGAGTTGGCAGTGGAACTAAAAAATGCGGGTGGCGACGTTGCTGTTTCGACAGAAAACCTCGTTTCTTCAATGACTAACCGCGCATTCGAGATGTTCGGTAGGATTGGTGAGATATAATATTAAGTCTTATCATTTTGATCCTGAGGTACTTTAGATATCGTAGTTTGCTACACGGGTCTTCATGAACGCAAATTGAATTTGAATACGTCTGAACCGACGAACAAGTACATTTACGAATCTCCAGAAGCATATTTTGATCCTGTGTATCCAACCTGGGAGAAGTTTGTGGAACAAAATTATGGGCGCCTTTTGCTTATCACGGATACGATCTCATTTGAAACAACGTCCGCAGGATGTGCGGTCGCCAAAAACGCCATGGTTGATTTCACGAAAAGCCTTGTGAAGGAAACTAATAATCAATATGGGTGTCAAAATGTTAAATGCAACATCTTGGCGCCTCGATTCGAAAACCAACAACCGGAAGTTGACGACTACGAAAACATAACCCCTTTGGCCATTTACTTGTGCCATAAACAATTGGAAGAAACCGGTCAGTTCTACTATGCAGGGGAGAACACTTTTGGAAAGGTCGCGTTCTTTAAATCAGAAATTTGCTTTGACGGCATTACTTCGTGTGAAGAAATATTCAAAAGATGGTCCGATATAAACGGTTGGTCTGAAATCACAGAAGTGTCTTTGTGCGATCTGGAAAACATTGATTCGACACCCCTCAGTCTACATCACGACATGAATAGTCCAATTGCGGAGAGGTTGCGCATTTCATCGCCTGACGATGGATTGTTAAGTTCAAGTTCAAGTGAGCAAAAACCTTGCTCAAGGAGTAGCAGTTCTGATCAGACAAGTGTTCAAACAGGCCACAGTAGCGTGATGACGGAATACACAAGGGTTTGAAATTGAAATAATAAGAAGTTGAAAAAAAAAAAACTATTTCAGAAACTGAGAGAAATAAGAAAACAACATGAGGCAAACTACAAGCCGCCTTCGCCTCGCCCATTCTACGTTCCGTCCGTGTTGATTGGATATAATATCGTCAAGCGAGGAAAGAAGTTGGTTACTTTCAGTAAGTTTAAAGAATTTATTGTATTATTGCCATATAAGATTATTTCAGTCTTCGATTTCGAGCGATCTCCTGTAAAAGTCTACACCGAAATCTGTCCTCATGCCTATGATGTCTATGAAATCACAGAAGCCGATTTTTTGGCTGAAATTAAAGAAAAAATGAATGCGAAAGGGGTAAAATAGAAATAAAAAGCATTCACTCAGTTTGTTTCAGATTACCGATGATGAAATGGAATTCCAATGTATTATGAGAATGCTTACTTCAAGAATTTCATATGCAAATGACAATTCCTATGATGATATTTTCAAAATGAAATCGAAAAATGGGCCTCACTAGACTTGATTTATCAGACATTATTGTCGTACAACTTTTAAAAATTGTTAGCCCTTCTTAATTATTTAATTTTACCCAATTCTCCTTCTGTTTATCATTATCATATTTTTCGATGTCCATTTGTTTATTCAAGCTTCTATTTCATTTCCCTTTCGCTTTTATAGTTGGTATATTCATTTCGAATTCTTCTCAAGTTATTGTGCCCCAACGAATCAAATACTGGCCCGTTAATAATTCATTTCCAAAATTTCTTGAAAATGCCATGTCAGAAAATTTTTATTTATACTTCTTTTTATTTTAGTTTTATCCATCTGAATTCACCTCAAAATGCGCTTTCCTGTTTTGAAATTTCGTTGTGCTTTTATGATTTGATGAATGTTCATAGCATAAAACAATAAAGAGCAAACATACTATATTTATGAATTTATATTGAATTTATTTAACCTTTTCAATTAATTATTTTATTTTTATGGACTTCTGCTTTTAATTTCACAGTTGAAAAAAAAAATTGACTATTTTTAATTTAAAAAAAAACACAACCAATATTAATTACAAGAAAATTTCTCACATAAAAAATCTTTCTTTTTAGAATTTTAAGAGTGAATTAACCTTTTTAGGTTATTAGTTCAATAATTTTTCATAAAATCTCATCAATGAAATTATTGAAACGTTTGATTTTTTCATAGTTGTAATAAGTTTTTTAATCGAGAGATTAGAAAAAGGGTCTCAGAGTAAGAAAAATGCAGATTTATGGCCTCTGTTTCTCGTACTCTCCTCATACGAGAATTTCAGTCAATACACCTTTATTTTGCCTTGCTTAGAAAAACCTTTGGGAATACTGAAGTCTCGTTTTAGTGGCGTCAATTCCAGTTTTGATGCTCCAAATTTCTCTTTCCCTAAAGTTTACACGTCTATTTCATTTCCTCCCATTTCACTATTTCCAGAAGACATTTTCCATTTGAATTTTTTTATGAAAAAAATTACAGAAATTCTACAGCATGCCAAATATTAATTGAATTTTGCGATTTTTGCTCATAATCTTTCATATTAACATTATACTTAATACTGAATCTGTATTTATTAAAATTTGATTTAATGAACATTGCCAAATATAGAAAAATTAGATTTGTAAATTTTAAGATGCCTATTCAATGTAACAGAAAATAGAAAAAATTTTCATTTTAGCCTCAAATTTGACGGGCTAAATACGAGAAAAATTAACTATTTTGCAACATATCCATGAAAAACTTAGCAAAAAAAATCGATTCTAAATGCTTTCAGTAATATCGTTTACGTGTAAGTCATTATTTTTCCGAAACTCTCATTTATCAAACTCACGAGATTTTGCCCGTGCACGCATTAATACATTCTTTCGATAATCTCGTAATCCCCAATAACAGCTATCAACGAAAATAAAAATTCGGGCACGACTTCATTGATTTTTTTGCATTTAGAATTCTTCTTGAAATTCCTTTTCATTTTTTGTTGCCAAACTTGCTCAATTTACTTGGCAATGATTTAATTCGTCGATGTCTCATGAATAAATTACTGAGGTGTTAGATGACGGCAATCTATCCGAATCGCTTCTAGAGTTGTGCCTCGTTTATTTTTCCCTTACTACTCAATGGGTTTGCTTTATAGAATGGCGGATACACCAAGAAGCCAAAAAGTGCTTTCGCACCATAATTCTGTTAAAAGCTTGCATTCGCTTAGAAGCCAGAAGAGTTTACGATCAATGCGAAGCCAAAAAAGTACCCAAAGTATTCGAATATTTAATCATCAGCATGATTCCTATCAAACCTGTTTCGGATGTATGCACGTGAAGGTCAGTTTCTTGGCAATGAGATTAGCAGAAAATGTGAAATTTTTGGTAGATTGTCATAAGCATTCAATTCAAAGACTCAAAAAATGGAAATTTCTAATGTGATTCGACAAATTTGCAAAATGTTTTGGGGTCTTTGAATAAATCGATCCACAATGTGTTTTTAAGGTTCATTTTGAAATTCGCACATTTTCGATATTAACAAGTAACAGAAATATTACATTTTTTGTACGATAAATTCATTCCTATTAGGGAACCTCTCGATTTTCATTTTCAGATTGCCACGTGCGCAATTGGATTTTTCGCGCTCCTCGGCGTTTGCTTAACATTAATGTATTGCGTATTCACATCGCAGGAAGTCTGTCATTTCCTGGGTCAATTTGCAGCCGAATATGCAATTTTCAGCAGCGTCGGCCCAACATGAAATTGTATGCGATTCCCATGATCGTGGTTATCATCGCATTATTATACATGTTCGTTGGAATATTACAGCAAAAGGCGCACTTGCTATTTGCATTCATCGCGTTACAGGTTCAGAAAAGAATATAGCATATTCATATGTCTTGTTTGCAGATTTGCTTGGTTTTCAGCATTGCCATTTTAGTCGTAATTATCTTGATATCCGTGGCATGTAATACTACTTACATTCTTCGCTACTTTGTTGACGTCAATGCTTCTCAATCAGACTACAGTAAACAAATCTCGAAATTGTTAATTGAAGAGACGCGTTTGCTTTCAGCGAAATCGTCGCTGATTGCCCTTTGCGGTTTGATGTGCCAACTTGGCATCCAAACATGGGCGTTGCGAAGTGTTTGCGGCTGTTTTCGATATTTCACAGATCTCAAGAAGTTCGAAGTACGGCAAGCTCAAACCAATTACGTCTAATTTGAGCCGATAATTGTGTTACGGGTTGTTGTTGTTGTTTGTTATTTTCGACGCACACGAATATCTGCGATTTATTTGCAACAAGTTGCTATTGTCAATGTGTACAGAGAGTCATACATATTTCGCGTTAATGAAGTTTCGCCGGATTGGCCCATCATTATCAGCTTTTGGCCGTTTGAATCAACATCCTGAAATTGCGCCAAATGATTCATCAATTTACAGAATAATAAAGGATTTTTAGTATAAAATTATTGTTACATAAAAATAAAAACCTGAATGCATCTAAAATAGCTTCAAATAGCAATGCTAAAAATATCGATTTTATCGTACTTTGGCGATTGTAAAAATTTTAAGCCTAAATTTTAGACTTTTGGTTGTGATGTTCAAAAATTTTTAACATTGGTTGTGATGTTTAAAAATTTTTAACATTGGTTGTGATGTTCAAAAATTTTTTAACAAAGTCTATAAAAATTACCATAAAGGAAAAAAATAATTACATTAATTTTTGAACATTTGTAACACTTTTTTTGTAATTCCAAAGTCATACCTCTGGATTAACATCATTCTGAACGCTGAGCTTTATCTGGTTTGCAATAAATCCTCTCGGACATGTTGATCCCATTTTAAGAACGCACAATGGTTCGTCAAACCAAGCTTAATTGTTAAGGAGAAACGTCAGATTGATTTTTTGAGACTCACGCGCTTTATCCTGCAGTGATAAACAAATTTCGAGAATGAAGAGTAATGCACATTTCATTGCAGCCACTTGTTTGCCGAATGCAACAAAGAATTGAATCATGCATACAAAGACAAACAGTAGGATGTGATCCCGTTTATTCAAGAATCAAAGAGACCGCAGGGAGTGGAACAAAGGGAAAATAATTATATAAATATTAAAAAAATGTATATGTATATTATATATAGAAAATTGTAACAAAAACCTGAAAATAATGACCGAGAAATGTTTGTAGAGTTGGTTGAAACGAACCGTGGGGATAGGAAAGATTTCAAAATAAAAATTGTGATACAAGAAACGTCTAAAATTGTACTTGTAAAAAGGCACTTCGAGAAAGAAACTAATAACTAAGTAAATTAAATTTGTGTATGAACATCCGCTTTTTCCACACTATTAATGAAAAGCTCAGATTGCCCAATAATCTGGTCAATATCAATTTGGGAATACATGACATCGGTGACAGGCACTGGAGCCAACATGCTCCCAGGTATTGTTGTACCATCATAGTAGTCATACTCCAGCTCATCACATTCGCTAAGTGATGATTGCCCTCGAGGTGGTAGTGGGGATTCTGATTGATTATGAGCTCGGATAGTCCTAAAACATAGAAAATCAGCTTTTTTTCTTCGAAAATCTCAACCTCGGAGTGCTTTGAACACTTAATTGAATACCAATACTCCTTTTGGCTACATAATTCTTCGCGCTTAAATGAGTCGTTTCAGTATTGCCACTTCGCACCATTTCAGAATCAAATCTGGCATAATTAAAATTAGAAAACAATATTTTGTGAAGCCGCTTGATTACTTATTATCCATTAAAAGCTGTTCGGGGCTTCTATTCCTTCGAAGACTTGCAGTAATTGAAGCGCACACAACGGGCGGAACAAATATGATGCATATAAAAATGATTGCTGAAATAATAGCCGGCTATAGTACTTTCAAATATTAGATAAATCAAAATACCCATAAACGCAATTGCCATGGTTTCCGGGCAAAATGGCTGGCATGAATTGATTCGGGCGACCGTCGGAAACGCATCAATTTCTGAAATGAACGACCCCTTTTCTTACATGAGTTGCTATTTTTTTGAAGTCTCGATCGTATTCCAAGTTGTGTGAGTTTTTGTTGCATTTTAATTAGATTCTCACTGGGCATTCGGCGCCGCTCGTAGCTGGGCTCACTCACCCCCCACCCCTTTGAGCCATTAACTTGTCGACACCAATTGGTCTCGGGCCCCCATCATTTTTGGAGCAACAAAATGCAGCGCGAAAGTCTCCATTACTTCACGCACTATTTCTGTTTGACACGTTTGATGACCGCCTGTCAGTGCTGACAAGTTTTCCCGGCCTCTCACACAAAAGCCTCAGCTAATGTTGTATATGGAATTGAGTGGAGTTGCTCACCACGGATTGAATATGAAACTGTGAAGCCTTCTTCAATCGAGCCCACAGCGTGGCTAACATTCGTCCTCGTCCAGAGTACAATGAAAATTGAAGACGACATTGGAAGTGAGAATTGGTAATCCTGATGCGAGTCTGATGACCAAACCAACTCCTTAATTAATTGGGTGAATTGAACGCTAGAAATATGTTTGTGAGTCACCTCGTAAGGAGCCCTAAGGAAAAAGAACAATTTCCCTTGCTCACTTCCTCGTTTCAGTATTGTGAAGTCAGCAACATGGCTCATTCCCATTTTTGATAAACTCCAAGTTTGATTTCCATCGCAGAGTTGACTATGCCTAAAAAACATTAAATTGAAACTATTAAAATGTAAATCAAAAACCTTGAAGATGCAAAAAATGAGCTGGCTACTATTGCGAGAGGACACCCGCAAGAGCAATTCGAAGCTAACGTACGCGGCATCATAGCTTCTGAATCGTAACGCATATTTCCCAATAAACTACTTCAATAATACCTGGACATTTGGAAAGTGCACATTCTTGCGTTTCAATCAATGGCCCATCGCAATATTTGGATCGTTTCGGAACCGGCTCGTTGCAGAATCGAACCCTTCGTTGCCTCCCCTGTCCGCAAGTTTCCGAGCACGCGCTCCATTCACTCCACGATGACCACCCGCCAATTTTTCTTTCCACTGCAAAACGTGTATACTAGTTAATGACGGCAATCATAATGATGAAAGCGTTTTGGTTTCGAAGGGTACTTGAGTAACGGCGCGTGGCAAATTAGCAAGTTTTGAAATGCTTGACGCGGTTTGCAGGAAAAGCCTAATGATCAAAACATTGGATTACGGTGAAGCGCTCGAAAATGTGTCGCTGCATGTTTAAGAAGGATTCGACTTTTCCAGATTTGAAAACCCAAATGTGTTAAAAACCTCTCTCGTTACATCTTTCAAGTGCGTAATCCCATATATCATCCATATGAATACATTTCCACGAGAACAGCTCATATTATTGGTACTTGACACACAATGCATCCATATGCTCATCCCGAATAAACATGGCATTGTGCTTTCACCTATTTAGCAACACTCGCCGTCAAAACAAACATTCGTGCCCAAAATTGGCGATCATTAATTCATGTTGTACCTATTGGGATGCGCAGATTTTCGCTTAGAGCATTTGTGAATGAAAGCCGCTTCAATTGAAGTGAAACACATGCATAATTGTCGCCATATTGTCATCTGTCGTGTATTTACAACAACATTTATTAATTCATGAGCAATAACTCTGAGAGTGATGACGGAAACGCTCATTAACTTTAATAGCATTTTCACAATTATCTATAATAGCAGTCGTTTTTTTCTTCGACGCTGCTCTTTATGAATGTTGCTAATGCTCATCCTCTTGACCCTCATGAAGCCGTCAACACATCTGTCTTTTAGCAAAGACAAAAGAATAAAAAAAACATGAACAGGTAATGATGGGCGCGTGCTTAATTATGTAGGAGGGTCTCGCCACTTGACAGATGAACATCTGGTTACTGTAGAGCACGATGTGCAAGTTCCACCAATTCACATTTCCCTTCTCGCAATTCTGAGCTCAGAGAGGTTTTAATAAATTCCAGATAGTCATAATCGTAATTGAATCAGTTTGCGCGAACGGACTAATCATATAAAGAACGCTCTCTCAAGCTTTTCGGTGCCAAATAAAGACAATTAACGGCGCGCGTTGGCGAATCAAATGGAAATTTATATTGCGAAGAGGAAGAGAAACCCAAATTCTTTTGAGAAGCACCCAAATAGTTAGTCTTAAACTTCAAGATTTTCAGATATGAAAATATTCCTGAATATTTTTAATTTTTTACGCGGCCCCGAAATATAATAATTTTTGGTTTCCCATTTTTCACTTAGTATACTCAGATTATCGCCCAACTCCCTTCCCCTCTTCGTCTTGACTGCGCTCGAAAACAAAAATAGGAAGTTGCGGCGGAAGAAAGGTATCGCTTGCACTGGACCCCGACCGACGGGTCACCTGGCCCCATATGCCCCGCTTCCCACGCAAGAATCTCGAATAAATTAGCGATCGCACCTGGCTCCGTACTGACGCACACCGAGTGCCAAGTGTGCGAAATTGACGAATTTTTGTTGACTGAGACGAGCTCGAAACAATATTTCTCATAGATGATGTCGAATTGCGAACAACTGATTTTCATGAAGCTCTCCTCGTTCAACGATATTCCAATCTCTTCTGAAAACTCATCTGTTTCAATCAGTCAGTGCAGATGCAACTCAATAAACAATAGAGCACGCTTGGGACCACTTTGGCGCATGCGTCGACGCGATTCAATTCATTTAACGACTCACCAATATAAATTGCGCCATCTTCATAATTCTTAACACCCTCCGGGACAGCCAAGATCCTTATCCGATAACTCAAATGATCCATTGGGCATTGCGCCAAATTCCATCCAATTGTATAATCGGAGGTGCAATGCGGAAAAATGCTATTGTCGCGTAATCGCAACATGTTCTGCTGTGTCCGATTGACGACAATCCAACGATCTTCCTAAAAGCAGCACTTTAGGTGGACTATTTATTAGTGGCCATCACGTTTTTATGGGCTCCGCGCGAGTCATGTTTCAAAAGTTATGACCCGTTGTTTTTTTTTTTTGGAAAGAGAATCGTGAAACCCCATTATTTTGTGTGCATTGAGCACAACCCAGGGTGTGTTTTTTTTTTGCAGAACCTTTCCTTTCATTGAAGCAACAAAATCTATCAATTTCCGTCCTCTTGGGAATACCCGGAATGCACTTGAAGACCAACATTAAAGGTGATGAAAAATGCTGGCCGGTGTCATGCCGGCGACTCCAACATACATAAATGAGATGATGCCCAAACATCTTGGGTGGTGGTTTTTTTTTTCGCTGCCGGCGTTTCCTTTTATTTATGACCCCCCAAGAGCGGAAATGAAGCTAGGGGTGAGCAAGAGTCGGGCTCATTTTTGTTTTGTTGTTGACAGAATAATTTATGTCATTAGATGGATATCAGAGAGAAATGGGATGAAAAAAAAAAGCATTGACAGAGCATCTTCTTGCTTACTTGGATGGTATAATTAAGGAGAGTGAGATGCACTGAAACCCGATAATAACCGGGATCCGCGAAATGTTTGCAGCCAAACAGCGCGCTCGTTTTCGTGTTTTGCAGTTTTTTCGCCAACGCGCCAATTGGTCTCCAGCTGCTTGTTTCTTCACCGGGAAACACCTATAATTACCATTGATTGCACCTCTTAGGAATCGAACTCGAAAAACAAAAGACTTACTTGAAACGGGCGATATTCGAGCTTGACAACTGAGCGATCAACTCGACACAATTTTGGATCAATGTGAACCGTGAGCTCATTGAGCATTTCATGATTGCTTGGCAGAAAAATTTTCACATTAGGTGCTCCCACAGAAAATTTAGAGATCTAAAAAAAGAGTCGAAAATTTCACAAAACCATTTTGTTTTACACTCACCAATTTTCCATTTTCCTCTAACCGGTAATCATCAGAAACATGCATGAAGCATTCACAGGGTATTAAAGCCGTTTTAAATCGGCAACTAGAATAATTGGAAGCATGTATGGTATAGTTGCTCATTTTTGCGGATTCTATATAAGCCTGAGAGTTTGCTGAAGGCGATTCGGGTTTGATAATCGATCCAGACGTTGGCGCGCCGTCGCAGGGAAGCAGTAGAATAAAAATGGTATAAAACAATTTCAAGCGAGTCATTCTAACAGCGATCGATATTACTTCATTGCTCGTTGTTTCTGAAAATGAGCACAATTAAGCAAGCGGCACAAAATGCTTATTGGCGTGTGACGGGCGGCACTTTCTGAAGCGTTCAAAAATATCGAATTACAAAAAGTTTTGAAGGCGAAAGTGAAACAGAACGGCAGAGTATCAATTTCAGCAGAATGAGTGGATTTCAGGACGAAATCGGCAGTTGTGCAATGATTACAAGGTGCGCAATCGGCGCAGATGTCTCCAAATTTCTTGTTCTTGTTATAATTGCATTTTCTCGCCATGACCAGCTCGCATTTTTCGAACGTCGGCCACGCGAACAACGGCCTCCCGACAGAAGAAAAATGCGGGAAGAGAGGAGAACCGACCGGAAGCGAAACCTCGGATTCCAATGAAATGAGCGCGGTGAAATGAATAGGAAAGGATTAGTTCGAAGCGAATTGTGATGATATTGTAGGGGCTCAGCGAGCCGCGAAATTGTAACAAATGTTGGGCCAGATTAAGTATACGCGCGCGAATTCATCGCACCGCGCACGTTTAAGACACCCGCAGAATAATGAGAATTCTGATGGTGAAAAGCGATAATACGCGAAAATTAAATAGGTAGTTCGGGCGGCGTTGATTACTTTTTTCGTCGAAGGAAAAGTGTGGCGCTGAGATTTCGATTAGCCGCCACATTTCTTATTACATATTTCCATTTAAGGGTTGCCCAATTTCAAGAAGCAATTCAAAAAACAATACAAACAAACCGGATGGGTTTGAATTAAAAAAAAAGACGAAAGCAGCGCAACATTCCTTACGGAGTCAGGATGAGGAGGAGCACAGAAGAGTGGAGAGGGGTGGAGTCCTAAGCGAGCCTTGAAATTGGAAGAGGAGGCGGGCATGAGTGGTGTTGTGGGTCCCTCCACCTTGTTCACCATCGCACCCGGCGCGCGCGATGTTCTGTTATAATAAGCAAGCCGGATGAATCGAGGAATGAATGAGTTATTCATGAATATTCCGGCCAACATTGGGCCCACTGACAATTTTTTTGTTGTTTCTTCGAATTGATGGATTACTATGCCATGTTTTCGAAAATTATGAATTATAATTGAGAGCTTCAAAAATTGCGGAATTTGAATGCAATAATTTGCAAAAAAAATGGTTAGGATGGGAATTTCCAATTATTTAACAGTTATACACATTTTTTGAAAAGCTTTGTTATATACAGTAGGACAATTAAAATGAGCATTTTTGAAAAAATTAACGATGTAAAATTCATACTAGATTTTTTTTCAGAAGTTTTTAGTTTCAGAAGAAAAATTTTGAACATTTTTTTTAGATTGCTACACACCTTGAAAAGGTAATTTGAAACATTTAAGATGCCTGATAGTATCGGAAAAATAAACAAAAATATGCATCAATTTTAAATACTTCATCATATTAAAAAAAAATACATTTTTTATAATTTTGCAATTCCGATAGATACATCCCCCATTTTGGTGCAACGAACAATCCCCAAAGGAATAATGTATACTGTTGGCATTTTTTTTTAATATAAAATGAGACATAAAAATTCAAATAGCTATATTTTTACGAGTTTTCTTGCCTCTTTATGATTGATTTTAAATTCAAATCCATTTCGTGCATTTATTGCTTATAAAACTTAACATTTTAATGTGAATTTGAACGGTTGAAGCATTCAGACAAAATTTCATTGTAGATGATGGTTGCAACCACGAGATTTAAAATTTATATGCGTCTCAAATAGAATTAGTAAAGTTTCGTTAAGGAATTGAACAAATCCATGTACTAAAATTAAAATTTTTGAAAACTTTGAAGTTCGATATGAAGAATATCCATGAAACAAAATTTCATTAACAATTTGTTATAAAAATTCATAATTTATTTCTTTGTTACTACATATTTTCTTCATAAAAATAAATATAATTGTTAGATAGAAAACTCGTGAAAAATTTTTTTTTCTACAATATCAAAACTTTAAATATGTTGTTTAATTCAATTCAATTGGTAGTATACTGGAAAAAATAAACCCAATATAATTAATGTGTTCCTTGTTGCGGACGGTTTTTGGCAGAGATCATTTTTGCTCTTTTAAAGGTTGCCCTTTGCAATTTGGCCAGAATACCTTTTATTGAACCATTAGCACATCTTATCACATTTTGGACGCGCATTCATTCAATCATTCATATTATTCTTTTTAGCATTAATAATATGTAGTTTATTTGCAATTCTCAAAATTTACTCCTTTATTAATATTGTTCCAAAAGATGCTTCAAACAAAAAATTTTTGGAATCAAATCCTGAAAAAAAAAGAAAAAATATTTTGTTGAAAAATAATTGCGCCGTCAAAATTTTTTGTCTGGTCATTTACCAAATAAGATATTTGCATATTTTAAGAAGTGTGTTTTAATTTATTCGTAATTCTCATTCTTCTTCACCACATTCCAAGAGCACATTTCGTATTTCCACAAAAAATAAAAATGCATACATTATCATTTCAAAAAAAAAATCGCCTAGTGATGGGGGTAAAATGGAAATACAAATTATGGCAAAAACTAATAATTTTTGCAATACATTAATGAAATTTTTAAATATATGATTCTATAATAGGGAACTAATAATTCCAGTCGATAGGAAATTTTTAGAAGATTATATGAATCAATTTCGAGAATAATTGCCAATCCTAAATGACCTTTCCTGTAAATGAATATCCATGCATCCATAGCGCCACTTGTCAATGCCCTGTATAATTGATATATAAGTATTTTTTGTAAGATAAATAGTGAATACATCAGGTATTAGTACAATATAAATTTGCTAAAATTGTAATTTTGTACCCAATTTGTTCATTGTAGCCTCTAAACTACTAATTGCTCAAGATGTTTGACGCTATTTGCACACCATCAATTCGTCATTTTTTAAAAGTTGAATTGTTGTCAGTAAACTGGTCTATTTTGTATTTTGTAGAATTGAAACATCACATAGCATAGATCATAGAAATAGAGGAGAGAAGATAATGTGATTTCTGTCCAGCAGTCAGTATAGGTATTGTTAATGAATATTATTCAAATCCAATCCTTGTTTGGCTGTATTATTAAAACAATCGTAATATCCATTCTGTTTATATGACTGAAAACGGGTTCTCCGATATTTGATAGCGCGATTCGAATTGAAAAGGATACGATCGAGTGTTTGTGAAAATTTCGACCGATTTCTGGCATGTTTCCGTTAAAAAAAACAAAATTATTAAAATCTTATCAAAATTTCGCGAACCTTCTCGAGCTGAACCTACGATAGATATATATATATATAAGTAGTATAGTTTTTAGGCAAATTGACGCAACAAATATTCTCTATCTCTTCACCGCTGTAAAATTGGCAACAGGAATTTTCGGTACCACGTGTTTGCTGCTTATGTTGCTTGCCACTCTATTAAAAACACGCTATTCGTGTTTTTCTTAAAATAAATTTTTTGAATGGCTTCTTAGCGCTTCAATCCTTTTTATTCAGTTTTTTTTCGAAACATCTGGGCCAATCGTAGGATTGATAATTCCCTTTCTTCCGCAATCTTTTTTATTTGTTATGTGTGTTGTTTTCCTACGGTACGGGGAATCCCTTTTCTCATCCTACAAAAAAATACGAAAACATGTTTATCATTCCGGGCCAAAGAGTAATATTACAGCGTTGCGATGATAAATTGAATGAACATGCGATTCTGTCATTTCGATGAAAATGCAGAAATCAAATTTTCAAACATGGAATGACTGTTTTGTGAACTTTTATGAATATGAATTATCCATGTCTTATGATAACGTGGAGTTGTGGAATTTCGGCACAAAACTCGTTGAATGCCCATATTTGGCCAATTTCAATGTTTGAGTTGTAGAAACCACTACGTCACCGTGCGCGAGGTGACGTCTTCCCCTTATAAATAGAAAAAATCATATACGATCCATTCTTCACCAATTTTCTACAAAGATCACCGACGCAATGAGTGAAGACGTGCCATATTTTCTAGAATATTCCATCGATAAGAAAATAGAGAATGTTGCATATTGAGAGTAACGCCAATGTCCTGATGGCTCTCACATTGCCCTTGTCTTTCTTCATTCTCTTTCTTTCTCACAGCAGTTTTACGCACTTCTTGTTGTTGTCGCAACTATTTTGGAGTACACAAAATATAATGCGCTGCTTTACCATGCAGCTTATCGATCGAGAGGTTGACACAGCTGATATCGTGAACAACTGACGCGTCTCAAGAGCAAGTGTCCATTGAGAATTTTTTTCTCGGGCGTACTTCATTTTTCCTAGGCACGCGTGGCCGAGCAAAAATAAATATGCCACAATTTTTTTGCCAATGTGATAATTTGATCAAGCCCTTTCAAATTACAAACATCGCAATTGATAACGTCGTATTTTGCATTGATAAGCAACGCATTTTCACATTTGATATTCAGAGGACACCAAAAAAGCAATGGAATCGATTGATCATGGAGATGTGTTCAACCCATCGGGCCATCACAACATCCCCAACGAGTACAATCATGAACAGCTTTTGCGGCCGCCGGTAGGAAGAAATTTGAAAATCTTGATCAATTATAGTTCATTTCTAGAGAATCACTTTGAGAACTTTGAGCAAGAGCGACCCACATCTTGACATTCCTCATCTGCTTGTTAGCCAGGATGACGGTAAGAATAATATTAAAAATATGCTCTCTCTCTCTCTCGCTCTCTGACTCGCTCGCGCGCAAAATCAATATGCCTGTTCGCTTGTTTTTGTTTTCGCAAAACGCGTGCCCGCTGTCTCGGACTCTATTCACATTATAATATTTTTTGGGGCGTTGTTGTTATTGCTATGGATATTCCCAAAGTAATTCGAACAAACGCCATGCGATTCGACTGTAGGCTAATTAAAATTTCTATTCGTATCATATTCAATATCGAGTTTTAGCTCATCCATCGCTTAACAAGATTCTTGGCAATCTTCAACACGTTCATGAAGGTTTGAAGACACCGGTGGCTTCGCATCCCAATCTTCAGGTTGAATATTCAAGCATTGTTATTCATTATCAAATTTGTATTTCAGGCTCTTCGTCAGGAGCACGAGAATCCGGAGAAGTCAAGGTGAGTAATTGTTTATGATATGAATGGCGGGTTCAAAGGATGTTCGTGCATTCTCGAAAGTTCCTGAACCGTTCAGTTTGTTTTCGACGAGTCGAGTTTTGAGACATTTTTCCGACACGGCGAGTTCAAACAATCATTCCTCAATATCTCTAACTCCTATGTCGAAATGAAAAGGGGTTGATTGGTCAGAGTGTGACTGATGTGTTGAGACGTCGACGAGAAGAAAAAAAACTATCTTAACGGGTTGGGCTTAGTGGCAGCGGGCACAGCTGAATAAAAAGCCGTCAGCCGATTTATTGAGCTACATCCGAGATTCTCCAACATTCCCAAAAAATATTTGATTCTGTTATTAACCAATCATTAATCTTTGGCAGCCTTCAATACACGATCTGTAAGTCAACCTAGTAGAAATTGAGGGATAGAAAATCGACAAAGAGAAAAACCCCCGGGTGGCCAAACGCAATAAAACAAAAATCAGTGATCAGTTTTGTTCGGAATTGTTCAAAATTTTATTGCAAAGAAATTCAACATGTGATTAAGAACCGGTAAAAGGTAACATCAAAGAATGTTTATTTCAATGGAATTCAAAAGTTTTTGCAAAAACACCATTGCTTTCCTAGAAATGTTTGAAATTCTTAGCTTGTTTAATTAAACAACATTTCTATGAAAATTTCAATTTTGAAACTCAAACTTCTGGAAAAATTATATTTTTTTTTTCGATACTTGATGGTTAACCTCCAAAAATTCAAAGAACGCTCTCATTAGCTTGTTAATCCGCAGAGCTTTTCAAAATGAATTCATTTTTCTAGAAAATACGCTCCTTCAGCTTTTTTTTTTTGAAACTAATTTTGCTAATAGCCGATTCGTTTGACGCTCATGTTCTTTTGAGAGTTCCGCAATTATATTCCTGCAGTAAACAGGGAAGTGATAATCAGACAATGACCAGGAAGCAAAGCTCTTGCACGGCTTCCGCAGGATCCAAAATAACAAATCAAATTCTTATTTCTCAGTTCGCAGTATTGAAATTCAGCTATAACCATTTAGAGTAGTTTTAAAAAATTTTTCAACCCTTTCAAATATTCTTCATTCCTTCTAATTTTTTCCCACATGATATTCTCTTACAATTTAGATTTTTAATCGAAGGCTATACCATTATTGGTATGTTTGTCCTTCCATTTTTCCAACACTTCCAATACTTTCTAGAAAATTCGTCACAAAATATTCAAAAACACTCACGCCAATTCCATTTTTGGTCTTCACTGCCTCCTCGTTTTCGTTTTTACGCGTTTTCGCCAGCAAGCGCGCACATTTCTACGCGATTCGCCTCTCTGCCGCCGTGCGGTTCCATGGTGTAGCGGTTAGCACTCAGGACTTTGAATCCTGCGACCCGAGTTCAAATCTCGGTGGAACCTATCGTTTTTTGCGCGTTTTTTTTGATCGCATTCAAGTGATCACCAGAATGTCGTAAAGAAGCGATCGTTGATTGATACGCGGCGATGTCAACGAAATTTTGAACCAGTCGTTGTTAGCGAACGGGGCGCCCCGCGCGGAATGTAATAAACATTTCCGGCCCAGATGATTTTCTGATCAGTCATTATTGTGATTGAACAGTAACAATGAGGCATTGTCACTCTAACTTTTGATCCTTTAAAGACCAAAACAGGCGGTGCTCAAAAACAATAATAGGCATTATATGTGCCTGTCAACGAAATTGTGCGTTTATCAGCATAATTCGAAATCGGAAAATCATGTTGACGGAACATATTTTTGTGTTATCATATCTATGAAAAACCCCCATCAGACTGTAAACAAAGTTATCAAAATATCGATTTATTAGGGCATATCAGGTGATCCATGAATCGCCGGAGAGAGATTTTGAAACCTTAGACACAAAGGAATCGAAAGACGAACCACGTGGTCGATGGAATCTTTTGCACCCTTTCAAATAGTCACGTGGTCGATTTTTTTCCCATCGCGTGGCCTTGTCACTTCCGTCCTGGTTCGCTATACACCTAGAATACACTGGAGAGTTTTGTATGTGTGTGTGTGTGTGTCATCGTGCACAAAAACTAGAAGTGACGAAATCGGAGGAAGTGTAAATAAATGACGAGCGCCGACACAAAACGCTCGCATTAGTTTGATTTTCTATTATTTTAATTGAATGGCTTCGACATGCCTTCGCGACATCGGAAGCCATTTTTACAATAATACAATGTATTTTTTCCTTCAACGATCGTATTCTTTTGTTGGAAATCGCACGCGGCGACGCATTCCATCGAATTAGTTCAAATCGAGCTAGTTTTCCAACATTCCATTTTACACTCGACTAAAAATTCGCGTTGCGCCATCGTTCGTTCCAGGTTGTTGAACGCGTTCCATTTTTCCGTTCTCCGTTCGCTTGAAATGTTCCGGAACGAGAACCCGACGAGAAAAAAAAATACCAACAACAAAAATGTGCCTACGTGCAAGCCTCTTTGTTGAAAATGAACAGTTGTTGTCGACATTACTTTTTTCTCTCCTGTTTACATATTTGATTTGTTGAACATTACATATTCGATCTTTGAATTGATTCGATTTCCGAATTTGGATCATATGGTATCACCACGTGGGTGTGCGCAGCATATCATATAAAAGCCGCCGCCTCATTACATTCGCTTAGATTCTTGCAGCATATTCTTTTGCACCCAATAAGCACTTATCGTATGGTCTCTCTTTGTTTGATCGAACTGCCAATCCGTTTTAACTTTTCATCGTTTTCTTTCAATTTTCTGTTATCAGCACTCTTTGATAAGATTTTTGGCGCACGAAACGAAAATCGCGCAGAAAAAAAAAGTGACGCAAGATGAGTTTCTGGAACCGATGGTATTCGTCCAAGACCGGAATCGAGTTTGTCATAATACTTCCGGCGCGCCATCGGTCATATGCTTTAATTTTGTAGCAAATCATATTTTGAAATCAATCAACTGATGTTTGATTGCATCAGATTACATGTTCCAGAAGCGATGTGGGGTGATCGCTAGGTCATTATCGAATCCTGTCCAGTTGTTGTTGTGTCAGTTAGAAATCAAGATTGCGTCAGCCCCACGTGGGATGAGAGAGGCAAAGGAAGTTCGATTCGGCGAGACGGGGGTATTCCCCAGCCCAACCTTTTGACGAAAAACCGTCAATCTATCGGCAGCGACCGATGTCGTCGATCAACTCCACTTTTTCTTGTGTCATTTCGTTTTCGATTCTTTTCCGCATGAGGGCACCAAACACTGTTTCAAACATATCTTACGACAATGTTCGCTCTGCGCCTATAGTCTCTCCCGAAAATTTTTGTGCCGCTTCCCGCACGCTCTCTCAACGTCCTCGGCGGTTTTGCTGGCAGCACACACCTTTTTGATCGCATATAAAACGCGACGTTCAATTCGGTGCCGCTCAGTATTCATCTAAAATGAACTTCACTGATAATAAGCAGATTGAGACGAGCTTGTGTTTTCCAACAAGGTAGGACAATTTTCGATAAGCGACTCAAAAATTGTTTGAGAGTTAACGGCCTCGCTAGTTGTTGTTGGTTTTTATGGCTGCTTTATCAATTTCCCGAAAAGTAATCAGTATAAATAAGACAGCTGATGAATTGATAACAGCCAAATTCGTCTTTAGTATTCTTCAAGCCAATTTTTTGTACTCTTCAAATCGTCGAAGCTAATTGCGACGAGAAAACGTCTATTCGAATTGCGGTCGACCTGCTGCTGCAAACACGCCCCAATGCGAACAAAAAATCAATTCGCACTCGCTGCCAACATGTTTTTTTTCGCTCTCGCTCATTCCAGAACAAAACGGCGTGGTTTGGGTGCACTCTCACACTCGCTTCGATTTTTCTCGATGCCCAACACACCTCTACAATGTCAATGGGGGCAATCGTCTTTCCTTTAGTTTACTTTTTGGCGTCCATTCTCCATTTAATTAGGGCTAGTGCAAGCGTTGTCCCATCTTATTTTATATTGATTTCCAGTTTGTTTCTAAACATTTTGAACTTTGTCGATCTTGACGTAGTAGGTGATAATAATCAAGGTCAGTATGCGCAAATCGGGCCTCATTTTCATATGCAGATTTCACGTGAACGCGCGCATGCACGTGAATATGATTGTTGCACTTTGCCCTTCATTGTTGTACATCTCGGGCCCACCCGTCGGCCGCCTACTACACATTCTGCCTATCATTTTACCCAAACATTCATGTCTGATGTTTTCGATATGAATAATTGTTTCAGCTCGGCGGCTCTTCTGGCACAGGACACCATCCTTCAGCCACCAATTCGCAAATCGTCGTCAGCTATTGATTGGAACGGCGCCGTTGTTGAAGCGACACGAAAAGCATCCAGGGTTCGCAATGCACAATGCTTTAGAATCACATGAGGGCCCCATTAGGGGACCCCTTATAGTCTAGGCCAAAATTCATTATTACTGTTCTCTTGAGAGTACGTCCGTTTAGATTTTTACTAACCCGTCCCGCTTTTTCCCAAAACCCGTCGAAATGCAATCATTTAATCAAATCTTCATTTTTCAGCAATTCGATTGGCAAACCGCCCTCTTCGAGAACAACCGTAAGCCTAGCTTCACCAACCTCGGACTTTTCAACACGTCGACGTCATCGTCGGCGGTCTTTCCACAAGGCCAACCTGAAAGCGTGCCTCAGGTATTTTGACAGAATGGTTCTCGAGAGACAAAATTTGCTATGCTTTAGGGCGGTTTGGTGATGAGCTCATTCGACAACAAGCAAAAGGAAATGTCCGTTGTTGCTGCTGCTCAAGCTCAAGCGCCAACCCAGACGCCTTTCACGCAAACTGCACCATCGTCATCGTCATCGGCCACTACAACTACTGCTCCAGCAACTGTTGCTCCAGCTCCGCCACCAGCACCACAACAGCAATCGACAGTAAGTATAAAATCTGTTGTTTATCAAAAATCGGCGCTGCCCCGTTTTTTGGAAGTAGAAAAAAATGAAGCGCTTCGAATTTTGGTGGCAGTGTAATAAAACAACTGGCCCAATTAATTGAGCCAAAATTTATTTGAGGTCATTATCTCATTGACATTAATTTTCAGGGAATGTTCGGTGGAATGTTCCATAGAGGATTCTTCTCGAAACCGGTGATCCGAAGCGATGAGGAAAATTATCGCTACTTGTTGGCGTTGGACCGCTAAACTCGGACGTCTTCGTCCAATCATCCATTAACCATGTTTATTTTAATTCCTGCTGAATCGATGTCGCCATGTTCCTACATCCAATACTCAATTAGGACACGTATCGCATAGGAATTATATTTTTTTTTTTCAAAAAAAAAAAATACTCACATATTCTCTATAAGAATTGGCAAACTGTTCACTCATTTGTTTCATTTTTGGGCCGTTTTATCCGTTTTCTATCTTTTGGAATTTTCAATCTCCGTAGAATTGTTAGCAAACACTAGCTACATCTACCTGTCACGGGTGACGATTCATTGTAGTTTTCTTCTCAAACCTATTTTGTTCCACCACTATCCTTAACACTATTTCTTTTTATTTGGTTGTATACTATTAAGGAAACAAATGAAACATTGGTAATTACTGTATTATGATGAATTTTTTGAACAACGTTGGGCGCGAACACAACAAAAGCGTTGAACAAGGACTATCGACGTCACCGGACACGGAATTGCGCAGTTGGCGACGCATCATTCGGCGGTTTACGACTTCCAGATGTTATTACGGCCGTCGGAGATCTTCTAAACCTCCATCGTTGATCAGAAAATGATCTCTCAAATTGCCCAATTAGTTGTATTATTGTTGAAGTAGAAGAGTGAACCACGTTCGTGTACAGGAAAAGAAACCATCCAACGGGAACCAAATGACTTTTAATTTCAAAAAAGAGAAAAAGATTGAGAGATCAAACGACAAACGTGCTAATAAAAGATTGATTCGAGCAATATCAGCGATCAGAGCTTCACCGAGAAGCGGAAATATTTGACATATTGTAAATGCTGATGCAACGTTGCAATAGACGCATTAGATAAACATTGAAAAATCTATTAAACAAAACTTACATGCAACATAAACGAATCTTCTATATGAAACGTTTAATTTTTTTGTTTTTCGAAAAAAGAATGAATAGTGAAAATACGAGAATAAAATTTAAAGCCAATTAAAAAAAACATTCTCATCACTAATCACCATTTCTATCTTACTATTGGTTTTCGCAGAATTTGATATTCTAGCGATCTTTGCTCCACGATTTTTGTGACTTGTGATTGTGACAGAAAAAAAACACCAAATTGGAGCAATTAAAACTCACTTTTTTTTAACTAAACGATAACAGCAATTATCACGCCACATTTGAATTGATTTGTTTGTGTAAGTTCACTAACAAAAATATAAATTCCCGTTATTTAATAAAATTTTTTGCATTATGATTTTACAATTATTGTGCAGGTTCATACAAATCACTTCGTACTGCTTTAATCCAAAATTGAACTACTATGTCGAGAAACTAAATATTTCGGTTTGCTACACATTTCGCTATGGTCTCGCATAGAATCAATGGCTAATTCTGTAATTAATGGTTCAATTTGATAATTTTGATTTCTAAAAGAAATACAACGAAACAGCAATCCCAATTTTCTTGGAAATTCTGTTGCGTCTTTTGTTATGTATTTTTCAATTCGTTGAGACAGCGGTTTAATATTGAACGCTGTCCAAACGGCAGGAAACACATTATCCGTCTATCCGACGATCGGAAATTAATTGGAAACGAGTTAATGTCTTTTGCTGTCTATTCGTTTCTTTCAATTTTGTATTAGAAACGCAATAAATTGGCATAAAATTTCCAAGCATGATGAAATGAATTGCATATGGCAAGGCGGGGCTGAGGGTTCCCATTTAATCTTTGAAAAAAATGTTGCTATCAAATAATGCGTTCAAATGTTTGTTAGAAATTCAAAACTCTTAGAAGGCCTTCCATCAAGCTTTTACATACATATTATGTCTATTACTGAAACTTTTTACTATTCCATTCAATATCAAAGTTTTTATTCTTTTTTTTACAATATATCACATATGGCAAAATGGAATAAATAATGGTTACTGAAACACAAAAATTTAAGAAGAGTTGAATTTGAAGAAAACAAAACCGTGCATATCCGTTGCGTTTCAAACGGAAAATGGCAAACACAAGGTACTATTCGGTGAATGACTGACAATTTAGCAAAATTAGACAATATAAACGATAAATAAGACAATTCCAATTTAAAAGTAATATTTTCGATAGGAGCAAAATGTTAAATGTGATGCATGTGGTTTACTTGGGCAAGGGATTGGTTAGGTAGAGCTTCTCCTCATCAGATGAGAAGATCGGGTTCGCCTTGTAGTGGCTAATCAACGAATTCATATTGGAGAAGGTCTTGTTTCCAATTTTGAGTTTGCCATCGATTGCCTGCACCTTGAAATGTTTGTTTCGAACCACACCACGCATTGAGATCGATAAATCACCCGGCTGAAATTGTAGAGGGTAATTTCAAAAACCACGTGTTTTCATGAAAAAAAAAAGCTTACGTTACTCTCGCTGTCACGAACGAGAAACTCGCCCTCGCGGCCAACTTTAAGAAGCACTTCGGCGCGATCACGTGAGATCTTGCCAAAATACCATGGCTCCTGATGCATCGGCAACTGACCGCTTCCCGAATATTCCGCCTCGTAGCCAACGTTGGTGGGCGGGGCGGCAGCAAAGCCGTTCTTGATCACCTGCTCAATGACGCAAATATGTATAATTAGAGACTTGAACATCTGTGCTTACTTCGATATAATTGCAAGGCACTAATCCGACTTGGCCCATCGCATTGCGCGCCATCCACCATTCCGGATCATGTGGCGGGTGCTCAATGATGTCGAGTTTTTCACCTACAAAACTCATAATTTATTATCTATTCAATTTTTTTTGCTCACCTTTGTTAAAAGAAAGTTCTTCTGAAGCGGAAGCATCGAAAGAATATAGCGCTACAACAGTTTCCAAAACAGTGGTAGGAGCGGTATTTTGTACGGGAGCCGCCATAGACATTGAAGGATGCTGATTTTCAATAGTCGATTGATTACCATTGGATGACTCGATTTCTTCAACGTAGTTTGATGGGAACCAACCAGTTGTGCCATTGGAAGCCTCAATTTAACACCATATTTTGAAGAACCATCTTCAACTCACCTCTCCTTTCCACCATCCATCGGTACTTTTTTCAAGAACAGTGACTTGCTCGCCTTTCTGAAGTACCAGCTCATCTTCAAGTTGTGGCTGATAAGCAAACTTTGCGACTGCTTTCGTCCGTGCCGACATAATTGGAATCTATAATCAAAAAGCATTTTATGCGATTCGTGTCGAGATAAGCGAAAAGGACGAGCTACCCTTCGCACAATGCAATGAATTTGGTGATAAGCGATCTTTATTACAGCGGAGGGGGTATTCGAAATGACTGTCGAAGACGCGATTCGAACAATTTGGAACACAGTGCAAATAATGCATTTGCATTGCAAAATGAGAGGATTCACGGCGATTAATTGAAAATTGGAAATTATTTTTTGAGTGGGAACACTCGGTTTTTCAACATTTAATGATTTAACTTTCCAAATACTCGCCGCAAAATTTGAAAAATTGGAGACTTAATCCACTGAAACATTCTCATTTCCCTATAAATTCGCAAACTACAAAATTTGCTTGAAAACGACATTTTTTTGTCGTTCCAGTGACTCAACTATGATGCACACTGTAGTTAGTAATTTGCAGAAATTTTGCTTGTGAGAGAAACAAGAGCGTCTAAAAGTTGTTTCGTTTTCAAAAAAGAAGCTTCAAATACTGCCTATAGAAAATGTAAATATTTGAGAGAAAATGAACTAACTCATTGGATAATATGCACTTATTGTTGATGAAAAAAAAATGATTTTTTAAGCGGAGATTTTGATAACAAAAAATCTAATAGCAAAAAATAGGATTTTTGCAAGCACTTCTCAGCTACCTTATTTGAAGATGGGGTCAATGAGCAATTGTTGTTGGAACTGAAGGCCAAACGATCGCCAAAATTTGTGCGCTCTTCCTGCAAGAAACGAAAATGAAACGCGTTAGATCATCAGAACTGCACGGTCATTTTCAGTGACGAATAATCAATAAAACATTTTTTTTCGATAAGCATTATGAAACACGACGTAATTCTCTAGACGCGGGGCAATTTACATGCAATGTGGTTAGTACATGAAGAAGTACATGGAGCAAAAACCAGAAATTTTTGGTATCAAGCGGGGCGAAAGTTTGCGCAAGCGCGGAAGCATTGGCATGATTAGAGAAGTGGGTGACGAAAAACGTGTGGAACAGATAGAGAGATAGCCAACACAATGACTGAGCACGCGAAATTCAGTCAGAAACGCAAACAAAACTGACTGACGCGCACAAACGTGTGGAACCGCGCGAGATGGTCTCGCCGCTCAGATAATGGCTCGATTGATTGCGGCTGACGAACGAGAAACCCCATATCGATAACCGATTGATACACACTCCTTCACACACTCGCATGCAAATAAGATTGTGGACTGCACAAATAAAACGGTCAGCTATGACGTTTTGGGATTAGCGCTGATGGAATGTTCGGGCTTCGTTCAAAAAAATTTGCACATTTATTGAAATGGTGAATATCGAAAAGCGACCGGGCATGCAAATCGAAATAATTGTGCGGCCTCCGGGATAACTCATTATATCGAACTCATTGGCATTGTATTTAAGATAAACATCGGGCGGCCGTAATCCTGGATTCTCGTTCCTCTATTGGTGTGGCATGCGAGACGCAGACAACTAGGGCGTTATTCAATAAGATTCTTGTTGGTTGATGGGCAAGATCCCGGATTAAACGGAAATGTCGTTAATTTTTACGATAAAAAGTGCATTTAATGCGGTGGGGGGGGGTGTTGGTTTCCTGTTGGCGATGTGTATAGTCTCGAAAATCAATATGAAACGAAAAAAATGTAGCAAACGAAAACTAGTTCTAACAAAGCAAACTGTTTGCATGTACTCGTTGAGAATTTTTTTTAATATTGGAATTTCTGCTCATACCTGATCAATGTCGGTGGAACGTGTTCGACCTTTTGCGAAGCCTTTGATGGTCCCTTTTGCCTTATCAACTATAGATTCGCGACGGACGTAGTTTGATGGCACAAATCCCACGTTGTTGGAATCATTGACAACCTGAAAGCAAATCTATTACGAATTGCATTTAGATTTGAATTTCTTTTCGAAAATCCCCTAACGAAAGATTTGAATAGTGTTTCTACTTGAATGCAACTTTTGAAATCATTAGAGTAACTCATGCGTCATAATTGTTTGAATCTCACCGGTTTCTCTAGTTAGACTAATGGTTCGTCTAATTAGCTTTTGCGTCTTTCACTATTATGGCTATTTGGTATTTGAACCAATGTTTGCTTCGAATTTACATTGAAAAGGTTATATGACGAAACGGTTAATAGGCGTAGGCAAATAATGTAATAATTTGAAAGAATTGTGTTAGATTCAAAATATAAACTGGGTGCAATTTCAAATTTTCCTTCCTGAATTCTAAAAATCTGAATATTCAGCGCAACCGCCAAATGCTTCCGAGTTTCTGGGAAGTCGTGGAAGTTTCTAGAATTCATCCAACTAATTTACATACATCCCGATTTTTCTACATCCTCCTTGCATAATAAATGTACCCTTTGTATATATATATACAAAGTCTTGGGAAATAATATCAAATTCATATATTCTTATGTTGACATAGGCATGTTTTCAATGCTTCTGTATAACAAAATTCCGACAAACAAAGGGTGGACCTTCTTTTTTTTCCTCAAAAAACAAACTGAATTCACGCGTGTATTAGTATTGGGATTCGAGACCGAAAAAAACTTCTAAACAAAATCAAATAGTTGACCTTCCACCAATTCTTGCTGTCGTCAAGAAGTTTGAGCCTCTCATTTTTCCTTATCGTCAATTCCTGGTCTTCTTGTGCAATGTAGTCGTACTTCACAATCACATAGTCATCGCTCATTATTCGCTGAAACGACCTGAATATTGTTTTTGTGATAAAAATCGGGAAACAACATATTTAAAAAAACATACACACACGAAGACGAGTTGAAAGAGAATGAGAGAATGTTCCAACGCGTTTTGTAAATCGGTCAATGTCAATTTGTTTAATCGAAAACGAAATTCATGCAAGGGTTGGCTGGGGAGAGGAACGCTTAATTGATTACGGTAGGAAGGAAATGCGTCGCTAATCATTATCGAGAGCCCGTGTGGTGCACTTTCAAGCTCAAATTCAATCGAAAACAACGGAATTCGGGAATGTAGCACATATTATGACAATCTCCCTTTCAAACACCATCCAACGATCATGAGGCGATTCGAAAAAAAAACATGAAACGACGATGATTCGCATAATGCAGGCTATAAGTAGCGATCAAAAGTAGCATAATAAAACTATGCAATGCATATGAATCATGAAAATGTGATTGTCAAGAGTAATGCGTGTTCGGCCCAGGAAACACGAAAAAAAAGTTCGGGAATGCGATGTGAGGAAAACAAAAGAGAGCGACACATAACATACCTGGCGTGCCGGATTTTTAAACTCTTATGACAAATGTGCAAAACAACCTGCGGTCAATTGATTGCTTCATTCACTGACTATATGGGTCCCAAACATCGATAATTATATGTATAACAAAAGCGTCCGGTTTCTCTTTCGCACATATAAAAGAATTAATTACTATAGTAGGGAATTGGTGGCTGTCTGCACAAAAACGGGAGATGGACAGAGTCTTGGTTCAAAAATCGTCGTGACTACCTTAGAAAAAAAAGAGAGAGAGATACATAATCCTTGTTACTATGAAATGGCCCTAGTGAGCATTTGAACAAAGCGTGTGTGCCATAAAAGGGCACTGAACTTTCCTTCCGACCGCTTTTTTTTTATTGCCTCGTATGAATAATGGAAGAGATTGTGCCTACTATGCGAAATATGCTGTTGGATAATTGAAAACACACTCAGCTGAGAGGATTTCATCGAAAAACGGATAAATGAATCGCTATCGCAAAACCACGATGGAATGTGGAATGATGATACCAAACAAAGCGTATTTGAATATTGGGCGGCTTCGAAATTGGGGGTGGAATAAGCCGCCAGAAGCGAAAAACAAGCTTTTTGCAATCGAACCAACACCCATAATGAATTTTAGTTCGAACGAAGTGACGGCTGGCAGAAGAGGGAAGGGGCGAAAAAAAACAACACCCCCTGACATGGATTTGTTGAAACACTTGAGAATGGAATATGATGGGGACGTTGGGTAGTGAGGATTACTCGGATTAAGGCAAGCTTCGTAGATTTTCAGAGGACGCCGAGTTGGCATTGAAAAAAATGCTGTCGATGATGAACCAAGTAAATGTGTGTGTCTTGTGTGTGTGTGTGTGAGACGGGACAGGTGCTTTTGCGACCCCAAGGACAGAAGGCGATGGGGGCTGGTGGTAGCGTGGAAATGAACGCGCGCGAACGTAATAGTGCAATGGTTTTGGAGAGTGTCTCGCGCGTTAGAACGCTTTCAAACTGTAAATGGCGATAAAGATGACGTATAACCTTATTTTTATGATTCACACACACACACTCACAACTATTTCCGAATTGCGTCAAGTAATTTGGATTATAAAATAGTTGGGAGGGATTAAGCGAGATTGAAGAATAACAATAAAACCGAACCATCTTCAATTTTTTTTCTTTCGAATTAGATGGATTTGACCTTTGAATTAAATTTCATTGGTTGTGTCTCGCAACAATGATTTCAGATTTTAAGGTAATGGACCATAAATAATATTTAGTTGAATATTCAGTTTTAAAATAAAATCAAAATATATGAAATAAGAAATTATTCCTTATATTCAATTCTAGAACGAAATATTTCACCATGTTAATTCAATAAAGCTTGGGTAACATTTAAATAAACAAAAATTCGAGAGCAAAACACGAAATTTTAAAATACCTTTTAAACAAACGATATTAAAAAAAAAACAGGTGCCTTATTGTTTTTTAATATTTTCCAGCAAATCGCGAAAAAGCGCTGAATAATGAAAATTTGTCGAATTTGTTTAATTCAATAGGTCCATTAGCGTTTGTACATCGTGGTTCTCGTTTCCGTTGTGCCAATGACGATATACATCTTTTCTCAAAAGTGTAATCTAGAAAATAAAGAATGTTTTGAAGAATCGCGTATTGCTATATTTTTCATCTGAATGCTCAACAATGATCGCACATTGTCAAATATCAATAAAACATGAGCTCCCTGTAATGAGCAATTTTGACGAGAATTGGGCTCAGTTATGTAATCATAAAAATTTGTTTACTATGTAGTTAAGGATTATGTTGTAAGCCAAATATTGAAACAAATAAAACATGGTCATTAAAATTGGCGGAAAGGTTGATGGACACAAAAGATGGAATTGTCTACAAAAAAGCGTGGCACGCACAATGAGAAAATGAACAAATATAAAGAAGAACAGGGCTCATTTGTCAATCAGAGCCAAATATGGAATGAAACGTGCCGTTGAGCAAAGAAAGAAGAAACGAAAAAAAAATGCAGGAAAGAAACAACACGAAATTGAGAATGATCGCGAATGTCATATGTCAGTGTGTTTTGCGAAAAGATTGATGGCGTTGATCCTCGTTGGTTTGCGCGCCTTCTCGTCCAGTCTCATCCGTTTTTGCAAGAATCCAAGATGCGCATCATTTGGTGGCCAACTGTTCGCGCTGAGTGTGCCAATCTCGTCTCTCCTCGCACGTCTCTTCACCCACATCAGCCGCCAAAACACTCGAGTTGGGCAATTTGCAAATGGTGCGACAAATTGTACGGCACACCGACAAAAAAAAATGGTTTTGAGACGAATCGCAAGGTCATTCGCGCAAGTTGTTGATAAATTACCCGTAGAGCTCCTATCCATTTTTTATTAGGAATTCGCTGCGCGTTTTCTTCGTTTCATGCATGTAAGAGGATGAGAGATTTAAGGGAATAGGCGCCCTCATTCCATTTCAAATAACAAGGCTAATTTGATTAACTCAACGGCTTTTAGGCTTAAACATTCTTTGTAATAAGCAAAAGCTGGGATGAACTGAAATAACTGAAAATTGTTTTCCGCATTTTTATTAAGGGTGCATTTCAGAATGTCAATAAATTCTAGAAAATGTTCTAATTTCATGATGATAATTCAAGAAATTTTCAGATTTTCATATTAATGCTGTAACGAGTGTGAATAGCGAAGTATTATTTCTCGCAAAAGCTTGCAAAATAACATTTAAAAAATTGAATTCAATGTGACAATAATAGACGGAAATGAAATGGATAGCCTTTTAATTGCTGTTACAACGCGCTTTATTAAAATATAATTGAGACCAATAAGAAATAGAAGACGTTGTATTTTGCGTATCTTTTCGCGTCTCATGAGGATTCTTGCCTCGGCGAACCGAATTATCGCGAATCTGGCAACGAAGTATTGTACCAATTGGATTATGTAAAATATATAAGGCAAGGGAAGAGAATGAATGAAAGGAAACGAACAAAAAGTTGGGAGGAAGCGAAAGGGGAAATGCAATTTCGACGGGGGGGGGCGTCTTTTTCCCACGTTGAAAAGTGCAAGTTTCTGTTTCCGGCCAAAAGATTGAGCATATCCCGGTTTATATAATCCTTCGACGAACACACGTGAGTGGCGACTGGCCAAGCCGTGAGGGTCCAGAATGTTTATGTCCGAAACCTTCGAGGAAAGCGGCAAGCGCGGAAGTGCAACAAAATGGCAAAGGAATTGGGGGGAAAAGCTGGCGTAGCAGGGGGGGGGGAGGGTGTTGACCCGTCAAGAGCTGGTGTAGATGGGCCCTGAGAGTTTCGCAACAAAAACGCGTTTTGCATTCAATCGCCAGCACCGCTTGGTCGTCATTCAAGATTCCGGTTGAAAGATAACGGATTTTCGGCAACGAGAGAGAGAGCAAAAAATTGTTCGAACACCATTGGGTCAGATGTCGCCAGTTGACATTGATTAATCGCGGTGTCATTGTAAATGCAAGGTGGTAACAACACGAGAAGCTTGTGAAGTCATTTGATAAAGATATTGGTTTTGAAAAGTGCTCTACCCAGGGGAAAAGGGTGTTAAAGCCAAATAATCCATATTGGGCGGATAATTTGAAAATAGAACAAGTTAAAGAAATATTAGAAATGAAAGAAACAATTTTCTATTAAATCACTAGGATGAAGCGACACTCAAAATATGAGCAACCCTTAATTAGTTGAAATTATTGAAAATTATTACATTCTCTTTAACAGTATATTTTATAAATATTATATATTATCATATTATATTTGAAGCGGCTCATCAACACAACAAAGTGTGGCAGTTTACACGCGCATCAACTCGAGTGTGATCACTTGAAAACTTTTCTATTTCATCGCGGTGTAAATGAAAGCACTTATCGCTCCCGCCTCTGCCACTGATACATTGTAGATCTGCATACAAACAATATTGTAATTCGAACCGGAACTAACATTGTCTCGCGCAATTATACTCAAGTGGTCTCGATGATGCTCACATACCGCACCAATACAATATAAATGTACATACGTAATCGAAAAATTGAGAAAATGGTTTTCAAGATGACACCGAAAAAAATGACAACCTTGAAAAGAACGTCTCAAATGTGATCTACGCATTATGAGCGATTACATTTCTTATTGTAGTCTAATTGGATGCGTTGTCGAGCGAAGAATAAATTATGAAGAAGGAAGAAATTGAAACGAACAATGGAGCTTAATGGTGTAAAACGAATATACCTAGAATTTCATTTATCATTAAAAGCCTTATCATGGTTTTTATTCGCCATTGAAATAATCAGAGGGAGATATGGGTGCTATACACAATTGAAGACGTGCTGCAAACTATTTTAACTGGAATAGTTGGAATTGGTAATGTAAATTTCTAGATTCAAATACAGCAGGATCTCATTCAAATTTGTCTCTTGCGGATTTATTGTTTTTGCTGGGCATAGGAGATTCTAGAATTCTTGAACTTGAAGTCGATCAAAAATATATATATTGTCTGAGTCAAACTACTAGACGAAATTTAAAAAGGATTATTGGCTATGTGCTAATGTGTCTGTCTCGAGGCAGAGAGACTGCGTACATTGCATTATATACGTGCATTAAATATTCAGTCAACGAAAAATTTAAGTCAATACGGATTTCGGGAGGCTCCGCATCCCTGTAGTCGTTTGACGCCGATAATATATATATATATATATATATATATATATATATATATATATATATGTATATTTATTTATTTATTTATAGTACGCAGAGCACATTTTTTGTAAGCGAGTACATTTTTCAACATGCGTCTTTCGCTAACACGAGAAGTCATTTTACCTCCCGTTTTGGAAATTTTTGTCACTCAAATTAGAAGATCTTCTGAGTGTGTTCACAAAATTCCAGCCTTCACTGGGAGGCGGGGAGTTTCAGACGAGTTATGGCCGTCTGAAAATTCAAGGCGATTTGTAAAGTCTCGCGAAAACGAACGGATTCTTTTGTTTCTTTGCAATAAATGTGTTTTGATAATTTTTAACATAATCACACTTAAAAGTGACTAGACCATAGCTAAGGAACATATACATAAATCTACACGCATACACCAGGAGTCGCCGGACGCTGACACTGACTAGAAGAACATTTATTAATTGCTGGATAATTAGTATTTAAATGCCTTAAAATTGTCGCAAATAACCCTATGAAACTTTTTGTAAGTAAACTTCACACGATTGATGAAAAGACTTTGTTCAATTAAGTTTTTATTATTTTTTTTGCCAAATTACGTGGAACCACGATAATTTCTGACAAAATTCAAAAGCTATTCGGTTCCAAATACTTGTTTTTGAGGTATGAGAAATCATATCTCTTAAAAGTTCAATTCTTGTTTTTAACACTAATCAGATTGAGAAAATTCAAGACAATATTCCACTTTTGCAATTTTCTTTTAAATAAAAGGAAGCCGCCACAAAGATTGTCAATTTTGAGAAATGATCTTTATCCGGCACTTCCAGTTAATTCGCACTTCAATCCGAAAAAGAAGAAGAAATGTTTCGTGTTTCATTCGTTTCTCCATGTAATGGAAAATCTCAGTCTAGGTGTTCTTCATCGTCTCTGTTTTTTGTTCTTCACCCTTTTTCTTCTTCTTCTTCTTCTATTCTTCAGCATCTTCAAGCACCTTATAGGGTGCCCCCACAAAAAATTCATTTCAAGACGCTCGACGACCCGGGTCACACTCTTATACTAATTGAATTTTGTCATTTTTTTGTTGGTTAGTGACATACCCTTGCAGAGCACGACGTGTTCCACGGCATTCGTTTCAATCAAATCTAGCTCACTTCGTGATTCATTTTTATGTTGGTGAGTACTTCTGTATTGTATGTTCAAATTATCAAGTTAGCAGGTTTTACGAAAAAAAAAACACTCAAAAAACCAGTTTATCTATTTTTTTCGCATTTTGCATAGGGTTTCCAGAATCTTCGAGCGATTTTAGCCGGGGTTTCAATTTTTTCTGAAATCTGCATGATTCCATTAAAGCATTGAGGAGAGCTTCATATGCTGGTTCAAAAAAAAGGTTCAATTGTCCGTGTTAAAATGATTACAAATTAATTTCTATTAATTTACAATTACCCAGAGAACTGTGAAATGCAAAACAGTTTTCTTTTTCTTTAATGCAAGTCACACTTGGAATTCTGTTTTTGAAGCGATTTCGTTATGAAAAAAATGAAGAATTAAATCTACGGTTAAAAAAAACAAGTAAAATTTTAATAGAAAAAATTGTTTCGCACAAGAATTCAGTATTTCTTCCTCGTTGGGTCATTCGCCTTTTTTCGATTTTCGTAATCGTTCTTCTTGATTAATTATTGAAGAGTAAATAAAAAAGTTCATCAGCAAAGATATTAAAAAAACATACAATAAGAATTCAAATTTCTGTGAAAAGCTCCACATGGAATATTTTATATGTAGTTGATGAACAATTTATTGTAGTTGCAAATACATTCTAACTGAATACGGGGCTTTGATAATTTTGAAAATACGGTAATACGATCTCGATTTTCTGCAATATGTAGTTGCCTCCACAAAATTTGAAAAAATATGGCCAAATCGTCACAGTTCGCTTGGTTTCTGGTGCGTTCCTTTGCAAAATTCAATTTCCGAACACGTTTGGGAAAAAAAGAAACGCCTTGTTCATTTATTTTTTGTTTTCAGAATCGTCTCCGCTACATCTTTACTCGTCATTTGCTTCTTACAAACATTGGTGCGAGTTGCGCGCAAATCGGCACTGCTGACATCATCCAGCAGCACATCAATGGTGACGTGAAGGAGAATGGATGGGATTGGCGTCGGACGTGTTAGTTGTAATAGTAGAAATAGTAGTTGAACTCTGAAATAGAGCTCGTGTGCCTCTTGGGAAATTAAAGACAATTTTTTTTTCTAAACGCGCTTACTTAACATTGATTCCATTTTCGCAGGTCGAATGGCAGCCATCGGGCTCGTTATGGCGCCGGCGCTTCATTGCTTCTATCGAATATTGGACAGTCGCAAGTTTAAAGGGACAAAACAGCAGCAAGTTTTGAAAAAGCTTGCCTGGGACGCCACATTTATGCCATTTTTCTCTTGCACATTCATTACAGGTTCTGAAACATTATCGCTGGAGTCATCAGTCAATTCATTTCAGTGGGCTCACTATATGAAGGAAAATCGTTCGCCGCCGCATTTTCCGAGTACCGCCGAAAAATGTGGCATATATGGAAAGTCGACTACACCCTTTGGCCTCCCGCTCAGCTAATTAATTTCTATTTTCTTCCGCCGGCGCTGCGTGTCGTTTACGTGAATTTAGTATCATTGGTTTATAATTGCATCATGTCTTATATCAAGAATAATGATTTGCATCATCGCACAATGATGGATTAACAATTGGCATTTTTTTTGGGGGAAATTTTTGAAAAAATAAATATTTCTGATAATTGAAATTGAATGTGTTTTATTTATCTGGGCAATAACCATTAAGTGCTAATTCACTTCTCCCTTTGTTCTGTGTTCAGAGTTTTTTTGAAACTGACCAAGAAAGTAAATATTAAATTAAAAATTGAATATCATTGAGTATTATATTTTGCATGCGAAACGGCAGAGCGATTATAAATTTAAAAAATCTTTTTCAAACACAAGGATGCAGCAAAAATCAAGCAATACCTACACGAACCTAGAAAAAGAGAAAGCTTCGTCTTCTAGTATACAATTTTAAAACGATATTTCCAACAATTATAGAAAATTGGAAAAGTGTCAAAGCAAATTCTATATCTTGCAGAATTCACTCTGTATATCCAAAAAGATGAGTTTCTAAAACAGGACACAAAAAATCCCAATTTGACAGGGACAATTTATTTCTCGTTTCAAATTATCAACGGAAAATAGAAATTTTGCAATCTGAACAATTCACCTATAAGGGTAAAATTGATGGGATTGAGGCATTATTTACATTTAATAACTAGGGACCTTGACCAATTATGGTTTCGTTTTCATTTGACATCAATAAATAATTTAACGCTAGTGTGAAGGTTGCGCAATTGAGCAATTAATTAACGGGACACAATTTAACAGGGCTAAAGATTAGTCATTGAGGGTAATAACAGAGGATGCTTAGAAACTGGCAGCGATGAGCAAACTCAAAAACCAATTGAATTTCAATGGAATGAAATAGGTAATTGTTAGATGAAGTCATGATCATCACACAGGCAACTTGTGAAAATCAATAATAAAACAAAGGAAAAATATATTTATACTTTTCATTGAGCAGCCAAGATTTGCGAAATGGGGAAGCTCAAAAGGAGCAAGTTGTTTGTAGGTTGAGCTAAGAGCCAAGATGGATGTCAGTTTAAGGTCAAATTTTGAAGCGGGTCGATGTCTAACTAGACTGAAATATATTTCGATTATATGGGTTAATGATGATAAATTATAAATTACCCTTTCCTTCGCTTTTGCCACAATCTTATCGATAATTTGAGCCGCGACGGCCACTTCCAGACAATAATCCGATATTCTGGGAACGTGCACCGGATCAAACGAATATACCGAATTTGGCAAATATGGAAATTTGAGTTGTGTCCAATTGCTGGCAATGTCGCGGATTTTTGAATGAAATTTCATCTGTAAAAACTACTTTAGTGGTTGGTTGATTTAAAGCGAAATCAACTTACGCAAACATGCGACAGTTCGGGGAAGAGAAGAGAAGCTTCCAAAGCAATATCAACGAGTTTCTTCAAAAAAATCACCGTCTGATATGTCGAATTCAACAATTCTTTAAGTTTCCGGATATAGTTTTCATCGCCCTTCGTATGAACCAATTCATTTTGAAGGCGGTATACCAAAGGATATTTCTCAGCGATATTCATCATATGCTCTTCAAAAATATTGTCAAGCTCCGCAATTGGCATGTTGCGTAGCAAATTCTTCTTAGGATCCATTTTCTAAAATTTTATGAATTAATCAATTGCGTGGTAAATTTGAATTACTTTATATTTACGACTACCCATGAATTCCTTCCAAACGCGCCGATAATGGGCCTTGGTTTTTTTGTTGAACATGGGATTGTTGGACAACGGGTAATTCAGAAGCGTGTCGTTGCGATAGGGATACGCATAGCAGCCTCTCCTATAATCTTCTTTCGGCTTTTGCATCTAAATGAATCATATTGTAAATTATTAAATAAAAACGCCCAATCTTTAATACTGAGTTAATTTTTGAGTTCTTCTACCGAATAAAACTTTAATTTCATATTTTTTTTCTATGACACTTCAATTTGTGTTTTGTTCAACAAAAAAAATTGACCGTATTATATTCGCTATCAGATTGAAGCTCTCCAAGGCGCTGTGAAAATGGCAGCCTTAGGCTTTGGCGGAATGAGATGTCCAGCTTTCTTCGAAAAGTCAATGGATCATCTTCTTCCATTCTGAAATTAATTTCAATGGTTTTTAGAATAGTGAAAGCGGTTAGAAAATTAAGAAGCCAAAGCGTAAAGTGATGACTAAAATTAAATTCGAAAAGCATGCTTGTTGGATGGTGGGGGAGGGGGATCAGTGGCATTAGAGCAGGGTTGCATTATATGAGCTTGTGGAAGAGATGAAGTCGGCCAAGGCTCTCAATGCAACATTCAAATGGTGTTTTGTTATAGTTTAATATTTAAACAGAATTAGAATAAGCAAAAACTGAGCAATTGGTTACCATTTTAGAGATTGGAAATGAAGATTCAATGAAAATCGGGATCCTCACCATTTTCACATAATGTATTGCAGAGAACAGCAATTTTGGCACACAAGTTCATAGATAGCAAGTTTTCTAATAGGAAATGGTTTCAAATCCTACTCATTTGATTTTGAACACTAAAAAAGATATTTCATAGCATATAAAACTATTGCAATTCTAATGAACAAAACATGTGAAAATAAAAAAGTTTGTCAAGTTTTATTACTAAATTATACTCTGGCTGAACGGTTTTTTTGGAATTTCAATAGATAGACCCACAAAATTAATGAAAGAAACATGATATTTGAAGTGGAATGAAAAGAAAAATTAAGAGATCTTATGAAGAGGTTTTCTAAATTAGAACCCTTGAAAATAAATAAAAATTCAAATGTTCAACATTTTTCCAGTCGCTGTATCAAATTGATGAGCGCCGATTTTATCGACATCATCAAGATGTACCAGTACTTGATCGATCAAATTGATAATTGACATCAAATAATATTTGTAATCCAGAAATTCTTGGATAATAACACCTTCGTTCACGTCGATTTCTTCTCCATGCATGTATTCTGGCCTCCGCTCGCAATCAATTTCATATCGAACATCAACATTTTCACCGAAAATCTCCTAAAATGGCAATTAATTAATAGAGTTTACCAATTTTCGTCTGTTATCAACTTTTTTCTGCAGCACAACCACCCGACAAATCTGCAATACAGTTTGAATTTTGTCATCAAAACAGTGCTTTGAACGAAATCGTCGATTCATATAGAAATTCTGCCTCTCATCCGGTATACACTCAAGATCACACTGAGTGTCTAAATAAGTCGCAAATAGATTTCTGTCGGATTTGAGGAAAAACGCGGCGTTTTCCTTGTTTTCTGGCAAAGCCCATATATTAACATTCTATAATATTATACCGCTAAATTAAAAAAAAAAATATTTGAATCAATACCGCTTGAATGCATTCATTTTTCTCTAAAACTAAATTTCCAAAGTTGATAACGTCAATGGCATTCCATACTTTTGTAAATACTGGCCCTCTCTCATGAACTCGCGGAAATTTATTCTGTAAACATTTGAATTAAATAAATTTTATGAGAATGATATTGTACCGAAATAATAGTTGAGTAGGGGAAGTGGTTGAACGTGAAGACGCTTATTCCCGCTGCTGTGTAGGCGACTTTCATCGCGTGGCTCAAAATTTGCGCAACACTTTCTGTTGTCGAACATCTCTCATAAGCCGCCGCGTCGATTCTCAATTCTTCCGAGATTTTTTTGAATTTTTTCAGTTGTGGCGGCAAGTTGCTTCTAAGTAACTTTTATGGTACAATAAAACAATCAAAATGTTCTCACTTTTAACATTGCCACTGAGTTGTAAGGATTCTCAAATCGGCTAATCATTGGATGAAATTTCTCCATGATAATATACGTGTCGTTAATTCCAGCAACTAAGCCAGTCATTTGAATTTTGAAATCATCATTTGACTTGGCGAGCACTATCGCTTCTTGCCATTTGAGAATCTCATTAGCTTTTGCCTCCAACACTAACACCAAATAAACCATTTCCAGCTCTCGGTTTCTCACGACGTGGGATATAAACGGTTGAAACATCTCATCAAGTCCTTTCTATGAAATTGTCAATAATTCAAATCTTCAAATCAGAAACTGAAGAGTCGCTACCGGCGCCAGTCTATCCAATGTCCATTTTCTCATTTCCTGTTTCGCTTCTATCTTCAATTCAATAATTCTTTCCACTGTAGGTTGTGCAACCTACAAATAATTTCAATGGTTTGCTTAAAATGATCGCTTTGCACCATTTGTCTCATTGGTTTAAAATTGCTTTCGAGTCGATTTTTCAATTCATTCTCATCGTGGTCGATTGGGTTCGAATCATCTCCCAACGCCTAAAAAACAACTTGTTTTAATGCATGTGTTTCAATAATTACAGGTGCTGCTTTGCAATTGGCAACCTGCGAATCATGCAATTATGAAAAAGTACATAATAAGATTCAGGAAGAACAATAACCTCGCATGCGGCTCTCTTCCTTTTTACGGCCTTCCAAACTGCTAAAATAGGATCTTGTCGTTGGTCTTCCTAAAATATGCATTTTTAGCTGCTAAATTCGATTACCTTTTTACTGAAGCATGGAAATTCTTTCAACTAATTTTGATACCTGCTGTCAGCTTATTTTGTATTTTTTGTTAATTCTAGTTAAATATATAACTTTTGAAATATATTTGATTAAAAAATCAACGTTCATTGAAGGTTTTCAACTCTTTGATATGATGAAGACAACACCTCGCATTCCTTGTTATTTTCCATCTCTGTTCTCATATTTGCACTTAATATTGGTGCTGCATCCATAGATAGTGATTTTTTGCTGATATGAAGCTGTTAAAATCATTAAACATCAACATTTTCAGTCGTCGATAAAAAAAATGAGCTTTAAAAATATTAAAATTAAACCTCAATGTCTTCGTGGAAGTTAGCATTTTCAATTTCATATCTCTGTTCTTCCTCATGCTGATTGAAAGCTGGGGCAACTTCTTCATCCACATCAGACTAAACTCAATTATAAGTTATTTTGAAATAGATATCAGCATTTCTAATAATAATTATGTTTGTTATGCATCAAGAGCAAAAACCACAACGAAAAAAAATCTTATTGTTTGGCATTAACTTGCGCTAACATCTAGAACATTGAAAATTTCGATCCAAAAATCAGGTAAATTTTTGATTCAGTTTATGGGCATGTTTGATCTTGTAAAGCCAGATGAGAGGAAAATATCTATGCTATGGAAAACTTTTGTTCAACCCCTCCTAACCTCAACAATTCTTTTGCGAACATTTTTATTCGCCACTCGATAGGATCTTTTCGGAGATTATAGTAGCACAATCAGGAAAAACGCAAATTTCATCCAAAAATGGCCTCAATTGCCAGGCTCCAATTCATATTTGCTCATTGCATTAGATTTCTTTTTTCAATTTCGGATCACTGCAACCAAGTAATTTTAAACTACTCATAATTTTTATTTGACGAAAATTATACCCCATTATATTCCAGCTTACCATTGATTAAATCTATCAAATATCAATAGTTTGAACTAGTATTAATTATCTTACAACGCTCCAAAATTCAACAGTTTAGTTTTTTAACGTCAATTGGCTCCGCCGGGATTGGGTTAGTGAAAAAATGCGTCCTCCATTTTTTCTCTTAATTAAATGTTAAATTTGTTTTAAAAAATTTTATGCTAATTTTTTTTTCAATAAATGTAAGCTAGCAAGTTTTTGTCACAAATATTCAACTACAAGTCACTTTAAATTTGGGTGAAAACGTCAAAAATCGAACCTTCTCTTCCTGGCCGAACATTTGTTGAATTGACTTCGGCCACCACGATGCTGATAAACCTTGCCCCATTTTATAGCTTTGAAAATACTTATCAGACTAATAGAAGCAGTTTTATCCTCTCGAAAATGGATAATTTCAGTAATAAATTAAAATTAATTTAGGCCAACTACTGAAGTAACCAAGTTTCGCTGTGAGACCATTGACCATAGAGCGCGCATGCTTTCGACGTTGCACCAAAATATTGATTTTCAGCTTTGAAGTATTTTTCAGAGCTAGATTTCTGAAAGATTGTCTGAATTTCGTCCGACATTTGAAAGTGCGAAATTAGGATTCATCGATACGATAAATTGATTGATACGTCGGAAAAATTGACCGATAATGGGTGCCCATGAAAGATGCGCAGGCGGCTAAGGAGGTTCAACGCGTTAATTACATTATCGTTTATAATTCTTATAACGGACGATTGATCACATATAACACAAATAAAAATTCATTTAACAATTATAGATTATAAAATCTTGAAGTAGTGCATTTGGTCATAGTTTCGATAATTTTAGGTTTTGTAGGTGTAGGTGTAGGTTTTTTGATATCAAAAAAAATTAATTGAAAATATGATAGGAGAAGCATCTCTTTTCAGAAATATTTTCAGCGATATTATATTCACATTGGACTAAAAAATATTTATTCACAGGATTGAGAAAAACCAAACAATTTGTCCCAATGAAATTTAAGAATTGTGTCATTTCTGAAACTACTAATATAAGTTGCTCCTATTAAACGTACAGTAATACGACCTGAGCAAAAACCGTGTTTAGCATGTTAAATTACCCAAGTTATCTATGCTTGTTTTTTTCAATTCGAAAGAGACCGAATAAAAATTGTTTGATATAATTGATCTCGATAAATTATTTGATGAAGCTTGATAAATTCGGCTTACTCAATATATATGTTAAAAATGCCTCAGATCGGACAGACCTGATGTACACCAATTTTTTAATGTTTATGTCTGAAAAGTACATCCGCGAGAGAATTAATCTTTTTTTAGTCGAATGAACAATTTTTATTTTTAGAAGACCTCATCTGCTCGCTAAAACATTTCAAAAATCAAGTAATTGAGAGTTGAGGTAAGTAAGGTTGGAAATAAATATGTTTCAGTACAGTTTAAAACAATTTGAAAATTAATCAGATACGAAGAGGAATTAAATAGGCTAATTTTCGATTATTCGACGCACTCTCAAAAAAAAGTTGAATACAATTTAGTTAGTTTCAGTTGTTTTATGCCTTTCAAGTTTTATTTGTTTTCCGTTGATTTTCAACTTTCAAAATTTTCTACTTACGAAATAATATAAAGAAATTTCGCCAATACAAATGTGTGAGAGATATTGTACATCTACAATATAGCTACACAACTATTTTACAAATGCACTACCTTTAATCGTTAAAAATAAAGCAAAATTGCCACTTAACAATAATGACTTAGACATGAACCTTTAATATTTCCGTTAAAACTTGAAGTATTCTACAATATTAGTTATTGTGACTTAACTGTAAAAGCTTCAACCAGATATATTGTTTAAAATATCTCATTCGGGACTCCAAATATTCAAAATGTTCAATTTGTTGGAAAATTACATTATCACTATATGTATCGTTTTCAAATACCGCTCCCCCCTTTCTATTTATCCATAATCGTCAAACCGTGGCCAGAGTTTATTGCCCGCCCAGCGCTCATTCCGTTACGGTATTGCCAAAAGACGATGATTGCAGGTCAGGCAGACAGGCCCGACGGTGTTTAGTGAGGGAAAAACACGCAAGGTCATTTTGAGGTCGCGCGCGCGATAAATGCAATGTGACGGTCGAGGTGGTCCGACGGCGGCGGCCATTCGACTTTGCGTCGAATCTACCTGTGCACGGTGACCTCTCACGATTCGCCGTCTTTGCAATCCACCAGCGAGCCAACGCCGAACCCCCCCCATCGTAGCAGCGATTTTCCTCGCAACGATTGTGCATGCTGTGTGTTTGTTCTCCCGTTTCTCTAGCTTGCTTCGACGAAGCGTAGTGGGGGGATTCATAGGTGAGCGGTTGGTTGGATATTTTGTTTGTCTGCGTCTTTTCTTACCTGTCACAATCCAAGTGGATCTTTCGTTCGCCTCATCATCGTCTTTTGCCTCGATTCGGACAACACAAACACGTGCACTGAATATATATATACACATAGACAGACACGCACATACAGAAAACTGTTCGAGTGACGCGCCGAATCGAACCGACAATGAACACACAGATGACCTCAACCTTTTCATTTTTCTTTTATAGAAGTGTGACCAATTCAATATTAATCCGAAGGCAATAAGTTCCATTATTCTCAATCCTTATTATCTCTATTTTTGTTGCACCGTTACTAGTTTTTGTGAATCGCGATTAACATCGATCCGAATGAAAAATGATCAGTGAATGTTTTTTCGACATTGAACAGGTGTGTGTTCACTTTCTATCTCTTTCTTTCATGTTGTAACAAAAACAGGATTCCGTGTCAGCTCTAATTGATAACCTCATGCAAAATGTTGCAAATTCGCATTTTTTGGTAATTGCTTTAATTGAAATTCCCATAATTCCTAACTACTTCCGTTTTGTTCTGCTCATAGGCATTCACGTATTTCTACCACAACTTCCCATGACCTTTCGTATTATTCTAATAATCATTGTCGGCATACGATAAGAGCCGATAGGCGTGCACAAGTGCAACAACAACAACTTGAGCAAATCAAACAGTCGAGTCTTTTTGGCAAAATCGGCTTGTTTGAAATGCGCATCGGATAATCCTTCTCTTCGCATTTTTTTTTTCAAAATATTTTATTTGCTTGTACAATTTTCGGAATGTCTCGTTCTCTATTACTCGGCTCTCAGTTATAATTATTCCAGCTCGCGTACGCTCCGTATTGCACCTGTTCTCTCTTAATTAAAGAGATTTACTCAACAATCCATTTTAGAGCATTGTAATTAGTATTTAATTATTTTTGTATGTCGCACGAATTATTGAATATTGATTTTCGGAACGCCCGAGAATAATGTTGAAAAATGGGGTGTGGAGGAGACGGCGAGGGCATCGCTGTTTTCTATATGTATATTTTAGTATACAGGCCGCCGGCCGTTTTTATGGCTGGTCTTGCACCGACTTTTCGGTTTACACGCATTATCATTGTGTCGTCGTCGTCGCCGCCGCGCATTCGGCGCAAACACACCTTAGCGTCGTATCGCAATGCAACGTGGCAAACCGTACACAATTTTTTTTGGACCTTCCTCAATTCTCGCATTGTTCAAAACATTGTATTAAAAAAAAACATACAAACTGCAATGATGACTCATCCTGAAATAAAAGCTAGAATGCTCTTCCTTGCTTTTCAATATTTTTACTCTGTTGCCCGTCCATGATTCGCATCGTGTCCATATTGCTTCGCGATTTTCGTTTCGTCTAGTACCGCCCGTCTTTTGTAAAAACGACAAAAACGTCCTTGCCTAACTAATTTTTTTATTGTCAATTTCTTATTCTGCCTGGTATAGTTTTGATTACCGGCTAGCCCGATATGTCCTTGCCCATCTATATCTGATCCGAAGAAAAGATACTAATCTTGACTCACACACCACTTAGATATTTATTTCTACCTCACGCAAACCATTACTTAACTCGCAATTTTTATTATTATTATTATCGTATATGATTATCGTTGACATTATATCTTAATTTTCCTCACTCACTATTCCAATTTTTTAGAGAACTGATATTGAACACTGGATTTGAACGCATTCACGAGACATGCTTCCAACTCGCAGCACTGGTAAATTTTTATTTCGATATCACTTAAAAGGATTATTAAAACCACACAAAAATCTTTTTTACTTAACCGGCAAAATTTCCATTGATGGAAAAGCTGGCGGTTGACATACATAAAAGTTTGATGAGTCATGCATGACTGTTTCAAAAGAAGAATACAATGATATTTATTTATAAATGCGTGCGTAAACATTGAATAATGGCGAAAGGCCGGAAATTGTGTATACCATCCTTTTTTCGCACATTTTCACTTTTGAACATAGAATGTCCAAACAGCAAAACGAGATTGACGTGTATCATTTTAGAAGCGCATCATGCTTTGGAGCTTATCGAGGATTATCACGCACAACTAACACGGCATACTGATGAGGAACTTCGCGGAAACTTGGAGAAGCTCATCAATAGCTTCAAAACAAATTTGTTCAACACGCTGCTGGGTATGCAAATCCTTCTTCAATCCCATATCTGAACGCATTTCTATTCAGAACTTCATGAGTTGTACGAAGGAACATTGTTAAATGAGAGAAAAACATATTTGCAAAAAATTGCCGAAGTGAAGAGAATGGTCGAGAAATTGGAGTACAACCCTGGATTCATTCATAAACCAGTAACAACTGCGTCGACTTCCAATTTGAACTACACGAGCACGACTCCACTTGCATCTGATTTTCGCGATCGCGGAGGATTCTCATATTTGAACGGATCGAGTAGTTTAGGAAATGGGGTGCTCGCAACAAGCTCTCCGTATACTCATTCCTCATCAAGCCATATTTTGCACGAGAGATCTCGTCAAACGGTAAGTAGAAGTAGATGAAGTTTGTTCTTGAGAATTCATCGCTTCAGACTCATGATGGCACTTGGAAGGAAACGACAACGAAAATGGTCGACACACCAAATGGCGTTGAACGTCGTACTATCGAGGTTGTGGCAGTCATTCAAGCGGTTCTCTATTTTCTATATTACAGCATACTGGAATCATCGACGAGTTTGGACGAAAATGGGAATTGGAGAACGTTATCCTCGAGAAAGGTCACACAGGACTGGGATTCTCGATAACGGGAGGTTTATTATTGCCCAATGTTAGCAATGATAACGATAACATATTATTAAGGTACTGATCAGCCGACGGAAGATGGTGATACTGCTATCTATGTGACCAATATTATCGATGGAGGCGCCGCATTAGCTGATGGACGAATGAAGTAAGATATGATAGGAATGTGATAAACAAATATGGAATTTCAGGAGGAATGATATTATTGTGAATGTGAACGGTATCAACTGCGAAGGCGTCAAACACGAGGTTGCCGTCAATGCATTAAAAAATGCGGGAAATGTGGTATCTTTGGTATGAGATGGATACTGGAGCAAAATGAAAATCTATTTATATGTTTCAGACATTGAAACGTCGGTGGGATGAGAACACTGGGGTCGCTGCTCCTCTCTCAATCGGAGGATTTGGTGGATCGACTAGTGCACTTCGTAATGGATTAACCCCATCACTTAGCGCTGGCAACTTGACACATGCAATTCATTCGCCAACTATTCCTCATCATCCGCCGCCTCCGCCGCCACTTCACCACGGATCGCTGAGCCAATTGTCAGCATCGCATTATCGCAATCGTCCAAATACTCAGCTTGTGGAACTTTACAAGGGTTCCACCGGATTGGGTTTCTCGATTGCTGGAGGTGTTGGCAACGAGCATGTACCGGGTGATAGCGATATATTTGTGACAAAGGTCATCGAAGGGGGCGCTGCTGATCTTGACGGACGCCTTAGAGTTGGCGACAAAATTTTGGAGGCATGAATACGCTTAATTGAAAATTGATGTAATTTCTTTTTAATTTTAGGTCGATAACACACCTTTGAACAATATTTCTCACGAATATGCAGTGGACGTGCTTAAAAATACTGGAAATCGTGTCCGCCTTTTGATCCAGAAAAATAACGGTCCGTTCGATACGTCCGGCCAGTCCTACAATCCGACAACTTCAATTTTGAGACGTAAAATTTCTCTCAATATTTCGCATCGCATAGAAAAATTTTCAGCAAGCTCGGTTCAAGACTTCAATAGATCATATGATTCTCAATCACATCTTACATATCCTCAGAATACTCGAGTTGCAATTCCGCTCGAGCCTCGAGCGGTCACCCTTTACAAAGGTCAAAACGGATTAGGATTCAACATCGTTGGTGGAGAAGACAATGAGCCAATCTACATTAGTTTTGTTCTTCCTGGAGGCGTTGCTGAACTCAGTGGAAATGTGAAGACTGGAGACGTCCTGCTTGAAGTCAATGGTGTCAACCTACGTGGAGCTACTCATCGCGAAGCCGCTGAAGCTCTTCGAAATGTACAAAATCCGGTACAACTAGTTCTCCAATATCGACCAACAGGTAAAATAGAGAAAAAATGTTTTAATAGAAAAAATAGTAATAATTATTATTGTTCTCAGATTATCAAATATTTGAATCGAAAATTGAAAAACTTCGGAATGATGTAATTTCACAATCAAGAATGAGCACACTTCCAAGACGTGAGCACTATGTAAGAGCGTTGTTCGATTATGATCCTGCTCGTGAAAACTCCGTTGCTCCGCATAGATCAATGGCATTCAACTATGGAGATATTCTTCATATTATCAACTCGTCCGATGACGAATGGTGGACGGCGAGAAAAGTTGACTTATTTGGAATCAGCCAATATAATATTGTTGTTAAAGGTTCTGGAAAATAATGAGGAAACGACGGAAGGGGTCATCCCGTCAAAGAAACGAGTTGAAAAGAGAGAACGACTTAGAAGAAAGCAGGTTAACTTTAACGCTGGATCACAATCGCTCGGAAGAAACTCATCTTCCGGTTTGGAGCACCGTCGCGGAAGCCGAAGTCAGCTCTCGTTCTCAAGAAAGTTCCCGTTCGTCAAGAGTACTGATCGAATTAATGATCTCGCCGAAGAAGCCGCCAACTTCAATGACGAGCCAGTGTTCTCGTACCAAAACGTTGAGCCGCAACACATCAACTATGTTCGGCCAGTAATTATTCTTGGAGCACTGAAAGACAGAATCAACGACGAGCTGGTGACAAGAGATCCGCATCAATTTGGCAGTTGTGTTCCACGTACGATTCGAAAGCAACCGATCAATAGAGTCATTGAATGATTTTCAGATACGTCTCGTCCACCGCGTGACAATGAAGTCGATGGACGTGATTATCACTTTGTGCCGAAACACAAAATGGAGGAAGACGTCAAGAACAACCTCTTCATTGAAGCAGGACAATTCCAGAATAATTTATATGGAACCAGTATTCAAAGCGTTCGCGAAGTGGCCAATCAAGGGCGCCACTGTATACTTGACGTCAGTGGAAATGCAATTCGAAGACTTCAAAATGTTGCCAATATTCAACCAATTTCCATTTTCATCAAACCATCGTCACCACAGCAGATAATGTAAGCGATAATGATTGTTTTATAAACATCTATAATATTGGTTTCAGGGAATTGGACCGACAATTGTCAAAGCCACTTCACGATGAGCGACCATTCCTGGAAGATGAGGCTGCCGCACAATTCCAGAGATGCCAGAGAATTGAGCAAACCTTTGGAGACCTATTCACACGTAAGAAACATTGAGTTAATACCAAATAGCGTTTTTTTTTTAATTTCAGATGTGATTTCAAATGCTCACTCGGCAAATGAGGTGATGAGCCGCATCTACCAGCTGATCAAGCGAGAGTCGCAATCACCAATTTGGGTGGCACGCAACTAAACATCGATTATTGGAACAATACACTACTACGCATTCCTTATAAATTTTAATGTTGAATCATTGCTCATTTTATTTATTTCAAAACGTCTGATTATTTACCGTCACTGCCACTTGATGATTATTTCTCGAATATTTAATATGCTGGAGTTCAAACCAAACTCACTTTTATTTAATTTTGTGATACTTTAACGGTGATCTCCACGTTAAAATCTGATGTTTCTCTATCGCTCTTACGCAAATGATTCGTATATTAAAATAGACTTTATTTATCTACTATTAATAATAAATATTTAACTTATTCATATAACAGTCTTTGAACAGCGATGCAACGGAGGAGTGTGGGTTTTGGAATTAAAAAATTAGCGAATTCCAATAAAATGTATCCTTAATTGGCTTTTAAGAATAAATATCGTGATGGCGGTTATCGATTATATACCTGAAGGACTATGTTACTTGAAAAAATAGGTATACCTCTTCTTTACTGTATGGAAATGACAGATTGTTTCCATTCGATCAAAATTAATTATAGTTAGCACATTTATTCTGCAAGAACGGGGGATGGGGGGCAATTAGTTTTGAGAAAACAAATATGAGTAATACACATGAGCACACATTGACGGGACCATTGAATCAATGGTTATATCGGCATACAACAGCGACAGCGAAGATGTTCGCAAGTTGGCAATGAATATTGCCAATCCTCGTCGCCTTAACCATTTTGTGATTTGCTGAGATCGGTTGCATTCGGAAGTTTAAACAGAAAATGATATGTTGAAAAAAAGGTGTTTGCTGTGTTTTAATGTTAAATGTTCATTTTGTCTGACGAGGAAACTGTGTAATAATATGCTATTGTCGGCAGCCCATTTGGTTCTACTATGTGTAATGAGCAGCTCTTTTGATTTTACTGACAAGAACGAAGATAGACTACCTATAACTGTTCAAAATTGAATACAACTATTTCGATTTAAATTTGTGACAATTTAGCAAGGTACGTCATCTACTATAGGTAGTCAAATTACGTGTGTCGGCGCTCCAAACTTTTATCATTTTTGTATGTACATATAAACGTTCGGAAAACTTGAAATTTCACCGGAAAATATTTTTTCTTTTAAAGATGACTGTAGTTTTTCAAAGGTTCATGTGAAAAATTTTAAAAATAGCACAAGCGTAAAAAAATTTTTCAAAAATCTAAAAAATTAGTGTGGAAAAAAACTGACTTTTGAAATAATTGACACACAAAGAAATTCCTCCAATTTTTGTTTTTTTTTTGTAATTTCGTTTATCATTTTTTGTTGTTGAAATGAAATTTATTTTGAATTGTATTTGATTACCTTCAATTATAATTTCTAATTAAAAATTTTCAAAAACATTTCCAGGTCTAGTTATAGAAAAATCGCCTGAAAACAATTTTGCATAGTGAGCAGCGGTTATTTTATCAGAAATAATTGGTCGGTGCAATTAAAGTTCCTTCGTATTAATGCTGCAATTATGCCGAGTTGCCATTTTCAAGAAGCTTATAACTATTCATAGAACCTGAATGTCAAAACGGACATTACCAGGGGAAAATTGCATCTCTTAGAATAGCCACAAAAAAGTGTCTTCAGATTGTTGTAGAATGTTGTCATGTGATCCATCTTGTGACCTTCCGCGTATTCATTCCACTGTTCAAAACGTCGTTGATCTTCTGTAAGGAGACAATTTTTTAAAAGAACAATCTTGATTTCATCTATCATTGAAAAGAATAGCGGATGGGTTAGTCAAAATGAAACCAAACAATTTTAATGATTTGTTGAAATGATAGATAATTATAATAATATTTATGATCAAGCCTTTGACTTTATACAATACCATATCAATTCGTTTATACAAATGGTAAGCAATATGGCGTATTAAAACAGAATCACGGAGTAAACACAAACCAAATTATTGGATTGCCAGCCTCTTCTTGAGATTGCGGCGATTTCTCATGCCGGCGTTCTCATTTGGGCTCTTGTTGCCCGTGTTTTGATTTTTCGAGCTGCGATTGGAATGGCTGTTGCTTGATATTGTGCCGGGTGGAAGCAGCAGATTACCCGAACTGGTACTTGGACTTTCGATATCCGGATAAGCCAAATAGGCCAGACATCTTGGCACCGGTTGTCTACTTGCTTCGAGAAGAATCTCATCTTCCGGAAGATTAAGATTGTAGCTGAAAATGATAATATCAAGTTATTTGAAACGCTTTTTTTTGTTTATGAGCCTACTTAATATGATAGAAGCTTTTGATTTTCATTGACAGGACGTTGTTGATAGAAGAGTTGATAGTTTTCCTGGAATATTCCGAATTCCAATGAATCGAGACAATAGTAAAAACATACTTGGACATTTTCACTGGCCCATTGATCCATTCAAGGCGATTCTTGACTCGAATCATCAACGCAATGGCATGCTCCAATTCAGCTTCAAGGTCTTCAACATTGTCCGCCTTGACGACACGATAGCGACGCGTCGCCATCGTTTGTTTTCAACTGACTGACGGAAACGAACAACAAAGAATGACAGAAATGGGAGTTCCCCCCCTCCTCTCTTTTCGTGCCGCCTTCTGTACACTTTTTGCTGCAATAAAATTTCACCGAATTGTTATCGAATTAACGTTTTTTTCTAACTGTCAAAACGACTAATTCGATAGCGATTTTCATATGAAAAATGTTCTCCGACTCGCTGTGTACTGATTGATAACGGGGAACCAGCCGAATAGAGAATTCTTGAATTAGAAATGACGCAACAAATTGCTATCGATTACAAGAGATCATTGTAAAAGCAGAACTGTTTCAGAGAATGCCTATCGAATGAAACTCAATCTTCACCAATTCCAAATTTTTGTCGAAAGGTTTCCCGTGGTTTCATGAATGGTCTTTATCAGTTTAGGGAATATATGAATACATGAAGAAAGCATTCTATTGAAAAAATCAAACATCAAAGAAACTGGCCAAACTAATTTGGTGGTATCATGTCTAAAATGTAACAGGTTCACACGTATCTGTAATTCGCTTGAATCACTCTCTTCCAATTTTTAAGTGTTTCCATTTTGTAAACTTTTTGGTAGATATAATTGTTGTTCGTCGAATTGTGTTCACAGCTTGTTGAAACGGAAATTGCGGGAAATTATCATTTGAACTACGGGGACACAGTTCGCGACGACCTTAGACTAATTATTGTTGTTTTTATCAATTTCGGAAGAAAATGTCTCTTGATTGGAAACGGAATAGCGTTTCCCACATTTATCGGTTAGTTATCACATTTTCGAATCACAAAGTCCAATGTTCTTGATTTATCAATGGAATTAATTCATAAACAACTAATGTTTGTTTAAGAGCGAATTCAAACGATTGAGATACACTTTCAATTAATTTGAGCCAGTTTATCTCATTAAAAAATCTTTAAAAAATAAATACTGGATTAGAAATTTCACAAGAAATGAAGAGAAGAAAAAAAAACAAAAAAACAACAAGACAAATCGAAATAGACGAACAAACAACATGAAGAGAAGACGTGATTTAGACGAAATCATGAATATGGCCTCCAAATAGTCACAGTTGGTTTCTTTGCGGCGGGCGCTCCAATTGGACTTTTGAAGCGCTTATTCCTTGGTGGTTCAGCGGCGCTCGAAAGCTCCTCAGCATCCTTTTCATTTTGCTCGCCTGAAAGATTATATGTAATTTTTCTAATCTAAATTGACAACCTGCGGTGGATGTTGAAGGGCCTTGCTGTAGTGCGGCGTTTAAAAGTGGAACAGACTGCACTCTTGAAATTTCCGTTGTCTGTCCGACATTGGCGGCCGCGAAACGACTTTGTCGGCTTTCAACCGAAGCCGTTCTCGACTCCAGTGGATATGACGGCACCGTACTTGGGCGGCTCACCGGATGCGCCGCGGCATCAAACGGAGCTTTGAAATCGTGGACCGAGTTGGCTGGAAATAAATATTCATCATATTGCATTTCGAGAAGCTCACGTCTCAAAAAAGCCGAATTGCGCGATTGTTGAAAGTCGATATAACCATTATTCTGTTGCAAAAGTGCGCCAATGGTTATGGTCTCGCTTCGACGCTCAGTTCGAGGTTGAGTCGTTTCCACCATGCTTCTTTCCACCGCGTTCGACGTCTCTCTCGAATTTTCATCTTCAGACTGCTATAAAAAGAAATTGTTGAAACAAATGTTTTTTTTTTCAAAACGTGTCAATTCTTACCGTTTGACGATGGGATCTTTCCCTATTGTTCTCCGTGTGTTGATTAGTGGCCGAAACGGTTGTCGCGATCACTCCACTTCCACCATTCAACTGCGGAAAAACTCCACCTTCTGGCGCGATCGCCATGATTCCAAGATCAGTCGGAGTTAACGCGAACGATGTCGTGAATGGCTTACTGATGAGTCCGGGATGCTTCTCAAATTTTACCAACGCCTGTTTAACCTCGATAATCTTCTGAATGTACGACTTCTTGTCATTGAACAATGTTCCCGTACAAAGCTCGCGAAGGTCTGCCAAACAAAAATTGGTCAATGTCATCAATGTATCATACCTAAGAGCGTATAAAAAAGATTTGATTTAAAACAATTGATGAGCATTTCCAAGATTCCTCGAAGCTCTTGCACCGAGTTCCGTGTCAATTGTCCATGGTAGTCCTCGATAAGATGAAGAGTATGGTTGAATTGTGTCAGAACTGAAAATATTCATTTGAATGATTACATAAATTGTATATTGGACATCCTCTTATTCATTCTACAGTTTTTTCAAAGAATGATTGTACCTGGTGTGAAAGCAGAACCTTTCTTCGGAGCAGGGGACGACATGGAGATGGTGAGTTCGGTCGAATTAACTCGCTAAATGAATGGGCAAGGTGAAAAAAAAAGTGGGTGTAAGATTCGAGATAGTATCTCGATGGAATCAGATATAGACGAGCAAGGACACTTGGGCTTGCAGTCAATCAAAACTTTTCATTTGCCCCCCCCCCCCTGGTCGGCAAAATGGTTTACAGTAAAATGTTTGACAACGACGTGATGAATTGATGCAAAATGCGAACTCAACTAGATGAAAAGATAACTTGGTGCGTTCTTTTTTCGAAACAATATTGATTGACCTAAACGGATAGTTCTCTCTCGTTCGTGATACTGACGTAATGAGGTTATTGAAACAACGCTGTTGTGGGGGGTTTCAAAGATGGAAAAAAGCGATGCGATACACGCACTATATGAAGATCAACCTAGAGCCATCAAATGTGAATCAATTGATAGGAAATTGGCGAGCGGAATTTTATGAGAATTGACAGTGAACATCACAGTGTATCAAAATTATTATAAATCTGACCATTGCAATATGCTCAATTCAAATATCAAAAATCGTTGTCTTGAAAGCGATGATATCTCTAAATGTTCATTTTCGAACTAACCCAATTTCTTCCGTGAAACTGTTCGCACATTGTTTGATTTTTACAATTCAACATTGGTCTATCCCAATGCATTCTCAAAAATCTCAGATATTATCGGTTGTTTGGAATATAATTCTTTTAATACAATGTGATCCATTTCGAATTTCACTCTTAATTAACGAGCAGAATCTTTCAAGAGCACAACCCAAATCGAATTAGAGATACAAGGTGGAACCGTCGATCAAATGTATATATGAATATTTTACGACATATCTTCAATTTATTTATTCATCATAATTTTTCAAAACAATCCCAAATCTACTGATCTAAAGTAGAAAAAACGTATCAGATTCAGGCTTCTCTAAACTATAAAAATAATTATTTTTTTAAATCCGCAAAATATATCTATTTTGAAATTAAGAAAATCAATGGTTCTTTATGAAACCTTTAAATTTGCCATAATCTGTTTAATCCTTCTTCTTTTCATTACCTTTTTTTAATCTATTGTAATAAATAAAAAACAAATCAAATAAATTTTGTTGGCTGTTTGGGAAATTTTTGTGTTGCTGAAAATTTGATGGCTTGTTGAGACAAGTTTATGCTAGAATTTGAACAAAACAAAAGTTGATTTTGTTCTTCTAAGATTAACGCTGGGCTTTTAAGTTACATTCTAGTTCAATCGTTTATCACCAAGTGTTTGAACAATTAATGCGACAAATCTGAAAATCCAAAATGAAATATTAAAATGGAAAAAATGTTGATTCCGCATTATGTTTTTAAAAAACAAACGTTGACTGACGCCACATTTTTTGCGAATTGCACAATTCGATGCGTCGCTCTCTCTCCTTATGTACTGTCATGTTTAATTATTCAACGCCGACTCATTGCAATGAGATGAGAGAAACAATAGTGATTGAAAAGGTGACAAATTGTATTTATTCAAAATGCTTCTTGATTCGGATGATTCAGAAAATTTAGAGAAATAGCCGAAATAGTTTGGCGAAATTGATCAAAAATTAAATATGAAACTTTAGACAGTGGTTTTAAATCAAAATTTTCAAATGTTTTGAAAGCTTATAAACCCGATATGGCATCAAAAAAGGAAAAATGAAAAATCAAATTTTTGAACCTCGAACGTACCCAATCCGATCTGCCTTTACCATTAATGGAACCAAGGGTCCCACACAGTGCTAGCAACTCTTCAATTTGATTAGAGCTTCAAAATAATTTTGAAAAAACAAAAAATTTATTTAATAATCAACGAAACATGAATTCATAAGGCAATTACACATATAAAAGACGAATCTGTTCAAACATTTGTTCAAATCAACGATGAATGAAAGCACAACCATTGGAAAAGACGATAAAACAAAACCTGGATTACAAATTTTGGTAATACAATAGAATCAAATATGATTGAAACAAGCTTGAAACCGAGTTGAGCAAAACAATTAAATTTGCAACGCGAGCGCAGTAACAATATCGAGCGAGTTCGGAGAGATGTCGGCTTGAAGGATGGCATCAACCCATCGCTCAAAGAAATAATAATTTTCAGCGTGGAAAAAATATTTGTGCGATCCGTAAAAGATTTTAAAGCAATTTTCATGGTTAACATTGTCATCAATCGTTGGTAAACCGATTCCATAATTGAGCAATGATAAATGAGCAAGCGGTTCTTTTTCCTTAATTGGGATTTACATTGAGCTCAAGAATTAAACCTAGATACCTTATGATTCCTATAAAAAAAGAGAGTGTGGCAGGAAAGTACAACCCATAAGTCCTGCCATCCCGTTGAGTTCCTCAGCTTTCGCTTCAAATATCCGCACATATTATTAGTAGCCATCTGAAATATCAAGACTCGTCTAGAAAAAATTTGATTCAAATCAACCTTATTCACATCTTTACGTCCAAATGAGCATTTTCGATACCAGGCAACTTGAAGAGGTGTCAACTTTGTTGTGGGCACATCATCAGCCATGAAAACTTTTGAAACTGAAATAATTCAATTTTTGTACTCTTTGTGCATTTTTCTCACTATCAATGTCGTTTTCATCCTTTTTCTCGATTACTAATGAAGGAAGGTCAATTTTCGTTCTTGCAGCGTTCTTAATTGCAGTGGTAATATCCTAAAACCAATTTAGTTTTGTTTCAAACATGAGAGTTGATTACCTCAATCCATAACGCTCGATCTGGCGCTGAAAGCACAATAGAGCTATCAGCATTATGAAGAGTGATTACATTATCATCACCATTCATTACATTGTACGTATCCCCTTCCTCGACCTGGCAAATAGCAATGGATTTTTTTTTGAGATTAACATTTCTGAACAAAGAAGTTTTATAGACTATCTGAAAGATGTGCCGCTGATTTTAAGAGATGGATGAATAAAGAAATTATCGTTCGTTATTCAGCTGATTAAACAATATAAAGCTGTGAGCTTTAGGCCATAAGAAACAAAAATGAGTCCAAGTGACTTTAAAATCTTCAATTAAACCTAACTGCGTGATTTATGTTTAAAAAAATTATTATAAGTTTGTAAAGGAATCGCTAAAAATCTAGTTTTATTGAAAAATTTTTTAACGTTATCATTGATTTATAACATTTTGACATTTCTAAGCATATTTTTGAAAAATTTTACCATTAATCCCTTCAGTTTAATTTCAGCATGAATTGTGAAAATATTTCCGTCGAGATTTTGTCCACGATGGCCAAACAATATTCGATCCGTGCACAAAATCATAATGCGATTGCAGGGAGCTCTCCGAGCCCATCTCAAAGCGTAACCAAACCGAAGAACTTTCTACATGAAAAAATATGGGTTTTAGGCAAAACAAAATGATTACAAAACCCTGTTTCGATTCGAAAGAACTCCAACCAAACCAATATCGCGTTCGAGTTGAAGCACAGAAACATATTCTTCGAGCGAATTGCGAGCAGTTTTAGTTTTTTCGGAGAATTCGATGAGTTTGTCCAGCGCGACTCGAAAACTAGTTGTTTCAGATTCAACACCGCCTTCTGATAGTTGAACTTCAATTATTCTAGCAATGACCTGAAATAAAATTATTTTCATGTTAATGTAACTATTAACTATTTTTCGAAAATTTGTAACGCTGGATGTAATGTTAAAACAACTAACAGGCTGCCAGTTGACCATTCTGCTCAAAATCTTGACAAGAATCCAGTTAATCGGTATATAGCATTCCTTTGATTGCTCGAACATTCTGAAAAAATGTTTTTTAAATTTTACAACCCTTAAGGAAAATGCTTACGAAACTTCCGTCCGAAATGAGACTTTTGACCTTCCTAATTGATCAAGTGCGGCAATGTACATTGGATATTGTTGAATGAGCGAATGATACATCGGAATCAGATTGTGAACGGCGCAGAGCAACACTGAAGCAACAGTCGAAGCCATAACTTCTTCTTTTCTAAAATATAATTGCTAGTTCGTATTCGAAAAATTATTTTTTTTACTCTGAAACAGCTTTTGTCAATGCATCCATCAAGTCTTGATGAGGTCGAACAAGTTCCCGTAAAGATCCAAACATTTCCTTTGGAATTCGACAATTAATAATATGGTTTTTAATTTTTTCGAAAAATGTTTCGGTGATTAACAAAAGGTCCCTTGTGAAGACAAGCTCTTTCCAATAAAACTCTTTGACGATGCTGCTCAATTCCGGTTTCGTTTTAGCGAAATCCTTCAAGTTTCCAGTTAATTTAATGAGAAATTTTGCACAAATACCTTTCGAGTAATGTAGTATTCATCGCTATTACTTGGCGAACTATAATTCTCAACATTATCTACATCAAGACAAGATTCAATGTCTTTATTAAAGCCAAGACTTCCAGAACTCGGGGATGACTTGAGCAAGCCATTGATGCTGTGCGATTTGGATCCTAAATATTGTAAAATTCATTCCAGAAATGTTTTATTATTAAGATCTACCAAGCCACACAGATTCCGCTAATGAAACACCACCGCTATCACTAGATTCAGCTCGCGTGAGTTCTGTGGTGTCAGTGGTGCTCCGAGACATTCGCGTTCGGCCCTTCTTTCTGCAGGAAACATAATATGCAACACACACGTCAAATAAATGGGAAGCTTCGAACTTTGATAACTGAATGATTGGCTCAGATGTGCAAATCGTCTCAGCGGAAAACGTCGAGTTGATGCCAACAATCACATCCTTCTTCTTGATTGGCGTCTGATAAATGGGCTCTGAAATTTGAGTAGTGGTCTCTGCCCCCCACACAAAAGATAACTGAGTATGGTGAACAATCTATACTAAACGTGAACAATGATTTTAGAGTTTATTTATTTCAACACAACAATAAATACAAGAGATCGAAATGGTTACAAACAAACAAAATAGTGAATATGGAGGGGACTTGGAGAGGAGTGCTCTAAACATATGAACTAAATATGCTCAAATACATTGTTAATCAAACTAATAATGTGCGGATTTTCAGAGTTTTCACGTCGCTTCTAGTTAACTCTAGTTTATTGTGTAGATATTGACCGTATGAAACACTTTATTTATATATTTATGAATATTTGTTCGATAAAAAATACGATAATAATAATAACGCATAAATCATATAATCAATAATGTGTAAAAACATAGTGAAGCCATGCATCGTGCATAGAAGTGATTTAAATGATATTTTTGGTTGGTTTGAGTTTAGAATAAAAAATGATATAAATCATAGTAGAAATAAGAAAACTAGAAGCGAAATGATAGAAAATCAGCTTGTATTGAGGGTTCGAAGAGGAACGGAAAAATAAAGCACAACGAAACACACACACACACACATTGAAACCCAGACTGATAACGAATTGCAATCAAAGGCACTTAACTTCATGGTTAGTAACCAAATTGAAATAAATTATTATAGTTATCATAAAACATTGAAAATCGAAACCCGCATGCAAATTATTATTCTCATAAACCATGAAATGTGCGAATCTCTTGCGATGCTTCACTTCCGTCTTTTGGCGAGTCATCGATAAATGGCGGCGAGTCATTAACGTCCGGATAGCTTATTGGTCGGCCAGCGCCCATCGCCTTCATTTCAGCAACCCTCACAGAAGCTGCCAATGATTTCGGTGGTGGCGGCGGTGGAATCGGTCGACCACTTGTTGGCGGTGTGACGCTCTTCTTCAAAACTTCGTCGGGCGGCGGTGGCATCGCGTCACTTTCTTCTGAATCTCTTCGCGATTTTTGAGAAATAAACGACGTTATGGATTGGGTGTGCGGTGTCGATTTGTCAAGTCGATCCATGTCCTCATGCAAACTTCTTGATTCAGACACACATTCGTCAAAGACGTCATCATTCAAGAGGCTGATGAATGGCGTCGATCCACCGGCTGTTGGCGAGCATGGCGATGGTGGCAGGTCGAAACGCACTGGTTGGGTTTGCCGTCTTGGATCCGTCCGTTTTCGCGACTTCAATGCTCCCGATTTTTCGTTCATCAAGCTCTTGCGCCGTAGTAGGTATTCCAACACATCACTGTCTGGTGTCGTAGGTGAAATAGTATGATCCTGAGCGCTGAAGTTACCAGGCGACGGTAATCGCTTTCTCGGAACGAGATCCAGCGATTTTCTTCTTTTGAATTCGGGACTTTTCGAAACTCTCTTCAATGAATTGGATTCATAATTCTTTTGTCGTAAAGGCACATCTTTAAATGTGGAATAAGGCAGACTTTGGGTACTTTCAACATTTCGCATCGTCAGTGTATATGGAATATCGCTGTTAAATAAATGGCACTTTTGAACATCGGGATTGTCTTCACTTTGAACCGAAATCAGTGCTGGCCTTGAAAGTGATGACGACTTCCAATCTTCAAATTCTAATGGGGCACGAGAGAAAGGCACGTCTTCAACCATGTGAACAAGCGGATGACTAGAAGCCCTCTCAGCACGAATTTCCTTGACAACATCGACATTGACAACATTTGTAGTGGTTTGGGATAACGGTTTTGGCGGCGGACTCGGCTTCGGTTTTCTTTCCTTCACACCTTCAGGTGTTATCACAATGTTATCCTTGCTGATCACCTTTCCAGGTAAAGGTCCAACTGCTCCATAGGTGACCGTGTTCGATTCAGGGGAAACACGTGGATGTGTGCTCTCAGTGGAGATAACCTTAGGCTTCATTAAAACCGCGCCTGAGCTTGTTAGAACTTTGGTAGTTGTGGAAACTGTTGTTGTACTTCGTCTAGCCGACAAATCAACATTGGGACCATCAATTTCAATTGGGACAATATTAGCAGTCTTAACGAAAGGGTACTCTTTAACATGGCGGAATGAAGCATAATCGGATGCATGTTTCAAATTATTGTCTTCATCATCGGTGCCACTTTTTGTTTGGGCAACCACTCGCTTGACAACCGTCGCTCCCGGTCGTCTCGACACAAATGTTGAATTGAAGACAGTGGTTGCTGCTTGCTTGGAGCCGACACCAACCTCGGAACGTGTGCTCCTCTCATGATCAGATAAACGGTATGAGTCTTCGCTGACATTATCATAGTCTCTACTGGGTCGACGCTCAAGGAAATTGTCGCCGGAAACAGATTTCGGCGGCTCTTTACTTTCTAGCGCAATCTCTTTACAAGCCAAATGCAAGTCCTCACTACGAACATTGGGAAGCGACACCGATAAATCTTGCGGTTCGGTTTTTGCATTAACAGGAACAACAGTTGAACAGTTGTGGTTGCGTGAAGCGCGCGGTTGGCGTTCTGCCGACGTTTCGACATCGGAAGTACACCGCTCGCCGCGCTTCAATTGTCGCGGTCTTAGCGGCGGCGCGCGTGGGCAATATGTTCCAACACGTGCGTCTAAAGTACCTGAGAACGTGGGATCGACTTGATGGGACGAAACGGATGAGAAATGTGCAATATGCGGCATCGATGAATGTGCATTGTTGTAGGAATCGTTGGAGCTTTGCGCAATTTGTGGATCATAAAGTGAGCCATTCCTTGCGGTTCGATCCGATATCGGTCCATATGTTGCAGCATAGCCAACAGTTTTTCTAGTTGATACTGCTGATCGTAAAGGCCTGAACATTTTCAGATTGGGAAGAATCGATTTCAGCTGATGTACCTTGTGAAGGGTTCCCTTCGTTTGTGATGTTCCCTAACATAATCAATCAATTGTTTCTGTGTCCTTCCATGATATCTAAAACATGAATTATAATTTTAATTTTTCAAAACGAATGAACCTAAATGAAGACCCCTTGCTGATAAAAAACTTGGCTTCTTTTTTCGGCTCTTCGGCTTGAACACATCGGAAGAATGCGTGATGCTCGACGCATTTCTTCCAAAAGTTCTTGCATTCATCCCTCGTATCAAATATGAATTCAACGGTCTCTTTGAGGTATTGCTAAACCATCAAAAAATTGTGCTAATTTGGGAAACGCGCAAAGCAGCTTACGTAGCTATCCGGATGAAGCTTGATTAATAGCTTTTTCCTTTTAAAGCTCAATTTTCGAATTCTTGCCCAGGAGAATGTCGTGTCAAGTTGTAATTGCCGGAAAACTCTCATTCCAAGGTGCATCACGGATAGCGCCGCCTCATTTCCATCAATATCCTAAAACAATTACAGTATTATTCGGGCCAATTTTTTTTTTTATGTCGAACAGCCTACTTTTGCTGGATGAAGCTTAACACCATAGAAGTCACATCTTCTTGCAACTTCAAGCATTGCCAAATCACTCTCCCCAGGTGTCATTCCGCTAAAATGGATGTTATTTTATTTTATTTTTGCTATTTCGTTAACAATTCTTGTTTATTGCGCCAATTTCGCAGTTTTTTTCCTCCTATTTCAATTCGTTGAAGCGGAATCGAGAGCCGACGGCATTGTAAACAATTTTTTTAATCTGGCTTACATGAAATTTTTGTGGTTATCCATGACTTTTTTTTGAAACTCCAAAGTCTGGTTGGGAATGAATCTGGTGTGCGATAAGTAGGTGGCATCTGGATAATCCTCAGGCGAGAAATCACCGCACTCCGACTAAACACACATTACTCTAATTAACAATTACATATAAGTTAGTGTACCTGCACTAAATAAGCCGATAACAAGGCGGCGGTGTTCTCACTGCAATGCAGTTCGCCAAGAGCAAGATCCCGTTTCAATTGCAACGTAAATAAATATCTGCAATAATTCATATGAAGCTCATTATTTATTAACCAATGCTACCTAGTGTACTCCTCCTCAAGGTCGATGGGGTTCGGCGTATAGAATTTGACGATGAAGTAGAATTTCGCGTCGACAGAACCGTTTGTGATCTGCCTTAATATGGATTTTTCGCGATCCAGCCAGCACTAGAAATAAATGATTATGATTGATGTGGGACTTGGAGAGCCAATTGATTACATGATTTCCGTTTCCGTCAATAAAAGAGAGCCCAAAATAATCACTTTCGAGTAGGTTTAAATGGCGGCAAACTTCGTCAATTAATGTTTGTCCCAGAGCTTTGTGCTGCAAAAGACAATTAAATTAACACGATGGAAGGCATTCGTTGAAGAATTTCAAAAATAAAAAGCTCGTCCAGCCCAGAATTCGCTGTCGATCTTCTTTTACATCCACACAAACTATGTTGAATTATTCCGAAGTTAAAGTTTCTTTACTTTTTTGAGTGACAATCTTAAGCATTTAAAATGAAGGCATGAGCTTCTTAAGACGAACAATTTTGAGCTCTGATCAGTTATGCGTAATTTATGCGTAAATAATAATATATATTCATAACTTACCCCAAGATGGAAAACAGCGACGGTGTCATCGAGCATTCGCACCTTGATGCACACCAGCCGTCCACGCTTTGCCGAATTCATTCCCGGGGGTGGTGGGGCACCCACTCCCCGTGGGATGTTGGTCATATCGGATCTGCAACAAGCATCTTATCAAATCTCGTACTAATCAAATCGCATAAAGTAAACATTAAAACGCAAATAATAACTGCAGGAAGTGGAAGGGGGTGTTTCAATGTCGTCGCAAAGATACATATGCACTCCTTCCCATTTTTTTAATGCTTCACGACATCGAAAAATACGAAGGCCGGAAAGATGGAGGAAATGATAATCGGAAGAGAGGTATCAAATGAATATCTCAATTTCTTGACGACGATTGGTGTAATTCGATATAGGCGCCCGTAACTCTAAGGTTTGGTGAGGAGGTGGGGTCGGGTCGTACAATGTGAGCACCGACTCGTAAATGGCATTCGAATAAGAAGCGAAACAAAAAAACTGCGAAGAGAGAACGGAACGAAGGAACGAACAAAAAAAAAATGTCGAAAACAGACATTATGGAGCACAAAAAAAAGTAGCCCTTGAGGAAGCGGCAGAACGAGAAGGAGGCGAACGAGAAGAAGAATGTCGGGGAGGGGAGGGTGGCCCGGGGGCTCTTTCACAAGCAAAGAGTGATACGAATTGCCTGGATCGCATTTCCTCCGTGATTTTGTGTGTCCGAGCGACAAGCAAAAACTGCGATGAGCGGAAGAGACATACACACACACACACACAATCGTTGGCGTGGCGGTCTGTGCCGATACCACTGATTTTTGTGATTTTGCTGAAGATGTGTAAATTGATGATGATTTTTTGTCGGTGGGAGATGTGTGGTGAGCCAATGTGTGTGCGTGTGTGCTTCGATAAAATTGACAGGGGGGAAAACGGATATCGCATTATCATTTTCATGACAAATTTGAAAATTTGTGCCACGCGCTGGAAATGATGTAATTCGATACAAGACCACCTCGTCCATTAAAAATGTCTTACAACTCACTGAACAAATCAAGTTTGCGTCATTAATAGGCTAAGGATGGTCCCTAAATAAATAAATGCGTTTAGTAAATTTATATTGCAAGATAAATCTATTTGTCATCCATTATCTACAAAAAAAAGAAAGAAATTTTCTAGTCGATTGTTTCATGGTTTAACTATTCTGCTCATTGTCATCATCTCTTTTCCACTCTTTTAAAGTCTTTCCGAAACACATGCTCGGGTTTTGTCTGGAAGAACAACCGATTTTATAAACAAGTGAAAGCAACGGATTCGAACTAAACAATTCGGACAATTGAACTCGAAAAAACCGCAAGACGATCGGACAACGACGACAATGAATAGAGTAGGATTTTGCGCGAAATAAAATAACACCCAATAATTAGGACCAATTAAAACATCGTTTTTATTTGCCACCGTTTGGCTGGCTTTCCGTCAAAAAGTCGTCGACCGCGTTTCTTCATCAAAATTTTTGCATTGTTTTGAATTTTCCATCAATCGTGCTACGGGCCAAGCATCTCAAGATTGACATTTCTAGTATAATAGATATGCCTCAAGGGAGCCATATTTTACCAAGTTGGATGGGCCCAAAAAAAATTTGCGACGTTTTCACCTTGCAACAAACAGAACAACAACAATATGACAAAACGGAATTGAAGTCGCCCGACGATTGATGTTTTACTTTACTTGAGGATTCGTTTTCTTTGTTGTTGTCGTTTAGTACATGGCTTCTGACAAGAAAGAAATAGAAAGCTGGCGGTGCACATCAACCCGAAAGAAAAACGACAAATTGCGCTTCAATTAGTGGAAACGTTTAGCAAGCTTTTGTTTCGGAATGAAAAAAAATCCCCGAAAGTTGCGTTAATCTTCACGCCGGAAACAATATGGAGACATATGCGTTACGGAAATGAAACTTCGAAACAAATCTGGTGAAGGCGCTGGTTTGAAGCGTGTGAAAGTAGGTGCGTTGATCACTAGAGGGGCCGTCTCGGAGGAGCAAATGTACGATTTTCATTGGTGTGTGTTGCTAGGCAATTTTGAAAATTCCAGATTTCGACAAATTGTCGGTTTTGTTGTTTATAAATAGAAAATGTTCTATTTACTACAGATAATTAGGCAAATTAAGTAGAAGCCAGATTGTTAAAAATATCTGAAAATATGAATAGCTGCTGACTTTTGAAAAATATAAGCGAATAGTTATTATAAATAAGAAATATAAACTTTTTCGCGAAATATGGGCACCTTGAGTATAATATCTTGTTTATAATTGTATGGGAATTTTTATGGGAACATTTATTGGTTAAAATAAAAGAATTTAGATTATTTCCTACGATTTTCCGGCTTCAAATTTTATTTCATCTTCTAGCGAATGATAAAGGTTTGCCGAAATTAACGGGCACGAAGATTGCAAAATAATAGGTAATAAACAAAAGTGCTCCGTGCGGCTCTTCAAAATCATCCAACTGTTGCAGGAAAATGTCAGCGCAACAGCTGACTGGCAATTTTCAAAAACAATACACCAATCTGCAGCTGTCGGAAAAAAATGGAGCAAAAATGAGAAATGGCACAAACCTTCCATAAGCGTAGTCGAGTCGAGCCATCACATGTCTTGATCTTCTTCACTATCGCCCCGCTGAAATTACACAAATGAAGAAGTATTGGGTAAAGATGATGAAAAAGGACAAAAAAAAACGCAACGCTTAATTGTTCCCTCAGGGAACTTTAGAAGAGCTCATTGAATTGAAGTGGGGCTGAGGGGGGAAGATGGAGAAAGAGTCGAATGAAAAGTATTAGATATTTTCGCACGAAACTAAATATGAGGTTCAATAATGGGATGACTTGGCATCCCATTTCGTACAAAACGGCACACAAATAAAATTATGGCAGCAAAATTTCAAGCGGCAAAATCATAAATTACGGAACACTCATCGGCAATGGGCACGTTGAAAAATAGAAAAGCATCCAACAAATAAATTATTGTTGGTTGTGCCGCTCGAGATGAGAAACAGCCAAAAAAAAGTGTGGTCCAATTGGTAGTGGACACGACCAGCAAAGAAGAAGAAAAAAACGGGCTGGGGGGACTCCTTTGCACCAGCGCCCCCCCCCCTTCCTCCTCCGACAACAACACTAAAGTAAAGCTTATAGGGCCATGAAATCGAAAATGGACAACGGGCGAAAACGAAGGCTCTTTTCCCTCCTTTTTGCACTTATTTTCTTTCTTCGTCCGTCGTCGTCTTCTTCGTCTTCATCGCCTGTCGAGTCGCTTCACCCGAAAAAATGTCGTCGTCGCCCAATTGCATAAAGTTCTTTTTTTGGGTCGACTCCGACGCTCTTGTAATAGGCTGGACATTGGAAAAAGAACAAAATTGTTTTTTTTTTTTCAATTCAACATCCTAATGAGCGGCGAAACAATTCGAGGTTTTCTCACGCTAACATTATCCGCGTGGGCTCGCAATTTTTGCCGAACCGCTCTATTTTGTTTGACTTGGTATGTATGCATTTTGAAGAAGAAACAGGAATCGGATATTCGTTAATGAGAAATTTTAAAGAACCGATGGTTCGTTGAATCGACTTTTTCTATTTTCTCGCTTATCGAGATAGACCAATTTTGTCTGCAAGACGACATACTTGCACTTTAAGATGCAATTTTCCGAATGCGCACGTTTGTGACAACATCTGAAACGTTTAAATGACTTATGCGCATTCCTTATAAAAAATGTTAATGAAATGTTGAGCAATGGCAGGGAATGATCCTGTTTATAATATATATATATATATATATATATATATATATATATATATATATATATATATATATATATATATATATCTTGCTATATATATATATATATATATATATATATATATATATTAGCCGAGCTCTCCGCTACCTCACTTTATATACGCGAACACACTGAATGCGTCCCGCTCAACCAATTGAAACCGCTATCGCCGAACAAATTGCACGTTTTTTTTAATAGTTGCGGCGAATAAATTGACAAATAGCGCGTCCCACAACCACCGTTGAATTGAAAGAGTTCGAGAAGCACGAAAATCGTACAATTATCGATAGATTGAACATCGTACGAAAGCTAACAGAAAAAAAAACGTTTTTTCGTTAGATGGGAAACCGAAAGCTGCAAAGAATGCATTCAAGAAGATACAATGATTCAATTATCCTACGAAATGCAAATTTTGACAGAAACCAAATTAGGTATACGAAAGAGGCGAGTAGAGCGAGGATGCAAAATCGGATAAACTAATTTGGGCGGCACTCATGAACTATTCAATTATATTTTCTATATTAGTAAGACGTTCTCGCCCTCATAAAGCGGTTCGAAGAAGGCTCTTCAAAGTTTTTATGAGCACTTGAGCATTGCGTGAAGCTTGACGAATGAAAAAAAAATTGAATGCAACAAAAGAAAATAGGTTTTAAACACAATGTTGGCGAATTCAATATGAAAGTCGCCAGGACTAAAGGAAAAGAATGAGTTGGGTCTCGACAGCGTTTTATTATCTAATAAATTCAAAAATTATGATGTGAAACGACTGATGATGTGAAATATACGCAAATTCAAACTCTGTTTGATATCGCTGACTGGATAAACCTTCGAGGATGTCATGTTAGCACACCTAATTGTCTTACAGTTTTTTCAGCGTCTATTCAGAGAATACAAACGTCGTTTAACCCTATTTCACAGATTGATCGTTTTAAATAAAAATTTGAAATATTTTTTTTCAATAATTTAATTTTTTTATTTTTTAAAGAAAACTCTTAAAAATAGAGTCAACCGCATTTCAATTTCTTCACATAATAGTAATATGTTCGAAATTTTCCATCATGATTATAAAATATAAAACAGGGGATCAGCAATAAAATGAGTCGAACGATATGCAATCGGATCGAAAATTTCTTTAAAAAACATTTTTGGTGCATTTTCGGCGAATTCTTCTTGGATAGCAGCAATTTAACATGCCAAATGGTATAATATTTTACTTAGCACATTTATTGTATACTTTTTGAAATATGAATGATTTTTATTATTTCAAAATGCGATATTCAAATTTGACAAAAAGTGTTTGTCAATGAAACGATTTTAATCCCATTCGTTTTCTTTTTCTGGCCTTGAAGGTGACGACCGATTTTTAACAATTCTATGGTTCCAACATGCGTGTTTAATAATATATTCTTCAGTTTTTTCTTCAAATTTGAACCAAATTTAAATTTTTATACGAAAAAATACGCTAGTCATCATTCCAGGATTTTCAATTACTTAAAATGGTATTTATGCCATCAACAATAGAAGATCTACGGTTTTCTAGTGTAATTAAAAATCAGCTATTGTCGAGGATAGACAAATTTAATGAGCTGAAATGGTTTGCCATTTCTCACCTTCCTACAAAATGAACAATTTTTTGCCAGTGCCACTGATTTATGTTTCTATCATTTCGTATAACTTAAAAAAATAGTGAAACGATTGAACCATTATAATTTGAATAATAAGCAACACCAAAAAATCCATATGTTACCCCTATTACAAGCTTTATTAAAAATGTAGGACATTTGCATTTTTCACTGCAATCGATTGTCGCATTCACAAAAATGCTTATCAGTATTCGGTCGAGTTCTCAGTGATTTTATCGATGCGATGTTACACATTCACACAACTAGGAGAATTTTTTGAAGAAGATGGCTGTCATGGCTTATGTCTATCACGCAGCTGTTGCGAAAAAAACCGGATTTGCAAGAATGAGTGCAAGTATTCAATTTGGAGAACATTCTTCGTGAAATAATGCCCCATTCGATTGTCACGTTTTGACAAGTCCGATAAATTGAAAGCAATGATAAGGGGAACACATTTTTGTAGAAAATAATTGATATTCCAATTGTGATTGTTTGCCTAATATTGTGCTACAAATTTCATGGAATATTTAACATTTTGAATATTTATATTTTATTATTGATGACTGATTTAAATTTGCGCTTGAAATAGGCAAAATCAGCGTATAAGACGTGTCAACAAAGCGCGGCAAGCGCGCCCTATCGCTCAACCGCATCACTTCTCTTTTCAAACAGATATCTTATGTCATCCTAAAATGTCAGCTAAATAACCACTTTTTTTTAATTCCTTCGAAATTTTATCATTTTAATTTTTGTATCATTTTAAGCCAATAAGTGATTTTTATATTTAACCAATTGCTCTTTTGAATCAGAAAATTATGCATTAAAATCAGACGTTTAGAATTATTAAAGAATTTTCAAAAAAATTTCAAATTATATTTCTTTGAAACCTTCCAGCTGATATTTAATGTTGATTTCCTAACTTCGATATTGAAATTTTTAAAAATGCAACTAGATGTCGTCAAACGAATTCCTGCAGATTGAACGTCATCCATCGATCTAATATGCTTTAAGTGTTTGTCATATTTGTATAATATAGATATCATACTTCAGGTAATCGCATTTTGAGCCAAAAACCATCAGAAATGGCGTCAACTACTCCAGATGACTTGACCAACGTCGATTCAGTAAAGGTAATTTTAATTTTTTCCGCAAGTTCTAATTTACTTCTAAATATTTAGGATGACTCGAAGGTTGAGAGTTCGGCGGATTCTGGCGCGACAAAACGCTCAATAAGCGCAGCCGAAAATGAGCTTGACGATGAGTTGGCACCGCCGAGCAAGAAGAACCGGGTAATTATATCGAATTCTATCAAATGTTTGAAAATTTTTTAAAGGATGTGACCAAAGCTGAAAAAGAAGACGACGATAAAGAAGATGATGAGGAAGAAGATGTTGAGGAGGAAGAGGAAGATGAGACTCCTATCCCGCGACAAAAGAGAAAACAGCCTGAAGACGACGACGATGAGGAGGAGGATGATGATGATTCGGAGCCCGACGATGATTCTGAAAAAGATGATGAGTCAGAAGACGAGGCGGAAGAAGAGGAGCCAGCTGCTGAGGGACAAAATGATGATGACGAGGAGGACGAAGATGAGGAGGTCGAAGAGGAAGATGAGGAGGACAATGAGGAAGAGGAGGTAGAAATTCCCAATAATATCTGTAAATGTGAACATCAATTATTCAGGCGACGGCGGAGGCGTCCAACGATAACTGAAATAGATGCTGATTTTTCTTCGGTTCCAATTTACCGATCTCTTTTCTTTTTGTGTTGATTTCTATAATAGTTTTTGAATGAATTTTGTCCAATTCGAAAAATACATATTAATTATCAGTCAACTGTACAAATCATTTGCCTGTATTTTTGTTTTTTTTTTTTAGCTTGTCAAGTTTCCTTGAAACTAATCGTTTTTTTGCGTAATATGGAGGTATTCTGCCTAGGGCCAAACCAAAAATTTTGAAAATTTAAAAGTTTCCGCTGAAGCAAATTCATTAAATATATAAAGTCAGCGTCCGGCGACTGCTGTAGATTTACACGCATGCGCCTTGAACGTGTGAACGCTTATTTTGCTGTTTTTTTTTCATGAACGATTTATTTTTTCTTGTTGAGTTCGACATTTTTTGGAATTTCTAACGTCGTTCGATTTGAAAATTATCGAGCCGATCCATTAAATGAAAAAAAAAACCAGTTTGTCCGCGCGAGACCCAAAGAAAAACGCGTCCCCGTATATCTACCCGCGTACAGCAGTCGCCGGACGCCTAGTATATTTATGTGGCTGATAAAATTCTAAATTTGGACTTTAAATATTTTTTTTCTTCTAGAAATCTGAAAATATGTAGAACTTGGAAATATAGTAGGTTAATTTCATTAACTATCACTCGAAGAAAACCGTTCTATGATATAAAATTGTGGTTATCCACTGTAATGATATCACGATAAAATTGGTATATGTGGTCATTTCTTAAAAATGAAATACTGAAACTATAAGTGTACATAATATTTTAAAGAACTAGTTTATATCCAACAGTAAGCTGGATTAAAAAGCAATTTTCCCACTATTTTCTATGTTAGAGCATTTATTCAATATCATAGAATGCAATAAATAACTACCCTGAAGAATTGGTGAAAGACGTTCAATCACCGAGTTCATCTACAAAATGCTATTACAACATATATGCAATTATGCTTTGATTTTCACAAGTGACTTATGCGAAGACTAGACAATGACAACATCACTAATAATGCACCCATAATACTGTACAAAATCGAATAAATTAAATCAAAATTTTGTTGTCACACTGAATGCAATCGGTGTGGCGAACATTTCCTCTGGTAATAATGGGTTTTGCCCAGGCGCCGGCGTGATTTGTGGACGAACCCGAAATGAGCCTTCCACGAGAAAAATGAGCTCGAAGTCGACGCTATATTTTTGAATGTCTTCATTTTTCTGAATACATCCTAATCTTGAATGACTACTTATGATTAAGCTACCTCTACAAGAAATGGTGTCTTCTTCGCTCCCGCAAGAATGATGTAGTGGGAAGCATTGCTTGATCCTAATTGGTGCGAAATTTCCTGCTCACAGTCTAACGACAAAATTCCTTTAAACGGATCTATAATATTATTTTTAGTAATAAAAAATCGGAAATCGACTCAAAACCTGGTTGCGATGATATTATCAAAACCTTCACGGTCACGGCTTGCCCAATTCCAACTGAGATGTCATCCTCACTCATATACGGATTGCCGTTGATTATGAAATCTAAACTAATAGCCGGAAGAACGAGCTGTTTCAATAATGACACCGAAGATAGCAATGACCCTATTGGAACATGTCCCTCAAGCTGAAGAAAGAAATCACCGTCTATTTGTTTCGATATTCAAAATGTACCTTTAAAGTTGGAATTGACCATCTAATATCAAAATGGCGTGCGACGTGACGCTCAAGAATTTGCCGCAATCGCTCGGTTTCAATTTTCTGCATCATCGAGCTGCCCTTTTGTTGTGCTTGATAGAAAGCACCACAAGCAATATCCGAACAACATGGGCACAGTATCGGAACTCTACAACAGCTTTGACCAACATATGAAATTATTTAGGACGACCCATTCAAACCTGCAGGTCTCTTTTGGAAGAACGTTCATCCTACGATTACCGCTGTACACTAACTCGGCATCATGGTCAGTGCTATTCGTGACATCGACGACAATATATCTAAATTTTCAAATAAAAAATAAATGGTTGTCACATTGAATCACTCACCTTGAAAAGGGCGTGTCTCCTGGAAGAACATGCCATGCGGACACAGTAACCGCTGGAATGATGGCCACCGCAATCGGCAATGTTCTTTTTCTTTCGTATACTTCATGCCCAACATTTTCAATGTCGGAATGATAGCGAACCGCAAATTCGCACGTTAACAATCGTCCCGTATACGGAATAGTATCCATATCAGTCGGCTCGAGGTCCGGATTCGGAATCGCCTGCGTTGATGCCAAGGGAACGACACTTTCGAGAACCTTCTCATTATCGCTCAAATCGTGCGCCGTCGCGGTTGGATCGATTCCAAAAATGTGGAACTTCACAATGCGCGACTCGCGGGGCGCGAGTGGAAAACAGATGTTGTCCTGGGATTCGTCATTTTTTATAAACAAATTCGAATCGAGGTCAACACTGTCAAGACTAATTAGCGGAGGACCTCCTTGCACCAATGGCTGCTCGAATCGAATCTCGCAAAATTTCACTGGAATGTCACTGTCGTTGTAAATGGTAATGGTATGGTCAATTCTGAAAAAAATAGCAAATCATGAGAAAGAAGAATTAGCTAATACCTTTGACCTGAGAATACTCGAGCTTCTGCTGAAGGCTCGTCATCATTCTCTCCGATCGGCGCTCTGGGAAGTGTGCTTTCCATTCTAACTTCAGCGAGTTTTGGAAGAACCCTCACTCGAATTCGATTTGGTTTTTGATTTGATGATTGAAACTTGCAAATGTTGATGAGACCAAACACATTGCAAGAATAGCCAGTTATGAACAAATCTCCTTCCTCTCTAGAATGTTATGTTATTCATATTACAAAATATTTGAAATATATACCTTGGATATCCTAATAATCTAATAACTGCACCATCATGATCATTGTTTGGATCGGATGGTGGAAGAATGAGTCTAGCTTGAACCGGCTCGAATCGGACACCATCCGCCAGCAAGCACAAATCGCGCATCACTAATTCTTTTGCGCACAAGTTTCTCACAATAACTTCAACTTCACATGGGCAATCAGCTACCCAGAGTAGAGCTGAAATTGTCTCTTTTATAAGTTGACTTTCAAATTTTACTTACTATCACTCTTATCAGAGAATCTAGGTGTATAAATGAAAATCGACGATTGCGAATGACTGACAATTTTTGGCGCGAAATGCGTTGGAAGAGAGACCACCTTCGGATTTCTAGAAATCCATTATTATATAAACAATCGAGAATACCAAACTCACTGAATAATTGGGAACCGCGTAAGTTGCAAAGGAGGTATGAGGATTTTTCCATCTTCAATTGATAATGAATGATTGAGGTGGTGAACAGTAGGACTTTGCTTCACTAGGTTGTCAAGATCATCGAATAGTCGTGTAGCCATTGTTGGCTCGAGGTAAGGAAAGTAGACCTAAAAAAATATGAAATAAAAATAAACTTCAAAATGTGAAAAAAAACGGGTTTAGCATAATCTCACCTGTAAGAGAAAGCAAAGATGTCTGATTGCGGCATCTCGATGCCCCGCACGATTTGCCGCCGTGAAAATTTCATGGAGACATTTGATTTGGAGTTTTTCAGGTCCAAGCTTTTTGTCGTGAAGGTCATGCATAGAACCTAAACTGATTCCATACCCATCAAGTGTTCTATAACAAAAACATGATTATAATAAATTTTTTCACAAGAAAAAATTTGTACTTGAATAGCACCGGATAGACATTCTTATAATCGGTCGCTGTTCTTTGTCGGCCATCAGTTATATGAAGTTCAAATAAAACGCTGAGCCTTGCGTAGAACGCTTGTTTGCGCAAGAACCCGATCTGTAGCAATTATTAAAAGTTTTAATAATACTAGTAGGGTTGATTAACCTCTTTGTACATTGTTGCCGAGTTCAGGCAAATTTGAGCCTTCATATGATGGTCCATAAACGTGTTCAAATCATCGAGGTATTTACCCGTATAATCTCTATGAAATTGCTGAAAAAAATCACCCATTCTTCTTAAAACTTTGCTAAAATTACCTCTAATGCGATATAATCTCTTTCTAATATTAAATAAACTATTGCCCGCATCACTGTTTCATATTCAAGCCAACCCGCAAATGTGAACTTTGAATATTCTTCAACCGCGTTTTTGAATGTCCCTATGATTTCTTCTTTGGTTTTCTTCTCGCGCGATCTATGAGTTCCAATTATTTTCAATGTTTCCGATTAGATTTTGATCTCACTTTTCTCCTAATAGACTAGCAATTGGGTTCAGCACCTTCTTTGGTTTTGGCACCTCATCTTTCAATGATGGACTTGAGCCATTGCTCACTATTCCGCTTTCATTTCCAAACGATTCATTGTGAGTCCCATTTGAAAGCGATGAGCCCGTTCTCACGTGCTCATCGGAGTGATGGCGTTTATGACCGTTGGGCGACCTGCAAGTGTTTATAGAATCATTTCTTTTTGACCGATTGGTTTACACACGTTGCTGTGTTGTCATTCGACACACATAAACTATCGGCACCACGAGACTGCAAAACGTGACACGATTCAACGGCTGGAATATTGAACATCGAATGCATGCTGGCAACTCTTTGGAATGCTCCAAAATTCATTTCGCCGAGTTGCTCAGCGTGCATTATGCACACACTTGACGCCCACCCATCATAAGCAGCTGAAAAATGCTAATATACCGAGAAAAACAAGTACCATCAAGTGATACCTGCTAGCCATAAATGGTCTTGAGCCGCTTTCAGATTCTCTATAGCAGCATCATAAGCTTCCACCGCTAGTTGAGGAAGGCCAGTGAGAAGGCAGAAATCAGCATGCTGCTTCCTACAACGTCCAAGACACTTTTTCCTGGAAAATGATGAGAATTGAAAATTTTTCGGAATCAAGCTTGTCTTACTTGTATGTCTTACTGGCCTTGTTCTCAACACCAACCTGCCATCGAGACTCATTTGGAAGCGAGGGGCAATGCACTGATTGCTGTAAGACTTAGGTTTAGAAATTTTGTAGCGATGTGAAGAAACACAAATCGAAAAAAATTAAATAATCCAATTGCCCCTAGAAAATCAATTTTTTCATAGAGTCATTGAAAATTTTCAGAGTCTCATGACATAATCCAACAAAAACATTTCGCCTAAATTTCCTCATTTCACTAAAACGATACCATTGTCGATTTTCGTATTTTATTATCTAGCGCGCTCATCTCAAAACAAATCAGATCTTGGGTACAAAACGGATGCAAAAAAATACCGATTCTATTACAAACATCAAAACTGATGGTTTCCCATAATCCAAATGATAATCGCTTACGTTTCTCTCAAACGCAACATCGACTCTTTTCATTTCAATCACAATGTATATCGCATTCATCAAATCGCGAATCGCCTTCTCCAATTCAATCGCTTCATCCATACTTGGATAGCAAATTCTCTCTTGATGTTTTATCCCGCCATAATCGTCCTGATTTGCGCCAATGATAATGCAACGTGAATCAAAAATGCTCGAATATTGTTGTTTGAGCTTCTCATAGGATCTTGTGATTTCTTCTTCCTCGGTTTGAGCCGAGTCAACCGATTCTCGCGATGACTTCAGATTGGTTGGCTGTTGAACCGACTTGACAAAATCGGCGGTGAACGCCACACCAACGACAGCATAAACGCGACGATGGAGCTGAAATATAATCAAGAATAAATTACCTGCAATACAAGGAACAATAACTACCTGAAGTTCGCTGAATTCTGTGCAATTTGTCGCCGAGACGAATGAACATCGAAAAACTCTACGCGGGTTATCGGAAACTGAAATCAATTTCATTTTTCCTTCGTCTCAAAACCAAATCGTTTCCGATTTTTACCTTGTATAACATTCGTCCTCGAACACCGCTCAACAATCCGTTTGAACGTGGGAATTGATTTATTCGGCCCGATCTATAATCCGCCTTTCATATTAATCGATCAAATCATTAGCAAACCTGTTTGATAATAATATTCACTGTTTGTACATCCTTCAAAAAATCATAAGCGCTATTAGACATCTGAAAACAAAAACAGAAATAGGTAAAACCAAAATTTAAAAAAAAAAGGACAATAATGGCAAACGAGAGATGCGGAATCACATAAAACCACCAAATAAACGTTGGTGCTCGCCAGTCGGTGTTTGCAGGCGTTGCATCAGATACGACGCGCACGCTTTGTCGCGTTTGTTGCGCGCGCGAGCGCGGCAGGTTGTTCGATTACAAACATGTTTTCCATGGTTAATTAACTCGTCGAATTGAATCGATTGTGAAATATTTAATTGTGATGGTTTCGTTCAACCCAAAATACAACCAAATAAGCACAATTGTTGGTCGAATTATTTATAAATTAAGTTAACATGACATTTAATGTACCGCCACTAAGCGGCTTGTGCGCAATTGTCTGTGTCAGTGTTGGACGCTGATCGAACAACGTCGGCGCATTGTAGAGGAACCAAATATTGGCGACCATATTAATAACAATGTAAATGATTAGAAATATCCTATCGATGACTAACGACATTAATTGCCACTCATCAGTGATCTATAAGAATTAAGAAGTAGGATCCAACATATAAATTAAAAATAGCTTACTTTGCTTTCCATTTTAATATTATGAAAATGCGCAGAAATAACCCGCAGGTGACCTGAAATTTTGCGAAACAAATCCACGTTGTCCGCGGCGCATCGTTGCTTTAAAGCCTCGTCTAATTGAACTAAACTAAGCAATCGCATACGCTGCGGTGGGAGAATTGGTGAGCTATTGGTTGCCGAGTTTTTATGAGCCGCTGACACCGAGCCTAAATATGGAGCAATTGATAAAATCATTTTCTGATGAATATCAACTTGTTCTTTGTGTTGTTGTTTCGCTTTCATTCTCGTCGTCCTCGAGTGCTTTCAAACGAAGAAGTTTGGGTAGCCTTTGAACAAACAACCATCGCTGCCAGTTTGACATTTCCGACGAAAATGCTTGTCTAGAATAAAAACCGCAAGAGTTATTCAAGAAAAAAGAAAGAAACGAATTAAGCGTACTTTCTATACATATTAATAGTAACAACGGATAATATAATTGAAACTGAAACCATAAGTAATGTGAATAATAAGTATACACCTGAAAATGTTGGTATTTTAGTTTCTCCAATTTGAAATATTACCGATAAGTGACATGGAAATAGATGTTGGTGGGAGAAGCTCGATAAGAATCAAATAGAATACAGAGAATGCGACCAGCACGGATATCGAATATGTCATTTTGTGCTCGTTTGGAAGAATTAGAAAGACGAAAGGTGTAAGATTCGCTGAAATTTTCTCTATGTGATCTACGGTTGTTACCTAGAAGGTTACCGATTAACATGCAAGGAATGGTTAAGGTATATGTAAAAAAGATAGCTTTTCTTCGGATTGTTATGTGATACCTAAAATATAAGAAAAATCCTGAAAATTGTTTAAGAAAAAAAATGACTTGATGTCAATGTAATATTGCTGTCCGCAGCAGCCTGGATAAACTTGTGCGTATCTAGCAGATGTTGTGCTAAGCAAATCCCATTCAGCACTTCTAAAAATTTGATATTCAGATCAATCTTGTCGAAATGTTCTTACTCATGGTAGAAGCTCAATCCGAGCCCCTTCTCCAAAAAGAGATACTCTTGTCCGTCCTCTTCAACCTCAGTTCGAGGAACATCATTGGCATCAACCGGAATTTGGAAAAGCTCAACTTTCTCTCCGTCGTTTGTCCATCCTCCGAACTTCATCATACACTGCTGATAGTCATAGGGAAAGTACTTGATGTCAATGGGGCAAAAGCTTTTATAAATTGAAGGCGGCTGCCAAATCACCCTTCCGTCGGAGTAAACTTTAACAAAAGTTGTGATTGTGATATGCGGCTCACCATCAGCACTGTAATATGGTTTTTGGACAAAATCGTGGCGGGATTCAAATTAAAATTTTTTGAGCACGCGCACCCAAAAATAAAAAAAGCAAAACATTTTACTCACTTATTGTAAAGCACAATATCAGGTACCCAAATCTGATCTGATGGTATATAAATCGAATCGACACCTCCCCAATCTTTTGGTTTCCAAACCAGTTTTTTGTCCCGCCATTGCTAAAAATATCAAAAAATGAATAATACATATCATAATTAAATTTACCATTTCCAGCCAAAGACTCGTTGTTAATACCTGATTCACCTCGTCCTGCAAAATGTTCGAAGATATGATTTGAATGGAAATGTTTTACTATGTACCACATCTATAAGCCTACATAGATTAGCGCCAAAATAAACTTTAAGAGCATCTGAAGCGTTGTGAACTGGCCTCACACTTCTATTATAATCGGTTAATAAGGATTCCAGTAGCTGTGAGACATGCTTATTGCCCTTTGTTGTGAATATTTCTGGAAACATTCAACTTGTTTTTTTTTCAAAATTTTACGAGGGGCTCGCATACTTGTAAATAATAAAACTATAAGATAGAAGCAACTAATTCGTTGAGGTATCCACATCAACCTGAAAAAATCACGAATTACGTTTTTTTTAAACCAAGAAATCCCGAAAAAATGGGTATCAATTTGTATTACATTGATGAGAACAAGGCCAGCGAGTAGCCGGCAATCAAAAAACAAAATGAATTGCTATGAGCCAAATAACACCTGTTGGAGATTTTACGGGTCTCGCTCATGTTAACAGGTACCCGATTTTTTGGAGGGTTTTGGACAAAAAAAAAACATTTTTTTCGAGAATCGAAACGTTCATTGGGTTTATGTTATCTGACAACAGCTGCGGCTGCAATTTTATACAATTATGTGGTTTTTTATATCGAATCCAATGAGATCGAATTGGTTTTTCTCGCCAACTTGCAGAAATAAACAACTTTCTAGTGCACAGAGTGAATTTTTCGCTCAATTTTTTAATCGCCAGCGGGTCAATTTTTGCAGATTTCAAGCGTGTGCTTGCAAAATTGAATTTGTGCAAAAAGAAGATCAATTTTCTCACTGATCAAAACTGCTTCCTTTTTCAATGAAAAGTTTCTCGATTTGAATGGCAAGTAAGATAATCAAATATGGGAAACGAGAAAACAAAATTTATCAGAATTAGTTTATTCTGCCAAAAATTACAATATTTTAAGCAAATTTTTAATTTTTCGAAGAATTGTTTTTTTTTTCAAAGTAACACCAAAAGGAAGTTTTCGAAATCATTGGAAAAACTGTTATCATCACATCCTATTCGTGAAAATGTGGACATTTTTAGAGGAACAATTTTACTATGTGTGTTTTCCATTGTAAAAAAAATACAAACTAATTTTTAATGGGAATTAGTTGATCAGATATTGAGCTCACAATTATTTACACCAAGGCTCTGGGGATTTTTTAATGCGAATGTTATATAAATCTGTATACAATATGGAGTAAATTTAAAACAACAAGAATATAAATGTAAGCATTTACATATTATAAACATTCAACCTAAATTTCTGAAAAAGTAATCAGTGTAGAGGAATTAAAATATTCTGTGTTATACAAAGCGCAAAGAAAAAGGATAACCTACTATCGGCGGCATTTGTTTGCAAATTTTCTCATGTTTTAACATCTTTTTAATGTTATCCTAGTCGCGTTTTAGTCAATCATTTCACGACACATGAACGATATCATATTCACAGAAGCATGACAAATAATTAAAGCAACATGATGAAAAGCAATCAATTACTCAAAAGAGCAAGTCGAGCCGAAAAATTATGAAGATGAGGAGTTGGACAGGTGGCCGCGTCGGCCGCGTTCGCATTGGCTACTGGATATATTTTCTCTGGGAATTGACTTCTCGAGGGGTCTGTCAACGCTCTCATTCAACTGTTACACATGTCGTCTTGATGGGCACCACAATGTATGTTCGGTAGCGGCACGTCAATGTTATCTTCGTAAAAAATATTTTTTTCTCACCAACGCTGTTCAGGTCATTCGAGTTTCAACTTTTAGCCGTCACAAAAAAAAAGAAGAAATCAACGAAACGAAAAGACATGAACGAAACTATTCCGAATTGTAAGAAAGGAAAAAATTGGCTGAAGAATTCATGAGATTAGTCATAAGCTTGCGTTTTTTTGAAAAGGTCAGCTGATGAAGCTTCACCAAACACAAAAAAGTTTGAAATCAAGATTTATTAGTCTACAATATTGGCATCAAAACAATTTGTTAGTAAATTTTCATTGATTTGAATTTTTGCGTTGCAAATCGACTTTGAAATGAATTCAAACATCAAATCGCAAATTATTTTTTTTCCGCGGAAAAATGATTATTGAAATGTAGGAAGATGCCTGAGCTAATATAACTAGTACAAAACGGAATCTGGAGCGTGGGTCAACAATAAAATGTCCAGGCAATTGGGAGACGATGATAATTGGATTTAGACTTTTTGTCTCCAAATTTCGGGCGTCTGCAAACCAACGACATGTATTCGCAGTAGAAATAAGTTAACACCGTTTATTTTTTTTTGTTTTTGATTTTTTTTTCTTGCATTGCATTTTTTGTCCATTTGACAACAAAAATGATCAAATTCGGTTTCAAATCACAGGTGACTTTAGTTAATCATGGTGGGAGACATTGAAGCGATGGAACAATGAAATTCGGAATGAAAAATGATATCAGCATGTTTTCTTTTGCTCAACACTCGGCGGTAGCGATGGTGGCGGCTCAACGATTTTACACACGTTTCTAGGATGAAGATCAGTTTCGTAAAACGATCTGATGAAGTCGACAACTGCCAATGACATTGCTGAATAGGTCTTGGAGAGAATTGGAATGAGAATGCATTGGTGGCCGACGGCGATGACACGGTAGGCGCGAGACTGGAACGGATCCGAGACGGCTGGACACATTATATTGTTCAGATTCACGCGCGTCATCTGAAGTCACAACATCGAGCGAAATTTTCAAAATGTGATCAAACCATTGCTCCGCATTGAAGAACCACAAAGTGGTACAACGAGAAAACGGAAACGCCGAAAACGGTCCAAGCAAAATCGTGCGATTTTTCCGGCTCGAACGATCCTTGTATGTACATTAGATAAACCGGCACGATGAGAATAGCGATGTGTTGCGCGTAGTAGATGAAAACTTCTCCAGGAAGCTGAAAATTGATTTTTCTTACAATTTCCGTCTGCTGTTATAATCTTCAAAATTTTATGTAACTTCAATTTCTATGAAACACTAGGTATTCAGTATCACATAATCAGGTTCAATGAAAAAAAATTGTTCAACCTGATGATTAATTATTCTACTACTATCATATCATTAGTCAATCGAAATCTCATATGAATTTTAATGTTTTGCGTCGTTTGCTCAATTTTTTCTATTGGACACGATTGCATAAGGATAATATAGTTTTATAATTTTGTTTAAAAAATTTTTCCGCGTTTTTTTTTTCATAATTCTACTATTTTCAAAAAGCAAAGTCTCAATTTCTTATCATTTCTGGATTATCTGCACCTGTCAATCATAAGCTTTTCGCTTATTTCAGTTTATCAGTGAAATGACCGCATAACAAACTACATATACTATCGAATTATGATAAGATTGAGTGAAAATTGAACAATTTATTCCCTACAGGTTTCCCATACGCTGGCCGCGTTTTTTCCCTCTAAATTTGTTGTTCCTTCTCTGTTTGAATAACAAAAACACACATAAACATGTTTGCCAATTTCATGAAAAAAAAAGAAGGCATGTAATCCTCGTTCTACTCACATTTCTCGTGTTGAGAATCGGAAACGCCAAGGCGAACCAAGCACCGGGCATGAAATAAAGCATCAAGCGAAACAAGAAACAAGCAAATTTCGATTTTCCTTCCATTGTGAGCAGTATCAATTGCATTGTGGTTGTTACATGGCAAGGGTTTAGCAAAAAGACGCCGGTACTGAAATACCGAAATTTGGCCGATGATTCGCGTGCCTCAACTAACCTGGATATCATTTTATAGGCAAGCTCAGCCCCAAATATTAAACTGTACGCGAGAAGAATAGTGTATCTTGAAATGGTTTTTGGAGGGAATCGAAATGAACAATCAAGGGGCAGAGAGATGTATGCAGAGTACAATGACAGTGGAATGAAGATGACAGATTCCAAAAATCGTTGCCAACCCGGAAGATACTGCAATTTGAGACAATTAATCTATGGTTCAAAAAGTTTCTGAAACTATTGAAAAAAATGTTTTAATTTGATTAAAACTAGAAAACCTCTGAACTAATTAAAATTTCTCAGGTGACTACATTCCTTTAGCCAAAAAAAAAGACATTACATTCATGCATTCTTCTCCGCCATTTCCTTGAATTGAACTGTCAATGCCACCAATGGCAAGCTCACGAATCACACCCAACATTACCGACGCCTCATTCTGTAATAAGGAAATGAAATCGAAATGCATGGAGAAAAAAAATATATATATAAGTTAAACACCGTGTCAAGGCTAGAAAACGGCATAGAATGTTTGTTATTTTTAATTCTGTTCTCCTCGACCGAACGGAACTTGTTTTATGTCAAAGTAATTGTCATTGAATGCAATTCAACAGAGCGATACAACAATTAATGAAATAGGAAGAGGAGAAGCAATATTCAAACTCTTGCAATTACATATCAACCCATGGGAAATGATATTGTTTTTAAAAAAAAATTCATGCAAAAACTCACCGGTCCACTAGCAAATTCAACCGAGGCTATCGGTTTTATTGGAGTTTTAGACATGTCATTCAAAAAGCGACTTTTTTATTCGCACCCTGGAAAACTGATACAAACTTTTAAATCTATTCAAACAGATGTTTCGATGGTGAGACTGAAGTGGAGATTCGCTTTTTTTGTTTTTTTCAGACTGCTTTGGGGGGCGGCGCGTGCGTTGTGAACAATACGAACGCGATAAGACGATTAACTGATTACGAAAATATTGCGTATTTTCAATTTTACGAAATCAGAACGTGCTATGGACATCTCAGCTAAGGGATTTCACACTGAATGCTTGCTCCTTCAAGCAGAATGAGGAGAACCTCTCTCTTTCAATGTTGCCATTCGAAGCTTACAGGGTGTCATTTAAGTTCCCGCACAACTTTGAAGACGTATATTTCTGAAACTAAAAGTCCAAATCAAACGAGACTCAAAATATTTTTTATCTATAGTATAACAAATATTTATCTATTAACTCTTTTTGATTCGGCCTCCTTTCGCAGCTATGACTTCACGGAAACGCTTCGGGTAGGATGCGACTGTGGTACGCAGGTATTCGATGGAAAGATTGTCCCATTCCGCCAGTAATGTCTTCTTCAGAGCCTCTACACTTGAATGGGGTTTTGCGTTGACCTTCTCCTGCAAGACCCCATCACGGGAAAGTCAAGCGGGTTCAGGTCTGGGGAGCAATCAGGCCATTCGGATGACTTGATGAAGTCGGGAAAATGGGTCTGGCACCACTCCTGAGTAGTTTTGGCAGTGTGGGCGGCTGCTCCGTCATGTTGAAAGACCCATTTCTGCCCACCGAAATGCGTTTGGGTCCAGGGCATCACATGCTTCTCCAAAATGTCCCGAACGTAGACTTCTTTGTTCACTTTCACCCCCTGATCCGCGAAAACCAGGGGGCACTTCCCGGTTGAGCAGATGGCAACGAAAACCATCATGCTGGCAGGATGTGAGGCTGGATGATATGTTCTTCTTTTCTCAGAAGCTTGCTGGGATGTCTGGGCAAGTACTCAATGGTTTTGTGAGTTGAATGCCGTCTCCACAGTGAACAGCTTCTCGTCGGAGAAGACAGTGACGAGGTGTTGTCCAGACCGCGTGCGAGCAAGAAGTCGTTTTGCTTTTTCGAAGCGTCTCTGCTTGCTGACGGCCGATAGAATTGCCGCTTTTTGGACACGATATGGGGTCAGTCCAAGCTTCGTTTTGACAATTTGTTCCATAGCGAAGATGCTCATTCCCATGTCTAACGCCATCTTTCTCATGCTCCTGTGGGGGTTTCGCCTGATCCTCGATTTGACGGCGTTGATCTTCTGAGGAGTGGTTACTGAGACGAGTCTTCCTTGTCTGGGACGGTGACTGGTCGTATTTAGCTCCTTGAAACGTTTGATGGTGTCGCAAACCGTTCTACGAGGCACACCGACCCGTTGAATGATGTCTCTCGAGCTCACATTTTGCTTATGAAGTTCGATAATGGAAGCGCAATGGATGTTAGCCTTCGCCATTTCTCGGAAACACATCCGAATGAGGTGAAACTTGGAAAGTAAGTAAAATATACCTTATTTAACAAAAATAAATTGTATTGGTGCACGAAAAGTGCGACAGCCAAGCTCTTCATGGCGTCAAACTTTTGTGCGGGAACTTAAATGACACCCTGTAATTAGGAAAAAGAAGCCCAGGCCATGCTACTATCCATTCATTTCTAATTGGGACCCCAGTTTTCGTTTCAAACTTATTTTTTTTCGCAAGAATGTTTTACTACATTACAAATTGGGACGAATTAGCTCTTGACAAATTGGAGGCGTCTAATGGAGCAATAACCAGTGGCAGGTGCAAAACGGGTGCTCATTGGCCCTCGAAAATGTCACAAAGCTAACCATGTGACATAATTAATGTTCGGTTTTTATTGGAAAATTTAAAGTCATAAAAAAGCAGGTAATGAGACCTGAATGTTCGAGTTTTGTGTTACATATGTTCGTGATTCTTTTTTTCATGTTTATGAAGAAATTGAAAGAAAATATCCATAATTAATTGATGGATCGAATGGTATACATAAGATTTCGAAAAAAAAAACCTCGAACGAATGATTGAGAGCTAAAGGGGCACTTATTTTTTGTGTGTGTGACATGACAAAAGAAAAACCTTTGAAGATTTCTTTTATTGCTCTCCGGAAGAAGACAGAAAATTTTTTTAAGGCCAACGAAAACAACTCTTAAATTCTTTTTTTTTCTCATCGTGGTGCTCACGAACGAAAAACAAAACGGCAAAACATTGAGTGCAAATGCAACACACAGTGAGCAGTCGAAAGGTAAACAATGCGTATACGCGAATCCTCCCCCCCCCCACGCACTCCCAGACATTCTCCATATTTGTAGTGCATACTTATCGACTTTTGGTGAAAAAAAAACGTTCGAATATGAACCGAGAATAAATCGATAAGACGGCGAGATTCGCAACAAGTAAGTAAGCAAGTGAATGATGGAAAATGGGTTTAGCGCGCGACACAAGCAAAAAAAAGGGGGGGGGGGCGGGGTGGAAGCAGTCAAACGCCTATTTTCGGGGCACAGAAGACGATGAAGAAGATGTGGTGGAGACATGAGAGAAGCCGAAGAAGCTCGAAAGGGGGGGGGGGAACTCGGCGCGCTCTCACTAAGCAACGCATTCGCTCAATAAGCACCGAATTGCGAACATTGATTAGCGGGGTAGGAGGGAGGCGGCTTAGTAATCGGTATGAGAGACGCTTATTATATCAAAGACACTACTATCAGAATTACTAATTAAAGATGGCAAGACCCTTTGTAAGAAGAAAAAATAAAGTTTCTGACGAATATCAATAAAAAAACCGATAGTGGGCCAAACGCAAATATTTGCATTAAATTTACTATCGCACTAAAAAAAATACAAACAGGATAATTTGCGATGCATCTGGCGAGCACATGTGTGTGCCCATCCTGTCTGAAAAGCGTTTCCGTCACGTTCGTCCTTCTTTGGAGCAACAAGGGAAAGGAATTTCGCGAAGTTTCTAGAAAATTCAAAAACGTGCTCCCAGTGTGTATAATAAATAAAGAGAGTGGCTGATTGATTTTTCAACTTTCTTCAATTCTATATATATATATATCTATAGATGGCTAATTGAAAGTTGATGAATGAGAGCGAATGAATATTCAAGTTAGAAAAATTTTATGAGACGATGCGCAAACAGAACATGAGATATTCATGAAAAGGGCAATAAACAATTGGTTTTTCGAATAAAAGGTCGCCAAGGAAAACATTCTAGGAATTGAAATTGTAAATCAAAAAATATTAACCGATAGTTCTATTTGGAAATATCATAAAAATATTTGGCTTTCTTATTCTCAATGTAGTGAATAATATGTGATTTATTGGCATCATATTTCCGGCGGGAGCTAACCATTCGAGTTTCCTTTAAAATAACATTCAATTTTTCAAAGTGCTGCAATCTTTCACCTTTTCGCAGCTGTCGGGTACATGTGATAGGCATTGAAGTGTAAATTGTCATTTCAACCCACGTTATGACACTAATTAACGAAAAATGTGATCTTCGATGATTTTTATATTGAAGAAAAAATACTAAATTATTAGAGATTATATGTTAAAGCCGGTTTTTACTCAAATTTCAATTTAATAAATAATCTTTTAATAAGCTTTTGCCTCATAATATCCCCATAATGGACTTTTAGTACACATTTATTTAAGTGAAACGAGAGAAGCCATATTTGGCTATGTTTTAAATTTTCTATGAAAATTCGACTAGTATTCAGCTAGATTAACAAGATTTCAAAGAAATTTCCTATCTCTTGCTCAACTCTTCATAAATACAGAATTTTTAATAATTGATGGGTGGGTTAGAAGCCGGAAGGCCAATATTTGTCGAGTGATATCAACATTGATGAATGAAATTGAGGGGCGAAAAGAGCGACAATATTAATCCGCCTCTTCTACATTAAAAATAATTGGATTTCGCAGAACCAGATAGTGGTGCAAAAACTACCAGCAGGCAAAAAAAATCGTCGAGAGAAAAGAGGCGGCGAAAAAAAAACAATGAGAAAAATGAAATTGAAGCCGAACGCGTCGAAACGAGAGCCATCATCTCCGTGGAAAGAACGCAAAAACACTAGTCTGCAGGTCCTATTTTCCATCAAATAAGCTAAAATTATTATTGTGCACATAATTTATTCATTCTCTTGCTCATCGTACCTAATTCAAAACATGTAAAAATAGGGATAGTGAGGGGGGGGGAACAAAAAATTAAAAAAAGAGAAGACAACCTATATCAAGAGAAGTCGCAATATACACGTTATGAACAATGAGTTATTAATATCAATAATAAAAAAATATAGTATAAAAATACCAAATAAAAGCAAAAATGAATGACAATTAAAAGTTTTGTTATTATGTTATTTTGACTATATTACATAAATATATTAAAATAATATTTGTGGAGAAAAAAACTGGGAAAATTTTGATTATTATGTATAATTTTGGTGGAATCATTTCGTGAGGATGGCTAATATCAATTACATAATGTTACATGACTTTTTCTTCTTGATCGGCTTTGGATTAAGAATTGAGCGAACTGCCTCTTCGAACACCTGAAAGAAAAATACTTTTTAGAGAATATTTAATATCTTTTCATCAGCGATATCCTAATTAGTAGAGCTTGTAAATTTGAGCTTCAGTTTTCACTTTTAATAAGTATTGGTATAGTTTCTATTTATTTCAAGACTATTTATAAAAATTAACATATTGTTTATATACATATATGCTAAAATCAAATTTGCTTATTCGTTTCATACGCTTTCATATGAATCTTGAATATTCAAGAAATACTATTGCTAAATTCCTTTACATTGTACGGAAATTCAATTTGTAAACGCCCCCATGCCACAAAAATTTTTTGTTCTGTAATTCAATATCCGAACAGATATACAAATAACCGGTCCTTCTCCCCCCCCATTATTTAGAAATCCTATTGACGTCACGGTACAATAATATTTTTAAACTATATTGACCCTTTTTTTACTAACGAATAACACACTATTGGTGGGCAAAAATTTGTTGAAAGAAAACCTAGTCCTATGGTATTGAATTTCTAATTGTCCTTATACCAAAAGATTCACAGAGTCTTGCTAATGGATTTTGTTGGAGCACTTCAACACACATAAAACGAACAAATCGAATTGACCAGGTTTATTTTCTATTAACCCCCTTTGATATAAATGAAGCTCTTCAAAAAAAGTCAAAATCCGTCCCTCTTATCTTTATAGTACAATATTAATACCTGAGTCAATCCCGATTGTGTTAGCGCTGAGCATTCCAAATACTTCACCGCCTTAATTCGCTGCGCCATCTTTTGCCCTTGCGATTTCGTGATCGGCGCACGCCCTTCGGCCTGAAGCTGCCTTAAAGGTTCGGGCTCATCGCGTAAATCAAGTTTTGTGCCTGCAAAACGTAACGTCGGCAATCATTAATCACGCGTAATTAATGTTTTCGACTCACCGACTAAAATAACGGGCGCGTCGGGGCAATGCTGGCGGATTTCCGGAATCCATTTCGTCGCAACATTATCATATGAGACCGGCGACACAACGGAGAAGCAAAGAATGAACACGTCGGTTTGTGGATATGACAATGGGCGCAGTCGATCGTAGTCTTCCTGACCGGCAGTATCCCACAATCCCAAGTTGACGATGTTGCCATCCAATGTCATCTGAGCGGAGTAGTTGTCAAATCTGAAAAAAATGTTTTTGAACTTTAATATGTTGAAAGATTTTATTCTTATCCTATTAGGCGAATGATTGGGTTTGAGAACGGTTTGCTCAATGACCCCACACTTTCGATTCAAAATTGAACATTTCACTCTTGGGATTGCACAAATAACTCAAATTTTCCATTTTTTGAAGCACGACTATGAAGGCTCCGAGTTAAATATGACTGCACTTCAGAGCAGAACAGTTGAGCTGGACATTGCAAAACTCAAAAATTTTCGAACTTAAAATTCTCGATTTCGCAATAATCTTTTTTTTTGTTTTAAGAACGATCGAGGGCAAATCGTAAAAGAACCCTATCGTTCTAAATGTCAAAACGAGCGATAAATGAAATGTGCTCTAAATGGTATTCAAATTTCTCAATGTTCTGATGAAGAGCTGTGAACCGACCTCAATGTATACATAAACCACACGCAGTTAAATTTAAAATTTATTGCTATTCTCGGCGGAACAAATGAAATATGTATGTTCGCACACGAAACCCATTATTTCGGCATCATAAACAACGCCGGCCACTTTATATGGATCTCAAAACGACTTACACAGTTGGAACGTATTGCACCGGAAAACTGTCAGTGGTGTACGAAATCAGCATGCAAGTTTTTCCAACAGTACCATCGCCAACCACCACACATTTGATTTGGCGGGATGGTGAAGACATCGCCTATAAATATAAATATTTTATGCAAAAAAAAATGAGCAACGCGGTTTGGTGTAATGTATAGATAGCGTATGAGTCAACTATTGGTCATTGCACTCTAAAGACAGAAAAACGGGAAAAAAATGCCTTTGTTGAGAATTGGAACAAGCTCTAGAACACAGGGTTTAAAAAAAGTGAGTCAGAGGGCCCTACATCCGTTTTCAAAATAATTTGAAAACGTAACATGGTCGCGAGAGAGCGATGCAAGATTGATGGGTTAGACGGGTGAAATTAGATAGATAAGAGGTGGAGAACCGTACGAATCTCCACCCAAAATCAATATGCATAGTTTAGACTTGGTTCAATGAGTGGCCAGAGGGGGGAAAGGGGTCGGAGAAGGAATGAGGAGAATAGGGTTGTGGAAGAACATCAATTGATGAGTCACATATGCCTCCCAGCCGAGTGAAAGTGAAAACCAGTGCAAAATGGGCTGAGGGGCGGGTCACTTTGGCTCTCAACTAATAGCAAACATCTGGAGTATCAATGTAATAAATGTTCGACTCCAATTTTTCCCCCTCTCTTTCTCTCTCATTTTGCCTTAGTTTGATTTCGGTGTGTATATGAGTTGGGCCGCCACCGTTGGAGAAGAATGAAGTTGACTCCAGCGCGGCGTTCAAACTGACGAGCGGTAGCAATCAAATATTTGCCAACGAAAAACTGTGGGAATCCGTGTTTTAAAATATCACAATAATACATGTTGAAATGTTAAAGGATAAGAGGTTTCGTTGGTGAAGTGGGCATAAATCCACAAGCTTATTGACCCTTGCGTGAAGTTGGCTCAACATTTTTTTTGGTTGAACAAAAGAAATTGGTCTCTTGGAAAACGTTTGAAGGCATTGATATTCAGCGAAAGAAGAGGCCCAAAGTAAAGAAACGTGCGAAAAAAAATGGGCAAAACCCATCAGAAAGCTTCTTTCGAGGTGAATGCTATACAGAAATGACCAAAAAGGGGGCGAGGTGAAGGTGAAACAAGGCAAGAACATGGTTAACGACCCAATGCGTTTTTACGCGAAAATCGACGCTTATAGATATCAAAAACACCCATTAAAAACCAAACACGAAATATCGTAGGCGACAAAAATAAAATGCCGCCTCAAAAAAATTGTTCCCACGATTAATGGCGTTAATAATGAAACATCATTCAATAAGGTTAAGTGTTGAGAATTTTGCGGCAAAATGAGGAATTCCGAGGAATGACTCATCAGCTGCCGTAAAATGATTTTGAAATCCCCCCTTGGTTTATTTTTGTTTCGAATCTGAAATTCTATTTCCACTTGTTCAAATGAGTTCGCTTGAAGAAGTCAATCAGACAAAAGAAGAGAACACACTTAAATTTTTCTATGCAAATACGTGACTTTTGACATTTATTCTTTTATTCAACAATAAATATTTCGTTTCAACGGTGATTTAAAATGTTCTATAATTAAAATTACACAAATTTAGACATCAATAAAAAAGAAACAAAAGCTGAACCTCAAAAAAAGTGAGTCATCTCATAAAACCGCCATTAAAATAACTGTGCAAACAGATATTTGAATGCCACACAGACAGGATAGAGATGACGCTCTGGCTATAGAGCGCGCTTGCCTCATTATTGATTGTTTGCACTCTGTTGCCTCCCATTATCCGATATGGTTCCCATTCAAACTAATTTACGGCCCCAGTCAAAGTTGTACTCGATTGTATTAAAGAATTCCTTTCGTTTCCTCAGTTCTTCATATCTCAACTATTTCGCTATCTATTGCCTCTCTCTCGCTCCGTTTTTTGTTTCCTTTGTATGCATCCCTCTCGTTCTTTTGTTTCGTGCCTTACGCAGTTTTTCCGTATAATTTTTCGCGGTTTTAGGAATTGATTTCTTCCAGAATGTGTATTTATTGGACAAAGAAGTGAAAAATAGTCAAAGGTTCTTCATTCTAAATAGTAGAAGGATGATTTTAACGACTAAAAAAGTGAAAATTTGTACGCTGAATAAAAATACTCCACTGAATGAGTTTTATCGATATTTGATTGAAAATAGATAAGCGAACCGACAAATCACAAAAAATATAAAAAGAAAATGAAAAATTTTTTTCAAAATAATTGTTCACCCAGTAAAAAAAAACATTTTTTAAAATAACTTTCTTATAACGATTCACCTGAATAAAATATTAGCTTTAAATTAGGCTTTAATTTTTTAAGCATCGATTATTGTACTCTGCTGGTTTTGAAAAAAATCTCTTCTAAAGCATCTTTGTTAAATTCAGAAAATCTGCTATTATCAAAAAATTTGGCATTCACATAATAAATAAAAAACGGGACCTATTTTTCATTGCGTTTCTAACGGGCAGCTTCATGTTTCCACCCAAATGAAGAGTGTTTCTTCTATATGTTAGCATATGGCTAGAAATAATAAAATTTAATGCTTAGCGAATCATTCTATATATTTCTGCGTCATTTCGATTATTGCTGCAAAATTTAGAATAAAAATATCTGTTCAAGTCTTATGCGCGTGACTGATAAAGAATTGCATGGGTTTTGCAGAAATAGACAATAAGTAATAAAATAATGTTCATTTACATTATCGAATGCACATTTTTCTTAAAATTATTTTTTGCTTAAAAATATATATGTGAATTCATGCTCATTTAAAATCATCTTATGTGATTTTGCAAGTACATAATATTGCGCTTATTAGATTTTCGGTTTGATAGTTTTTGCTTGGGACTTGCTTTTTTTGTATTATGATAATATATTATTAGAATTCAGTTTGAAAACTTAACGAGCTAAAATTTTTCAAGGAAAAATGACTTTTTCTGAGGTTTCCCCCCAAGAACCGACGCACAAATGCAGAATGTGCGTCTTAAATTTATATTTGTGATTTGGCGCTGTAATCGTTTTTTTTTTTTCATTTTTTTCTACAAGAAACAACTCAATCAAACCAAAATATATTGCACCGAATCGTCAATTTTTTATTTATTTATAGGATAATGCGTATAGTTAAAAACGTTTATATTGAATAAAATTATGAATTTGAGATTTACTTTTCTTCGAAAAAGTTTCTATTGCACATATTTGCTGAATCCGAGATCTATAGAACTTCATTATTATTGTGTTCAAAAAGGTTTTGCCAAAGATCACGTCATTGGATATTTCTAGGTTTGTCATTCTAAGAATGTATTTGAATCCCATTTTTCGATTCCCGTCAAATATGTCATTTAGGATAAAATTCCTTTAAATAATATCTCACTGATTTTATTTTTGTTTTTTTACCGCCATCAATGAGTGAATTTCCTTTATTTTTATGGAATAATGGAACCATTGGATAAAGAAATCTCGAAGGCAATATCCATGGAAACCCCATACAATTTTTTTGTATGAGATAGACCTCGCGATTTTATGAGGTTTCTCATCCCTCCCCCTCTCTTTCCAGCACAATACATTCAAAATAAATCCGATTCGGCATTTACAACCCACATATTCTCTCTTTCAAATAATTAGCTTTGTAAGAGTGTTACTCGGAATCCTAAGAAATCTGCACTTTGTTGGCAATAGAGCGCGATTACGCAATTATTGATTTGTTTTTACCCTGCCGTCTCTTCATTTCTGTAGTCGACTCATTGCCTCTAATCTCTTCTCTCACTCGCCCCCATATTACTATCATCATCGTTTGTTCGCCAACACGTTTAAAATCTCTTTTTTCCTGTTAAAGCGTATAATTACTGAATTGAGTTTGCAGATGTATCGCGGCTGGGTAACATTGTTTTGGATTTTTTTCATATTGTACATCATGGGCAATAATAAAGGTAATTATTAAAAAAAGAATTATTATTGTATAATTGTAATATGAAAGAAAATTCAGCCCATGAACATCACGAGGATAAACACGATGTGGATGAGTTTGAAGCGGAATTTGGTGATGAGAAACCAGGAAATGAATTCAGGTAAATTGATAGACGGAAAAAAAATTTCAAAAAAAAACCCAACCTTAGCATTGTTTTGGTAATTTTTATTTTATGAAAGAAATGAATTGAAAAGATTGAAAAGAAAGCTTGCCTCGACAGGCACATCAATTAATGAGCCCGCACAAAGAGCCGTAAAATTTGAGCTCTTTTTTTTTTGAATTCGGAATAGTACGTTTCGCAAACAAGAATTGTGTAGACGAATTGTTTAGAATAATGAACATACCCTCATTGCGCCTTTATAAAAGGGTTAACTGCGCTCGGGAAATTTGATGATAATGCGTTTTGACAATTATGACCTCGTGAAATTTGAATTAAATCGATTTTTGAAAAACTATTTATGTAACTAAAAAAAAACATTTGAAAACTTGATTTTTGATACGAGGGAAATTTTTTGAAGACCCTAAACATCTAAATTATTTTCAGCGAAGGCACTGAAGAGGACCACATCGAACTCCGCGAGCAATCGGGTTTTGTAAAGCCGAAAGCGGTTCATAATGCCAAGGACCTTCCGCCACTCAACTTTCTCTATTGGTATGCAAATTGAATAGATTTGTTGTAAAACAATTGGCTATTCAGCGTTTCATGCGGCTACAAGCAAGCGTTTGAGCAATTCTCTCAAGTGGTCCGCGACAAATATCCAAACATTCAAATCGAAGGATCAAACTATCCGCCAGTTCTTTGGAAGGCCTATGTCGCTCAGGCGATTAGCATTTTGAAATTGGTGGTACTTGGTATTATAATTAGTGGCAGCAACCCATTCGAGGCTCTTGGATATGGTTATCCATCTATTCTTCAACACGCCCATGGAAACAAGGTAATATGAAAATGAATAAAAGATTCAAAGAAACATTTTCCTCTTGAAGCTTTCTACATGCATGATGGTGTTCATGTTGAGCAACTTGGCCGAGCAATCGCTTATTTCGACTGGAGCTTTTGAGATTTACTTGGGAACTGAGCAGATTTGGAGCAAGATCGATTCGGGAAGAGTCCCATCTCCACAAGAGCTCATTCAGGTTTCGGCACACTCTCGATTTTCATACAAGTGATTTTCAGCTAATTGATGCTCAATTGGCGATTCTTGGAAAAGGCCCAGCGATATCTGAAAGTTTTGGTGATTTCTCGAACAAACTTTGAGAATTGCGCTAATGTTAAGCTCATTTTTCGACAACAACAAAAAAAATTAATTTTTCTGCTTTATTGTCTATCTTTTCATGCTCAATATCATTCCTCTCTGAACGCAGCAAATGGTTACCGATTAATTGTTATGAAGTCTCTCTCTCTCTCAAACACGTGTTCCATTTTTCCCTTTTTTATGGTCCCAAATCTTGTCGTTAAGCGAATAAAGTTTATTGAGTCACTTTATAGCGTTTTATTGTCGAGTAATCAATTATGAAGAAATTATGATATTTGCACCTAGCACGGAGGCTGATGGGAATAATGAATCCCTCAACGACGTCGAAACACATTGCGAATGCGATCTGAAATTGGGGAGATTTCGCTAGTTTCAGACATTTTTTGTTTACTCCAAGCGCGTCGATACCACGGGGGACGGACGGTATTTTTTATGTCATTCGCAACACGTTTTACATCACGCTCTGCAATGAAGAACATATGTGTAGTAACACGATGTCGATTGAAGAATTGATTCTTCTGATCTTCACGATGTCAACACGAATGATATCGTTGACACCAAAGAATGATCAAAGATATATCGAATACGTGGAGTTTCAGTTTTATCGCATCTCTCAACAAAATACTCACCAATCGACATTTTATTTGGCAATAATAGTAGCGAAAAAAACACACACACGAGTAGTCAACAAATAATGACTTCAAAATCACGATGCGCGTTTTTGTATTGATGTTTTGTGTAACGTTTCGGGGTGTGGCGAATTCTCAATAATTCATGAATCGATATGTCATGTCATGTGAATGGTAAAGTAGGACCGGTTTCCAAATTAATATGGCGAGTCAAAATAATGTCAAATTTACATGTTCGGTTCAGGAAGGGGGAAATCAAATGATAAAGCCAATGAAATTATTCAATGTGTGGATGAAGTTTGAGGCATTTCTTGCTCGATTCCACATTAAAACCTTTGAACTGTGAATTGAGTGGCTCGCGTCGTTGGCGGCCTAGATACCTGTATGGCAATTATCATTACCATCGTTCAAAGGCCATTCACCAACCCGACTAATATACTGGTTTTCATAATCTCGGCGGCGTCTCTTCCGCATTTCTCTTCGGCTCGCGGAAGAACACATTGAAGCACTTTGTCTAAAGCCTCACATTTTTCGCCTTCAATGGCGGCAATTTCTCGTAGAGCTCTTTCGAACGATGATTGAATGTGTTCTTTCAATGTAAGGAATTGGTCGTCGTCCTCCTCCAAGTCCTAGAAACGCAAAAATTCTGATGACGAAGTAAAAAAAAAACGAATAGCAATCGCAATGAAAACTAGAATTTTTCATTGCCGACTGAATTGAGAGAAAAAATTTGATCTTCAAACTACATACGTACCTTATTTTTCGTCAATTCTGCAACTTGTTTTGTTGCCCTGATATGAATTCTTGCGATGCGACGGCCACCAGAGTATCTGGTATAATTATAGTTAAGCATATCCTAAAAATTTTGCATGATTATGCGTAAACGAATACATATAATTACCGCGAAACATGGCTTCGTGTACTCTTCGACATGTCTAGCGAAGCATTGATAGTCAACTAAATCAGCATCAATATCCGGACAATGGCGATCCAATAGAATTCTCAAATTTCCATCGGAATTTTTTAATTCGTCAATTCGCCAGTAAATCGAGGTTCTAAAAATGCTATTAAAAATAATCGACTTGAGAAAAATGGCAACCTTGAGTCACCAAAGCCAAGCTGACATTGCAACTGCATTTCATATTTCTCGCACAACTCCCTCAAACCTTGACGGAATCTGTCCTCATCAAGAGTTATAAATCTTGCAGGGAATGAATGGAATCCCAAAGTCAGGAGAAGCTTAAAAGCAAAATTTTGAAGATGTTGTTATATTAGCTGTGATACCTTTATATCCTTCGTGGGCTTGATTTGCGAGACAATTCTATATACATCGGCCGCTCTTTCTTGGCCAAGATTGTTGCATTCTTCGAAATAATCGTCATAAGCCATCATTCTCTCCCTCATCGTTGCATTTTCAGTGTCAAGGAGGAATTGTTTGTAAGCTGAAATGAAAGGAGAAATTTAATCTGAAACATCTTTTCAGTCATACCACTAGCGCCATAGGTTTGTGCTTGTATAACAGCCTCAAGAGGCAAATGTTTATATACAATACTTGATGTGAGTTTAGCATTGCTTAATGACAAGCAACAAGTCAGGAACAATAAAAGAAAGTGACGCATTAGGCGCGAATATCGAACTGATATAATCGTTATTGTTGTTTGAGATGAGTGTTCGAAATCAAAGTAAATAAACCAGACAAATATAGAGTGGTATCAAGGCGGGTTTTTTTTCTCTCAACTCGCAATCAGAAGCCAATCACTGTACACTTTTATAATTTTTTGAATCGTGTGGTTAGCGCATGGCGCAGTTTATCAACCTCTGCGCAGTGTCGGCGTCAAAGAAAAATCACAAGAACTTTTAGAGATGAGAGATATAGAGAAATTATTTCGAAGATGTCGGCGATATCAAATCACGATCTCCTTAAAAATAGCGGAATCGGGAAAAAACAGTTTTTGATCGTTCAACGACAACGTCCCGGATTGTTTTTTTTTGTCGCGGACTCGATTCGACTACAACTCATTGAAATTTTGGAAATAGCTGCTTAGCTGCTTCCAAATTCTTCCTCTCATTATTGTAATTAAATTATTTTTTAAACTACCGTAACCCTGTTATCAATTCAGCTACACAAAGAACGATTTAAGAGCGCTGGGTTCACTTTAACGGCAATTAATCGCATTTCTCGCTCTTTCCAAATATATTCGAACCAATCATTTTGTTCGAGTAGGCTATAGTCGTATGATAAAGTTGCAAAAGTATGTTGAGTGACGTCGTGAGAACACTTCTGAACCAATAGACGTTCTGGAGGGATGTGTGAAAGTCTTGTGATCCGCAGATTGTAAAAATAACACCAATAAACAAAAATAGAACAGTTCATTGTGTTGTGATGAAAAACAAACAAATTCTGAAAAATAATTGTTCAGTTATCCCAAGATCAGACCGACATACTTATCATTTCTCAAACGCCACATCGAGAAAAAGAAATTAAGATTTCACATGATTGGGAATTGAATTGATTCGCTGAATGTGTTGTTATCAAGCTAGGGAATGTAAACGGAATCACTGAAATAAACTTTTAATAGTCATCTGTGACTTACGCTAATTGGGAAGAAAAATGAGGAAGTATTTTTTGACATGTGAACCATTTAAAAATTGCATGATTCATAAATGTATAGTTAGGGATTTTCTTTTATTAAAATACAATTTTTCAGAACATTTTATAACCATTAGACTTATAGTCTGAACTTTAAAAAATTGAACTTTTGAGATTATCTTTTAACTGTTTCTTTGCTAACGTTATCTTATTTCTCGCACACTTTTTTTTTTCAAAAATTCCAAACTTCACAAGAACCCATTTCAATCTGCAAATGGCCATGATTGTTTTGATTTAACAAATTTTGTGGACTTCAACGAACTATCAAACCGATCATACGGATATCGAGAAAAGTGTGACATTGATTAAACAAGCGAGATTGACAAGAAAACAGAAATCGCCAACGTCACCGAATGAACCATACTGATTGGCAATGGAATCGATGATTTACGATGAAATTCTTGAAATGAACTCTACTCATCATAGAAAAAAATTTTTATTAGCAATATATTATTAATATTATTAGTAGTACGGGAATTATGAATAAATTACACTGTTCACAGGTCAGCGATAAGTTCCGGAAGATCATCCAAGTCGGACTTTTCAACAGACTTCTGCACATTTTTGTTTTTCTTCTTCTTATTTTTCTTGTTCTTCTTCGCTGGTTGCAAAGCTTTCTTCTCTTCCTCAGTCATCACCATCTCCTGAACACGCTCCTCAACCTTAATGTTATCATTTTAGTAAAATTTCAGTTGAATGGCTGAAATACCCCTGGAATTTTATTGATGACATTGACAAAATGTTTTTGGAAAGCCAACAATCTCGACATTGCGTTATCCATATAAAACTTGGTTTGCGATGCGAGGAAATGATTTGGACCAAATAAATATTCCTGTAAATTTCATTTTAAGACATGAGCACTTTATTCAATTCGTGCCATTATCCTATGCGCTTCAATCAGATATCGAGCGGCCTCTTTTCCTTGCCCGAGCTCCAAGCTCAATTGGCCCATTTGGCTGTAAATAACGATGCCAATCATTCATACTAATGAGCGCAATTCTTACAAGAAGTGCATCGCTTTTGAAGGATGCGCGTAACGATACACGTATCTCACAAATGGCTCGCATTTTGCGTGCAAATCGAGAGACGCGATACACTTCTCCTTTCGTGTCATACTGGCACGCTGGACCAACGGGATCATCGCCTACAAATGAAGCAATTAGGGTACACATAGGCACATGGTAACTAGCCGCAATGAGTTGACAGAAATATGAATTCGACATTGGAAGAATGTTCTCATAATTAATGAGGGCACCTTGGTAGATCTTTATCAACTCAGTTGGATCGCTCTGCAATGATGTTTTCCATTTTTAGGATTGCTTCAAGAAATTCTTACAGTAATTTCAGGAGATGTATCTAAAATCTGACGAATCATTCGCATTCCTTCAAGAGCGGCAAACACATATTCCCGTTCAAGAGTTGAATTACAATCGTTGCATACGATAGCCATTGTTTCAATATTCGCGTACGCCTCTTGGCCGTGAATTTTCAATGTTTTCTTGGTGTTTCGCTGAAAATATGAGCCATTGCCATAAATTTGGCCAATCAATTATCGCGAGAAACTCGTTAGAGAAATTGTCCCGTTTGCATAGAGCACACAAAACCAAAAACAAATTGAGCCAATTTCATATTGGTTTAGTCATAACTCACCGATACTAGACATTTTGGGCAAATCACACTAGTCAGCCAATTATCCACCGGATCGTCGCATCTCTCGCAATGACAATCAAAATACCACGTTTCTCGAAGCATATGCTTTCGCTGGATTTTGCATCTAAAATCACGATTTTGATAGGAATTTTAATGCTTAAAAATCTTACGGGGGAAGCTCGATATAAGTGTAATGTGTTGTCTGAATATTATCAATATCCACATTGTCGTGAAGAGCTCTTAATGTTGACACAATACCGTCACAGCTATAAATCTGGAATCGTGAAATGCCGATAACCTTATAAAGAATTCAACAATTGAATTACCGCGTTTGGACGGCAAGAATGATCATATCGACATAAATCAAGATATAGCCCTTTCGCAATTTCTTTCAAATAATCGCGATTCGATATACTGTGCCGATTGATGTAATTTCTGCAGTGTAATTGGAACACTGTTTCTTTATCCATTAGGTATTCGGGCTCACAAGCCTGCACAATGTTGTTATAAATGTCTGAAATATATTTTTTTTTCTCGTGGGAAATCCGATTGATTTCTATAATCTCTCGTACTATTGAATATTTTCATCGCATGTTCGTCATTCTTCATTTCACTACAATGCTCCCAAATCTCCATTACTTTTCGCTCACTTTCGCGATTTTTGTAAAAATCTGGAATATTTTTGTCGTTTCCATTGGTGATATCCTTAAAAATACAAGCCGAATATTCGAAATTTCAAGTTTTTCTTTCACCTTGTGACGTCCAACAATTCGAATAAGCATGCGTTCTTCTACACTTAGATCGGGACATTTTTTCAAAGCCTTGCACTCATACTAAAAATTAATTTTAAATATCGCAATATTACTTATTATGGTGGAGCGCAATTGCGACCCATCTCGGCGGTTATTCAAAAATTTTCAACCTTGTGGTCCAGATTTCCCGCTTTTTCGCATTCCTTTGAACAAAACTTTGCTACATCGCATGAATCGCAAGTTCTAAAAAATGCAATGAACGAATTAATTAATTAAGAGTAATTAAAACACTTACTGCGCCACTTCTTCTGCTAAACAATTCCAACAATGGCTCTCTTTTGTCGAGTCGAGTAGAGCATAGGCGAACGGGTAAAAGTTTTTAGATTTTGGCTTCGAGCCAATCTTCTCAATCCCAATGCATTCTAAGGGTGCATCTCCAGAGGCCATGCTGAAATCCTAAAACTAGTCAAAGGCGACGAGTGTGAGAATGAAAAGGAAACAAAAATTATTAGGCGTCGAGCCGCTCAAGTATAGGCGTATATTGATGAAGAAAATGAGCGCAAGAGAGCGTGTGGAGAGGGTAAAAGCATCGCAAGCAGTAGTTGTGGTCGTCGCGTTGTATTTGCCTTCGGACAGTGTAATGCTGGCTGCCTGGGCCTCCTGAGTCGTTTCGCGACACGGCGAAATGGTTAGGTGGAAAATCCTGGTCGGATAGAGGATAAAACGTTTATATGAATATTTGAGTTCGATTGATTCAAATATCGGCGGAGGCGGTAGGCGAGACGGAAAAATGAATCAGCACGACGCTTTTTTGAAATAATCAACAAAAAATTGTGATGGCCGTCGATTTGGAATTGTTATGAAAAAAAAAAAAACAAACAGTAGACACGAACCAATATATGACACTGTTCGAGAGAACCATTCTTCGCAAATAACATGTTCCAAACAAATGCAAACCGGCAAACGAATCCCTCAAAAAATATATAATTGCAACTTATTTCTCCGCAATCATCATTTCTTTCCCTTCTTGTGTGTTCAATTACGCCCAAATTTTCCAGACGTTCCACTAAATTGATAAAACGAGTGATTGTAACAATTTTACACTTTGATCCAACTCTTGCAAGCATCATTTTTTTTTAATGAAAAGCGCCTGCCCGAAAAAAGTTGCGGCGTTGCCGCTAATGTGTCAAATGCGCTCCATCGTACAAAAAACCAAACCAGTTGTCGAAATTATTTCGCCATTCATAATTGCGTTAATGCTCGTTTATTTTAATGAGTTTTGACATCATACCCCTCGAGTTTTCGCCAATTTTCCTCTCAAATTATAGCATCATTTTTCAGATCAAAATTGAGCTCTCAAATATGCGCAACGCCACGCTGGATTCAGGTAAACTGTCAATTGTTTATTCTTTTATTTAAAAATTGATAATTATTCAGAACAATCCAACCCGTCTCCAGCGAGTCGCAGTGCGCGTTTATCATCATCGTGCGCATCTGAATCAGAAATCGAAACATGTGATGAAAGAGCAGGATTGCTGGGAAACCGTCGAGTTAAAAAGAAGTCTATGCAGGAGAGATCGAAAAATGAGCAACCCGCGGCTCTTCATAGGTACAATATTTCATAGTGAAAACTTGGAATTCCTCTATGAGAAGTCGATATTACACAATTGATGGTAAAAACGTGGCGTTTCACTTTCAAAAGCGTGACCAAGTATGACGATTGATACCTTTTTGCTACTGGTTATGAAAACAACCAGAATATTAGATTGACCTGCCATCTTGTGAACCCAAAAAATCAATATTGAAAAACAATTTCAATATTTTATTACTGATAAACAATTTATCCAAATAAGGATACATTTCAGACCAATTTCTAATGCCAATGAGGCCACCAGTGAACATGTTGACCAACAGTTCGACCAGAATGATAGTTATTCGACGGATGAGGAAATGCAATCAGGTTGTTTAATTCATTTTTACTTCTTCATAAATACAAAATTTTAGGAAATGAGATGTATGGCTCCACTGTTGGCGCAACAATCGCGTTGAAGTACAATGAAGCTTGTCGTGCGATTCACAGCGGACATTTCCCAGAGCGAATCGCCCAAGGTTCCAGCGGAAGTTATTTTGTGAAGAATATTAATAATGTATTCAATTAATGCAAAATTGAAACACACAATATATTTATTTAGGAGATTATTGGTGTTTTCAAACCGAAAAACGAGGAACCTTATGGCTCGTTGAATCCGAAATGGCTGAAATGGATGCATCGCGTGTTTCTTCCTTGCTGCTTTGGACGCAGCTGCTTGCCACCTAATCAGGCACGTCTCCTATTTTTTTCCGGTCAAAATATTTATTCATGTCCAAAACTTAATAGATCATTACTGAAACACTTGAATGAGAGAAAGGATTATCAGGGAATGGGAGAAGTGGGGGGAGAGAAGGGGGCAGTAGCAAAATATGAAATACATTGGTTAAGTATAACATCGGTATTCATATTAGAAAGCTGCGGTGTGAAAAAAAGCAAGCTGAAGGATTCTAATGAAGAATGAGAAGCTACTGCAGAAGAGAGAACAAAACGAAATAGATTAGGGGCTAATGTAATGTGAAGCTAAGCGTTTAAAGATCTTCGCGAGCGCGTGTAAGAGTTTCGATGTGCGATGACTGCATGACATCCTCATTCGATGGGATTTCCACGATTGACGGATCTCGTGGCTCGGTGTCACGCGAGATACTCTCACCGGCGCGAGACGCATTGTCGCCGGCGCGCGAAATCGAATCGCCAGCGCGTGTGCCGAATGACGAATCGCGACCGCCATAGACCGAATCGCGGCCTCCATAAATCGATCCTAGAACGAAATTTACTACTCCCATTTTATACTAATTTGGTTAAGCAAAACCGCCCAATGAGTAAAGAAAAGCACACACACGGTTAATTTAGTCACTCCCAAATCCCAAGCATCGAAAATGAAAAATAACGACGAAAAGAAAAACCAAATTTATTAATGATTGTGCACAATGTGAGCCTGCTTAATTTCTTCGACCGACGTGGTTGTCTCGGTTTCGGATTCTTGGACTTTTTTATGATGCACACGTATCACCGGAATGTGCTCTCTCACAGAAACACTCGTTGGGGAATAGCTTGTAATTCTGACATCCATACCAGTATCGTCGCCGCCAAGATTGCGACGGAAGCTGCTACCGGCGTCGACGGCGCTGCGGAAGTCCGAGATTTGCGGGCGGTGCGTTGGCGTTGAAGTGCCCAATGGCGGCGTCAATGGATTTGAAGCATACGTTGATCTTGGATAGAATCTGAAAATTTTGCCTAAAAATTTGACAATTGGTTCGCTGCGTCTCACCCGACAGAGCGGCTTCCACCTTGAAGAAGAGCATCAATGTTATTATCTCCGTAGCTGCGAATTCCAAGGACATTGCTTCCAAGTCTTCCAATATCGCTGACAAGCGATCGATCCACATATTCCCTACGACGGCGACGTTCACTGTCTAACTGATCGCGAAGAATTGCAATTTGATCTTCAAGCTGCTTGATTCTATTTCGATGAGTTCGCTCGCGATTCTCAATAACTTTCTCGATCTGGAGCTTCTCCTGACGCATTCTCGTCAACTGACGCTCTTGCTCTTCGCGCTGTTTGTTGGTGAGCTCAAGAATTCTGTTACCATTTTCCATTTCGAGTTGGGCAATTTGCTGTTGAAGTTGAGCGCAGTTTTTGTAAAGCTCCTTATTCTCACGCTCCATGGCGTTGAGCGACTTCTCAATTGCCTCGCGTTGAAGTGCGGTCTCCCGAATGGCGGCATCAGTTCGCCGTTTGTCATTCTCCAACATCTCAATCTTTTTCAACAACGTCGCCTTCTCCTTCTTCCAGCTATCAGCTTGTTGAGAGTTGTTGCGACGATCATTCTCAAGTTGACTGAGTCGTCGCTTGAGTTCCTCGAGCTCTTTGATCGCCGAGCGTCGATCATTTTTGGCGCTCTCCAATTGTTGGCGCAGCTCAGTTTCGGTTGCTCTTTGAGTGTTAACCACCTTTTCAATTGAAAGAAGGCGGTCTTCAAGTCGATTCTTCTCAGAATTAGCGTCTTGCAATTGACGCTGGAGATCGGACACGCGATTGTTCACATCATGGACTCGTTGTTTGTAATCGCGCACTTCGCTGCGAACATTGATGAGCTCATTTTCAACTTGCTGTTTGCGAGCATTTGCAGCATTGAGCTCATTCTGAGTGTTCAGAAGTTGATCTTTAAGCAGTTGGTATTCGTGCGAAGTCTTGCTCTGCATATCGATGCTCTTTCGGAGCTCATTCTCAATGCTTTCAGATTTGGCCAAATCACGTCTAAGCTTGTCAGCGTCATCCTGGAAAACCTGATTAAACATATTCACATTTTTTTTGATTACCTTCATGTCTTGGACCTTGGCCTCGCTGAGTCTCAAAGAACCATCAAGTTCTTTTATCTTTTCGGTCAACGTCTGTCTCTCGCTTTCAAAGGATGCGATTTGCAATTGAAGTTTGTTGGCATCAGAGTCACTCTCGCGGATCTTGGTTTCGAGTTGGAAGCGAGTGGCATCCCAAGCTTCCTCCTTGTCGCGAAGAGCTCTAACATCAGCATGCGCATTGTCAAGATCAGTTCGAAGATTCTTGAGTTGTTCCTGAAATGTAATGAAAAGTATTGCAAATGTACTTTTCTCGAACAAACATTGAGATGACGAAGTTGAGCCTCCTTTCCACGAGCCTGAAGTTCAGCAGCAACCATCTTTGACTTCATCTGTCTTCTTTCTTCGTCACGTTGTTTTAAGGCTTCTTCCTGGGATCGCAGAAGTGTCTTTGCTGATAATAGACGAGCCTCCAATCCTCTCTTCTCTGAAAAATCTGCCTTATTTGTTCTATTGCATTTTATCAATTAACCATCTTCAATATCCTGAAGGTTATCCTCAATGTTTCTATAGCGAGTTTCGTGATGTGAGATTGTCGTGGTTGATTCTGAAGTCTTCTTCTTCAGGCGAGCAAGAGTGTCTTTGAGTTCATTGCGTTCAACTTCAAGCTTCTCAATCTTGTTGAGCAAATTTTGCAGGGTCGATTCAAGATTGTTAATGTCGAACTTATCATTAACATTGACTGTTGTGGTACCATCAATGTTCGAAATCACACGACCACCAGCTGAATTGTATTATTATTCATAATAATATAAATTATTTCAATATCATACCCGAAGCAACACCTCCTCTGTTAGTGCTGCTGTAATCTGTTGCCGGCGGGAATGGCACGGAACGAGGAAAAGCGACATCATCCGAGTCGCCGCGACCTATTTCGATTTCTCGACCGAAATCAGATTCGCCTGGTCCTCCAGTGTTTCCGCCGCCAATTCCGCCGCCGCTCAGAATATTGATGTCAGTCTGATGGTAGCCGGCGCCGGCTGGACCGGTTCCATCGTATGGCTTGGTGTCGGGGAACGTCGATGACACTCCACCGTCAACGAATGTGTTGAAGTTGATGACGCGATTCGCTGATGCTTGGAAGCGGCGAAGTGCGTCGGCAAGAAGGTCGCGCTCAGAGTCAGCCTTGATGTAGTCTTGTTGGAGAGCGAGCAGACGTTGCTCGGCGCTGTCAAGGCGCGATGTCAAGTCGTTGATTTCATATTTGCGGGCCTCTGAGAATTCGTTGATTTGAGAAAGTAAAGCATTTATTTTTTCAATTACCCAATTCTTGAAGAGCATTGAGCCTTCCATCTTCCGATACTCGGTGAGCATGAGCCAAATCGTCAATTGTTGTTTGATACTCATCAGATTTGCGTTGGATCTGCTCATTTCCGAATTTCAGTTCTTGTTGGAGCTTTTGCAGCTCGTTGCGAAGTGCGTTTCTTTCCGAATCAGACGAGATGAGCTGAAAAGGTTGTTAACAATTTAGATTCAGAATAAGTTTCCTCTTACCTTGTCACTGGTCTCTTGCAATTCTGAGCGAAGTTTGGTGAGTTTGTTGTCGAATTGTGAAGAGAGCTGATTAAGATGATCAGCTTGTTTGGTCTTCTCGCGGAAAGCGTTTTGGAGGCGTTCCTTTTCAGTCTTGAAATGACTTAAAGCATTCTTTGACTCTTTAAGCGCTTCTTCAACGCTCTTCAGCCGATTGCGAAGGCGATTCAGCTCGGTTTCAAGGTTCGCATTGGAACTCTTGAGAATATCATTTTCTCTAAGCGCCGCGTCCAAGTCGCTTCTCCATTTGCTTGAATCACTTTGAAGAGTGCTGTATTGCTCTTCCAAAGACCTCAATCTGTTTTGAATGCTTTCCAAGTCCATATCCTTTTGAACGAGATTTGCTTTGCTGTCGGATAATTCGTCTTCAAGGCGCCGAATTTGAGATGTCATGTCTCTGATCTTTGCGGTTTGATCATTGACAGTCTTCGTCAAATGATCAACGCGATCGGTGGCAGCTTGAAGTTGAGCCTTCAAACCAGTGTTGGCAGTTTCCAACGCTTTTGTCTCTGATCGAGCTGTGTACGCATCAGTCTTCCACTTTTGAATTTCCTTATCCGTTTCATTTCGGAAGTCCTCCCAATCATCGCGAAGCTTCTGGTTTTGTCCGTAAAGGCTATTGATTTTCTCATCAAAATTGCGCTTTTCGCGTTCCAATTCATTCTCACTGAAAATGCTTTCAATTTTGTGTCAGTCTAATTTGAATAATACCGATTGAGAGAGTCAGCAAGTTGCTTTTCGAGGTTATTGATTTTGTCACGTAGGTCATCCTCAACATTCTTGAGCTGATCAACAACCTTATTGTACTGCTCCTTCTCATCGTCCAAATCACTGAGATGCTTGTCATGCATTGCACTGATTTCACTCTGCAAAAAAAAAAGAAATTCCCATATTCCCAAAGATTCCTTTATACCTTGAGCTTATCAATTTCCGCAGCATGTTTGCGTTTCAACTCGGCGAGATCGTTTTCTTGTTTGTCGCTTCCGCGACCGATTCTTGAAAGCTCATCATCAAGCTCTCGAATGCGACGCTCCAAATCGTCTTTTTCATTCTCGAGACGTTCGAGCTCTCGCTTCCAGCGATCATTGATCTCGCGAATCTTGTGTTCAGCCAATTCGTCATCATGATAATGATCGATGATGGTCTTTTCAATGCGCTCAATTCTGTCGCGCGTGTCAGTGCGGCTGCTTCCGCCAATCGGACCACGACCATCGGTTGTGGTGCCTCCGCGGCCATCAGTGGTACCGCCGCCGCCACCATGAATGTTGATGTCAATATTGTCGGATGATGGAATCACAATCTCATCACCATCACCAGTAGCGCGAGTATCGCGTCTACCTCCGTAATCAAGCTCTTCAACATCTGGAATGCGAACATCGCTTCCTGGACCACGTGTATCACTTCCAGTTCCTCGAGAATCTCCCCCTGGTACAGATCCACGAGATCTTGAAGCACCTGACGTTGAGTCATCAAGACCTCCTCTTCCTCCATTGGTAACATTGATCGTGGTGCGTCCTCCACGTCCAACATTGCTCAAACGATCGCGAAGATCGCGAATCTCATCCTCGAGTGATTTGATCTTGTCTCCAGAATGTTTCAAATCCTGTTTAGTGTCTTCCAATTCTTTGTTGAGAAGGTTAGCACGATTCATGTGCTGTGTTGCCGCATCCTTGGCGCGAGCTTCTTTTGCGATTAGTTCGCTGTTTTCTTTGCGAAGTTTCTCAAGCTCCACTTCAAGCTTACGAATAGTCTCTTTCAAAGCTTGAATGTCTCCATCAAGCTTGAGCTTCTGGTTGAGTATATCTTGTTTCTCTTTTTGCAGGCGTTGATTGAGATCATTGATTTTCTCAATTTCTCCATTTCTTGAATGAAGCTCATTCTCCAACTGAGTGATTTTTCCTTGAAGTCCCTTGATGGTAGTGTCGAGTTCATCATTGTGACGACGCAATAGGTTCACCTGAACACATCATGAAATATTATCAATAAAAAAGAATGAGTACTTGGCTCTCATGGTCGCTAATTATCTGCTTCAATCTTTGAATTTCCTCATTATTTCGGTTTCCGTTTCGTTCAAAATCTTGACGCGACTTGATCTCCGACTCAAGTTTGTGACGGATGTCAAATAGAGCGCGAGCGTTTTCATCTTTTTGCTTCCTATAAATCTATCTTTAAATCTTTCAGTAAAGGTATTTCGTACTGATAATCGTCACGTTGGATCTTGATCTCTTTCAATTGTTGTTCGGCAAGATGAGCAGCTTTTTGAGCATGTTCCAAGTCAGACAATAGCTTTTCATTGTCGACATGGGCGCGATCATACTTTTCTCGAAGATCATCCAGATCCTTTTGGATGTTTTTACGCATATCATCCGAATAGCGCAATTGGGTATCTTTCTCCTCGATTCTTCGTTGAACGTTAGCAAACTCATTTTCCAAGTCGCGATATTTGTCCTTCAACGGATTGACTTCCGATTTAAGACGATTGTTCTCGCGGAGGAGATTCTCAATTCTTCGATTGAGATCATCAATGCGAAGTTTGAACTCTTCTTGAATCGAGTTGGCCTGCTCATCCATCTCATCGCGCAACTTTCTGACGTCATCAGTCGAAGCTTGCTGGAAGGATGCTTGAAGTTTGGCAAGCTCTTCCTCCAAGAATTTGCGCGCTTTGTCGGCGGCAATTCTCTCGGCTTCCGATGCTCGAAGTTTGTCTTCAGTGCGCCGGCCATTTCTCTCGAGTTCTTCAATGCTCTTCTGCCTAAAAACCCAATAATTAGATCAATTTTGTTAGCAGTCGTTTAGTTTACATGTTGCTAATCTCGCGTTTAGCATCGGCAAGTTGTTTGTCCAAACGACGGCGAGCTTCATCAGCATTCTCGAACTTGTTCAGGAATTCTTTGACCTAAAATTGAGTACTTCATCAATAATATAATCATAATTTATTTACCTGGTTTTCAGCGATTTTCAGCTTTCTTTCAAGCTGTTGAATATCATTATCCTTGTTGCGGAAAGTGTTACGAACCGCTCGAAGGGCTTCAGCAGGTGGAAGTGGGGTCTTTCCTGGTGACAACGATCGCGTTCTAATCGCTCCATCACTGCTTCTCTCGCTATCCTGAGCCATTTCGTGAATCTTCTTTAGAGCATTTTGCGATTCTGAGAGCTTCTCTTTATTTCTTCTGAGTTCTGCCTCAAGTTCGGCGATCTTTCTCTGCGCATCGTCACCCTTCGACTCAAGCTCAATGTTTCGCTCAATCGATTCCTCGTATTTCTTAATGAGCTCTTTGTGAAGCTCGGCATCACCTTCAGAACTGCCACCGCCTCCACGAACGCGGCGAAGCTCCTCAAGCAATTCGAGGTTGTTAGAAGCAGAGGATCCAGTGCCAGCCACCTTACGGATCGTTTCAATCAAGACCTTCTCATAATTGTTTGACGTACGGGTGACATTGCCTTCACCATCATCAAAAGCAATTCCACCAGCACCACCAGATAGTCCATCACCCCCAACGAGATTGATATTTCTCGAAATCGTGTTGACATTTCTTAGAGCGCGAGTGAAGTCCGACTTCTGTCTCTCAAGATCTTCTTCGGTCTGAGATTTGAGATCAGCGAACTGTTTGCGGACACGCTGAAGCTCAGTCCAGAGGTCAAGCATCTTGCGTTGCTCATCGCTGAGATATTGAGCGAGGTTTTTCTCGCGATTGATATACGATTTCTCCTTATCCCTAGAATCATTCGCATATCTTTCAAACTCGCGGCGAAGTCGTTCATTCTCATCCTCCAATGCCAACGACTTTTGTCGTTCATTTTCCCATTGCATACGATATTCATCGGCACGACGGCGCTCCTCGTCGAGTCTTGCAATCATTTCATAGTTTGCGTTCGGATCACCGGCGACAGCGCCACCGCCACCGCCAATGTTGATGACATCGCGTCTTCCACGAGCTGGACTCCAAAGCTCAACATTGTGATTGGTGCTGAAAATGACAATTTCTCATTAGGCTTATTACGGGTCAATTTCCTACATAAAAGTGTTGCTAGCTGGATCATAGTTATCGAAAATCATGACGTTGGTCGATGGATCATCGAGAATTCTTCCACGAGCTCCAACCATGCGACCTTCAAGCTCCGCGATATGCTTGCGGTACTCAAGAACTTTGTTTTGAAGCGCAGCCATCATCTCGCTGTACTCTTTCTGTTGTTCCACGTTGTTGTCAATACGTTGGCGGAACTTGTTCAAATCATCCTAAAATGTTCAACACTCAAATCAGACTTCCATCTCGATGGCACCTGGGTGCGATCCAATCGCGCGGCGGCAACGGAACGCGACGAGTTGTCGATTTCAAGCAGCAAGTCATCATCGAACGATGAGGTGTTATGGTAGTTGTTCTCGCCAGAAGTATCCCTGGAGTACTCATCCCTTAATAGGAAAGAGCAAAACATGCAACACGGCAAAGCCAGCGCCTAATTTGTTGCTTTTTGTCAATATCTACGGGGGCGTTAATCGAATTTCAACGAGCAAAATAATAATTTGTTTTAGGACGGTTAATTTGATATGCGTTACGGTTTCGCTGTAGTAGTTTCGGCGAGAAAAAACTTACAGAACCGGTGATTCGCGTTTCAGCATGTGAATGGTATACTGAACCGTTTTGCTCGATTCGCTTTCTCTCTTTTTACTTAATAAAAATTTTGATACAAATTAAATGACCCAGGACAAAAAAGATTCCCCCAAGATTTGAGACAACATAGGTGGCGCCTTGGTAATGTTTGTAAGCTTCATGCGGACTTGTCAGAAACGCAACATTAATTTTTGGGATGAAGTGACCAGCCAACACATAAAACCAACCAGTAGAATTCTCCATAGTTCGATCGCGAACCCGGACTCTCCGGCGTCGGCTCTTTCGGGCGAATGCTTCTCGTATCTTCATCATTTGAGGGGATATGGATTGTACCATCCGAACTACGGGTGTCGTCGTGGTCATCCATGGCTCCTGCAAACAAGGCTAACTAGTAAGAAAAACCCCAAATTTCGTATTTCACAGCAATACGTGAATGTTGATGGTGGACAACAGAAAAAAAACAACAAAAATTGAATTGAATGAAAAGATTGAAACCTTCTTGGTTGCGTCGCTGACGCTCTTGCTCTTTCTGTCTTGAAAGCGCGGTTTCGGCTTCGGACGGCGTTAGCGGTCGAACCGAGATTCGGCCAGAAATATGCGTCCACTTGCCGGGTACAATGCGTTCGGCTCGAACTGACGGCGAACACGAGCGACTAGTATCACAACTTGAGGTAGGTGCTGAACAGGCGACAAGATTCGCCGGCGGCGGTGGCGGTGAGATCGGAGATAGAGTTCGAAGCGCTTGCGACGGCGGATCGCGCAATAGCTCTTCGGGCACTGATTCACTGACAACTAATTGGCGACCGGTCGAGCAGCTATTTACGCCACAACTGAAGAACATCCAACGAGGACGTCAATCATGCTGCAATCAGAATTGCAACATTTTTGTGGTTTCCATTGTCGAGGGCATGTAGTATGTAAGAGTGCGACGTATGTACAGGGTGTCATTTAAGTTCCCGCACAAAAGTTTGACGCCATGAAGAGCTTGGCTGTCGCACTTTTCGTGCACCAATACAATTTATTTTTGTTAAATAAGGTATATTTTACTTACTTTCCAAGTTTCACCTCATTCGGATGTGTTTCCGAGAAATGGCGAAGGCTAACATCCATTGCGCTTCCATTATCGAACTTCATAAGCAAAATGTGAGCTCGAGAGACATCATTCAACGGGTCGGTGTGCCTCGTAGAACGGTTTGCGACACCATCAAACGTTTCAAGGAGCTAAATACGACCAGTCACCGTCCCAGACAAGGAAGACTCGTCTCAGTAACCACTCCTCAGAAGATCAACGCCGTCAAATCGAGGATCAGGCGAAACCCCCACAGGAGCATGAGAAAGATGGCGTTAGACATGGGAATGAGCATCTTCGCTATGGAACAAATTGTCAAAACGAAGCTTGGACTGACCCCATATCGTGTCCAAAAAGCGGCAATTCTATCGGCCGTCAGCAAGCAGAGACGCTTCGAAAAAGCAAAACGACTTCTTGCTCGCACGCGGTCTGGACAACACCTCGTCACTGTCTTCTCCGACGAGAAGCTGTTCACTGTGGAGACGGCATTCAACTCACAAAACCATTGAGTACTTGCCCAGACATCCCAGCAAGCTTCTGAGAAAAGAAGAACATATCATCCAGCCTCACATCCTGCCAGCATGATGGTTTTCGTTGCCATCTGCTCAACCGGGAAGTGCCCCCTGGTTTTCGCGGATCAGGGGGTGAAAGTGAACAAAGAAGTCTACGTTCGGGACATTTTGGAGAAGCATGTGATGCCCTGGACCCAAACGCATTTCGGTGGGCAGAAATGGGTCTTTCAACATGACGGAGCAGCCGCCCACACTGCCAAAACTACTCAGGAGTGGTGCCAGACCCATTTTCCCGACTTCATCAAGTCATCCGAATGGCCTGATTGGTCCCCAGACCTGAACCCGCTTGACTTTCCCGTGATGGGGTCTTGCAGGAGAAGGTCAACGCAAAACCCCATTCAAGTGTAGAGGCTCTGAAGAAGACATTACTGGCGGAATGGGGCAATCTTTCCATCGAATACCTGCGTACCACAGTCGCATCCTACCCGAAGCGTTTCCGTGAAGTCATAGCTGCGAAAGGAGGCCGAATCAAAAAGAGTTAATAGATAAATATTTGTTATACTATAGATAAAAAATATTTTGAGTCTCGTTTGATTTGGACTTTTAGTTTCAGAAATATACGTCTTCAAAGTTGTGCGGGAACTTAAATGACACCCTGTATGTATATGCATTTCGCGGAAAAATGAGCGAGCGGGCGGCAACCTTGGACGTCAAAAAAAAACTAGTCGCATTTTGAAGTGCCTTGCAAAAATGGCAACCAATAAAAACATTGAAGTTTCCAAATAATTTTTCTAGGGGGGAGAGGAGGGGACAATTTAAAACATACCAATGCCGCAACGAATAAATGAAATAGACTTAACGAAATTGCCAATGGAATAGATTTTGAAAGCACAATGCTCATGAGAAAAAATTTTTTCCTCAAGGATCCGCTCTCTCACACTTTCATTCACTCATCTCTTGTAGATCAAATTACAAAAGGTTACTACACGCGCCCGAGTTGTTGATTTTCTCGTCGCGATTCGTCCTCGTCACAAACAAATGTGGCGGTTCAGATGTATCTGCTTGTGTATGTGAGTGTATGTATGTGTGTCACCTGACTGCGCGGTTTCGCCATGGCAACCGCATTGCGACTTCGAAAAAATAAAACGCATAGTCGTTCGTTCAGAACAAGTCAAAAAGCCGCTAAATAAGAAGCGTGCGACAATTTCGTTGGGCAATCCATTCATACTAGGAAAAGAAGGAGAATAAGAAGAAGACGGCGAAAAAAAAACGAGGCGAGAGCGAAAAATTGGAAAATGGCACCGGACACGCCTACAAAACGGACTCACAGGCCTCCCTCCAGCGTCAACAACGAAAACAACAACAGAAGACAATTGCCAACCGAGTGTGAGCCCACTCCGGATTGCATTTTTCTCTAAACATCGCGATTCACAAGAGCACGCTTTCCGCGAAAATGTTCTGGACGCGTGCGCGACGCCATGGAGAACGAAGATGGCCAAAGAAGGAGGAAGCACGCGGAGCCCCCGCCATCGCCGTCATATACTACTCCCCCTCTGCCCCTCATTCCTCGAAGAGGCCATTCGCGAATTTTACTCTCGCGTTTTGTGCTCCCTCCAGCTTTGAGATACTATGTATTCTCGCTGGACATTCATGGATATGTATGGCAGATGATAGGCAATACTGATGGCTGAGACAATTGGCAAGATGGCACTTAAGACAATCTCCCATTAGACACAATGAGTCAAGATGGGAAATGGTTGTTTAGTTGGTTGGTAGATTGTGTTCGAAATTGAAACAAACTGAAGATGGCGGCGAATTCAATATCGAATTTATAGGCGTCTGATTCCAGAACGGTTTTTTTTCATCGTTCTCTTCTTCTCGCGCGACAACCGCCCTATCAAAACATTACACTTTGTCTGTTGTGTCCATATAGGGATGATGATGATACGAACCCGAATCGCCCAAAAAAAAACTTGGTCAAATAATTTATAGTGAAATGACGCGTCTCTTTGACTTTGGAAAATTTGCCGGCAACGCCGACAATTTTTGTTCCAATTGTTCTCCGCTGGTTGTTGCACAAACACGATGGGCGTGTTTGTGTGTATGTGTGTATGCTCATTTTATTCCTATTGTAGCATCCGCCGAGTGAATCGATATTTTCGAGCCAACAAACATCCATGGCGTGTCGCCAAGAGCACAACAAAAAAAGTGCCAATGTTGTTCTTTTTTTTTGCATGCGACACACGAAAATGGGGGGATGACACAAGAGGAAAAACGACTTGGGAGAAGTTGTTTTGTTGAACAGCATTTGGACCCGACTTCCTAGAAATAGAAGATTAATGTCGCGCGTAGCGGAACAAAACAAGTGGTGGGATATCAATTGTTATTTTTTTGGCTGATTTCGATTATACGATTGATTTATGGAGATCAGCATGAATAACACATGAAGTGTGGACTTGATTGAAATGGATACGGTTAAAACATGACAAATAGTGCAAACAAACAACTTTTTTTGATCGAAGCGGACTTTTTTAAGGAAATCAGATAATGAAACATTGAAACATTGAAACAACCAAATTTTGTTTGCCAAAAAAGCAAAAGATCTACTAAAAAAATGTTTTTGATAACTCGCTCACCGGATTGACCAGAAGGTTCAGATAAACAGTGTAAATCTGAACGGCAACACAACGGTTTATAAATGTTACTAGTTTTTGAGGTCGCGCCACGTTTTACTCTCCCTCTATTCATTATACAGAATCGCATCGGTTTCGAAAATGAACAACCACCCACCATCATTTCGACCAATGAGAATATCCATTCATGCGCAAAACCGCGTGCTGAAATAATTATGTGCCCTCGGCGCGCTGTAGGTGAAAACGGGCGGAGAGGTCGAAAATTGTGTTGAAGTGCATTCAGCGCGCCGGTGTAAATTATTATATAAACGCTGCCTTTGAAAATAAATCCAAAAACTGTCGACCTTGAAGACATGCGCCATTCGACAACCATTCAATTTTCAGGGTTACTTGTCCGAAGCTGGCGCCTCGCTTGTGGATCAAAGGCTTGGGCTCAATATTGTGCCGCCGACAGGAATTGTCAAACTCGCCGCGCCCACGTTTTACTACGACAAAATTGATCGCGCAAAGGCACGAACCAAAGAAAGGATTCAATCGAGATATCCGAGCATTGGAAGAAAATTTCACCGTATTGGATTGCCCGAAAAGGTAATACTGGATTGGGGAGGGGGGTTGCAGTACACAACTCAAACCTCGAAATCGCATGAGTGATAGAAATGAGATGTCGTAGATTATGAGGAGTTTGACCTTTCAATTTATAACCTTGATTCAAAACTCAATTAAAATTTATAGGGCGTATATCCAAAGAAAAATTTCACTTCAAGAAATCAATTTTTGGCTTTCATGGTCCAAAAAAAGAATGTTATATTAGGCATTATTAAAGCTCTTATTTATGCCAATGAGACGAATTCTTGCATTATGAATTCTCTTGGGCATTCTTTCCATTTTTTTTTGACAAATCGAATAGTGACCCTTCTCTTTTTTTGGTTGTTGGGGGGGGACTAAGCTGCACACACCATTATTGATCGCTCTCTGTTGTTGACGATATATAATTTCCGCGAAACTCGTAAATCTTTGCTGCTCATGCTGGTTTTTTTGTCTTGTAGCCCGATGTGCACTTCCACTTTTTTTTTCGAAACCACGTCAAGATTTTCGAATCGATAAGAAGCCATATGCGAGAAATGGCCGAAGAGGGTGACAGGGCAGCTCAATTGGCAGGAGCGCCGCCGCCGGCGACACTAGTAGATAAGCTGAGCCCCCCCCCCCAATTCATTTGACATTGATGACGAGTCGAGGCGACTCGGAATTCTTAACAAGCACTTTACGAGCGGTGGTGGTGGTGTGAGATGGTGTTGGGTGCCGCGTGCGCAGCACAACAATTACTCGTCGGCTTCAATTTTTTTGTGCTTCTGTGTGTGCGCGCAAGCATCAATGGAGCCACAATTTCCTCGGAAATACTTTAATTGGAAAATGGAAGCAATGAGCTCGTCGAAACCAAAAAAAAACGCGATAATGGAATTGAAATTGTTGAGTGGGATGATGAATTGAAAAGGGAATGTAGAAGTTGATTTTATCGAAATTTACTATATTGGTTTCTTAAACTTCTTTTAGAAATAGAAAAGATAGTTCTGGAAACTACCAAATATGGGCCTACTGCATTGCAAATTGAAATTATTTACAATTTCCAAAGTTTTTGTGATTTTAAGTTAAGGAACGCGGAAAATTGAATTCTGTGCCAACTCTGATGAGGCTCATTCTGTTGACTCGCCGAAACAAAATATGAGAAACTAGGGTTAGCATTCGGTTTTGGTTGGGGAGGAATCAAGACTAGAAAATGAGGGAAGAAGAGAAAAAAAAAGCATTGCGCAGGGTCGAAATGAAACTGAATTGGTAGTAGAACATAAAAAGCGTTGAGCCGATGGCGAATTTTGTTTTGTTTTGTTGCAGACGGGAAGCTTTCAACTATTTGTCCACGGCTACCATGATGCTGCTTATTGGCTGCGCACATGGGCCACTCAGCCAGAAACCGCTCCTCCTCCGGTCACCCAACGCGAATTTCAATTGCAATTTGAGAAACTGGTCGCACTGGATTACATTATCCGCAACACTGGTAGGCAAATGCAAAAGAAGGGGGGGGGATTGAGCTTGTCGAAAAACGACACATTTATTTTAAGATCGTGGAAGCGATAATTGGCTAATCAGATATATACAAGCAGATGTCGTCGAGAGGGCGCCAATTCACGAAAATGTGCCATGCGATCCCGCCAACGCAAAACCAGAGGTAAGAAAATAGCAACGTCAAAAGAATGACGAGATGCTTGAATATATATCAAGCTCGTGAGAATCACACGTTGACAAGAACTACAATATGAATATTCAAATTTTTCTTTCGGACGCAATATTGCAAGAAAACTCATATACATATATAATGTTTGTATACTTTCATATTTTGGCGAAAGGGATAGAAACGTTTGGTGAAGATAGATGGCTCATTGCCATAGAAACCCAACTCAAACCCAACCTTCTCATTATGATTTATGAAATTGCGTGTTAGCCATTATTTTTCAATGGAAAACAAGGGATAATTCACAAGGGGTGGAATTTGCAATTTGAGCTTGAACGGTGGAAAAGAATGGTAAACAAGAATTACAAACATAATATATTTAAATAGACAATTTGCGCATACAATGCATTGTTCCTATTAATAATAATATAGTGGGATGCGCTATTTCTGTTGAAAAATACAGGGTGTCATTTAAGTTCCCGCACAACTTTGAAGACGTATATTTCTGAAACTAAAAGTCCAAATCAAACGAGACTCGAAATATTTTTTATCTATAGTACAACAAATAATTATCTATTAACTCTTTTCGATTCGGCCTCTTTTCGCAGCTATGACTTCGCGGAGACGCTTCGGGTAGGATGTGACTGTGGTACGCAGGTATTCGATGGAAAGATTGTCCCATTCCGCCAGTAATGTCTTCTTCAGAGCCTCTACACTTGAGTGGGGTTTTGCGTTGACCTTCTCCTGCAAGACCCCATCACGGAGAAGTCAAGCGGGTTCAGGTCTGGGGAGCAAGCAGGCTATTCGGATGACTTGATGAAGTCGGGAAAATGGGTCTGGCACCACTCCTGAGTAGTTTTGGCAGTAGGGGCGGGTGCTCCGTCCTGTTGAAAGACCCATATCTTCCCACCGAAATGCGTTTGGGCCCAGGGCATCATATGCTTCCCCAAAATGTCCCGAACGTAGACTTCTTTGTTCACTTTCACCACCTGATCCACGAAAACCAGGGGCACTTCCCGGTTGAGCAGATGGCACCGAAAACAATCACACTGGCAGGATGTGAGGCTGGATAAATTGTTATTCCTTTCTCTGAAGCTTGCTGGGATGTCTGGGCAAGTACTCAATGGTTTTGTGAGTTGAATGCCGCCTCCACAGTGAACAGCTTCTCGTCGGAGAAGACAGTGGCGAGGTGTTCTCCAGACCGCGTGCGAGCAAAAAGTTGTTTTGCTTTTTCGAAGCGTCTCTGCTTGTTGACGGCCGATAGAATTGCCACTTTTTGGACACGATATGGGGTCAGTACAAGCTTTGTTTTGACGATTTGTTCCATAGCGAAGATGCTCATTCCCATGTCTGACGCCATCTTTCTTATGCTCCTGTGCGGTTTTCGCCTGATCCTCGTTTTGACGGCGTTGATCTTCTGAGGAGTGGTTACTGAGACGAGTCTTCCTTGTCTGGGAAGGTCACTGGTCGTATTTAGCTCCTTGAAACGTTTGTTGGTGTCTTAAACCGTTCTACGAGGCACACCGAGGCGTTGAATGATCTCTGTCGGGCGCTCATTTCGCTTATGAAGTTCGATAATGGAAGCGCGATGAATGTTAGCCTTCGCCATTTCTCGGAAACACATCCGAATGAAGTGAAACTTGAAAAGTAAGTAAAATACACCTTATTTAACAAAAATAAATTGTATTGGTGCACGAAAAGTGCGACAGCCAAGCTTTTCATGGCGTCTAACTTTTGTGCGGGAACTTAAATGACACCCTGTATGTATCCTGTATTTAAGCTTACTTACAGTAAATAAGAAGTTGTTACAAAAATTAAAAAATTTCAAGCTCCAGTTTTTTTCTGCTATAAATAAACAAGAAAAATTGTTGTATGAAACTAGATTGATAGTAATTATATTTATAAATAGAATGCGCATGCGAATTGGTAAACAACAACATGTATACTGCTCATATAATGAAGTAGTTTGAAGCTGAGGGGTGTTATTTTTCAAGAAATAATTTTTTAATTTCTTTTTTGATTTTAAATAATATGTTGCATTATTTATGGGTTTACAAAGGTTCATAAATTTTGACAATTTTTTTCGGCCTAGTGAGAAATACTATTTTAATGGTATATCTTGGCATACATATATTTTCCATCAACATTCAAGAATTGCCAATAATGAAATAATAATTTTGCAGGTACCTGCTGAGGAGAAGCTGATTGACTTTGCCGATTCGTGCGCGACTGCCGAGCGTGTGCCAGATGGTGAGTGGTGCGGTGCCGCCATTTGCGGTTTGGCGTTCAGCAAACGTTGGCCGCTTGTCGACGTATCGACGCCAGAATCACTACTCATGAATGAGTAGGCTCGATCGCGAATATCCGGTTGTTGATGGTCACTCATCGCTGAAATTTTATTGGGGAGCTTAGTTTTTGAAAAGTATCGTAAGGTTATCGGGGTGCGACTGAAAATGAAAATGAAAATTTGCGTCGGACACCGCCATAGTTTCAAAATAAACAAGTCTCGTATCTTTTCGCCTCTCTGAAGTTTAGTATTCCTAGGTTGTTTTGAACATCGCCTCCTGTTATTCGACGTGCTTACAGTACGCGTGCATGTTTTTTTTTTGATGTGGCACGCCACGCTTTCAAAAAGTAAATGTTATTCAGGCGGCCCGACGCGTTGTTGTGTTCCTCACATATGTTTTTGAGTACTTATTGACAATGGATTTCATTTTTTTCTTCATTTCTAATTTACGAGAGAACAAAAAATTGGGGGCTCATAACAATCAACATTAGGCGAGAGCAAATGGCGAACAGATGTTGAACCGTGTAAATCGGAGGTTTTGAATTTTTAAACAAATCACGAAGAATTGGAACACGTCAGCCAGGTTTGCAAAATTGAGTAAGGGACAAGAAAAGAGATTAAAATATTTTTTGAGATTCTGATAACTTATAAAAAAAGTGCTACTTAAAATAGTATGAAGAATATTCGTTAATCAGATCTTTTCAAAAACTTATCGAAATTCAATAAATAAATAAATCGTACTCTATGAGATTTTCTGCAATTAATTTATAAAAGTTTTGAGATTCTTTAAAATGTAAAATTTTAATGATGCTTTTTGAATTTTTTTTCAGTAAAATCTAGATTTTATAGATTCTGTTTGAGCATTCAAAATTCTATTATCAATATAACCTCGGGTCAAAGTTTATGATTTTCTTATCACCTAATTATGAAGACGCCTTTAAATCAACAAACAATGTATTCCTAAAAAAACTTACCGCTTATCGAGACCGAGTATCATCAATTCTGATAGCCGACCTACCAACGATCGAGGCTGCGGGGGGGGAGAACATTTTACCATAAAAAATCCTGTTTTGTTATTCAGTTGTTCACTGTTTATTTATGGGCATTCCGATCATTACAATACATGGCATTTATTCAGAGACTCCGCTGTTCTCCGATGATCCAGCCGATTGGGCCGATGTCTCAATTCCGACAGTTGACATTGCTGCCATTGACAATGGTCTTGCGTTTCCATTCAAACATCCCGATGAGTGGAGAGCATGTAAATCATTTGGGGAGCAAATTTTTGAGCTCATTTAAATTGATTTCAGATCCATTTGGTTGGGCGTTGCTGCCGCAGGCTCGAATCCCATTCTCCGATGAGACCATTGAGCTATTGCTCCCAAAATTGGATGACACCAAATTTGTTCGTAAACTTTGTGAGGATCTTCGCCAACTCTTCAAGGTAATATTTCCAGAATTCTAGATGAGAAGCTTATCATTTTTTCAGAATGATAAAGGATTCGACAAAAAAATCTTTGAGAAACAGATGTCGGTAATGCGTGGACAAATATTCAATCTTCGCGAAGCGCTTATGAAAAAGAAGAGCCCTTATCAGCTCATACAAATGCCACCGCAATTGATGGTTGAGGTGAAACAGAAGAAAAAGAAATCCAGAGTTGCAAACAATGCTGAATATGAAGAAGCTCCGACGTATGATTGTAAGTCAAATACTTTTCGAAAATTTATTTCCCAACTATACGAATCTCAAAATTTTGCCACACTTTATTGTTTTTGTATGTACATTTGGTCAAATCGTAAAATTTTTCGATTTCAAGTCTCCAAAAAACCGTTTGAAACAAAGACATCATGCCTTCAATGTCGGAGATTACGTTTTGGGAATTCTTCCAAAAAAATCAGTGAAAGCCGTTTTTTTTTCTTTTGTCGACCTAGACTATTCTCGTTGAAGTTGCGATAATGAAATTTAGCGAAAGAAATTGAAACTTCCTTAGAGAAATTTTTCAAAAACGAGGCGTAAACAAGTTAAGTAGTAGCAAAATTTTGGAGAAGAAGGAAGTTGAAGTAAAATGATTGGCAATGCGACTTCTAATAGATAAACTGTTTGATGAATGCGGAATTAATAAAACGATTCTATGAAATTTAATTTGGAATAAAAATATTTTTAGTTATTACTTCATTTTTCATTTTTGAACATTTTAATAAATATAGGGGGAAAATTATTGTTTAAACACTTGTGATCATTAAACCAAATTTCTTATTTTCAGCGGATGCCACTTTGCAACCACCCACCGACATCGATCAACCCGGACCATCTACGGGACCATCAACTTCGACGCAATCTCCGGCACGAAGCGAGACTCCCGGATCAAATTCTTGGCAAGCAACTTATAAGCAGAAAGTGCAAACCAAGACCCCATTTTTCCGTTGGTGGTGATCATTTTTTGTTCTAATATGAGTCAAAATCACATTCCATTTTTATTTTGAATTATTTAATTCTCGTTTAGCTTTATTAGCCAACAACCCTGTTATTCTGATGATCATCTTTTTGCATTGTTTCTGTGAATGGACAATTTTTTTTATTTTGTTGTGAATCGTTTTATCATATAAATTTATCATGGTTCCCAAATTTGGGCCAGTTGGTCGCATTACGATATAACAAGATAATCAAAACATGCTGACCCCGTACTGATCAGCCAAGTCTTTGTTATTAGGGTCATCAGTGCGGCAGACCATCATCTCGTCCATCCCCGACGAACACGTTTTAAAATAAAAACGCTGACGTGTCGTAGAGAGACACCAGATGTGTAAAAGAAGTTTCGCGAAGGTCGCCATATCTTCGAATTGTCAACGTGGTCGTTCCTCCTTCTTCTCGGCTCAGCTAATCGTATTTAAACCATTTAGTAATTTCATAGTTCAGCAATTTGTTTATTGAGGCCATTTCATAAACTATTCCAAGCTTTGTTTATTTTTATTCTCAAATGGACGACGTGCAAATCAAAGAAATTTCACAATATAATTTTTCATGTTGTTCACTTCAAAATCAGGATGCGAATTTTTCTTTTCTCCCAAAAATCGATTGTCCCTGCTTTGCTCTTATTGAACAACATTCTTTACTACATAGTAAGAGTGGACACGTGGCGAAAAAAAAAGTGGCGCTCAACGCTGCACAACGAACTCCCCCCCCTTAATCTCGAACGTCTCTTGCCGCTGCGTGGTGTCTTGGCGGTTTGCAACTGTCTTTCTCTAGTTCTCCTCGCTGGGCAGCGGCGTCGACGCTCCGCGTTCATCAAACGAAGTCACCAATCGCTCGGTTTTTCCTTACTTTACCAGTCGGCCAAAAAAATTTTTACTAGGCCGCGCATTAATTCCTAATAATGCCTTTCCTCAATAATCGAACTTTGGTGACCATTTCGGAAACGCGTGTCACGTCGGGACGGCTTTCCGCAAAAAAGCTGTCAATACGGCGACCGAACCGCGATTGACAGTTCGCTTCGATGGCCAACTCACACTATTAGTTGCCCCCGTATAATCTATATAGGAAGCGTTTTGATACGCTCACTTTCTCTTGTTCTCATTTTCATCGAAGCCTGTATATGTGTTGTTTTTTTTATTCTAAAATAAAAGACCCTCCCCTGACCCAATTAACATTCCACGCCTATAAAAGGGATGTGCGCTTCATGATCATCAATCTCGGCTGACCTCATAATTGATCGAACCTCAATTTTCAGGTACATTTACCGAATGAAGACAGTAGTTCTGATTGCCGCGATTTGCGCGATCGCGCTCGCCTCGCATCATTCTGCCGATCCATCCAAGGATGGCGAGCACTTCAAAGGAAAAGAGCACGACGCCAAATACGATCACGAGCAATTCCTTGGAAAGGACACCGCCGCCGAGTTTGACGAGCTCACTCCAGAGAAATCGAAGGAAAAGCTTTCGTAAGAATTCAAGTGAATCGAACTTAAATCATGCGCGGCAATATTTCAGGAAATTGGTGCCGAAGATGGACTCCGATGGAGACGGCTTCGTCGAGGAGAATGAGTTGAAGGATCACATCAACTTCATGCAGAAGAGATACGTCAACAATGATGTTGAACGCACCTGGAAGAACTACAAGTCTGACAAGATTGTCGATGGAAAGATCACCTGGAAGGACTACAGGTTTTGCTTAATCTTTGTAAAACGTTTGATATCACGTCCTTGATTTACAGAGAGATGGTCTATGGATCCCCAGATGGAGCTGGACAGGAGCTTTCTCCAGAATACGCTAAGATGATCGCTCGCGATGAGAAGCGTTGGGCTGTTGCTGACTATGACTCCAATGGAGCTTTGGATCGCACTGAATATGGCTGCTTCATGCATCCAGAGGATTGCGATCACATGCGCGACATCGTTGTTGCTGAGACCGTTGACGACATTGACAAGAACAAGGACGGATTTGTTGATTTGGAGGAGTACATTGGTGATATGTACCGACCAGAAGACTATCCAGAATTGAACGGAAAGGAGCCTGATTGGGTGCAATCCGAGAGAGAAATGTTCAAGGAGCACCGTGACAAGGATGGCGACGGAAAGCTTAATCAGGAGGAGATGCGCGATTGGATCATGCCAGTTGGATTCGATCACGCTGAAGCCGAAGCCCGCCACTTGGTCGGAATCGCCGATGACAACAAAGATGGAAAACTCTCGTTGGAGGAGATCGTTGCCCACTACGACACCTTCGTCGGATCTCAAGCCACCGATTACGGGGAGCAGCTTCAGAAGCACGATCCAGCCGAGCTCTAAATTCCAAGAAAAAAAACAAACAAACAAACACTTAAAGTGCCTACTTATATTTTTTGAATAATTCATAATTTCTATAATAATTTAAAACTGGTCATTGTGTCTTATTTTCTATGTTCTCAATAAAAGTATTATATAATACGTGGCCTTATTGAAGCTGATTGTTAAATCATTTGAGTGATGGCGAAAGATGTGAGAAGATACAAATGACCTGGAGGCCGCTTTCATCGACGTACAACACATACATGCATACATAGATATTCGCCCACTTTCGCGCGACGCTCGCCGTCCTCAAAAACCGTCAGACCTTGTCCCAAATACGTCGTTCCCTGCATCCTTTACTTTGTCAACGCTGATGAATATCCCGTTTCATCGACTAGCATTTCTTATTCTAATCGCTGATATCGATCGGTTCGCCGACGGATTTGATGTGCCGTGCTCGCGTGAGATGAGGCACCGTGTCAACAAATAACCGTCAGCCAATTGTTTTAGAGAAGCTTATTGGTAGCGATTGTCTATTTGATGAGGAATGCTATGGAATGAACACGGTGTGCCGTAACGGCCGATGCACATGTCCGACCAATTTTGAAGAATATGATATCGATGAGCGGACCACGATATGCAGATTAGGTTGTGGTATTTTTTTTTGCTAGTCGTGATGTCATTTCAGCTAGTGACTCAGAAACACGTTTTTTATTATAAATAGTTTCCGATGTAAATGAATTTTTGTGTAACATTCAATATTGAATCCCCCAAGCTTTCTAATGTATTCAATCAAGCTAGTTAAGAAAGCAAATCAAGCTAAATGTCGATAAGCTTTTGTGCCAGATGCCTTGATTATATCACATGAATGAGCATGGATTGAATTTGTCAAGCGATTCCGTCCCTTGTTTCATTCATCATCACATTGTAATAATACAACATGAAGTATTCTGTAACTCACAAATCCTGCGAATTAATCGTCTTAAAATTAGATTTTGTGTCATAAGCAATGTGAAAATTGAGTAAACAAGTTAATCGCAGATTATTTATGAATAATTTTCATAGAATTACTCAACAGTATGCATACGTAATACGTTGTCGTATAATCCTAACTGAAATCAAAAAAGTTGGTTGATTATAAAACCTAATTTTATGAAAAAGGCCATGGCCAAAATACTTAAAAAGAATAACAAATTTTGATCTATCACATTATGATGGTTAATTTAAACAAAATTCGCTTCTAAGAGTTTTTTTTCTATAAGAGTCCCAATTCGGATATTAAAATAGAGAATCAATACTATAACTAACTACATATACAATTACTACTAAATATATGTAGTTCATATTTTTATAGCAATTAAAATATTTTAAATTGACTAATCGATTTTTGTTTTCAAATAATTTGATTAATAAAAATTAGCTTCATGACTTAATGATCTCAATGCTTCAGAAGATATGGTTTGGTTTTCTTTAAAAGAGAAGCAATATATGTTTCAATCTTTATGCAAGACTGATCAAATTTAACCTAATCTTAAGGAAATGGGTGTTTTTAAAATATTCTACTTTTTACAGTACAATGCAGATTCGCAAAAAAACTTCATAAGCCGCTTAAATATCATCAAGAAACATTTCTTGAAACCCAATTCGGATTTCGAAAAAAACATTTTTAACCGAATTTTCGGGTTTTTTCAAATCTACAAGGCACCATAAAAATATCGAAAAATAAACCATTGTTCACATTTTTCAATCATTAGTAAGTGTTTTTTTTTTTCAAGTTAATGCCATGCTTTGTCTTATTAGTATATTCTCCTACCTATTCCTGTTCAGATAAATTATTTTGATTAAGGCATCTTTTGTCTTGAATTTATCACCAATAATGTCCCTTTTTAATACATTTTTTAATTACTCCTTATGGTCATTTTAGAAGAAGCATGATTCATTAAACTCTTCACACAAATGTCTCCAGAGTCTCCCTTTTATTTAAAATTTCAAGATTGAAAAAATTGTATATCATATTTTTGTCCCCATTTTTGCAAATCAAAAATATTATTTTGAATGCTTCTGGAAATTGTTTATAACTAGATGTATACAATGAACGTAAAATTTTTTGCCAATTCAAAATTAATGACGAATTTTTGACGTTTCTAACAATAATTTAGCTGCAAAAATTCAACAAATTGGCAAAACCAGCGCGATTATTTTGAAAAATTCTGATTTCAAAATTTTTTGATGAAGAAATAGTTGAATAATACTAAACTAGTGCTCCAGTGTTAGAAAAAAAATATAGGATGACTGTAGTCGGAGAAAATTTAGAATTGAACTAAGCTTCCACCATGAAACTTCTTATGAAATATGTATTACAGTTATAAATTTGGAATATTACTTAGAAACATTTTCTTAACTAATTCGCCATTTTCGAACAAAATTTTCAGCTCCTGCAAAAATTGGTGATTCATGCCAACGCGATTGCAAGCCGCCATTACTTTGCCGCGACGGAAAATGCGAATGCTGGGGCGGAAGCATCGTTGATGGAAAATGCGTTGTCCGTGAGTTGAACAAAACGAACAGCAATCACGATTCGACAATTGTTTAACAATTCAGCATGTCCAGCTGGTCAGCAGCTGTACGGCGTTGAATGCACTAGAGTTGCGCATTACATGCAGCCGTGCGAGAAAGATAGCCAGTAGGGAATGATTCGAATTTCGAAATTCCACACAATATGAGCGTTCAGATGTGTCGATCCATTCAACGCATGCATCGCCGGTACATGCCAATGTGCTCCTGGAACAACGCGTGACACCGCTAGGGGATTCTGCTATGCAGGTTTGGCTCCCCCCCCCCCACATCAAAACCACCTTTCCTATTTAAAATCAATTGTCGAGAAAACGTTCTGCATTTCCAAACAGAAACATTTCATATGTGCATGTCAAACATCGAGCCTGAGAAAAGCGACATTTTTTATTCAAAGGAAACAAAGATTGCAAAAAACACCGTAGTCATGATGAATAATGGGCGCTGAAGCCCAAACATGCTACATACATACGTTTATGAAAGAAAATGGTGAACATCGTTGTGATGAATGACCGCCGACACGGCTTATGAAGTACAGTAACCTTGATTAAAAGGAACTGGTATTGTTATGAATTGTTACTAGGCACAATTCAAGACTGGTTGCTTTTCAAAATAAATTAAATGTCGATGAATCGAGTTTTAAAAGAATTAATTTGATTGGAAACTGAAATTTCGAATATTCAAAATTCTGGAATTTCCTTATTATCATTTCAAGACTCCACAATTTAAAGTTTCCCTGAATTACCGAACAACATTTGTTGATGACAGAAAAAATCCTTTGGATTATCTTGATTCCATTCATTTCCAAAATATCACCCCCCCCCCCAACGCTCATTCAAACAATTTAATTTGATTGATCACCGCAGTAATATCGCTCGTGCTGGTTCAAATTTCTCGTCACTAAAAAAAATGAAACTTGCTGACAATAAATCGGCCCCCACACATAAATCATAAGTTTAGTATGCCCGGATGGTATGCATCCACGTCAAACATGCCGCCGTCTGTTCATCAACGATATTGATATGCTTGAAAACGCCGCCAACACAGATAGCTGCCCGTTGGGATACCGTTGTGTTACATATGGTAGCCCGTATGTCGGACACTGCTGTCGGCTGCGTTGCCCATATGGGGAGCCGGATTTGAGGTCAGTGTTTGCAGTGTTCGCACCCCATCCCTCTCTCTCTTTTTTCAATCCACATTGGTTGTCAACCGACCATTTTTGACGTTTTTGCAGCCAGTCGTGCGACGCCGGCGCATCACCCGACTCCAAATGCCGTCCACTGACTCACTTCTGTTTTACTATTAGCGAACCGGGGTAGGCACAACAGCCGCGCGCGCTGCTGTTTTTTTGTTGATAAATGAGCGGGTTGTCCATTTTTTTTTCTGGCTGTGTTCAGATGGAAATCGTCGCTGTGCTGCCCGCGACCATGTCGAGACCCGACGCCGCTTTATGTTAATGGACAATGCCTCTCAATTGCGCATAGGGGAGACCCATGTCAAATCGACCAACAGGTGCCCGAGTGTCGAGCGACATTTTGAATTTGAAAATCGTTGTATTTAAATTTCAGTGTGAGGGGGGCATCACAATGTCATGCAATCTGGGAACCTGTCAATGTAAATTAGGCTACCATGAGGTATTGAAAACCCATCAGAACATTCTTAATAGGGCTAGTCGATTCAGAATAATGATGATAGATTCCCGACATGCACAAAGGATTGTTCCCTAGAGGAGGTTGCCAGTACCGATAGATGTCTGGCAAAAACCCAACTCGGCAACCGTTGCTTCTCTAATAAGCAGTGCCCTAGTTTTGCTGAATGCCGATTCGGTGTATGCCAATGTTTATGTGGATATAAAAAAGTCAAGGTTTTGCCCATAATAATTATACATAACTGTATGCGCTATCTATTCATTCAGGATAATCTTCTTGGCGTGCGCTGCACTAATCCAGATGATCCGCTAAGTCTTTCAACAATTCTAGACGGCGTCGGGCAGTTCTTCGGTAACCGACGTGGAAATTAGGAACCATTCGCACATTATTTATATAATTATTATCCAGAAAAAAATCTCCGTTTCGGGTTGTTACGTTTTTTTCCGTCATGTCGTGATTGTAAATAAATGAAATTGTTGAAAACGAGCAACTGTTTCATCTTCTTCAGCTTCACGCATAAACAAAAGCGGTTGTCAACAAAAAAATGTGAAGAAAATTTAATTATTCCAGTATTCTCGAAATTTGATATGCTGATGAAATTGTGCGCGTTTTTCACGAACATGTATAGTTTGAAGATAATTGGTTTCGAGCAATTCATTGAAAGTTTTGAGCCTTTTTCTATATTCAATAGCTGTTTGTGTAGGCTAGACTGAAAAGGAGAAGCTAGAATTGTTTTTTTTTTTTTGAGAAAAATGTTTTGAAGGAAACGAATGGTAATTGATTCAAGTTAAAAAAAAAACACAGGAATTACTAAAAGAAAAAACGCTTCAATTAAGGAAGGATTTTCTTTATAAGACTCAAAGTCTCCTTACGGAATCAAAATATCAGTGAACATTGAAAGATGATGTTTACGGTCTTCATTAAAACGACGCAACTCACAAATCTATATTAATTGGAAGCCATAATCTTCTAGGAATAAATTGCAGCTGCACGAAATGTACTATTAGTATTACATTACCATGTACGAATACATATTGTGAATATAATATTCTCAATGCTTCTTTATCCTCCTCCACGAAACTCGATACCTTCACTTAAAAAAAGCGCTGAACGCCACGGCATACATCCTTTCGCATTCCAATCTTTTTCAAACAGTCTCAAATTGAGTTGAGATTGTATTAAGTCGGTGAAGTGGTACTTTGAAAATGGATAGGAAACTCCATTTCTCGAGTGGTGACTTCTCTTTTCATCTCATGTATGTGTGTTTCCTTCATTCATTCGAACGCAAGTTTTTTTAAACAAATTTCAAATCATTTTATTCAGCACCATGGTATTATTGTTAAAGTGTTGGTATTATATTATGTGGTTTTGTTTTGGATTGGCAGCAGTAGATGTCAACAAAAGCTTCTTGCATTACGAGCCCCCTCAGCGCAAAATTTCAACAAAATCAACCCTAGTTATCCGTTGCCTACATTACTACCGTGGTAGTATCGAACAATTACATAAGTTCAAGTTAATATTGGAGATTATTTTGGTTGAGTGGTCTGACAATACAATAAGGTGAAAATTGATCCACTACTACTACACACGAAACGTACAAGTAGGAGAAGATTATGAACACGAAATGACAAAAAGCTGTAGGGGTGCGAAAACAAAAAGAAATCTGTTGTTGAGCGTGAATTTTTGAGACAATGTGAAAATTTGGGTGTTGGTTGGTGAATGGGACTCTTGATGAATTTAGAAGCATTTGCGGTGGACAATCGATGGGCCGGACTCGTCGTATTCCTGCTTGGAGATCCACATCTGCTGGAAGGTGGAGAGGGAAGCGAGGATGGATCCTCCGATCCAGACGGAGTATTTGCGCTCTGGTGGAGCGATGATCTTGATCTTCATGGTGCTGAAAGAAATGAAACATTTGGTTTCGCTTCCGATTATTCCGCTTGTTACCTTGGGGCGAGAGCGGTGATCTCCTTCTGCATGCGATCAGCAATTCCTGGGTACATGGTGGTTCCTCCGGAAAGGACGGTGTTGGCGTACAAGTCCTTACGGATGTCAATATCGCACTTCATGATCGAGTTGTAAGAAGTCTCGTGGATTCCGGCAGATTCCATACCCAAGAAGGATGGCTAGAAATTATGATTTTAATTGAGATTGATGTGTTGACAATTTTCTCTACCTGGAAGAGGGCCTCTGGGCAACGGAAGCGCTCGTTTCCGACGGTGATGACCTGTCCGTCAGGAAGTTCATAGGACTTCTCGAGAGACGACGACGAGGCGGCGGTGGCCATTTCTTGTTCGAAGTCAAGAGCGACGTAGCAGAGCTTCTCCTTGATGTCGCGAACGATTTCACGTTCAGCGGTGGTGGTGAACGAGTAACCACGCTCAGTGAGGATCTTCATCAAGTAATCAGTAAGATCACGTCCGGCCAAGTCGAGACGGAGGATGGCGTGTGGGAGAGCGTATCCTTCGTAGATTGGGACGGTGTGGGTAACACCATCTCCGGAGTCAAGAACGACACCAGTGGTACGTCCGGAAGCGTAGAGCGAGAGGACGGCCTGGATGGCGACGTACATGGCTGGGGTGTTGAAGGTCTCGAACATGATTTGGGTCATCTTTTCTCTGTTAGCCTTTGGGTTAAGTGGAGCCTCAGTAAGAAGGACTGGGTGTTCCTCTGGAGCGACACGAAGCTCGTTGTAGAAGGTGTGATGCCAGATCTTCTCCATGTCATCCCAGTTGGTGACGATACCGTGCTCGATTGGGTACTTCAGGGTGAGGATACCTCTCTTGGATTGAGCCTCATCTCCGACGTACGAATCTTTTTGTCCCATACCGACCATGACACCTTGATGACGTGGGCGTCCGACGATAGATGGGAAGACGGCGCGTGGAGCGTCATCTCCGGCGAATCCGGCCTGTAAAACGTCGCGATGCACAAATGGTCAATTTTTTGGGAATACACATTTGACGGAACGCAATGAACTTCACCCACATATTAATGTTTGCATTCAATCTTCTCTCGCTGCCCTCGCGGGCCCGAAGTTAAAAGAAAGAGCAGAGCAAACAACGGTTCTTTCACGGTTCAATGCAAAAATTTTGTCAAGGCATAAACCGTGCCTCGTCCCCGCCCGACCGTTCTCCGAGATTGCGCATATATACGCGCTCAAACGCATTTATATATTTATTCCTATCAATCAATGATGAGGGACGCCGCGGCCTTGACAGGAGTGAGCGACCCTCACTTGAGATTTGAATCGGGACTCATAATAGAATGGACGGTGGCGGGAAGGACGATTCGAATTTCTGTGCGAATTTACTATCAAAACTAGAGAACATTTTCGATTCAAAATCGTTTGAAAGGGGGATTATGGAAATGTGTCATCGCAAAAATTTGAATTTCGTAACACTTTTGAATTTTATGATGAAATTTATTTGAAAAAAAAAAGAAATTTTTGCTGGAATTTTTTGAAGCATTGCTTAAATTGGACAATAATATAAAAAGAGAAATTTGAATACCTTGCACATTCCGGATCCATTGTCCACAACAAGAGCGGCAACCTCGTCGTCACACATCGTTTCAATTCAAAGTGTTCTACTGCTGGTGAGGCTAGTAAAAGGGGGCTAGTGCACAATTTCCCTCCACTCCCTCGCTTATATACCGGGACACGCGACGCGTCCGCGCCGCGGCTCTGCCAATGGCCCGCCGCGCGCCGGCCCGACCCGCGACTCCGCCCACTTTTTTTGGTGTCCGTTTTTTTTATGCGAGCGTGTCTCTCCGTGTTTTCTGTGTGTGTGTGTGTGTGTGGTGAGAGTGTGTGCGAGCGCCCCCCGCCATCGCGCCCCGCTTTCGCCCCATCTTCCTCATTGTCGACGCTGTTTCGTTCGCGTTTTTTCTCCCCCCCCCCAATGCGTCCCCTTACGATGCGGACCCATTCGATTGTTACGGTGGTTGACATGAAACGGAGAAGACATGACGCGTGGGTTGTTCGTCTTTGAGGCGAGAAGAGGAAAATTTTGGGGCTGGCTGAGGAAAAAGACAAGGAGGATCGCTTCGACGCGAATACAATTCCAGACCTTCTCGCCCATATTTGGAAATGTACGATCAAAGAATCAAATTGTTTACACCGCGGAAATAGACGATTCGCCGGGGGGAAAAACCACAATGTTCTCGATGTTCGTGTTCATGAGAAATTAGGCCTATTCATAAGCGTATGCATAGGCAATTTGTCACTCTGCGACCACAGATTTCTTAAGAATGTTTATCGACCATTAATCCCTGGCAAACAATATCAGATTAAAGACAAATTCGAGGAACAGCGATTTTAGACAACCAATTGTATGAGGGGCTTCCTTGAGATGACGTCGTGAAAAACAAAAAAACTTGAATCGAAATTCTGGCAATTATATGCTTAATTCTTTACACCTGATGTTGATGTATTTTTTAAAAGCAAGCTCAAGCAAGTTTTCCACAGTTCTCCAAGGCCGTCGCAATTTTCCCATATATGACATCATTACTCGACGGATTACAGTAATCTTGCGCAATTCAAGACACTTTTTCCTGTCCACCGAACCCCACCGCCAATGTCGTGCCAACAACTTTCGCTGCCTGGCGTAAACGAGGCAAAGGGAGGATGAGGGCAGCACAACTCGCGAAACAATGTGCCGCTTTCAATATTATATCTATCAATTGTTTCTCCGAAATGAGTGGTGATGAGTGCGCCGTTTTGTTACAGCGGCTCGTCTATCTCTTTACCTCTCGCCTGCTGCAAACGACGGCGAGCATTGCGTTTTTGCGGGGGAGATCTGATCTGGTCGTGGCCAAGCACCAAACGGCAAAAAGCGCATTATTTTTTTTCCCCTGCACTGACCCCAAATTTCTCAGAAGGGGTGATTGATCTCGACGCGACGAGGAATGCGCGAATCACTATAAATTGTATGATTTATCAGGAATTGTTCGTCATAATTGTTTTGGCAACACAAAAGAAAAACGTTTTTTTTTTGTTTCATGGAACACCGCCAAATGTCAATAAAATGAATCAGCCATTTTGTTGTTTCAAAAGAAGAAAAAAGCATTTGTTCCGAGTGGAAATAAAAAAATGGAACGCGCATGCATTTTCAAGCAAAAGGTTTCCGTCATTGTTGCTGATGTTTCCAACGAAAATTATAAATTGACTACATGTAAATGTTCCTCGGATAAAAAAAAAAGGGGAACAAGTGGTTTGTACTCAAGAAGGAGTGGATTGTACTTTGGTGTGACTTAATTACATTGCAATTATTTATAATATATTTAGATGTGGTTAGGATTATGAGAATAATGGGATTTTAAGTGGATATGAACCCCCAAATTCTTCTTAATTCTTGTTGGGAAGTTTGAAACAAATTGTCGGGGACAAAAGGAAGTTTTAATAAGATTTAGACCGCTCAGGATTTTTTTTAACTTGGAGAAATTATTTTTTTAAATGTGCTATACTTGGTCAAGGACGTTAATATTTCTTGCCCAACATTATTTTTAAGACGTGCGGTAATCATAAAATGCCTTGCAATTCACTGTCTCATTCCTATTTTTAGAATTCTCTATCATCGACATCTCCATAACATCTTTTTTTTTGCAGATTTTGAACGTTGAACCCTGATTCATTGCCAGTCTTGTGCCAATATCGCGATATTGTCATTTTCTTTTCGTAGAATTTGTCGCCTGGTGGGGGCAATAAATTGAATCCATATGTATTTCAGGAATTTTATTTTTTCTTCATGTGATCTTTAATTGAATTCTCGCCATCGCGACAATATGATGTTCAAGGTACAACGATTTGGAATCGTCACATTTTCGGAAAATCCAACGCTTCGAATTTGGACCACCAACTATTAAAATGTGTGTATTTTTGCTAAGCAAATATTTGCCAATGAACTTGATACATTTGAATCAATTCGGTGAATTGTGATCGCTTAGGCCCCACCTGTTTTTATAAAGTAACTGTTTCATCCTTGGTGACCTTTGTGAGAAAAAGATGAATGTGTTTCGAATTGGTTGATTCAAAACATGTGTGGGGATTGAAGGGGGGTCATTCATTTTCCCGTCGCCGCCGCGGCAGCCAATCCAATTTTCAATGTTTTCCTTCATGATGGCCAATGTGATTCCAGGAATCGGCGCTCTCGACGGACTCCACCATCGTTCACTCATTGATGCATCTCGATCTATCTGTTTGCCAATGTGTAATGCTCTTGTTTTGCTTTGCCACTTCTTTTCCCGCGATGCCTTCTCTTCCCATGGCCCTCGCATTTAATCTTCTTCATTACATTTTTTTCTCTCTGCTGCCCTGCGGGAGCCAAGTCGCCCCATCACTGCGCTGCTGTTGCTGCATTGCTCGGCGCGTGTTGGCGCGTAGTAAGAATCGGCCCGGATTCCCTCCTCGATTTTTCCCCGCATCACCCGCGAGAGAAGTGATGAAATGCGACTGAAGAGTGTTATAATAATGAGACTTGTTGTAAGGATGCGATTCGTGCCAACTGCGCTATTTCCAATGAGCATTGGCATCCTTGCAAAAGGGATCGGGATATCAGTGTCTTGAACTCCACGCGGGGGGTAGCGATCGACTGGGAAGAAAAAGAAAAACAACATAAATAAAGGGGACTCAGTGATTTCAATAATGATCAAAAGGATCAAGATGTGATTCCGGGATTACCACAACCTAGATTGTCTGATCTTCGTTGCAATTAAGTTGACTGGAAGTTACTCTTTGATGAATTTAACCTCACAAAAATCAAAAAAACTAGGTCAATATAAATAAAAAAAACAGACAATGGTCTTCATACGAAAAATTCCCCTTGGAACCCTCTAAAAAGTTAAACATTTTCTGAAAAAAATTTAACTAACTAGCTAATAGAATTGACCGCCAAAAAAGCGAACTAATTAACCGCACTTTAAAACTTCAATTTTTAGAATTTTCGAATATCGTCTTAGGTAAATGAAGAAAGAATATTTTCACTTATTGAAACTCAATGAATTTATAACAAATTTTAAAGTCTTTTAAGATTTCCTTAAACGTAATGAGCAAATTCTAAATTATATTATGACATCTAATAATGCTAAATTAACGTTCATTGAGAAAAATCTAAAATATCATAGATACACGTTAGTCTCTCAAGGAACCTTTAAAATCTCTTTGATTCGGTTAAGCTAAAAGAAAACAAATATAACTACCCGAATCAAGAAATAGTGATTTTCAAATAAATTCTGCTGTATTGTCGAAATTTCAAAAAAAGTGAATAATTTTATAAGACAATTCACTTGTGGTTTTTGTTTTTCTTTAAAAAAAACGACGATGCTAATACTCTTCCTCTCCGACATATTTAAACAGCCTGGAAACTCGGCACATTGTATTTAAGACGACCGTTGTCATATTATCTTGTATTTGTATTTGTACTAAAAGAACACATATGTCAACTAAGTTTGTGACACGTAGAAAACCCACGTAAGTAGTTGGTAAAGTTGAGTGGGGCTTGGAAACACGAACATATAAAATTGTGAAGCAACACAAATTATTATTTTTTTTTCTTCATAAATTAATTTAAACTGCCCATTATTTTCAATATAGGTTTCGTAATATCCAATGATATTTTAAAAATTCCAAAGTCCAGAAATCTCCAGATGTGATCGCCATCTGCATTTACACTCGATCGACGCTGCAGGTGTGACCGGCCGATCGACCACCGTGACTTTAAAACGCGGCCGATGATTTTGCGAGTTGAATAAGTCGATAATTGCTCGCGAATTGTGACTTTCAATTTTGTTTCAAGGCTTTATTCACCAATCAAAATTTACATAAATAAGGTACATGAAAGAAGAAAATGCGGGGGGCTAAGTATTTATGGAATGGAATGAAACTCAAACAAGGGTACACGCAATTCGTTCAATTAATTTGGTTTTTCGAGAATATCTTGATATTGATTTGGAATGATTTGACTAGTCCAGACATGATTAACCGTGCAATGAAATGACTAGATAGGATAGGATTGTTTTCGGGAGAATTGGATGTGAATGGATCAATCAATGCAAAGATACATTATCGTTTTCCCTTATAGCTGATAAATTCCCCGTAATTGGGCAAACGTTGCCAAATTTCAGAATATCGTTGACTGTTGATGGAGCTTTTTAACGCTCATCGTTCGACGATGATGTTGAACGCATCCAAACGAAAGGAGATCGCGGAAGCAGCGACGAAAATCGCCATTATACATTGTATAAATAATCGGGTTCAAAACCTGCAAAAATCAAAAATTAACAATAAAATTGATTGAATTTGTCGAATCCCTGCATACCGAATTTGAGTATCCCAGCCAAAGGAAAAACTCGGAAATAACTTGGTACACTTTTGATTCAACCACTTCAACGGTTATGAACACTTCGACAAGGTACATAATGAAGAATGGCATCCAGCAAATGATGAATCCAAGTACAACAATTCCAATAGTTTTGAGAGCTTTTCGTTCTCTCAAGTACACCATTTTCTCTTTTGATCCACGCACGGCTTTGCCAGGTCCATTTGTTTGATAGTGCTCGTGAGCCTATATATAATATACATGCATATATATATATATATATATATAATAACAAGAGGAGACTACGCTTAATATAATACCTTCATCAGAAGATTGCTTGGTTGCAGACGCGAATTCTGTTGTCGCGCACGTTTGCTCAATGACGGCGCAACGCCGACTTCGGTGTTTTTGCGTATAGGCGTCTCCTGAAAAATGTTGAGAAATTCTTCGAGCAATGATCATTGTAGTAGTAGTACCACGCTGTTGACAATATCGGCCAATGAATGACATTCGCGCTCCATTGAGTTTTTGCTTCGCCGCTGTGAGCCATTCGGCGTGTTTGTCTCGTTCACAAGAGATGCGGAAATCTGAAAATAGAACGCTCAAATGGGTTCTCCGCCATTTCTCACTTTTTTCCAAACATTACGTACGTTACAAGTGGTATTTGCTTCCAAACTATCGCCGTTCGGCGGCGAATCCTCGCAATCAGTTGAATCGAACCGCTCTTGGCCGGGCCGCAGTGAGTTCTCGGATCGGCTGAAACAATTGTAGTTAACCCCTCTGCTCAAAATTTGCAAATCTTTTACTTTGTGTATTCCATCGGTCTCACTGAATAATTGACTCGACCACAATTGTGATTGACTTGGACCCTGGTCCGCGAGTGAGGTGCGCTGGCGGTCCTGTCAATTATTCATTTCAATGTTGTTTGAATGGGCCCAACTTAGTTAATGCATACATTTATTGAAATGTCCGGGGTTTCTTATTCGTTGAGACCCCCCCCCACTCACTTTTCAACTTTTGGTCAAACAAAAATGGACAATGACGTCAATTCGAATTTACCTCAAATTATTGCGATGATTTTTCTGTTGGGTTTTCGCCAATCGATTGCTAAGGCGACACGTTCCCACGGATTTTCGCATCAATGCCTCGCGTTCAGAAGCCACTCGGAAAATTTTGAAATACACGAAAAGCATCACCTAAATTGACATCATCATAAATGGTTTTGGTGATTGATTCTAACGAATAAGGGAAGGTAAAAGCTTCCTAAAGCACTGTAAATTCGATAGTATACTGATGGTGAATACCCGCAACGAAAATCAGGATTCATTGTATCATTTGCCTTAAAAGAAAATGATAAAATTTGATGAGAGGTGAAAGTTTGGAGATACCTTAAATTGAGCATCGGTGAATAGATTCCAGCTAGGAATTATCCATGGTGGGCTGCACACGATGAACGAAAGCAGCCACACTGAAGAAAGCAGGCCGGCAGCCATTTTTCGAGATCTGAAAATTTTGCAAACGTCTGGAATTGCATCGCTGACCCCCATTTAAATTGGATGCTTGTTGGCGAAAGATTGTGTCGATACTATTCGGATTTGGTGTGCCGCGGGGGGGGGGACCACGTTTACCGCTCTTTTGTCCAACATAATGCACTTCTCTTATTATGTTACACATGTGTGTCGTTTTTCCCATTTTATTCTCGTTATGTAAATGATTTCTTCTTTTTTCCTTATACTATCTACTTTTTTTGATGCTCTCGTTTCTAATTTGAAACACGATATGTCAAATTAGTCTAATTGGGCCCGCCACGCTGCTTCTGCATCGTCAGAGTCCACGAAAAATGTGATTACATCGACTTTCACGCATGATCAATATATGGTAACGAACTTACCTAGTGCGCGGATATTTCAGAGGTGAAGTAATTGCGAAATAGCGATCCAAACTGATAATGCAAAGATTTAAAATGCTTGCTGTGCAGAGAAGGACGTCAGAAGTTGCCCACATTCGGCATAGGAATCTCCCTAAAAAAATTTTATTTATCAATTTTCCAACGGTGAGCCCTACCAAGAGGCCATCTATGGTTATGCAGGAGGTCTAGCAATGACATTGGCATTACGACAAGTCCCACAAGAAGATCTAAACAAGGCTAATATCAAATTGTAAAGGGATTTGACCCACCTGCAGTTGCCAAAGATGTCAATAGAATATTGGTAAATGTCCGCATTCGTTTATAAACAAATACTGATAGAACAACCAGCACATTTCCAAAAATGGTTAATAATATAAGCATAACCTGAAAGTTAATCGGACTTGTTCTCATTTCCTCTAAGTCTCATTTATTAAATTTTTCTCTCTCATGATGGAACGACAGATTTTCGATGCTCAAACACTCAGTTTTCCTCTATCTCACATTGAAATTTGAGGCAAAAAAAGAAATGGGCAGTTGTCGCTTCATTTTTGAGCATATAAATGTTGGAATGCTTGGCACATTTGTCTTAAATCTTACTATATACATATATATGAAATGTGAGAGATTTGGCCTAATTAATCAAACCGCACGACACTCAGTAGAAGTTTAGACGGAAGGCACGTTTCGCAGAATCTCTTCTAATTTAACATGTCATGTTTCCATATGCATATTGGATAGATTTTAATCCGGATTTGTACACGCTAGCTTCCGGCTAGTAACAATTAATAATATGACGGTGAAAGAAAGCAAAATGACTAACAACCTAGGGATTCACTGTGTTTTCTTTGTTTGGATTCTCATCATATTTATTACAACACTAGGAAAAGTCTTACCAGAAACAGTGCGATGAACACATCATGCAGTCCCAGACATAATTTAACCGGTATGAATTCGGACAGTGATCCGCTGAGGGTGTCGACGGCCAATGGCGGCTCCGGCATTAGTGTAGTCGATGATGGTGTCTCGGCAGTCGGTGGTCCCAAGCTCGACCAGAGTGAACCTCCCAGCGCTGCCTTAAAAAAAAGATAATGATAATCGTCTCATGTGTTCTTCTTGGAAGTAATGAAACACAAAAAAGGAATTGAAAAAAAAAACGAAGTTGGTGCGTATTTAGGAAGTGCATACCACCTCTTTTTTTCCGGAAACATTCATTAAGTGTAGAGACAACAAGAAAATTGGGTTTAGTCGTCTTCAATTCAACATTTTTTGTTCTCGCAACGAGCAAGAAAATTGTTGACGTTCGGGAAAATCACACTCATAATTGGTGGTTTAAAAATTGGCCAAAGTTTCATGCAGAAATTTAAAACAAATTGCCGGCCAGTTGTCGCAAACTGAACGGGGGCAGTGCTCAATGGCTCGGATTAGGAAAGTTTTGGAAAATGAGAATCGCAAAAAAACATACCTGGATATAAATTAATACACCCCACGCCATTACTATGGTTTCAAATGATTGCTCGCCGCTTAGATTGCGGGAATACTTAGCCATGAGTATTAGTTACCGACATATTTTAATAGGTCGCTCACTTAATGTCTCGTATAACTTTTGAGTGTGGAAATTAGGCAGAAGAAGCGTTTCTCGTGTGTGTTTTTTTTTCGCCTCACTCAGCGCGTGTGAGCCCCTCACCAGCGTTTGTCGGAAGTGGGTGGAGCATGGTGTGCTTTCAAGCTATGCTGGAGCAATGCTGAACCCATTATAATATATTTTACGCTTGCAATCACACAAACATTGCTCGACGAGCAAAAAAAACTCTCGAAACATTGTGGTACGATGATGGATGTAGGGCCCCCCCTTTTTTCATTTGATTCCTTATTGTTTCATAGAACGGCGGAAGCACAGCTAAATAGGAAAAAAGGCAAAAAAAACGGAAAATTGGAAATAAATTAGCGGCACAACAAAAACAGAAAATTAAACTAGTAGAAGCTCCTTTTTTTTGTCGCAAAAGAAACCTTACATTCAGTAGAAGCGCAAAAAAAGAACCCGGGAGAAAAAAGAAGAAGCTCGAAGAATTGGTTGAAGTTTGAAGTATGAAGTCATTGAAATGAATCGACCGGAAGTTTGGTATTTGACGCATTTGCTGTTGCAAAGATTTCGCTTTCTGTGCCAAGAAGCGAAATTCGTTAAAATGATAGCAATGGGCTCAAAGGGGGGGGGGAGCACCATTTACGATGTCAATTTCAAAGAAATTGAATATTTTTATGACTATACAAAGTAGTGGGTGGGGAGGACAATTTTCAAAAGGTTCGCGAATATATGACCTTCTCTCAACAATTTTCGTTGGAACGCGAAAATTGGATGAATGTAGCGAGGGAGCATCACATCGCGCATTTTAGCTCTCAAAAGTCAAGTCCTAGACATGACCGTACCATTTTTTAAATCTCGAATGGGTATGTAACATGTTTCTAGACAACGAGCCGAAGTCATGGCTCCCATAAATACTGAACAAGCATTGAAAGTTGAATGCTGTGGTCCACGGCCAACGAATTTCATTTAGAACCTTAAACATTTTTTGATAGTTCAATTTCACTGTAGAATTAAATACGTGAAAATTCGCAAACTTTCAAAGTTCATTAAATGTCTACGAGATTTGTTCCGGAAGTTTGATATAACGCGGAAATTTTTTCAACATAATTCGTATGATATACAACGTGTGCATGCACCGCGCAGTAGGGCATTTCCTAATTAGTCAGAGAGCTGCCTAACGAAATTAGCCATTTCCAGCAGAAACACATTGTTTTTATTGACTAGAGACAAAAAAAATGTATTTCGCGTTACAGTAACCGCTTTTGTTTGTTCAAAATTTGAAAAATCGCAGCAAAGTGATGAGGCATTTCCGGTAGAGCACTAAAAATAACATATTCTTTTTAATTTCCGGTTCCACCGATAAAAAAAAAGAATGAGAATGTTGAAATTGTAGTATGCAACGATTGAGGGACTGGTTAATTGAATTATATTCAGCAGAATTCATATTACTCACCATAGACAGATGGTGGGAGTATGATTAGATGGTGCCTCAAACCAGAAATTCGCCAGATCCTCCAATTTTATCAAGGGTTTGATTCTAATCGTTTCGTCGGAAACCTGAAAACTTGAATATGAATTTTTTTGAGTTGCTTTGGGGACGGCGTATGTTAATTAATTGAACAGAACGTGACATGATGACATGTTTCTGGAAGAAGAAGGAGATGGGGGGAAAAAATGCTCGCGTCCCTCAACGTGTGAAAATCGCCTTTCTTTTTATATTCAGGAATTCCTTTTTTCCATCGGTAATTTTGGTATTATCAATGGTAGGGAGACAATACAATAAGAAAGTGACTAATATTTGATTAATTCTCGCGAAAGCACCAGACCAATAAATTGAAGGAAACTATTGAATGTCTGAAAATTCTAATTGTCTACATACATTCATCCATATTTGGCAAATCTCTATACCAATAATTCAACAACGAACGTCATATATACCGAAGCGAAGAGTTCGAGAAACCCTGCCCCGGGGGCAATAAATTATAAGAAATAAAAAATATAACTGAAATTGTCAAGCAGTTTCGCATCATGGTGGCACTGAATTTATATCCGTCCCGAAATTTGCGAAAAAAAAACCGGATCAATTTTGGCTGGATTTTTCAATGAAGATTATTATAAAAAATTGAGTAAAATAATGATATTACAATACGGATTAATAACATCATTGCGAGATCTAAATAGAATATTGTGTAATTATGAAAATGTCGATTATGACTACATAGAGGTCTAGGATACGGCTGAAAATCAGAAAGTCATTATATTTGGAAAACAAATTTTCAGTGGAATATATTGCTGAAAACACAGACAAATTTCGTGGTGTTGAACTTCTTGCCTGGCCTTGGGTTGGCTGAGTATCAACTGGAAAATTACAGTATACAGCAAAATGCCGCAATTTTTTTTATTTGGCGTCAAGAATTCAATTAGAACATGACCTTAATTATTTGAATTTCCAATAGTTGTCTGTCAGCGGCAATATTATTTGCAATTTTCCAATTAACTAAAATCGTTGCACGACGAATCAGGATATGATCCATGACCCACTTTCTGCAAATTATTTCAAAAAAAAAATGTTGTGCTCACCTTCTTAAAGTTTTTTAAAATGTCATATACTATATAATTATGATATACAGTCCTTTGAATGGCGCGATGCATTTATATATATATATATTTGTATAATCAAAAATTAATATAACAAAGTTTTGCGCTAGATGGAGTCAAATATAGAGATAGCAAATCTCTAATCTACTCATTCACATACACATCGTCAATCAACGACTTATCCGATTTGGATTAACGAAACGAGAATAATCCTGCCTAATCGATATCTCATAATAACTCAAGCAATGAGAAGGAAACAATTGAGGCAAAACGAGCACTTTATGAGCAGGAGCAGGCACGGCAACACGGTCAGGAAAAAAATTCCAATTTTAAGTGAAAACCATAGTGATGAGTGCATGTAAGGACAAACATTCAGGCAATGAATGAGCTCTGGCGGTTGGTTGTTTTCATAAAAACAATGATGATGAAAAACACTTGTGATTTTTTTTCGTATTGCAAAAACAAAACAAAGTTGAAACGTTTAATTGCAAAGGATTCGTATCTCGTTTTTTTCGAGCCTTCTTGAATGCAAAAGAGGCTCCCAAAAATAGGCGCCGATTGTACCATTGTTTGAAAATGCTCACTAATCACCGTGTTTTTGCGAGCTAGGTCATTTAGCTATTTTCTAGTTTTATGAATGCTTGGAAAGTGTTGGTTACAGAAATGTTCAAGATTGAATTGAATGGGCAAAGTGAGAAGCAGAATGACGTCTAGCACCAATTTGGAATGCCCTTTCCTTTTGTGGCAATTCGAAAATCATTAATACAAACATCACTACAGTAATACAATCCATTCAAGAATAATGCTGAACTTTAAGCCTGAACGACCAAATAGGTACATGTGTAAACAAACTGTAATTTAAGTGAAAATTAGAGTTTGTTTAAAATTTAATATTTCCATTTTTTAAGCTTTTTTCGAAAATTATTTTAAAGAGTGATCTCTTGCAAAAAAACCTGAAATTCTTTGCATTTTTATAATTCTCGATTTTATTCATCTAGTGCTCTGAAGACAGTACGATTTTGATTTATTTTTTGTCTGACTCGCGAATATCTCTGAGGTCTCCAACTTATCACCGTCCTCGAATTTCAATGTCTTCTTGTTTAAGTGAACACCAAATGAGAATCATCGGACCCGACGAAGCAAACTCAGTGTTAACAATTTTTGAAAGCTAAACGAGACAAACCGGATGTTGATGGCACGAGGCCAACTGAGCAATGATTGCAAGTCTTTTTTAGGCAAGAAGACGAAGCGCCAAAAAAAAGTTGAGAGAGTCGAGCATCAGAATATGGAAATGGAGAAGAAGATGCTGAACAAGAATGAGCTCAAGAAGCAAGAGAGTTGACGACAAAAAAACGGATAAAGAGATGACAAATGCAAAAAAAGGCAACACTCGCCGAGCTGTTTAGGTTGGCGAAATCAGTAAGCGCCTAATTTTGCGCCGCCGGCTCCATCTCGAATTGAAGAACATGTCAAATGTTGACGACGATTTTTTTTTCTTGTGTGTATGTGGGCACCAAAAAATTTTGAGGAAAAAAAAACGATTTGTTACAAATTTGAACCATGACAAAATAATAACAAACAAGAAGGGTTTCAATTTTGTCGTATGTCGTCGGACATTCTGGAATATAGAGAGAAACGCGGGACACACACACACATACGCACACAGCCGACCAAGCTAAGAAAAACATATTATTGTTAATTCAATTTATTTCGCACCACATGGGCAAGATAAAGGTTTTTCTACTACGCCAACCCTTCCATGGAGAAGAAATCAAACCTAGACGCGAACACTTCAAATCTCAAAAAACAGACGGGTGGGATTGAGGAAAAATTCAATTAACATTGAACATGTGTATTTAATTAGAGTCTGAACAAAAAAAAATAGCAAAATCAATAGGATTGAAATCTAATTGCCTTTCGGTTTTTTTTTTCGTCGTTGTTATTTCTTTGAGATTTTTGTTGTCGGAATTTCCTCCTCTCAAGGAATTTCAGCTAAGAAAAATGATGCAAGGTTTAAAATTTTTTTTCATATGATTCATTATTCGCCCTTTTCAAAAGCACTTTTGACACTTTGAGGTCATACACAGGTGGAAGAAAATCGTGTTTTTATTGATGTGAAAATCATCAAACTGCAATTACGGTTAACTAAAGTGTAAATATTCCAAAAAACCAGAATTTCTCGGAATTTCAGATTAAAAAAAAAACAAATTGTGGCTCATAGAGATGCTGACTGTTAAAATTCTCTACTTGTTTTCCCTTAAATCCAATTTTTTTAAATGATCATAACATTCTAAATTTGTCAGGGCCTAAGCTATAAAGATCAATTTCCGCCGAAAAATACATAATACCGTGGCAAAGAATCCCCC